CTGCTTCTCCTTTCGTCATTGCCATTAAGAACGGAGGTATCTCTGGTTTGCCTTCTGTCATGAATGTTGTTATTTTGATCTCTGTTTTATCTGTTGGTAACTCATCTGTTTTCGGTTCATCAAGAACTTTAGCTGCATTAGCTGCTGCTGATCAAGCTCCAAAGATTTTTGGATACATTGATAAGAACGGTAGACCATTAGTTGGTGTTGTATTCCAATTGGTCATTGGTTTATTGTGTTTTGTTGTGGCTTCCGACAAATATGGTGAAGTCTTCGACTGGTTGTTGGCTTTGTCAGGTTTATCCACCTTGTTCTCGTGGACTGCCATTTGTTTGTCTCACATTAGATTTAGAAGAGCTTTATATGCTCAAGGTAGAAGTACTGATGAAATTGCATTCACTGCTCAAGCAGGTGTTTACGGTTCTTTCTACGGTGCTGGTTTGAACATCTTAGTTTTGATTGCTCAATTCTGGATTGCTGTTTGGCCATTGGGTGGTAAGCCAGATGCTGAAAATTTCTTTATGAACTACTTATCTTTACCTGTTGTTCTTGCTTTCTACTTGGGTCACAAGATCTGGACTAGAAACTGGAAATTGTTCATTAGAGCCAAAAACATTGATATTGACACTGGTAGAAGAGAATTAGATTTGGATTTGTTCAAGCAAGAATTGGCCGAAGAAAGAGCATACATTGCATCTTTACCATTCTATAAGAGATGGTGGAACTTCTGGTGTTAAAAAAAATTGTACTTTTTGAGGGTAATTTTGATAATGAACTCAAATCAATTTTGTTGCTAACACTATTATAGTTGCTTAATCTATGCGGCACTTGATCCGCTATTTCAGTTCAGTATAGTTGAATATTTTAATATTTTTAAATAGATAAATTTTGATAAATTTTGATAAATATTAAGCGTATTTTAAATCTTCTAAGTTTGACGGAGTCTTTATAGCGAAGAAAACTAAATTAAATACAAGCTGCAAAGTCAACAAGTAAGATTGATAGGTATAATTCTTGCACTTTTTTAATTCTTCCGACAATTTGGTTCAAAGTTCCAAAAATGACAATTTATGGTGCGATAGATTTTCAGACAGCGTTGTAAGTGAGTATTAAAAAAGCCCCCAAATTGCAACCTCATTTGTCGTGCACCCTCCAATAAATACGAGCTTAACATGCAGCGACAAGATAATTGTTCCGTTCGCTAAAACTCAATAGACCCATCTTTCATGGAATAACGAGGGTATTAACCGGGATGTTGCATACCGCTATACCGAGGGGTGTTAATTTTCTTTCGCAATATCAATACTCAGATTGGACACGATATTCTTTGGATATACCAATCGAAAATCTACTTGCATCCATTCCAAGCTGTATGACTCAAATAAGAGAATGTTTTCCTTTTCTTTACAAATTATTATAAACTTACTTTTTGATTGAATACTAGTACCTTATTAAAACCTTTAACATTATTTAAATGAAGGTCCCAGTTAGGAATGTTATGGATTTTGTTGTTAGCCAAGAATGTATTTCTTGGCTAAACAAGCCCAGAAAATCAGTTCAACCGAGAGTTGATCAATGAAAGCAACAATTTAAGACAGACTACATTTCAATAGGAAATTGAAGCTTGGAAACTGCTACCACGTATTTTAAATTTCTCTCCACTAGCCAAATAAAATCGAATATTACCAAAAATTACTCATTTGCTCTACTTGAGGGAATTAAATATCGATTCTCAATTATCACGTGCTCAACGTAGTTTTCTTACGTATGCTAAACGTCTTCTTTTGCTTTAGTAACATTCGATGATTCTCATGCTGGGAGTTGACGCTGACGTCTACTTTTACTTAGATAACTGTAAAGCCTCGTTTGTCCTAAACACGCCCCATGATCTTTTATCACAACGTCATTGTCATTAAAATATGCCCATTTCTCTGATTCCCGAGATTTCAGTAGGGCTCTTTATAGGGTACCGCATTATTCTTGAGAAAGCAGAATTGCTGTTCTAAAGTATAGTGTGACTGCTTCTCATTCTTGCATGCTTTAGCGGTTATCAGACACCATTACCTGTCAAGTGAAAGCATTACTGCACATTAATTTTTCATAGCCCGAAATTTCTTGGCTGTGTCAAACTAAAAGGTTGCGTATGGGGTAACGAGATCTAATACAGGCTAGATATGAGTTCTAAGATACGATAAAATGCCGTGCGATATCCCCCCAGTACTAAGGTATGACATAATGTGACTTCGTGATATTTTGGCGGTTTTGAGAAAAAACGCTTATGAAATTCCCGTCAACCCTTCCGAAACAATGCAATTGTCCTGTTTCGGAATATCATTCATTGAAATTTACACTTTTGAATACATTAACAAGGGCCAATAAGATAAACCAAAGCTATGTTTATGTTCTTCATACGGCAAATGCTATAAATTTCTTTCTTATATGGCGGATGAAAACCTGTGGGGATATCCTGTCATATCTTTATCTTTGCTATTGTGGGACCAAGGGAAATGTGACTAAAAAATTGCTTATCAGTTAGAATAGGCGAGTTTACAAAAGCAAAAAAAGTATATAATTGTTCATCGTTTATCTTAACCTGATTTCCGCTCTTTAATTTTTGGAGGAGAATAATCTCTCCACCTTAGACCACTATACAACTACGTTATGCCTGAAAAGGAGTTGAGTTATATGAGGTCCAATGAGGCCTCAAATTCAGCAGATAAGAGCGGTGGTGTTTATGTCAATGATTTTGAATCTCCAAGTGAGACAAAATTGACTGGCTGGGCCAAGTTTGCCGACTCTTTCAAAAGATTCGATGACAACGAATTGGGTTTGGATCCTAACTTGACAGAAGCTCAAAAGATTGCTGTGAGAACTGCAAACTCCCCATTGTCTAGATCTTTGAAGAATAGACACTTGCAAATGATTGCTATCGGTGGTTCTATCGGTACTGGTTTGTTCGTTGGTAGTGGTACATCCTTAAGAACTGGTGGTCCCGCCGGTGTTTTGATTGCCTATATCTTAATTGGTAGTATGATCTACTGTACTGTTCAAGCCTTAGGTGAATTGGCTATTACTTTCCCTGTTTCTGGTGCTTTCGTTACTTACAACACACGTTTTATTGATGAATCATTTGGTTTTGCTATGGCTTGGAATTACGCTTTACAATGGTTAGTTGTTATGCCGTTAGAATTGGTTGCTGCGTCGATCGTTATCAATTATTGGAATAAGACAATCAATCATGCTGCTTTTGTTGTTATTTTCTGGGTCTTTATCGCTGCAATCAACTTTTTTGGTGTTAGAGGTTATGGTGAAGCTGAATTTTTCTTTTCCATTATTAAGGTCATTGCTGTTGTTGGTTTCATCTTCCTAGGTATCATTTTATGTGCTGGTGGCGGTCCCAAAGGTGGCTACATTGGTGGTAAGCATTGGCAAAATCCTGGTGCTTTTGCTGCTGGGTTTAAAGGTGTTTGTACTGTTTTCGTCAGTGCTGCCTTTGCTTTCTCAGGAACCGAATTATGTGGCTTGGCTGCTGCTGAAGCTTCCAACCCAAGAAAGTCATTACCAAAGGCTATTAAGCAAGTTTTCTGGAGAATTACCTTATTTTATGTCATTTCTTTGACATTGGTTGGTTTGTTGGTTCCTTATAACGACCCACAATTAATTGGTTCCACTTCTTGGGATGCTGCTGCTTCTCCTTTCGTCATTGCCATTAAGAACGGAGGTATCTCTGGTTTGCCTTCTGTCATGAATGTTGTTATTTTGATCTCTGTTTTATCTGTTGGTAACTCATCTGTTTTCGGTTCATCAAGAACTTTAGCTGCATTAGCTGCTGCTGGACAAGCGCCAAAGATATTCGGATACATCGACAAGAGAGGTAGACCATTGGCTGGTATTGTTCTTCAATTGATCTTTGGTTTGTTATGTTTCACTGTTGCTTCTCCACACTACGGTGACGTCTTTACATGGTTGTTGGCTTTGTCCGGTTTATCAGCCTTGTTCACATGGGCTGCCATTTGCTTGTGTCATATTAGATTCAGAAGAGCTTTGAGTGCTCAAGGGAGAAGCACTGATGAAATTGCATTTACTGCTCAAGCTGGTGTTTGGGGTTCTTGGTACGGTTTCATTCTAAATACCGTTGTTATAATTGCTCAATTCTGGATTGCTGTCTGGCCATTGGGTGCTGCTCCAAATGCTGAAGTTTTTTTTGAAAACTATTTGTCATTCCCTGTTATCTTGGCCTTCTACTTGGGTCACAAGATCTGGAAAAAAAACTGGAAGTTGTTCATTAGAGCTAAAGACATTGATATTGACACTGGTAGAAGAGAATTAGATTTGGATTTATTGAGACAAGAGTTGGTTGAAGAAAGAGCATATATTGCATCTCTACCATTCTACAAGAGATGTTACAAGTTCTGGTGCTAGAACGCCAACCTCCACGCTGTTTTACGTTTTTATAGTTCTTCATTTATACTCACATATAAAGAAGCGTGATAATCTTTAACCCTATACTACTTTGATAAAAAATGCAATACTTAGTTTATCCTAATTTTAAAAGTAGTCAATGTTTTCTCTTATATCCGTTAATCTTTGGTTTTTGAAATGCCATTTAGCAAAATACCAGCCAGCAATAACCAATAAGGAAATGAACAATAAGCCATAGTAAGATGTTGGAGGCAGTCTAATTGGTTGATAACTTGTTTCTCCTGTAACTTCATCCGTTCGGATATCAAATGCAAATATTTCTTTAATGTATATATCCCTGAAAGGCTTTGAATCCTTATTAGTATCCGCGATGTTCATTTCCATTAATGTGTCAAATCCGTTGACTACTTGACCAAATACAACATGATGACCATTTAACCAACCACAATCCTTTCTAGTGGTGATAAAAAATTGTGCTCCGTTAGTATTAGGCCCCGCGTTGGCCATAGATAACCGCCCCAATTTATCATGCTTCAACTCAAAGTTTTCATCCGCAAAACTTTTCCCATAAATGGAGAAACCTCCTGAACCATTTGAGTTTTCAAAGTCACCTCCTTGCACCATGAAATCTTTAATGATCCTATGGAATATACTTTGACCATAACCGAATCCTTTGGTACCTCTCGATAATTCAACAAAGTTATTTACAGTTTTTGGAACTGTCTCACCAAATAACGCTATATGTATATCTCCAATCTCCTCTACGCTTCTATCTTCTCTATTAAATCTGTTGATCTTGAATACAATCTTGTGAGTGACTTTAGGGTCTCCCTTTACCATCTTCATCTCCTCAGCAGTGATTTGTTCCTGGATAGAAATTCCTGCTACCAAAGTAACTACCAGAAAAAGACCCAAGATCCATAATGTTAACCGGATCACCATCATATCCTGCTTAATACAGTTTTTAACTAAAAAGTTATGAATAGATAATAGTTGTCTTGTTTCCTTATGAATCAAGAAGGAGGTTTCATGTCTGATTGCGTGTACCAACCAAGCTTTATATTAATCAAATGTTTACTCAAAAATCGCGTCTAACATAACCGAACATGGCGATAGTGTAGGGACACTATATATTACCTAAACCAGTATCTGGAGCGAATTTACATCAAGGAGTTTCCATGGATTATATATGAGTTGTATGTAAGCACTTTATTACAGACGGTGGTCCCCCTAATGATGTGCAATAATTTCTTAATAGCAAAATATTATTACTTTTTTAAGCAGCAATACATTAGTATTTTCATAGTGTCCGTATAATATCAAATGTGTAAATTGAATAGTGTTAGGCTGAATGACTACCAGTTATGCTGACAATTGGATCGGCCGCTAAGTTGCCTAAGTTAACGACAACTTTAATTGAGTTTATATGTTACTCACATCAATATAGTAAATGTATTGAGAAATGAAAATAGTTTTGGTTAAGAAAGTCATACACAGCACTAACTAAGCAACATGTAATCATAATAGTTGCAAATAGACAAATCATCACTTTACGTATGCATACAAACACGTAAAAACATGTACAACCGCTCATAGATATATTTGTATGTATACGTATACGGCGTGATATATAATAATGGGGCAGCTCAAACTTTATAGTCCATCAAGCAAAAGTCGGCTACTGATACCTGTTTAGTGATAACTGTTCTTAAATTCATCCCTACAAAAGGAAGAAACCAAACAACCATTTTTCGAATACCGTGAACACGATTGATGATGTCATGGATTGGTGCGAACCAGCTGAAGCTTTGGCCACTGAAATAGGCTATCACAAACCTACTACGCCTGATCACTCGCTGAGCTGTGTCAATTTCCCTTTGACCAGCCTTGCTCAGGGAGGGAGCAGTGAGCAATGTTTGTAATTATGTAAAGTATTTTACAATATTTGATATTATACAAAAGCTTGAGCATTATATTTATTATTTTTGGACGATCTACTAATGTATTATGATTAAGTAATGTATATATTTAAGTAGCTTTGGGTAGATCTAAAGACTTAACTCACGAGAACTGAAAAATTTATAGCGAAGTAACAATCGCAGTTCAGGTTACTAGCACCAGAACTTGTACCACCTCTTGTAGAATGGTAAAGATGCAATGTATGCTCTTTCTTCGGCCAATTCTTGCTTGAACAAATCCAAATCTAATTCTCTTCTACCAGTGTCAATATCAATGTCCTTGGCTCTAATGAACAATTTCCAGTTTTTAGTCCAGATCTTGTGACATAGGTAGAAAGTAAAGACAATTGGCAATGAAACGTAGTTCATAAAGAAAACTTCAGCATCTGGCTTACCACCCAATGGCCAGATTGCAATCCAGAATTGAGCAATCAAAACCAATAAATTCAAACTAGCTCCGTAGTACGAACCATAAACTCCAGCTTGAGCTGTATACGAAATTTCGTCCGTGTTTCTACCTTGAGCACTCAATGCTCTTCTAAATCTAATGTGAGACAAGCAAATAGCAGTCCAAGTATATATCGAAGATAAACCAGACAACGCTAACAACCAGTCGAAGACTTCACCATACTTGTCAGAAGCCACAACGAAGCACAATAATCCAAGAGCCAATTGAAGAGTAATACCAACAATAGGTCTTCCATTCTTGTCGATGTATCCGAATATCTTTGGCGCTTGTCCAGAAGCAGCTAATGCAGCTAAAGTTCTTGATGAACCGAAAACAGATGAATTACCAACTGACAAGACAGAGATCAAGATGACTGCGTTCATGACAGAAGGCAAACCAGAGATACCTCCGTTTTTAATGGCAATGACGAAAGGAGATGCAGAAGCATCCCAGGATGATTCGGCAACCAATCTTTCGTCTGTGTAAGGAACCAACAAACCAATCAATGTCAATGAGATAACATAGAACAATGTAATTCTCCAGAAAACTTGCTTCGTAGCCTTTGGTAATGACTTTCTTGGGTTACTGGTTTCAGCAGCAGCTAAACCACACAATTCAGTACCAGCGAATGCAAAAGCGGCTGTGACAAAGACAGAGCAAACACCTTTAAAGCCGTTAGCAAACGCACCAGGATTGTGCCAGTACTTACCACCAATGTAACCACCTCTTGGACCACCACCACAAACCAAAATGATACCCAAGAAGATAAAACCGACAACAGCAATAACTTTGATCATGGAAAATATGAATTCAGCTTCACCATAACCTCTTACACCGAAGAAGTTAATAACTAGAATAAGAACCCAGAATATTGCAACAAAAGTAGCTGGATTGTATTTAGTATTCCAATAGTCAATGACAATAGTTGCAGCAACTAATTCTAACGGCATAACGACTAACCATTGCATGGCATAATTCCAAGCCATAGCAAAACCAAATGATTCATCAATAAAACGTGTGTTGTAAGTAACGAAAGCACCAGAAACAGGGAAAGTAATAGCCAATTCACCTAAGGCTTGAACTGTGGAGTAAATCATACTACCAATTAAGATATAGGCAATCAAAACACCAGCGGGACCACCAATTCTTAATGTCTTACCGGAACCAATGAACAAACCAGCACCGATAGAACCCCCGATAGCAATCATCTGTAAATGTCTGTTCTTCAAAGATCTAGACAAAGGAGCATTTGCTGTTCTAACAGCGATCTTTTCCGCTTCTGTTAAATTGGGGTCGATCCCCATTTCATTATCATCAGCTCTTTTAAAAGAGTCAACAAACTTTGCTAAACCTGTCAATGGAGGCTTGCTATCTTGTTGGTCAAAGGCATCAACAATAACTCCACCGTCCTTTTCGGTTCTTGAATGTAAATAAGATAGTTCCTTTTCAGGCATTTTTTTATTATAATACTACTATTTGTTGACAGACTTAAGTGGTACTTTAGGTTGAAAAAATCTTATCATCTTATTGGGAATTCATGTCATATTTATACCCATAAAATGGGTTTCATGCAATTTAAGCGGATTCATAGAAGATTCCCCGGCCTAATTCAAAATGGTGTACTTGCTATATCAGCATTTCTTATCATGAATCTGGTTAAGAAAAACCAAACATTTTGCTTTCTTTTGGATTTGCAGCAAGTTGTCTAGCAAAACGGACTAAAAATGTCTCCTTCAAAAGAAATACAACCGCACATTCATCTGAAAAAAAAAAAAACAGACAGCGACATTTTTTGGGCCAAGAATAATAACGTAGCTAGGTAAATTCTTGGAACATGCGTTCGATATATCTAAATTTCGAGAACGCCGTATCAACCCCTCAAATACACTCATGAACAAATAACAAAACTCTCCAATGTGGGTAGAAAAGGACCAGCTGCAACCGTTTCCGGTATTAACTCAAGAATTTGGGCATAAAATAGTTCAAAGCTGCCATAAACAGGTTATCAAGTGTAAAGCTTCAGTCTTATTGTGATATGCAATTTAACTGTTGATGTCGGTATCATGTACCTTGAAATTATCATTTTCGTCTAGTCAAGAAATTTCAGCAACTACACAAGAAAAAAACTTAAACTTGCAAACTAATCGAGGATTTCCATTAAACGGCGATTCTATCCTTCATGACAATAAACTCAAAACCATTTGCTAAGTAATTATGTCTTTTAATTTCTTCATTTGTCTGTTAAGGAAAAAACGTCACCCAAGAAATTTTGGGGTGCATTTCCTTTTTATAGATAAGTAGACCAGGTCAATTCTGATAAGAAGAAAAGTCATATCGGCTATCCAAATGCCTTCTACCGTTAAACGCTATCAAATTATGGTATTACAATCTTCCCTATTTTCCTAAGACCGCTTAAGTAATGCTAATAGTTTATTTGTAGAAATATGGAGGCATAAGAGGTTGAACTGTCGACTAAATGATTATAGCATATCTGACATAAGCAGGCACGACTACTAAAGACAGTACGCCAAAGTTGATACCCTTCTATTTAGATTTGCTACTTCACGTCGATAAGTGTTCTTCACGACTTGCTGTCTCGAATAGCCAAAAGTCAAAATATCTCTGGTGTTATATCTCTTACCACATTCCAAGTTTTGACTGCCGAATGTACTTGTCAGTGTATCCACTAACCGAGCCTAGAATGTTTTGTGACTCAAAACACAAATTGTGCTATCTCAGTCACGACATTAAAATTCATGTTCTTTATTCCAGGGGAGTTTCGAATGTCATGCCTTCAATTGCGGGGCAATGTGACAGTCAGTTTACCGTTAAAGATAGGACATTTTGTTAAGCGGCATCTTGTACTAATGGATTTCTTGGCCTGGCATTTTTAGTTGTCTCTGCGAGATTAATGATCCATGATTATAATTGATCTCAAGTGCCTAGATCACGTGATCCAACCCCAGTATAAAACTTAGTCTTGTGTAAGTAAACAAACTTTTGTGGGGTTGAATGATATCAAGGTTGATAGTATCTTTTCAAGTATTGTGAACCCTCGGCTCACTCTGGTTTTCAAGGATACTTCAAGGATACTTCAAGGATACCTCAAGTAAGAAAACATCATCAAAACCACCACAGCTTACTATATCAAATACAATTTCTAATTGAACCGTAATGTAGGTTCTATGTTTATGGCTTTGCGTAATAAAATCTCCTGTTATCTGATGGTTGAAATCGGTAGCAGCTCTTTGAATGCGAGTTATAAGGAGAATGGACAAAGTAATTATCTTTGACAATCATCCCTTTTTTAAACTGTTGTTTAACTTACAGTATCAGATCCCGCTTGTTGTGGCCACACCATGGTTTCTCGTTCCGCAGGCAATGCTATTTCCGCCAATATCTTCAAGACGCAAAGGAGAATAATGGTTTTGATACTAACCATCATGATAGGAATGTTAATATTCCTAGCACTGATGTACAAGCATGATCATATAACGCTCATGCAAGCTAATGGAAATGATACAGACTCGTTGGATAACATGGATCCAGATGACATGGATAAAATAGTAGAATACGCAAATGATGCGGACGATCCGGCACCTCCCTCTTAAGTCCCGGTGACGCGTTCGCCCTTCTACTAAGATACGGCTGTGCTTGGAATTACGACAAAGTGAAATGAAGTGAAACGAAGGAATTTGCAGTATGAAAAGCGTGGGTATCATCACGTCTTTAAAAATACATAAATACATACCCCCAAAGAAAAACTAATCAGTTTGTTCTCATTCTATTGCAAACTAATGAACTCGCAGTTTTACTTTCAACCACCACAGAATGGTGGCTCTCTGGCATCCTTTGTAATTCGTCAGAATATCCTAGGTGTTCTTTATACGGCAGGATCTCCAGTGGCAAACCAACTAGACGCAATTGCTGACATTCCAGGCATTCATACCATAATTTTGTATGTTATTTACTACCTTACATTTATTTTCTTACTTATTTATGATTTGAAGACTAATTTGTCTCTTTTAGACACTGTAATACGTGGGCTCTTAAGGCGTATCGAATCTTAAAACGATTTAGCAATCCCTACCTAATTGTACGTATACTAGGATATAGTGGACTAAATGTGACTAGTACTAACATTCTCACTAAACTAGATTGTCTTATCTATCATTGTCCTCCCTATCACTACTCCAGCTTTCACCATGATAGGGTTATCTGTTGTTACTATCACATTCATAGCGTTAACTGCGTTATCAATCTTCTTAATTATCGGTATGTGTATTAAGCCTTCTTTGTCCTGTAATGTTGCTATTACCTGTGATCAAAAACTAACTTGAATATCCAGTAGTCTTGTTTGTTCCACTAATAGTTTTGGGAATGGCAACAGCTTTAGCAGGTTTACTAATTGCTTATGTTATTGTCCCCGCAATCAACTCTGACCACTCATTTGGGGTGCCAACGTTTATGAATCAAATAGCAGATGAATCTGTTGAGAGTCCAATGGAATCCTCAATGCTGTCAGAGGGACCGCTAGAAATCGAACCTAAGATAACATCGTCATTTTCCAAAAAGGAGGGGGAAGATATCAGAGCTAGCAGTGACTAAGAAGTTCATACACCTCTCCAGATAGCTTTTTCAAGGTAGTCCGCCTTTGGTTTCTCCTTTAAGAACCCCATCTGGGTCATCTCAAAACAACTCTGAGAAAACCATGAGAACATCAACTTTTCATATTTATTATCAGGGAAATTATCTTCAAGTCCCAATTCTGCCAAAACATCTTTCCGGTTATAGGAATACTTGAAAGCAGTATACATATCATAAATGTTTATAGTAACTGGCGCATCTTTGTATACTTGAAATAATTGACTGATTGGAGCTTTAATTCTAGATTTGGTAAAACCATTGTTCTGCAAATGATTTTGAATCAAATAGTTCCCCAAATATAATGACGGAGTTGATAACCCAGTTTCCAATGCCATTCTAAGATTTGGTCTTAAAAGATTTATCATCAAATTCTCGTAGTTTTCTTCCAAACTCATTAACTTGACCTTCTTCATGTCGTCTGTACTGTAACCAAACCCAGTTAAAAACCAATTCTCATGGAAAACTGTTCCATGGAAATCCTTATAATAATCGGAAACTTGGGTTATGTATGATTGAACGATTTCCAGTATGTTTCCTGTTTGGTTCTCAATTCTATCAATGAATAATGCAGCATTTTCATCCGAGATAGTTCCAAACTCCGACTCATACTCTGAAATAATATCTTCAGGTACATAATATGAGTTGACTTCAAAATTCTTGAAATGATGTTGTGAATCCATAAACAAGTCAAGGACTTCATTGTTGAGGATCATCTTATAAACTTCTAACTTCTCTCTCTTATGCTTTAGAAGTCCATGAAGAATGTTGCATGCGTTTATCACCTTTAGCTTGAACTTTAAGAATTGAGCTTTACTGCTCTCAAGGAAGACCTTCACAGGATCATTCAGATCTATCAAGGAAATAACTTCATTCTTGATTTGCTTATCCTTAGAGCTCTTGTATTCAAAGACCCTTTTTTCAATGAATCTCTTGAATGAAGGAAGCTTCTTGAAGGTTTCAAAGTATTCTTCTGGGATCTTGGAAGTTTTATCACTAAAATTTGTATCATGAAATACTGCCAACGGGTTTTGATAAAAGTAAATCATATAGCAAAGCTTCAATTCTTGGACAAATGTATCAACAGAATTATCTGCATTGGACATACGATCGTATAGAATAGCAGTGAGTTGTGGATCCAACATAAGTGGGCTCAAAGAATCATGTTGATGGTTCCTTAAAAAAAGATTGTTAGCAATGGTGAAAATAACCTTTTGGTTATCATTTGTCTTGAACTTAGCTCCATGAATAATTGTACGCGTTTGGTTATCAAGAGTAGAATTGATCCATTGGGAAATGTTTGAAGATGAAACACCTAAAAGTAATCTAATATGAGGTATACGGTCAAGGTATGAGTATAGCAATTTGATCATTTGATGAAGTACTTGTGAAATCATGGAATCTGTATCTTGAATCACAACCACTAATTTAACATGAGGCTGCCCTCTCAAATATTCTTCCACATTATCAAAATCATAGTTAACTCTTCCGTTCCCCTTTGAAGATTCTTCTTCGTCATCATCATCGACAGCATCTTCTTCGTCAACCTGATCCAATTGTTCAAGAACATCTGTTGTACTACTTTTAAAAAACTGCAGAACCACTTCTCTTAATGCTGACTTAATATTCTGACAACTCTTTGCTTCTATTTGAATTATTCGAACTATATCTTTTGTTTCTGCTGCTTTGCACTTGCAAAAACTTCTAAATTCTGATAACACTCGAATATTGTTTGCTGTATTTGAGCCTAGCAGTAGGAAACCCACATTTAGTTTTTCACTGCCAATGTTTTCAGAAGTGGTAATGTATTCGTACAACCGGTTATAGACATATGTATTGGTATCATTTAAGTTACTAGTGATAGTTGCAGATTGATTCCTCCATATCTCCTCAAACAACTTCTGTCTAATCTTAACGTTCTCAAGAGGTTCCTTCCCTCGAAACAAACGAGGGAAATATGACGAAGATGAAGATATCAGTTCTTCAATGCCATTGTTGGAATCAGATCCATAGAATGTTGAATTGAAAAACCCAAAATCTGCTTTATTTTGTCTCCTTTTCTTTGAATCTCGCTCTAAAAAGTAATGAGTCTTTTGGGTATCATGGTTTAGCAGCTCCAGAGATGTTGGATCTCTCAGTCTTTTGGGCATTTGAATGTTCAGGGATAGACAATCGATTACTTCAAGGTATCAATAGGACTGGTGAATATTTTGTTCCTATTGTGCAAGATCTTTGACATTTGTGACTTTAATTTCCTATTGAAGTAATTAGTGACTTTTAAAGAAGCATGAAGGTAAGAGAGTTTTATATAATCTGCCAACGTGGGTGCACCCCGTCATTCCCGTCGTCCGACTATCTGAGGTGTATTGGTGGTATAAACTACTTCCCAGTAGATAAGGTTTTTTGTGACATGATTATTTTTCAGTAGAGCATTTACTTACAGACTTTCGTCAGTTGCTGGTCAGAGACTCATAAAACCGACGGAAACAGTTTAATCATTTGACACATATGGCTTAAAATGACCATTCCCAATTGGCATTGAAGGTTTTGACTAACGTTGCTATTGCTTTAAATGAACTTGAAACCACAACGGAAGCAATAAAGTTGATTCAAGGCATTCGCTATCATGTTAATGTCAGCTGATCGCAACATGGCATTGTCCAGGTTTGCAAGTGTATGGTTGGAATTCAAGTATGTACCTTGGTCTACTATAGCGACGAAACATTGATTTCCCTAACCACGAATCAAAGGCATTACATTCTCATTTCCCCGGAAAAAAGAGCCAGTTTTACTTGACCTTTCTAAGTTTCAAGTGCCAATATCGCTTCAAGTCTACTCTATTCTAACGGTGAATCTTCTACGTAGCTCGTTAGGGTTAGTTTTATCGTTGCTGTAGCAGTTTGCGATTTTTATGTTGAAACTGTCATTCACACTTGAGGACGTATTAGAGTTGAATTACTGGAGTAACCTAAATTGGATTGGCGGGTACTGCATTGGCAATTGATTGAATCCTGTTCGATTATTGTTGATACACATACATATATATCTATAGCAAGGAAACTTTAAGGTTGGTGGTGCACTCCAGTTAAAATTGTCTAAATAAATGGATTGCGCAGTAGCAAACAAGATTCCCCAATTAGGTCAATCAGGTCCATTTACGATGTTAACTTGCACCTAACCACAACCTGCAGCTGTGCTTTCTGTAAAGAGGAAAATGTCATAGAGGACAACAATACCCACACCCTTCTGATTCAAATATAAACATATGTGGGATTTTTTAGAACACCTGATGAGAACAAAGAGACCATTATTGGATTCACGATGTCTTGTTGTAGTAATAGAATTAGTGCCCTGAATACCTCCGTGAAATGCTCGGTAAATCATAAGTCACACCCCCTCCCCCCGTCCTTCCCACACACACACACACACTTAACATTCTTGCGGGATTCCTCCCCTTAAACTCGTCTGTCTAAGTCTATGCCACTTGACGTTGCTATATCTTAGGATTATTGTTAGCTCTCTCCGCTGTGCATTGTTGCCCGCACAAAAATGCAACTTATTACGTTCAACCCCACTATTACATCGTGCACGGATACAGAACTTTGTAACCCCTTCTCATCATCCCCTAAGCCAATAACATAAATATCCAATCATATAGCCATAGCACCAAACCAATTAGTGATAACATCTTGGTGAAGTTGTTGAGCTGAAACAATAGCTTGCTATTGATTATAAAAGTCACTTATTTCCCTCTGCTTAGAAGCCTTGTCTCTATTGTCGTCACTCTTGATTTGTTTTATTTATTCATAGTTGGTCTCCCGTTTTATCGTTACCCTATTAATGGACAAGGCCTCGAATTAACTATTCAATGGTGGAAAAAAACGTTGATTCCGACTCCACCCACGTTGAGTTCACTGCGTCAAAGTCTTCCGATTCTGCTGGTTCAGGTCTAGAGTCGACAGCACCAGCAGAAGAATTTCCATCAATAGTTGTCAATAAGAATTCCACTAATGGAACTGATGTTACAACGCGTATAACTACGAAAGAAGAAGAAGACATTCACTCATCTGGTTCTGTTAAATTGTCCAATTCTGCAGCCACAGATGGATCATCTAAACCATTAAAGAAGGCCCCTCCAGAGGCTACACAAGAGGTCTCGGTTAAGGCTAAAACTAAACAGCAAAAGAAGGATCTGCATCTTTGTTTGAATATTGCACCTCTTAATACTCCCCTTCAAAATAGACTAGAGACTTTTGCAGTGATGTGGCACTGTGTATCTATTCCGTCCTTCATAATTTTGTTCTTAATCTTATTATGGCTCGGATGGGTGGTTTGGCTAGGAGTTATAATACCATATTATATATGGTGGTATGGGTTTGATTTGCATACCCCTACTAATGGTAAAGTAGTATATCGTACAAGAGACTGGATGAGAAATCTTATAATATGGAAGTGGTTTATTGATTACTTTCCCATCAGAGTAATGAAAACTGTTGACTTGGAACCAACGTTTTCAAACGTACTTGTTCAAGATGATGATTTGCCGGACGATGAAGAAGATTTGGTAAGTGAATTCCTGACTACAATTATTGATCGTTTATTTATGAAGTTGGGTTTGCATAAAAGACTTAACCTTCTGGATAGAAGACGTTCAAGTGTATCCTTGTCTTCCTCTTCCAATAAAATATATAAGAGGGTAACCACGGGACCAAGGTATATTTTTTGTTATCATCCACATGGTGTCATTTCAATGGGTGTCATGGGTATGTTTGCCACAAATGCAGTACGGAACGAGCCATTTCAACCACCAGCAAGGTTTCTAAAGCCATTATTTCATGATCCTTCCAAGTATAAACGTTTATTCCCGGGAATTGGACAAGTTTTCCCATTAACTCTCACAACCCAGTTTACATTGCCATTTTATCGGGATTATTTATTGAGTTTGGGGTTAACCTCGGCCTCGGCTAATAATATTAAATCATTGATTAACAATGGTGATAACTCCGTCTGTCTAGTTGTAGGTGGTGCTAAAGAATCATTGTTAAACAATATGGTTGCTCCGAAGTATCGTATTGGTAAAGGTTATAAAGGTGGGATAGATAGTTCTACTGAATCTAAGGACAATAAAAAGAAATCAGAAATCAAGTTGGTACTTCAAAAGAGGAAGGGGTTTGTTAAGTTGGCAATTGAACTTGGAAACGTTGCATTAGTTCCTGTTTTTGCATTTGGTGAAGCTGATATTTACAAATTGAACACTCCAAAGCCTGGATCTTTTGGCTATTGGTTACAACAATGGATTAAGGACAAGTTTCTGTTTACCATACCATTTTTCAGTGCTCGTGGAGTTTTCATTTACGATTTTGGCTTATTACCTTATAGAAACCCAATTAATGTTGTTATGGGTAGACCCATATATGTTCCTGAAGGGATTCTAAGTGATTACAAAAGAAACCATCCAGAATTTTTTAAAGAAGATGTTGTTACTACTCTTGGTAACAATAAAACAGAACTGAGTGGTTTTACACGAAAGAGTTCATTTAGTAATTTACTTAGCAGAGCGACTTCCAGCATTCAAAAATCAGATTCCACTGGATCCTCGAAATCTGCATTGAAGGGTAATGAGACCCCAACCACAACGTACTCAAGGGGTAATAAAAATTTGAAGACAAAGATCCCTATAGAATTAGTTGATCATTATCATCACCTTTACGTTGAGGAATTGAAACGGGTTTATGAGGAAAACAAGTTCAAATATGGATATGGAGACGTTGAATTGAACATTATTGATTAATGCATTCATTTTATTTTATTCTTTTGCATTCCCTCACCTTTTTGGGATATTTCTTTCTATATACAAATGTTTATTTATGTGCTATTTAAACTTAGCGTATGCCATTATTATTATCATTAAAAAGTTTTGGTATCACTTAAATTTGGTAGCGATATCGTCAATATCTTCGTCATCAATAGTTATCTTCTGTTCAAGCTTACCTTCATCCTTCAATTTCTTATACCTCTTCATCAATTTTCTGTCTAACTTCTTCCTTCCACCTGACGCTCCTTCTGGGGCACTCTTTCTAAATAAACTGTTGTTTGACTTTTGGAGTTCAACTTGAAATTCTTTGAATTCTTTTCTATTTATCTCTGCAACGTTGGCCTTCTCTTTTGACTCCTTTACCTTTTCAGATTCCCATTTTTTGAACCCGTGGATCTCCTTTTCGAAAGGAGGTACCCCAAATGATTTCTCACTAGGGATCAATCTCCACAAGTATTCGTCATCAATATCATCTAGCCCAGAGTTAAGGTTTAACATACCACTCAAAGATCTCTTCAAAATATGTTCAGGAAGAGGTTGAAAGGAGTTAGAGTCTTGGTCGTAATACAACTTGATAAATTTAAGAGCTCTAGTGGCATTATCTTGTTGAGTTTCTGGATCTTCCTCATCAACTGAAGAAAGTGCAAAGTCATCTAATTGTTCAACTACTGCCTTATCTCTACCTGTGATGTCTTCTGCAATCAGTGATTTCATATATTGCTTCGGTATTTCAAAATCAACATAAAAATCTGGATTTTTGGTCTTTTTTATTTCACTAGGTAAAATTGGGAGTCCTGAAGTTGAAGATCCCTCCTTGTCTTGATTACTCTTATTAGAATCCAAAAGTATTCTTCCATATAACTCATCCAATGATAAATCAAATAACTCTTTGGGTGCTTGTGGGAATTTGGAGAAGGGAATAAAAGATGGCAGAGTTTTCTTCAACTTCTTATCGTCTTTAGCTTTACTGTTCCGTCTTGATCTTGTGGTTCTGGAGGTGTCCTCATCTTTACCCTTCAAGATGCTCGTTCCAGGGGAAATGTCCCTGGCCGCATTCAAGGCACCTAACCTTCTTTTGCTCTTTGGAACAGACAAGGGCAACCCTGTTACTGACTCAGGCTCCTTGGGAGGTTTGGAGGAGTAAAGACGAACGTACAGACGTAATGTTGTCTGAGTGAACTGCTGCGTACACCGTCTAAGCATTTTTCTCAGATAAAGTCGAAACGTTAGGAGTGTGGAAGTATTGATTGTAGCTGTTAATTAGTAGCACCAAGGTAGTAACTACTCTTTATTGTTAAAGTAAGATGATTGAGTGGCACTGAGAGTATTGAACTATTCGTGTCCTGGATAATAGTGTAAGGCTTAGTTGGTAGCATCAAATGTATGAGCTTCTTTTGAGTCATCTGGGGTTAAACTCATAGTAGAAAACTAACTCTGGCACACAACAAAGCCGCCCCTTTGGACTGACGTTATTAAACTAAAACCATCGTACTGGTAATAAATGCGATCGTATTGACTCGCGTTAGGGTCCAATTCTTTGTAATAACGTAATCGTGCTTGGCTCACATGCCCGGGACTTTGGCCAGGGGCTTGCTTAACTCCCGGTGGGCACACCAATTAAGTACTATCGCCGCCGCGAAGTATGCCCATCAAATAAATAAACGTGCTAAAGAAAAAAAAATCCTATTGCCAAACTCTTTCACTTCTGTTGTTAGTCTTTTGAATAGGCAAGGTAGGATCTCCAGTAATTTGAAGTTTTGAGTGAATTTGCTTATCTCAAGTCCAATTGATAGAAAGCTTTTTGTATAATTAAGTTTCTCCATCCCGTTCCTCCTAGATATCTTAGAAGAATCATGTCCGCTCACAGAGATAAGGTTGACGTTAAGTCGTTGCCCCATGAGTTTAAGGAACCAGTTCAATTAGCCATTATTGGAGGCACTGGTTTGTATGATTTACCAAACTTACATCCGGTTGCTAGATTAACAGTATCTACCCCTTGGGGATTCCCATCCGGTCCCATCACCATCGCTCGTACTGAAGATGGCTTCCCAGTTGCATTCTTGCCTAGACATGGTTTACACCACGATTTATTACCAACTGATGTTCCTTCTAGGGCTAACATTGCTGCTTTGAAGAGTTTGGGTGTTAAGGCTATCATTGCCTTCAGTGCTGTTGGTTCGTTGCAACCTGAAATCAGGCCAAGGGACTTCGTCTTACCAACACAAATCATTGACCGTACTAAAGGTATTAGGCCTTCGACTTTCTTTGAAAAGGGATTTGTTGCTCATGCTATGTTTGGTGAACCATTTGACCTCAAATTGAACAAGTTGATAAGTGAAGCTGTTCCTTCATCAGGTTTCTTGGAACAATTCGACAGTAAGTACGTGCCTCAATTGCACACCAAGCACACTACCAATGGTGGTGAAGATTTGACTGTTGTTTGTATGGAAGGCCCTGCCTTTTCAACTAGAGCTGAATCTAAATTGTACCGTACCTGGGGTGGTTCAGTTATTAACATGTCTGTTTTACCTGAAGCTAAGTTAGCTAGAGAAGCTGAGATTGCTTACCAAATGATTTGTATGTCTACTGACTACGACTCTTGGAATGAAAGTGAAGAGCCTGTTACTGTTGAAACAGTTGTAGGTAACTTAAAGGCTAACTCCGCTAATGCTTGTAAATTGGCAGCTACTTTGGTTGATGCGGTTGCTCATGCTTTCGAAACTGGTGTCGGTATTGGAGACGACTTGTCAGGTTCCATGAAGTTTGCTGTTTCCACTTCACCTGACGGAGTTAAGAAGGAATTGTTGGAAAAGATGCACTTTTTGTTCCCAGGTTATTGGCCCCTTCATTGAATCCGAGATGACGCCGTCCAAATGTTCCCCATGATTTGATATTCCCGATAAGGGTCATACAAAGACACTAAATAGTTGTCTCATTCAATTATATATTTGAATGTCTTTCGAACGCCTTATACTAGAGATTAATAAGTTTTAGATTATCGCATCCAGCTTTCACACATCATATATCGCAATAATATTATCCCCAATTGACTCTTACAGATTTTATGTCGCAAGAGGTCCACTATTGATTATCAAATGTTTCAACACGGAACAGAGGTAGCAATCTGAGAGAATAAAATACTTGAAGATTAATTCACTAAACTCTGCTATTATTGAACAGGTGTCAGCTTTACGGTTATATTATCCTTAATATTATCAAATTGATTTCCACAATAAGGAAAGTTATGCTGAGAGTTGGCGTATAGGTCTCTCATATTGGCTTAACTCTTACGTATTTTCTCCGTGGTAATTCTATTGCAATCGGCTTCCAAGCTCTCTTAAAATGGTTTTGGTATCATAGCTTGAAGTAGTCTTGCTATATGCATTGAGCTCTTATCTTTAATTTCAATCTGTCTCCCTACTTCACCTTGATTGGCTGCAATTACGATATAAGAATATTTTAATGTCTTTTTCCTTAACAGCTCATTGGTGCAATATTTGAAAGCTTTAATGGACCTCTTTTCTCCCTTTAATAATCAATTGTTTGCACTTTTTTTTTGGTCATAATCTTTCAATATGTACGCCTAACTCCGTTTACTTTGAATGCTCAAGCGAAATATGCTGAAAGTATTTCCAAAAACAATTGCTTGGTAAACACCGTTATGACCTTTAAGGAAGTACCATAACAAAGCGTTCTAAATTTCACTGGTATAAACACAAACCCGAGAAAGGTCTCGTGAACCTTTCATTACTACTTGACATGCCAACAATTGTATTCTATCCAGGCTCATGACCCTGAGCTTCAATTAGGCCGCATATCTTTAGCGTTAGAGATGGTCGATCTATTTGATGCGGGTTCGACAGCAAGAACATTTCCCTCAAGGGCCTAGCTCTCTGTTGAAAATCACGCCCTTAGTGTGAGAGTGATTAAACCCTGAAGGTTGATGTAATGTCTTTCTTTCAGATAAAAGTTAACAGACTTCGGAGGTTCAGCAACTTTTGAAAGCGTCGCCATCTCTACGAGAGCTTTTTATTATCTCTTCTGGTTGAAATCTGTTTCAGTATATTAACTTTCGTCATTCCCAACAGCCACCTTACTGATGAATCCTAGTTACTAAAATCCCTACAGACATAAACTTGTGATACAGGGGACTTAGAGTCTATTCCTTTCATTAGTTTAAGAGGTATCAATTCAAAAACTAATAGTACAACAGCGGTTGAAGCGCAAACCAAGATATGTGTTCCACGGAATAAGAGAATACTTTTTCCGCTCTATGCAAGTACCTATGGGCTTAACAATAAGCTTCATTTCTCGTACCAAGAAATCTCTTTCCTATAAAATGAAGCCAGCTCAGGTACGAATTTGTCATGTTGAACTTATACGGCACTGAATATCTCAAGTAGAGTTCGCCAGTTGTGGTAAATCTTAAAAAAAAAATGTTAATGTAGACATTAACTCCTGTGAAAAGTACACACTGATTGTACTATTGTTCGTAGCATTAGCTGGTAGATGGACTCTCTTGGTAGCAGGCTTTTCCAAATCAACAACGTCTTATCTTACGAAGTAGTAACGTAATAGGGGTTGACAGATAAGGTTAACGAAGGATGTAGCTGTAGTATTGTCTACAGATTTCTTATACACAGTGCTGACACGTTTGAATCGCCTCTCATCAACAGATAACGAATTTCATAAAATATTATTTAAGGGCTGACATCATAAGCATGCTTATGAGCCGATGCTTGTTGATTATGGTACGGCACCCGAGAATGTTGTGGTATAGTTTCTTCGCACATACCCAATTCTCGATCAATTACGAATGGTATCTCATTGTTACTGATGGTTGTATCTTGGCTAATACCTCAATCTTCTCACTGAATCAGTAGAGGCTATATAGTATATTGATCAACGGTGTTTGATTGATGTTGCATCAACCTAAAGAATCTACGCCATTTAAGTTTTGGTAATTGGTTGCAAGAAGGCGGTGCTAGTAAGAGTGTTTTGTGTAAAACAAACGTATGTTCCGTAGAGGAATACTATGGAGAAGCCACTTAGTAGAGAGTGAATGTTCTAATCAGCATATCTATGAATACACAAGGTACTTTTTATTTTTTCTTTATGATTTCTCTTAACCAGTGACATCAGTGAAGGTGTATTGATAACTATTGTTGGAGCCGAGCAATCACCGAATTATCGTGTGCGTTGCAAGGTTCGCCCCCGGAATATTTGGAATATTTTCCGCACGGTTGGGTCAACATTCTATGCATTGTAACCTCGTCACGTCAAATCAGAGAACAGAAATAATAAAAAGTAGACAGATCGTTAGAATGAGGGATCAAGAGGAGAGAAGCCGGAGTCATATAACTCGTTCACCATTCGTGATATACTTACGAAATGATTATCGAGACAAAGAGGGTAACTGAGTGCGAGCTGTAATCCCTTGGACAATAACTCACATGGTGCTTTGTGAAGAGTGTAGAGAACGAAGACTATTTGAAGCAGTTATTCGGCTCCACTTTCAAGCCCGTTTCGGTGAATGGCACCAAAGTTAGATCTCCATCATCACCGCAAGGTGCTTTAGTTAACCTCGCAAGTCTTGAACTACGGCTTTTTTCGGTTAGGTGATCTCCCCATGGTATTGGCAGGAGGCTTAAGTGCCGCACCATTGTTTAGTCAATTGTTAAATCTAATGAAATTCCGGAGTGTGCAGGCTTTAGTTGCATTTTTATCGGCTTCTTATTTCTTAAAGGTACAAAAAAAACTGTGCCTTTCGTGTTAATGAAAAAAAAAGCTCAAGGAATTTAGCCCTTGATTACGAAATTGTTGTTAAAATGATGCCGTTGCAATCGTAAGGCATTTGTAGGATGGGGTAGGGAGATTTATGATGTAGCACAGATATATCATTAGCTTGAGGTTGGATCCCCATATTAATGCCGTTCTCATTTGGGTTAGATTTACATTGTCACTTTTTTGAACTCCTTTATCAGTTATGTTTTATAGGTGAACTTAAAAACATTGCCTACCTGGGATAACGATTTCCGGATTTCCTTTGTATACAGCTGATAAGAGGCTTCAAATAAAAAAATAACTCCGATAATCCTTTTTCCATTAAGCCTACTGTTATACTCAGTACTAATGTAATATATAAAGACAAAACTTCCTATCTCGAGTTACATTTTGACTTTTATTATACCGTTTATCAAATAGGCTTGACAAATTAAACATGTCTGAGGTAGAGAAAGAAAAGCAAGAGAACGTTGTCTCTGGCCAAGCTGTCGAGTCACTTTATGTTTCCGTTTCTGGGTCATCTCATTCAAGTCATGATGACGGCAGGGAACCAACCGAGGAAGAACTCGCAACCTTAAGAAGGGTTAGTGAAAAGATTCCTATCAGTTGTTGGTTAGTTGCTATTGTCGAATTGGCCGAAAGATTTACTTACTATGGTTTATCTGCTCCATTTCAAAACTATATGCAAAATGCTCCCGGTGATACTCCACCAGGTGTTTTAAACTTGAAGAATCAAGGTGCTACAGCTTTGTCTTACTTTTTCCAATTCTGGTGTTACGTAACTCCAATTTTGGGTGCTTATATTGCTGATACTTTCTGGGGTAAATACAAGACTATCTTCGTCTTCTGTATTATTTACATGCTTGGTGTTTTTGTTTTATTTATCACTTCTGTCCCTTCAATCACCAGTCATTCTACTGCTTTGGGAGGTTACGTCGTAGGTATTATCATTATTGGTATTGGTACTGGTGGTGTTAAGTCCAATGTAGCACCTTTGATTGCTGATCAAGTCCAAAAGACTAGTCCTGTTATTAAGGTTTTAAAGTCAGGTGAAAGAGTCATTCAAGATCCTAACGTTACCATTCAAAATGTTTTCATGTTCTTCTATTTGATGATTAATATTGGTTCCTTGTCTGTTATTGCTACCACTGAGTTGGAAAAACATGTCGGTTTCTGGGCTTCCTTCCTCTTACCTTTCTGTTTTTTCTTTATTGCTATTGGTGCCTTGGTTTTGGGTAGAAACCAGTACGTTAAAGTGCCTGTCAGTGATAAGATCATTTCCAACTGTTTCAAGTGCACCTTTGTTGCCATTAAGAATAAGTTCAACTTGGATGCTGCTAAACCATCTTTAAACCCCAATCAACAATTCCCCTGGGATGACAGATTTGTTGATGAAGTCAAGAGAGCTCTCTACGCTTGTAAGGTTTTCTTGTTCTACCCTATCTACTGGGTTGTCTACGGTCAAATGTTGAACAACTTTGTTTCTCAAGCTGGTCAAATGGAAACTCATGGATTACCCAACGATATCTTGCAAGCAATTGATTCCATTGCCATTATTCTCTTCATTCCAATTTGTGAACGCTTCATTTACCCTTTCATTAGAAAATTCACGCCTTTCAGAGCCATTACCAAGATCTCTTGGGGTTTCATGTTTGGCGCAGCAGCTATGGCCTACGCTGCTGTTTTGCAACATTTCATTTACAAAGCTGGTCCTTGTTATGACCATCCATTAGCATGTGATCCCAAATATAAGAACACACCAAACCGTATACACATTGCTTGGCAAGTTCCAGCTTATTGCTTTATTGCCATTTCTGAAATTTTGGCTTCCATTACCGGTTTGGAATACGCTTACACTAAGGCTCCTGTTAGAATGAAGTCTTTCATTATGGCTTTATTCTTGCTCATGACTGCCTTTGGTTCTGCTTTAGGTATAGCCATGTCTTCCACTAGTGTTGATCCTAAATTGGTTTGGACTTACACAGGTTTGGGTGTATCTTGTTTCATTGCTGGTGTTTTGTTCTGGTTCACATTCAAGCACTACAATTATAAGGAAGATGATTTGAATGCTTTGGATTACCAAAAAGATTCACTTGTGACTGAAGCCTCTATCATTGATGAAGAGGCTCTTAAGCGTTAAGAGTGTTCATTAACTTTTTACTTCTTTTTTACATATGATTTACGATTGTATAGTAGATTTTAATAAACTTTGTGAAATACTTTGAGTCCCAAATTAAAATCAAAAATGTCTATGCTCATTTTTGCACCCATGGAGCACTTCCTTAAAGAAAGTTAGTAATGGACCCAACAAATGAACGACTTAGTTCAATAATATTTTGCTCTAACATATTTTTTTATACTATGACCAAAAGGAGTGAAACCTAAAATGGTACTCTGATGTACTATATTTTGTATGCCAACTTTTTATCAGCTCAATTATAGGATCAGATTTTAATCAAAGTGTTACCCGCACTTCAGATGGAGAAATAAAAGGAAATTTTGCACTCAATACATAAAATTTTTACAAACTCTTTCTTCTTTAAAGATTTGTGGATCAAGTGATCCATTTCATTACAACAACAGTATGTTATCAGAAACTACTATGTGTATCGTATATTATGATGAGAAGAGATTATACACAGACCTGTACTGAACTACAATGTGGATAAACTAATTATTGCCTTTTTTTGCTGACTATTATACGATTACCATGTACAATCTCATATTATTTGAGCATTATACTAACTATTTGAAACAGAAGAGGGAATAGTCATTTCGATATAAATTGTATTACTTGTAAGCGTAGAATGTGTTGGAGCACATGAACTCCTTTGGTACATCCATTGTGGTTATGGAATCTGAAGGTGACTTTCGCACCGGGACAACCTCGATTGAGGTTCGTAAAAGTCGCTTTGAACGTAAGTTCAATCTTTTTCAAGTTAAACTCAAGTAAAAGTATTGGACTCACCAATCCTAAGCAAGAGACTAAGCAAAATTTTATATGTCCTACGTAAGCCATTACTCAATCATTATGAAGCAGTTATTTATATTACTGTAAAATATACAAAGAGATTATAATTTTTCAAGACTAAACAAGTGAAACCTATTACAGATGAAACCAATAACATCCCATTGCTTATTTCTTGTGGGAGAATCTTCTCAAGTAGAAAGCCAATTCTTCACCTTCCAAGATGTAACCGTCACATCTACCGGATTGACCAGGTCTGGAAGAGATAACAGCGTACAACTTACCAGAACCGAATTGAGAATCCAAACCGGATTCAACAACAGCAGCAGAAGCTCTACCAGCCAACTTTCTTTGAAGCTTTCTGGACTTTGGAGCTGGTTCTTCTTCGGAAGCCTTCTTCTTACCCAAAGATTGACCGTAGTGGGTTTCGTAAAATTGTCTGAAAGGAGTGGCATCGATTTGGACAACAGCGGCCTTGGTCAAAGTATTAGTTCTAACCAATTCGTTGTTAGAAGGGTGGTAGACAACATTGGCAATTCTTGTCTTACGAGATACACCTTCGGAACCCCATGAGAAGTTACCGGTTTCAATTCTCAAAGCTCTGAATTTTAAGTTACCACCTCTGGTTCTGACAGTGTGGATTCTCTTAGCACCAATCTTGGTGTTGGCAGATTGACGACCTAACTCAAACTTTCTCTTCTTTCTGAATTGGGCTCTCTTGGCACCAGTAGCAGAACGCTTGTGACGAGAATCTCTAGAAATACCCATGGTTCCTATTAATATTAGTTAGTATAACTGGTCGCCAAAACTCAAATAAAGGTAAAAAGATAGCACGATTAGGACTCAAGACTTTTGAGTGAAAACTTTTTTTGCTAGAGTGGGAAAAAGAATGCCTGATATGCGATGACTTCCAACAACTCAAGTAAAGGATATCAAATAACAAGTCAACATCTGTTGACAGAATATTAATTGACTTATCATACGTTTACTCCATTCTTAAAAAGTGTTCTGTAAAAAATCGAAAGCAATACACATTCAATTCATTAAACATTTCATAGGGAGATTAAACACTTTGACTAGTCACTCTTATTCCACCACACAAGCAGTTACTCATATAGTCTTGAGGATCATTTGCTCTATCTATTCAGATGGCACATACACTTTAGGATTGCTGAAGTTCTAAACTAATACAAGAAGGATAGAAGAAAGGATTCAAAAAAAGACAAAAAAAATTCACCTATGATTCCCACCAAGTGAAAATTTTGGACAAGCGTGCACGAGAAGAGACTGCTAGTGCGACTGGCTATTGTTAGGGAAACTTTGTATGAAGAAAAATTTTCTTTGCAGTTCGCGCATAATTAGGGTACGAAACCCTATGGGAGTACTTTTTAAAAGACACGTGATATGTACTAAGATTCGATATTTTACACGCAGTCACTTCTGGAAATTGGAGAGAACACAATATGGAGGTATAGGCACATGACTACAAGATCTAGTTGTTATTTTATTGTTAATCGTTTACGTCAGCTTTTGACTATGTTGTTGTTACTGATGACCTAGACAGATACTGAAAATTAGTGATGATGGCGATGACTTGTTAATATACCCCCAAACAAACTATAATAAGAAGTAGCACGTATGAGTGAGAGCATATATGATGAAATAGAGATCGATGACTTCACCTTTGATCCTGTGACTCACTTGTTGCAATATCCTTGTCCATGTGGAGACAAGTTTGCGATTGCTTTAGAAGACTTGGAAGATGGTGAAGATATTGCTGTTTGCCCCAGTTGTTCCTTGATGGTTCGGGTTATTTTTGATGAGGATGATTTGGAGCAATTCAAAGAGCAATTGGAATGATTAAAAATTGAAAGCACTCGTTGATAGATTCAGTCGAAGAACACACCTTTGTAATATAGTGTACTTTAATAATTTTGGGAAACACAGATGGCGTATCAAAAACTGCAGCCTCAAATAGTTGGGAATACAAAATAATACGATACAAGGCATGGGGATACCAGCTAGACACGGAATGCTACTGGTAAATATATAGATTAAAAGATTAGCTTACTTTTTTTTTGGTAAACCATAACTGTAGTAGACGTATAAAACTCATCAGATTTATAATTTAAATCTTAGGTTTTGTCGTCAAATAACATTTACTACACTGTAATATTAGACAATTAACAAACCAGATCAACGTTTTGAAAAAAGCTAACTTGTTCGTAAAGCTTGAAGCAAGTACTATGTATATATCTTCGGTGGTTAAAAGTTCTGCCTAAGTTCTGCCCTACCTATTTGATACAATGTCAGTCTTTAAGACTATACTTTTTAAATGAAATTTGAGTGCATTGTATGGTATAGGAAAACTGATGAGTACTTTACAATGATTAGGCGAAAGTTGTTCTCTCTAAAGCGGATTTCACTTCATTAGCTGTCGCCCTTGTATGCCGTATTTATTCATCGGACAGACAGGTATACTTTCAAGCCTGTTTATTATATTTATTCCATTCAATGACAGCACTTACAAGTTCGTGAATCGCATTTATACGTCCTGTTCCACAGTATGATTTATGATAGTGCAATTCCAGTACGACACGTGATTGAAATGACATAGACCATAAAAATGATCTGAGTGTGAGAAGAATACTCCCGGAACGGCCGATAAGCCATGGATAGAAGGGTTTGGTAACTAAAAAGCCTTCGGCAACTGCTGCCAGGAAAACAGGCGATGACCGAATGTAGCTAAGTGCAGGTCTAAACGCTTGAACGGCTTTTCTAGGGGCTTTGTTCAAAAGAAAGAATGGATCTAAAGGTATCATGTCACATATTAATATTATTATGACCACGTAGTCCTAGTAGCGGATTTGAAAGAATAAAAGTGTGATAGACCAAGGTAACAGAAAAAACAATTGAATGATTGGATCATCAAGTTTCAATGTTCAAGTATAGGCATCGGATCCGGCATTTTGGCTAGAATATTTCGGGCCGGTGTTTTGGTGCTAAACAATAGTAAGAACGTTCCCTAAAGAGGAATACGAGGTTAGAAACCATACAATAAATTGGCCGAGTATACATGATATGATATTTTGATTCAAAAGAAAGATGGGAAATTTTACGAAGAGTTGCAGACACCCACATTTGTTACATGGAATGGAAATAAACTAAATGCCCTTCGATTAAAGGAGTGTCTTCGAGAATAGGAACAATGTGATTCTTTTTCATTTTTCTAGGTCAAGAAAACCGATGAACTACTCTGTAGATGATTTGACGGTATGATTGATTGTGCCTTTGCCGTTTTGCTGCGACCTTATGTCAAACATGTCGGAGTAGACATTCTCAACAGCGATCTATGTACGGAATATCTCAACTAAAGCGGCAGGTAGAGGTATTAATGGGAAATGAATAATGACAATATAATCGCTATTGTTTAAGAAATTATAAAGCTAAACTTTATACGAAAACATGACGTCCTTCAGTACTCATGAAATTATGATCATTACGATCGTGAATGTAACAATAAGAATTATTATTATTATAATACTAAGCTTAATTCCTATTCCGATGGAGGACGTCTAATCACCAAAGACAAACTTATGTTTTCAAGATTTAAATATTTAATTCTCGAATTTTTAGTTAGCTCAGAATTACCCCCCAGCTAAAGGCATAGCCTGAGATCTTTCTGTTCCCCAATGACGTTTAACCTCGTCACCACTCCCAACCTTCGATTACTTTTACCTTCACTATTCGCTTTAATGCACTACTTCATGAAATGCACAACCAATGTAGAGTAGAGATGACACAAAGCAGACACGTTCCGCTCTAACCATTTGTATTGAGGAATAAGACATTTCCATGGGTTGCCTCCTTATATGTCGTAGTGCATGTAATTAGCCGTCGGTTTTCGTTGCTACTTGAGATTTAGGGCATCACCATTCATTCATTCATTCATTACATTTCTATTTTTGCTTCCTTATTGACTTCAACCAACCAACAGTAGGCTCAGGTGACTGTTGGTATTGATTGATTTTTCTACCTTTGTTTCTTTCACTTTTGATACGTGGGTCAAACTATTTTGTCCACCACTTTTAACATTGTTTTTCTGTACATCACACAGGTGACTTGGGAAAAGATCCTTTGAACTAAGGCAAATAATCTTAGCTTTTCCTATTTGTTATTTAGTATTAATTGAACTTCAGGCCCTAGTGGGTTACTTTATTGGTCAGTTTTTGATTTTATATATCGCATTTCCTACATTTATATATTTTCCATTCCTTATTCCCTTATTCCGTTTGCCTTGCCTTGCCCCCACCCCTTGCTACTGTTTGCTTTAGCTGATCCTCCCACATCTTTGACTTCATTAGACTATCACTGTTTTGCTTCCTTAACACCGTATCCCTATTCCGTTTATTTCAACAATGACAGACAGACAGTTGCCCCCAATACAACTACCTCCTCCAAACGTTTCCCAGCACCAGCCACAATCACATCTTTTAAATCAACACCGTCCCACCCATCCGTCCTTGCCTCCATCTTCCCTGCTTCTCTCCAATACATTTGGTGGTCCTTCTAATACTAGTGCCTTCCCTTCCGCCCAACCGATTACTGCTCCACTCTCTGTTCCTTATAATCCAGAACCCGCACCAATGGCTATGCCCATGTCGTCACAAATAGCACAAGCACAACCACAACCACCGGTTCCAGCTCCAGTTCCGGGATCTCAGGTTCAAGTCACATCTATGTCTACATCACCACCAACCTATAATCGAAATAATAACGGTAATGCCAATGCTTCGCCCTCACCGAGCTCACCAAATGGAAACCAATACGACAAACCTCTGTCCAGAAGAGGGCCTTGGTCCCCTGACGAGGATAAGAAACTCATGGAACTTATATCGATTTATGGTCCATCAAATTGGGTGAAAATCTCTAAATCACTTATGACTCGGAGTCCCAAACAATGCCGTGAGAGATACCACCAGAATCTCAAGCCTTCGTTGAACAGAACACCCATAACTTTAGAAGAAGGTGAATTGATTGAAAAGTATGTTGGCAAATACGGCAAAAAGTGGGCAGAAATCTCTCGACATTTAAATGGACGTAGTGATAATGCCATTAAGAATTGGTGGAATGGAGGAGCTAACAGAAGAAGAAGATCACATCACAAAGATGACTTTATAGAAAAGAAAAATAATTCTCATAATAGCCTAGTGGATTTAAATAAAACGGCATTAATTAATTCATCACAAACGGCTGCCGCTTCTGCTGCAGCTTCTGGTTCTGGTTCTGCAACAACAATGGGGACGACTACTACAGGAGGAAGTGTTCTTCCAACACCTTCGACATCGACATCAACAGCAACGTCATCCTCATCAGCAAGATCGAGTATTTCAGCTAATTCCTCAAATGGCACTTCAGCTTCTGCCTTATCTACGGGTCGTGCAGGCTTTGAATTCTCCAGACATTCACTGGTTTCTCATCATGCAAACACACCACAAACTTTAAATACTTCTAATGGAGTTCCAGGGATTCCGGTAATGACCCCATTATTCCCTATGGGTGGTAACGGAGCTAATGGAGCTACTGGAGCTACTGGTGTTGGGGGAGTCAATCGCATTTCATTTAACACATCGATGTTTTCTAATGATCCCAACCAAAATGCGTCCATGCAAGATTCCACTCAACTTTCATCAACTGCCCCTGACTTTAGATTTGGTCGTTCTGCCAGTTTGGATCATCCACATGCCCCACATATCAGTCTTCCTCCATTGAACCCAAAAAGACGACTTTTGGATGAACAAAGAAGACATTCGGCAGCAGCCGCAGCCGCAGCCGGTTCTTCTCAGAATCCAATCTATTTATCGAATTCAAACTACTCGCATCCTAATTTGGCCAATCATCCTGGAAATTCCTTTTTTATAACCCCAATCACCAGTAATCAACCCGCTGGCGGGCCTGGTAGTAATTGCAATGGTTCACCATCATGCTATGGATCACCACTACTACTTTCAACAGCTAATTCAAGAAATAACTCGTTTTCCATCCATTTTGATTTGAATTCCTCCAGCCATTCGCTGAGACGTTCCTCCATAATTCCGCCCACTGAGTTTTATCATAAACGTAACTTGAGTTCCAATAGCATACAATATGCCCCTCTCAATTCTCCCAAGCAAACGCCCGCACGACTCAACAGCCGTATAATTGGCGAGACTTTGAGAAACGAGGACGGGGCAGACAAGACAAAGATCAGTGTAAGCAGCTTGATCGATTAATGGACGTTCTATTTGTTGTGTATTTTATGTACGGTAACTAATGTAAAATAACATTTCACAAGCAGCAGCAGCAGCAGCAGCAGTGGCTGTGGCGGCGGCGACAGTAGCCACAATAGTAGCGGCATGGCTAATAGCAGCTGCATTAAAGTAAAGGGCATTAGATTTGTTTCGGTACGAAAATTTCAAATCGCACTCTACTCTACTCTTCTCTCTTTTGCTTCATCGCCTGCTCATGTCCTCGGGACTATGTTGACTCTTCATTTGGTCAATGATCAGGTAGTTGTTCAGGATGTGGCTCAGATTAAGAGGTTGCGAGAGTTGGGGATCTGTGGTCTATTGATAGGCACTCTTGCAAAGTATCCTCAACAAAACACATATCTCCTGATACCATTACTTCTTAGTCAATATGAATCCATGTGGTTATATCGGAATACGCCCTGTCAGTTAGTGACGTATCCTGTTGATTCAAGACAGAAGTTATTGGAATCAAGCAAGAGTTCGACGAGCGATGGTGAGTTCATTGTCATACCTGAGTTGGCTCAGACAGAATATATCATGAAAGATCTACCAGCACTGTGGAACTATAACGATATCCGATATAAGGTCTATAGCCAATTAAAGGAGAACGGATGGTACTTGATGTCTGGGTTCCGGTTTGGTGGACTCTTTGTAGCGTATCCTGGAGATCCACTTAGATTCCACTCCCATCTCGTTGTGCTGCCACCGACACCCGAAATCGAACTCATCTCACTAATCCGAGGCGGCAGGTTGGCTTCAGGAGTTAAGAAAGTATGGATCTTAGTAGATGCTAATGAAGATAATACTAAAGAAGATACCTGTATGTTCTCAATCGAATGGGCTGGGTTTGGTTAAACGTTGTCAGTATAACTATATCGTGTATCATAATCTATTCATATTACTTTTATATATCTATGGTTACAATTGTTTAAGCAGACGCTCAACCTCAGCAAACACATCGTGCCCAGGAATAAATATCGCAGAATCAGAAACAATCGTACCATTGACAGTCTCGACTGATCTCATGTAGTTGACGAGATCACCTTGTTTCAAGGAGTACTTCGTAGTCAAAGAACCGGTACCGTTATGGAAGTTACCCAATTCATGGCCAATGTAGAATTCAGAAGTACCGTTCTGCTGAACCTTCAAGTTGGAGATGGTGACACCATTGAGGGCGACTTCTTCCTTTTTAGCCAATGTCAAGTTGTATTGGTAAAAGGTATCTTCAGGGTACTTCAATGGATCCTCGGTTTGTTTAGAGCTCATGATCAATGGATATGACTTGTTGTAGGAGTATTCAGAAACAACCACATTCTCACCCCCCACAGTCAAGTTACTGATGATCAACGAAGCACTAGTCTTACCAATGTGGGTTAGACTCTGGTCAGCACCAAACTTGCTGTAGTGTTGCAAGTTGGTACCACCGGCAGTAGTGTTGTATTTAACACCATATACACTTGTGGAGTTGTCTTCCAAAATATACGTCAAGTTTGCACTCAAGGTGGTGTTCAAATCAGCAGTGGCTATTTGTTGCAAGGTACCAGAGAATGGAGGAGCAATACCAAACACTGAACCCTTCTTCCCTTCTAATCCAACAGCAACAACACCAGAAGCAGCAACTATACCGGTACTCTCATAAGTCAAAAGACTAGCAGACGTAATCCAGTTCAGACCAACACCACTTACAACACCAATCTTACCCAATTCACCAATGGCATTAGATACTTCAAGTTCAATGGTAACGGCATCGCCTTCCCACAATAAAGGCAACAAACCAGTAACATCAATGTCAATGGTTGGCAAATCAAAGGCATCGTTAGCAACAACCTTCAGCCATAAAGCGGGGGAAATACCTCCAGTGAACACAATTGGCTCAGGGGCTTGAGTTGCAAACTTTGCTCCGTTGACATAAGCATTGATAACTCTCAAAGGTCCATGGCCTGTGAACTCAATACCAGAAGAAAACTTGAAAATGCTGGTGAATTGGTCCAAAACATTGGTGTACCAGAATTCTTCATCCGCGTTACCACTGGTATAGATGGAGAGAATGGCTCTGGTGGTGTTAGGGTTAACAGTAGGTAACTCAAGAGCAGCCTTACCGTCTGTCAAATACTTCAATGCAGCCTTCTTCTTACCAGCACCAGTCAAGGCAGTGACGGAATCGGCAGCTCTGTTGGAGATGTCAAAGATATCATCAGATACAGATTCGGTACCATTGAAGAATTCAGCTACCAATTCAACAGTAAATTCACCAGTAAGCCTTTCAGTGAGCAAGTTATCTAATTCAAACACGACAATAGAGTGTTCTTGTGCAAACAAAGTTGCAAACTTAGAAACATCCTTCTTAATAGTGGAGTAAGCATCTCTGTTGCCTGGTTCCAAGGTAGAGGTTCTCCATATTTCCACTCCATCAACAAATAAATTGGCTAATCTATCGTATTGGACGCCTGAAGCAGAGATGTTAAGAGTCAAAACAACCTTATTGAAGTCAACTTCTGGCGCACCAATAGTTACAACGCTAGGCTTGTTGTAACTATCACCAAATGTTTCGTTAACCAAGACACTAGTAGCAACAACAGGACCATAAGAAGCAGAAGCACCTCCACCGGGATAACCGACTTGGAAAACTTCAACTGGCTCGGTAGTTTTAGAATCCACACTGACACTTACATCATCATTCCAAACATGCGCTAAGTTGAAAGCAGTAGTTGAAACGAAATTCTGAGGCAATGCCAAACTATGTTCTTCGTCAATACTTGCCTTTTGATAATGATACAAATGTCTCCCCATTATGAATGTTAAGTGAAAGATAGCATAGGCAATGAAAACAAGTTCAATTGGTCTAGACCATCTACGAGACTTGCATTTTCTAGATTCAAGATCCACCATGATCTTCTTTTCATCACATCCATCACATCCTTGTTCAAGCACATTGCCTTCACGGTACCAGCGAACGTCCTTCATGGTAATCTCTTGAGCAGGCATTGCTAATGGTATTCTCTGCTTTCCAAACTTAAGCTTATTCCACAAACAGCTTTCTCTAGCCATCTGGCATTTCATGGCGTCTTTATATACTTGTATGCTAATTCAATTGCTGCTTGAAGGGTGACCACCAGAAATGTACATCCTCATCCTTCAGGGAGGTCAAGATGGAAAATAGTCCCGCTTTTGTGCGACGGAGGTGCCCGGTCCCAATTCTCACCCCGGATATCACCCTTTATCTATCGACAAAAAAAGCTCTTTCCCAATTAGTACCCAGACCGGAAATGACCTAAGGACAAACAATCGCAGTCAACGGTGTGTGTTAAGCGGAAAATGAATAATTTTATGGGCTTATCGAGGCTTTAATCCAGGTTCCAACGGAATAACTGAATGACATGTGAAGTGACGATATGTGCTTTGCTGTTATGCAATCTGCTCTAACATCACCATGAGAAGCGGCTATACAACAACTCCTGTAAACCTGTCCTCCAATGATTGTTGCTCTTGAATGAATTGCAATGTGCGGTCAAAAAATCCTTGTATGTGATACACCAATTTGCGTTCTTCATAGTCTGCTTCATCGGGCATGGGTAAAGCTTGCTGTTTCCCATCAGTCAAGTTATCTAAATTGGTTCGCACCAAATCAATAAGACCACTGATATACTTGTCGTCAATAAGGGTGTTCCCATAGATACTAAAGATCAAGCACCGGTTGAGAATCTCAATGAATAGTTTCAATGAAAGATAAGGGTCCATACAGGAGTCAGCCACCCTAAGAGATTTTTGAAGACACTCAAGAACCCGTTTGGGGTGTCTGTACAAACCAGTTTCCTCTTCTTTTTCAGCTATGGTCTCCGATGCATCACCATTCTCTTTTTGCTCTCTATGCTGTTCTTCTTCTTCTTCTTCTTCTTCTTCTTCTTCTTCATCTTCTTTCTGTTCATCCTCTAATGGTGGAATCTTTTCATCTGTAAACATATCGCACCACCACCAAAGATGCGCACAATAATAGACTGACCTACACTGGTCTTGCTTCTTTAGTAATTTGGAGCCATAAAGGGTCAACTTGACTATTAAGCTCTCGTAGTTGTCCTTGTCGAAATACCGGGCCTGTTGAAGCTTGTTACAAATAAGAACAATAAGTCTAGAAGACGTTGAACCACCACTCATTGTATCATGAGGGTTAATGAATTGACCCACACTACCACCAGTAGAACCAACCATGTTATTCTCTTCATATATAATGAAACACTGAGTGTAAAACTCGTAACTGATGGATTCTAGCTTCAATTGATCAGCCACAGCTGCTGCATTCAAATACAACTTCAAAACCAATTCTGCACTTTCCCGATGATATTGGTATAATTCATCTATGATCATAGTTAAATTCTTGAATGCACTTGTAATTAAAAGATGATAATTTGAATTGGTTTTTGCCTTCTTCTTGCTTGAAATAAAGCCAGCGATTCTCAAGGTATTCAACAACTTGGACACAATGGTGGGGTATGTGTATATAATGTTCTCCTGACTTCTACCCAAATACTTCTTCCGTACATACATTAAATTGGATAAGGTTTTAAAATAATCTTTGTTTTCAATCAAATGAAGTATTTTGCATAAATTGGCTTGTGTATCGAGGAACTTCTGTGTAATTACCTTTTCACCAGATCCTTCCAACACAATTGTATTGGAAATATTTAAATCCTTTGAGGTTGTTAGTTTTGTCTCTGATTGTTTGATAAGAACCAATAAATACTTGAAAACAGTATCAATGTCTTCTGTGGTTCTATAACGTTCAGCTTCACCATCTAAGGTATCAAACTGATTTAAAAGCTTTTCAATTATTTTTAAAGATATCTCTTGTTGGAGCTTGGGGTCATTCAATTGTAGATAAAACTCATGAAAAAATGACAATTCCAACAATTTCTTAACTGAAGTGAAATGCTTGATTGGAACTAATAGCAAATCTAGCCAAAGACTTTTGTCTGAGTCAGAGTTTGTGAGTAAGTTTTCAGTGGCGTATTGGTAAATTCTGTCCAAGTTATTGTATCTTTCTGGGGTGAACGTTAACGTAAGTTTTATGGTACATTGCAAAATAAGTGAATGTTCGTCATCAAGCAAGCCACTTTCTCCTTCACCCAATTTCGTATAAAAGGTCCAGAATTTATCAAATAGAGAGTCATAATCGAAATCAACAACTGGTTTCGAATTATTTTTACTCTTGTCATCCGCCGCATTAGTTGTCAAATCTTCTATTGACAAATCTTCAACTTGGTCCGCAAAATCATCCACCTGAAACTTCTTGTAAGTGAGAAACCGATCGACGAGAGTGAAGACCAACTCACTTCTTCTAAGTGCTGGATTCAAGCTCAAAAACACATCATTGAGCAATGCCTCCAAAGTAGCAAAATGGAAGGGGACTGGGAATATCTGGATTAATACGTCTATCAAGTAAGTTTGCGCCAAATGGTCTCTGCATTGGATAATTTGTTCAGTTATCACTGGGAAAATATTCTCCTGATAAAATTGAACGCTTGAAAACTCTGGGTTATTATCACTATAATCATCAACAATTTGGGATAATCTAACTAAATTAGACCCCACAAGAATCTTTAATTCCTTCCGTTCAGCATATCTCAACTCCCGCTCTGAAGAATGACCCTGATGTTGTAACCTAACCCATAGCTTATTCATCTCTATGAAATTTGAAATCAAAAACTTGACCGTTTCCTTGAAATCACTCTCGCTATCCAATGGTAACAAGTCCTTAACTCTTTGAGATAAATAGTACCGTAAGAATAACCCCCTGACAGGATGTTGAACCCCACGGCACATTTCTATCATATCTTTCATTATATCCTTGGTAGGAGAATCTTCCGTGGCCATATACGTGGTTCCAATACATATCATCATATATAATCGAGGAATGATATTACCTGAATATTGCACCAATTCATACAAGTCAGATAAAAATTGAGTAGTGGGTTTCCGTTTCTGTTTGCTCTGATGAGATTGCAAAAGGTGATTGGATAAAAGCTCTAAAGAGTCAAAAACTGACATATAAAGCTCATAATAGTTCTTGGGTGATAATTGACTAGTTCTGAGCTCACTCAAGAAATTTACACTATGTTTGAACGCTTGGAGCAAATCATTGGAATTGAGACATTGTTTCATCAAATTGGATTGTTGGCTGATCCGACTCAAACTGCTCTTCACAGTTTCTTTCTGTTCGTTGAATGAAGCCGCCACCATCGTTGTAATTGATACGTGATACTACTGAAAGTGAAAGAACTATGGCCCCTTTTGGCCACTACCATTTAAATGTTTCAGCCTATTATCGCTGTTGTTGGTGGACTGCATATAGTATGATCGGATAAATGTTTAACCTAAATGTATACCAGTTATTACTGTTCTATTTTATACCTAAAAGAAGGTTACATGTATTGCATAGTAATAATAGTTGCCTTTCTATATTGAAGTGCTTTTGGCAGTTTTACTTTATATTTTTTCGGTGTAAAGTATAACCTTTCTACAAGAACCTGTATCCTAAAGACTTATTAAACTGTTATCTACCGTACATACAACGCATCTTCAATTATCATCATTCTCAGAGCCAGGAAGATATTTATTTCTGGAATCTTTGAGGTTCTTTGAGTCGATTTCATTGCTTAATCCCATTAGCGTCTTCAGAAGAGCCTCAGTAGTTCCAATTAATGGCCGAATAATTATAATAGGGGAAGATTTGACCACAGAGACCAACGACTCTTGGAAATTATGGCTCTGGTTTATTTCATGCTTGAGATTTAAAAGCGTCTTTTTAGTGGACCCCAAGTTCGACGATAAGGACTTGTAGGCGGATTTCAACCCTTGCTCTATATTTTCAGGTGGATTGGAATATAAGCTTACCTTCTTAAAGTCACCGTAAGGTTTCCTCACAAGCAGATCCAAAACCAATAAAGTTTCTTCTTCATCTCCCTCCTCTGCATCCAAATATTCATCTTCAGAGTCATAATCTTCATCTTCAGAATCTGCATTGACTTCTTCAAACTCTTCTTGAGAGAACCTTCTGATACGAGGCGCAATTTGACCCACATTACGTGTGTCCAATAATAGTAGTGATTTGCTAAGCACATCATTATCAAAATCATTAGGATCATCTAAATCAATGTGTGAATAGATTGCTTTTCTAGGTTCTTGATAATCCAACTGGCTACCAGATTTTTTAGCCATGATCTTGGAGGATGCTAGTAATCGACTGCTGCCTACCTCGTCCTCTTTATTGGTTGGCGACGTTGGCAAATCCATTATTTCATCCGAATCCTTCATTGGTATATTGCTACTTCTAGCTGAACTTCCTTCACCACCAAAAAATTCTTCCCCCTGTTCAAGAATTACTTGGGTGCCTGATGCCAACTTTGCACCTAAGTTTAAGATTTCATATCCTGTAGTCTTTGCAAACTTCTTTGTCCCCTTCTGAATACTTCGCAATATACGGCCATCTTTTTTGTACTCCTTAATAGGGATTTCAACCAAGTCTTTGAACCCGCTTCCAATGCCAACTACAGACTTCACAGGTCCAAGTCCCGCAAGAATACCTGGGAGTTGTGTGGCTTGGACATCTGGAGTCCATACCCCTTTCAATAATGAATTAAGCTTTTGAGGACCAGATATGCCGTATAATTTAACCTTCCTTAATTTGATGTTTGAACCATCCAAGATAAAAAAGTTCATAAACTCTGAAGTGTTGCCTGATCTTATTCCAACATAATCCACCTTTTTAGGTTTGTAATCCAATTTAAGTCGTACGGTATCAACTTCAAGCTTTTGAATATACAAAATCTCATCAGGAGGTAACTCAAACCGGTTGTCCTTAAATTCACAGAATCGAGAAAAGAAGTCCAAAGTGTCTTGATCAACATACAATCTTAGGGGAAGGAGTGAAACACTGATAATGGCTTCACTGGAAACAAGTCTTGGATCAGGACGAACACTAGTTATCTTTACGTTCAACATTTCCTTTCCAGATTCCCTTTCTCCTAAGGATGTCATATAACTTAAAAACTTGCTCCACGTTGAAGAAGGTACATTATCATGAACAATGACCAGATCAATTGATAATACAATTGTATTAAGGATCTCCAACTTCATTTCAGGATCAGTATAATCCAAACGAGGATCCCGTGTACTTGAAACCTTAGCATCCACTGTTAACCCTTTCAAGTCAATATTAATCTTATGGCTGTGGGACCTTCTAAGTTTCAAATTCTTATAATTGGTACCTATCGAATGCTCATCAGTACTGAACTCATAATTAGTCATCTGAACCTCATTATTGATAGTGTTCACCAAGTTGTAGGCATTTGTAGATTCTGTCGCTGTCAAGTGGATTGACAGATAAAGTGTTTCATCTATTATAGGACGGTCATCCTCTACTTGTTCATTCTCTTCGTCCTTAAAACTTATTTTCTTCTTCTTCTTTTGTTTGCTCTTGGGGGACTCTTCCTCCTCTCTTCCACATGATGGTGACTGCAACAGTTGGTCCGTCTGTAGTGCAGCCGCATCCTGATTTCGTTTTTCTTCATTTATCCTAGCTTCAACTTTCTTGACAACAGTCCTAATATTTCTTCTCGTTTCTCTCCAGTCATATCCATCAAACAAAAAGATATTAATCTTAGTCAAGTTCACAACTACCTTCAAAGGATAAGTTACTGGAGGTGAAACAACCGCAGCAAAATGGTCCTCTTCGAATACAATTGGCTCATAAAGTTGTACTTCACTTTCAGGACCACTTGATGAAGAAGAGGAGCCATTATTTCGATCATTAGATGAAGAACAGTTAGCTTCATATTCTTCAACAACGTCTAGCTTTTTGGAGGATGATAAGCTTACTGGAGTTGTCGAAACATCCTTGGGATTAAACCAATTGTCGTCCACATCTTTGAAAGTATCTATTGGAGAACCATCGACTTCCACCTTGAACCTATCTTTGTCTGTGAAATTCAAGGGCAATTTCAAGTCGTTTATAAGTTGGAGTAATGTAAACGAAGAGTCAGCACAAATGTTTAATTTATGATCATTCGAGTTGATTTTAAACTCTACTTTTGGCAAGTCTTTACGAATTCCCAGAGCTCTGTCATGCTCACTGGCTGCCTTCAAGTCAGTTATCACAGTCAAACCTAAATGAACTAAATTAGCATGCCCAATACTAACGTATCCTTTTGCAATGTAATAATCTTGACTATATTTGTATTGGGTTTTGGATGTTCTAGAAGGAGGCTGTGGTAAGGATGGATCATCAATGAGCAACAAGCTAACATCACGGAGTGAGCTCTTAATATAATACTCATAATCAGAGAAAGTTAAATCTGCATTACCCATGTTGATAATTAAGTATGCCTTACTCGGAAGCCTTCCTGGGTTGAGCCCTATCATGCAGTCTTTCAAAGTGATTCTTACATCAAATCTGTTTGCTTTGCTTTTAAATCCTCCTCCTCGGTCGACTATGAGTTGTTTCTCGATTGGTTTGAGAGCAGCTCGGGGCTCTTCCTGCAGCAATGGCCCGTTTTCGGTCTGTTTGAAGAAGTTTAACCAGCTAGTGAAGTATTCGATTGCAAAATCACATATTGTAACATCCACTGTGTTCCTTGAGTACAGATATAATACCAAAGGAGATTGTAATTGGTTTGCATTCCTTTTCTGATAATCACCAAGGAAATACTCTCTATTCTGGCCAACTCTTCTTTCTCCATTCACATTCTTTATGGATCCTTGTACTTCACCATTCGCCAATATGAAAGTTTCAAAATCATGTGCTGTGAATCTTATTTCGCCAAAAGTGTCAGCAATATCAGTAATCTCAAACTTCAATTCCTTAATAAGAAAGTTTATGCTAGCTGCTTTGAGGGTATTATGCGACATTAATACAGAACTGGCCAACGAACTGTTGCCCAACATGCGTTTAGGTTTGGTCCTATTTCGAAGCATCAAAGATGTAGTCGATGTCAGCAACATTGAGTTGGAGCCGTTGGCAATCCCAAAACCAAGATCATCAAAATTAATCAATGCTGATTGAAGCAGTTTACTGAATTTTCCAACTTGCTCCATTAAATGGGTTAAGCTTGCCAAGGAGATCGACCCATGAATTTTAGAAACAACCATTGACTTTTGAGATAAGGAAAGTTCTTGCTTGAAATTAACTGAATGAGGGGACGTCCCAATACGTTTCATCCAACTTTTCCATTCCTTCGCTTTGAAACTAAAACGTATATCGTGGATTGTGATGAGTTTTGACTCTAAGCCGTTCCTCGTGAAGGAAATGTTCAACTTTTGAATACCTATATTCGCATCCAATGAATTAAAGAAAATAGGGGACATTGCAGCACCTATATTAGTACCTGATTCTAATTCCAAGGAAAGGTTCCAACTAGAAGTCCGCAAACTAAATTGGGAGGTAGTGTCTTGAACTTTTGGAACCTTTACCTTTAAACCTCCTCCACCTCTTGAAGTTGACTTTAGCTTCGATGCAGACTCCGGGGATGCCATAAAAGATTGGATTGCATCATAAGCAGACACCATGGCTGAAAAGTTTGCACTAATAGACAGCAAAGAAGCTGCTACCTTCAAAATTTGAAGCACTGAACCTTCATTCAACTTAAATTCAGCCACTTTGGATAATAATATGCTGATCTCATTCTTCTTGTCGGCCAAGTTCTTACACAACTCAAACCTTACATCCGCTCTAGATGTGCGTGGTTGTTGTTGGTTACTTGGCTGATCCTGGCCACTGGGCTGCTGATCCATATCACGAGGAGCTGGAGACGACGCATTACTTGATGTAGTTGATGTCTCAACTGGGGAAGTATACTGGAATATCTCGACCGGTTGAGTTGCAGTTGTTTTTAAAACCTTGAGACTTTCTATTCCGCCATTTATTAAAACACTATTCTTTTGCTTGATGAATATGTTTGAAATGCAAATCAAGTAGTTACCAATAGTTTTGGCAAATTCCGCCAGAGGAAGCAATGCAGAATTGGTACTAATTAAAATATTAGCAATTCTGAATTTTTGAAGTGTTTGCCTATCATTCGAGCCATCTTCATCTTCATGTTCTTTCGTTTCTTCGGTATTCGTTGGGATTTCTTCGTAAACATCGTCGTTCTTATCATATTCTGGGAACCGAGTATTTTGAAACCGTAGACCTGATCTATTCAGTAGTCGCAGCAGTTGTTGGCTCTTCTTCTTCTGGTGGAGCTTGACTTTGAAAACTCTTGTCAATTTTCCCAATAACGTTATCACTGTTGGAGCAAGAGGAATAAATGCAATTTTGATGGTTTGAATGTCAATTACCAAATCCACAATACTTTGAAGACCAACAAAAGAAGTTTCAAGTTGGTCAATATGAACAATAAGAGCTTTGTTCAGTGACTCCAGAATCGTTGAACTTTGAGCACTAGAACTTTTGCTTGAACTGTCATGCGATGATGATGATGATGATGATGATGATGATGATGGCGCAGATTTCTTTAAACCTTGTGAATTGCTGAATGCATTAGATGTAGCACTCATATATATGGAGCTAGCTTCTTCATGAGTATATATCATACTATGCATCAACGATTCATCACCAAAATCATTGGGATCTTCATCTTCATCTTCTTCGTCCGAAGACTCTTCTGCAGTTTTTTGCTTTAATTCATCACTATCAACGTCACTCTCACCCTTTGGCGTATCGCTATTCAAGCTGTATATTCTGATGTTGTTTAGTTGCACATGCCTTGTGCCGTTTATAGTTTGTACGGCTCCACTATCGACTTCAATGAGTATGTCGTGCAATTCGGATATTAATTTAATTCTAAGGTTAGAGATACGGATCTGAAGCCTCAGAATAGCTATGTCAGCTGCTTTAGACATGACACCACTCAAGGCGGACGGTTTCACAGTTGAAGCTTCCGATGACGTTTGAGAATCGCCTTCTTCTGAGGATGAAGTTGACAGTGCCAATTCTTGACTATGACTGAGGTAATCTTCAAAACTATCTTCATCTAGCATGACTGTGTTCGCTAAGTCCGCAGTGCTCTGTACAAGTTGTTGTTGTAAATGGTTCTTGATATCTTCGTTGACGTCTAATGTAGGAGATAACACCACTTCCAACTCATTCAAATGAATCAGAACAACTCCACCGCCCATAACCCCGCCTTGGTTCAGGATCTCCAAGGTCTTGAGCTGTCCATAACGTAAGTTAAAACCAGGCAATTTGCCCACCTTTTCAGGGTCTAACAGTACATCTTTTATGACAAAATTATTTAGGGATACTTCCTCCAAGTTGGGTAAATCTATTTGGGAGAATAGCAGAAGTTTCTGGAGCACATATAAAAGAAGACGTTTTTGTATATTCTGAGGAATCCAGAACTGAGGACTCATTGTTGTATAAAGTGATTGTAAGAGCTTGTTAAGAATGAGGGACGACTAATCGTCGTGATGCAATGCAACAAATCTCAGATAATAATCACCACAACTAAACTAATTCCAACCGGTATCTTTTGTTCTTACCCAAGTGCTCCTCCAGGCACAATAAAAGTTTAGTACTATAATATGCAAATCCAAAGTTTTAATTTGGATGAACATACACATACAGAAGTCCAATTGGTGCCTCCACAATTCAATCCGTGTGCACTATCTACAATGTTATACAAGATTGTTCCCAAGGATCAATAAGCCAGTCCGCGAATTGGTAGCGCCAGGAGCCGATAACGAAGCATCATTGAATACAGTCTAGCCATGTGCAGGTGACTCAAAGCATTGGGTAGTTTAACATCTCATATGGTTATCATCAGCAGGGAGGAGAAGTAGTTACTCCTATTAGTCTTATAAGGAATATCTGGGTGGTCATATTATACCCATCGGTGTGGGTTTCCAATCGGGTATGGGCTCGAAAAGAAACATCGGCCTTAATTTTTGTTTCTTTCTAGGTTGAGCACCAACATCCTCCACCTTCTCTAAATCATCTATTTCAGATGCTGATGTGATGATATCATCTAAGGAAGGAGGTAGCGAGAATTGAGCTAATGTTTTGGAATTCTCATTGGTTATTTCGTTAACTACTAACAGTTTGAGTTTTGAACCTTTGAAAAAGCCTTTAAGTGAGTTCAACCATTTTAAATACTTGGGGTCTGATCTGACTTCTGGAAGTACCAATTGCTCTATAAATATTCGTTTAATATCTTGTCCCTTGGCTTCACCCACCACATCGTCAAGAATGATACCTTTGATGTCCTGATCTGGGTATTCGGTAATATCACTTGTAAGATAAGCAGTCCATTCAAGTAATTGATTCCATTCAATTGCACTGACTGACCCCTCAGCCATATCAAAAATAAGATTCAACAATTGGTACTTGAACTCAATTCCTAGCTCGTCAAGAAGAGGACGATATAGTTTAATCAACAAGGGATTGAACTTGACTCCTTTACCCTGTGATAACTTTTCAGGTGAGTTGTAAATAAGAAAATCACTGCTAATCATTGTACGAATAAGCAACAGAGGGCTCACCAGTTTTAGATTCTTTATAGCTTTCCAGTACTTCACACCGGTTTCAGATCCATCTCCAAACTTATATATCATGGACAAGTTCGATTTCCGTATTCTCTTGTAAGAAACTAAGTTTGTTTTAACGAATTTGGTTATACCTTCTTCTTCGTCTTCATTTTCATTTGTGGCAGGAACGTCTGGAAGGTCAAGCAAATCCCAATAGTGTAACTTTAACCAGTTCAAAGCTTGCAGACAAGAATCACGAAGCAAATTAAGCAGAGCCATTTGTTCGTGAGTTCCCCAATGTCTAAGTTCTACAAAGAAACCGGGAAGGTTGATTTGATGGGCCAATCGATATAATGGAGCAGCATGGACTGACTTCTGGAATGGGTCCAAAAGACCGTTCACAAACCGAATTAACGCAGCAGTATATGCTAATTGCATTGTAGATTCGCTTTCAAGTGAATCCAAGTCTTTATCTTTAAGTTGTAATGATGTAAGAAGTGATGTCATGGTTACTCCATGTGGTAGTTTAGTGGCTCTCGAAGCCAATGCATTTACTCGCAACACGGCCCTATGACGTTGCTCTGGGGTTTTAGGTTCATAGAACCATTGACGTAGTTGTATGAGATCTTCAACAGACCTATATGCTTCCACTATAGGCTCTTTCATGGTTGTATACGTGATGGTATTTGATAAGATAAGGCAGAGATCGAATGAATTTTATTTGCAGTGCGATGGCATCGCACACAGTCGTAAATCTACTTCGTTGAACTGGCATCATTACATTATACGTTAAAGGCTACACCGAGGGACTGGACTCAAATGGCTTATATCTTATTTTATTTTTCAACTTAAGAACTAATAAAACTTGATGTTTCAATTAAAAGCTTTGTCAATGGGTACATCACCATTGGCAAAGTTGTAGGACGCTTTAAAGGTTGATGGCTCATTCAAAATACTCAACATTACCCGCGCCACGTCGATACGGTCAATACTTCCAGGCTGATCTGACCCATCACCCCTAGCAGGTGGCAAAATGCGGACTTTCCCAGTTCCTTCGCCATCAGTGAGTAAAGTGGGCTTGAGAATAGTATAGTCCAAATTGGGAAACTCATCCTCCAAGATTCTGTCTGCATAATGCTTTGCTATATAGTAATTCAAGATTGGACTATCTTTCCAGAAGGCCCTTGATTCCGCATAGACCGCACTAATAAGGATAAACCGCTTGATATTGGCAGCTGTTGCTGCCTCAAATGCTTTAACAGTTGCATCCAAATCTACTTGAAGCAAGTTCTTACCGCGAGAGCCTACTGTAAATACTACAGCATCATGCGAAGTCATGAGGTCCTGGATATCTTTCGAAGTTGCCAGAGCAAGACTCAAAGTTTCGAAACTTGCATTAGTATTTAAAGTAGTCAAATGCTCCCTTTGGTCAGGGTTCTGGATAACACCTGTAATTTGATGCGAAGTTGACGCAGTCAACTTAAGGAAAAGTCGGCCAATGTTACCATTGGCACCGAATAGAATGATCTTTGCCATGTTCAATAGTAGGTATGAATCTTCAGCTTAAACTTGTTAATGACTTACCCGAACTACCTTTCGACAGATCAATTGTTACGCTTACATAAGCAAATGTCACCACTAAGTAAATCTTCCAAAATTAATCTAAGCGTCTTTAATATTATCCCAAAGACAACTACACGATCCAAAGGAAAAGGCTTGTAGGCGACCCGGGAAATATTTCACTAGTCAAAATTGTTTTTATAGCTTCGGAGTTACAGTTTATACTTAGACCCAACTCCAATAAGATGAAGGAGTAGACTCGGATATTAGAGTTCTTGTAATGTCCAGGAAATCACAAAAAAACACTGAAGGAACCTTTCAAAACTTTAATTGACTTAGAAGAGGAGAATGAAACTTCTAGTGTGCATAACCGATGGGTTTCAAAGAACCTGGGGTAGTAAAACACAAAATAAATATGCTACGTTGTTGTGACACCAATGATAGCAGGAATGTCCGTGTCTGTGTACTGCGAATTTGAGTTAGTGTCTGATTGAGTGATTAGTGTTTCGGAACTTATAAAAGCTGAGAAGGGTAAGAGTGGTAGTGGGGAAAGCAGGCAAACCTACTCAAAAGCACTTGTCTCTCTACTGTGTTCTTATTTCGCTTAGTACCCATGGCTATGCCGTGATGAAGCGTCTCCAAGTGTTAAGCATGCTATGCGTGTAGGCGGGGAGTACGTATGTATAGTTTAGTATATTGGAGAACACGTAGTAGAACAGTTTCACGAATCGAGTTGAACTAATATTTAAATGGAGTTAAGTAGTCACGTGACCACCACCCCTCCAACTGGAATTTTCGGACTTTACGTTACGTTTGCAGTCCAATAGAAAAAAAAGAATTGCCTTCAGCTTATGTTCGTCTGATAAACCGTAAGCGTAAGAACAGGTTGCCCGTGTGGGGGGAGATTAATAGCTGTAGTTTTAAGTCCCGGGGTGTTAGAGTACGACATTGTACGGCACATCACAGGTTAGGTACCTTGGGAGCATGGCTGAACCTGACTACTTTTTTCAAGTCGGTGGCGTGATTATTTTGCTAGTAGCCAGAGTGAAGTGTGTCTGAAAGTAAAGGTTAGGTCACGTGAGTATCAACTTGAAAGCTATCGGTTGTGTTTTATTTTCGTATTGCTATTGTATTGTACCATATGGTGTTGTCAGTTGCTGTTGCAATGTCTTTAGTCTTTACTTGAGACTTAGGATCCGTAGCAAAACCCCATGAATTGCTTGAATTGCCGTTACCATAGAAGGCGGGGTTGGTCCAAACACACGTTATGTCTGGATTGTGTAACTCCGACGGCCAACTTATTTTGGGCTGTGCGAAAGGCTGAACATTACTAGAAGCATTCTTATTGCAGTTTTAAGGTCGACTACGGAACATCATAAGATAGATGGGAATCATGTAACATATTGGATGATGGGGTGACAAATAATAAAAACCTAGTTATATATAGCGGGGATTAAGAGACTACAATGAGCTTCACTCATTACATGCTCGTATAACGAGACAGAAGCTGGTTTTCTGTATCCACCCCCTCACGCCCAAACTTTACGGATTAAGTTAAATTTGTAGTCAATTATTGTCCATGCTTCGGACTTTAAACAATTCCCCTCGTAGAACAGTTGGTGACACAAAAGACGAGTTCCATTGGGCCTTCGACCACCACAAACAAACACACACTCACACACAAATTACTATTAGAGACATCATTGCAGACAAAACAGACACTCGCGACCCAAAGAGGGGGGGACACACATACTAGCTAATATAGCTGGTTCAGACTTGGATTCAATAACAAGTGGAGCGGAGTTAAATCTGGAGTCATGATAATTGTCATTATTTTTTGTCTGGTACAATAATATGTGCAACCCCTTGAGGGTGCAAAAATTTCCAGACAATGCAATTACTGTACGATATCTGTAGCTCCGAGAACCCAGCGAAAGTATCATGTTGTACCTTTGACAGGGAAGCAAACAAGACACTATATAAGTATATAAATTCCGTGTCAGATTGATGTTATTTTTTTTATATTTTGAAAGCAGTTTGCTAGTTGACCAAATCTGTTCCTACTTGTGTTAAACCCGTAGTGGATTTCATCTTCATCATCATCTGAATATTCCATAATGCAAGCTGAATCAGAATCTGTTACTCCTAACTCTACAAAGGAGGAAGTAGACGGTATGCCAACACATAGAGTCAGCACTGCTGGCCACGGTAACGAGTTTATCATTCTTGGAAACCGTAAATACTACCGTCATGAACTTATGACTGCCTTTGCTGGTAATTTCAACCCAGAAAGATATGCCCCATATCCTGTTCATCAATTTGGTAATGCTTCAGCCTTGTCACTTTCAGGTTTCGGAATTTCAGCATTCTGTTTGGGGTTGTATTACGCAGGTGCTATGGGTATTAAAACTTCTGCAGTTGCTGTTTCATTGTGTGTGATGTATGGTGGACTTGTACAATTACTTGGTGGTGTTTGGGAATTGGCTATTGGTAACTCATTTGCTGGTTGTGCTTTCACATCATTTGGTGCCTTTTGGATCGCAACTGGATGTACCAGTATTCCTGCCTTTGGAATTGCAGCAGCTTACGCTGACGATCCAGCAATGTTTGCAAATGCTCAAGGGTTTTATTTGCTTGGTTGGATGATCTTCTCGTTCCTTTTATTAATGTTGGTTTTGAAGGCTACATGGCCTTTTGTTGCATTGTTAACTAGTTTGACAACTACTTTTGCTGTATTGGCTGCAGCAAACTTCACAGGTAAACCTAACGTACTTACCGCTGGCGGTGTCATCTGTGTTATTACTGCTTTTTTTGGTTGGTACTGTGCTTGGGCGGGTGTTGCCAATAAACAAAACTCATACTTCACGCCATTGGACTTGACTGTTCCCATCTTTGGTAAGTCTGTTAGTTAAAATTTTTTGACTTGTTTCATAATCATCATTTGGGGTTAGAGATTGGTTCATTGTACGTTGTTTCTATTTATTAGTCATTTTGTTTTGTTTCTTATATTTATTAGTGCTCATATATTTATTAATGATAATTACGATAGTATTTGATTGTAGAAATTGCCGTTAACAAACTTCGGAGGTACCACCTTTTATAGCCCCCAATTTTAACATGCTATTCCCATGACTAAGTTTTTCCTCAGTTCAACACTGTTCTGAGCGTCTCTTCGTCAAACATATTCGCTCCACTTTGAAGAGTCTTAGCTAAAATAACCAACGACTTGTCTGTGAAATCAGGTCGTTTTCTTAACGCATCCATATCATTGGCATATTGACCAGCCATCAACAGAAGGAATGCTTGATTCAACTGTTCACGGTCCTTTTTAAGTGTTCCTTCAATCTGCTCAAGTTCTCCGCTACTCACCTTGTTAGCAGAAACAGCACTCAACTTTGTAGTTGTAAGTTTAATCTGTTGGACTTGAGAGATTTGTTCTGCATCAAGAGGCTCAGGTGCTAAACCCTTTATTTGTGGTGGCTGCTCCTCCAAATCTACATCGGCATCGATCTGAATGTCCTCCACAATTTCATTCCCCTTCTGTATGTTTGACTGTAATTTGTGGTCTTCATCTACCTCAGAATCAGAATTTGAGTCTGAAGACGAAGAACTCGATTCCGAATCTGATGAGAAATCCTCCGTTCTTCTCTTCTTCTTCTTTCTTCTATTATTTTTGGCATTTGGCCGCCTCTCCTTTTTCTGTATTATATCGGGAGACATCGTCTTATATATATATATATATATATATAGCTTATATGGTGTATATTATTGTATAGCTTCTTGCGGACCTAGTGGGATGAGCATCACCACAAAGATTTTGAACTATCAAATTTGAACTGCATATAAACACTTTAAGACTTTGACTTCTTCATAGCTGAGCCGGTGGATGGTGTTGCCTTCCTCTTCTTAACCAATGATGTTAACTCATTAACAACAGGCTCGGAATTTGTCTGCTTCTTCTTCTTCTTCTTGATCCCAGCTGTTAAATCATTGATGCCTGTCACGCTCTCCTCCTTAGATGCGGCGGAACTTGCAACTTGACCTAAGATCCCCAGTAAAATCTCTGCCTTTTGTTGCTGTAATTCTTCATCTGGATCTCTCTTAAGTTCTTGATATCTTACTGTCAAATCTTTTATTAATTCCTTGTACTCTTTGACTTTGTTCGCGTCTTGCTCGTGACTTATGCGAAGCTCAACTGATTCTATGGCTTTCTTCATCTCTTGAGTGGCCCTCACACGCAGATCAGGCGTCTCCACACAGAATTCAAGGGCTAGAGAAAGCTTGTAGTGAGCCTCTGAAATCAAGGCAGAATTTCTAGGATTGAAAAGTTTTAAACGTAGCTCTAACGCCTTCATTAAATCAACAGCTGCTTGTTCAAAGTTTTCAGCTTCAAGTGATACCTCACCCAAAATGTCGTAAGTTTCTGATAATTTCTTTAATGTTTTAACGTATTCATTATCACTTTCGTCCTTGTCTGATTGTAAATAAGGAATAGTAATATCTTTACTTTCTGATTCAAGATTCTTGAGCCGATCTTCAAAAAGTGATCTTGTTAAGTCTAATATTTCCCATGCCACTTCAAAATCACTTTGCTCTTCTTGTTGGGGTTGTTTTTGTTCGTCGTCTTCTTCTTCCTCATCGTCTTCTTCTTCCTCATCGTCTTTTGGATGTTCTTCCTCTTCTTCCTTTTTCTCTTCGTCTGCTTCTTCCTCTTCTGCAAGAGGACCATCGTCATAAAATTGGAAATTGCCCTTCGCCTTATCATCGTCGTCTTTAGCTTCTTCTTCTTCCGCATCTCCGCCATTTACACCAGTTCCCTCTCCAAGAATCTGAGAATTCATCACCGTGTGCTGGTACAACGCGTTCCCATAGAGAAACAACAAATCTGGATCTTCACTGCTGTTCTCTTCGTTATACCGTTCACAAGCCTCAGCGTATTTGTCGGCAGCTGCCTCATATTCTTTATGAGCGTAAGCTTTAGCTCCAGCACCTAGTAATTCAGTAATCGCGTCTGAATACACCATCTTGACCAATGGATAATTTATACCTCAATTATACGATCTTTTGAATATATAACGTGATATAACGCTGTACTGTACTATACACACAATATAGACTTGTTTGCGTCACCAGATCAATTGCAAATTATAAGAACCGCAATCCCAACGCTAACTAATTTCATTGAGTATATGTATAATTTGTTCTTCATCACCGCACTAACAAATCCTCAGGTACCTACCTTCATTTTCTCACCTAGATAGTGCGAGTGACGTATTTTGATACATAATGCAAGCGAATATACATGAACTTTGGTATCCTTCCTCTTCCAAAACAAATCTTAGCTGGTGAGTGCAAAATAATATAAATATATACTTCCAAGTTGTCAGCCGATGGCTGTGTATTGGTTATTCAGTTCTTACATAAACATTTTTATATTGTTGCAGTGTAATGTCAATGAATGGAAGTAGTAGAAGAATTGGGAGAAAACCTCCTCCTAACTTGGATAACGATATCAATAACGTGGTTCCACAATTCCCTGTATCTCCTCAGAACTACCCTCCAAACCTGCTGCCCTTTACAAGTCCGCAGGCTCAACACCATCCTTCATCTCTCAATTCCACTCCTATTGGAACGGGAGGTGGTGGAAGGGGAGGAGGAGGAGGGCATGCTTCAATGACTCACGGGAGTCATCATCGTCACCAATATGATATGGATAACTCCCCAAGCAGTATCGATTTCAATATTTCTTCATCCAATTCAAGGAGTCACTCACGACTGCTGCTTGATCAAAGTAATATCTCCTTCCTGTCCTCACCTTCACAACAATACTATCAATCCCAATCTCAAACCCAAGCGCACATTCCGTACCCAACATCCAGCCGATCACACACTCAAGAAAGGCCGATATCAATGGGTGGTCATGATAGTTCTCCTGAGATGATGAACCCCAACTCAAGCTCTGGCTACTTTAGTTCCCCGCAAACCGAAGATATGTTTCCACCGCTCCCCAATGTCATAAGGCCGAGGGGACCAATGGAGCTAGATTTACGGCCATATAGGCAAAGGGCAGGGTTTCAGAGTCTTTCCCGTTCAGAAAACGACAGACTTGTATCAACAGACTCACCTTCAACCATAATTAATGACGATTTTATTTGTCCTCTGCCTCCTCTGAAGTACCAGTTTACTTACAATGGTACAATCAATAATCCCAATGCTACTGCAACCGCCACAGAACAAGGGTCGTATATAACAAAACGTTATTTTGATGTCCCAGCTTCACATGTACATCAACGTCCCAGTCTTTCGCCTCAATCATCTTTTCAGGTTGATGATGAAGACGAATTTGAGAGCGTTAATGTCCCATATCCATTCCAGCGTTCTCCTGATGGCTTAAAAGGTCCGCTGGAATCTAAAGTGGAATCTCCGCATATGGAATTTACTGCTTATAATAGCAGACATTCGACTCAATCACAACCTCAAAAGCCCTCCAGTCATTCCATATACACACTACAATCTGATCTAAGCATTGTCTCACTGCCATCGGCCTTTTCAAGCTCCCAAGAGTTTGTAGGTCGATCCGATTCTTCTAGTTTCGGTGTGCCAAGATCAAGTAGTTTGCACTCCAACTCAATAACCACTTCTCCTTCGTTATTGGGTAGGAATCCAAGCTCAGCAAGTGATTACTTGCATAGAAATACGACATTATATGAACAATACAATTTTTATACAGCTGAGAATGATGACGAAGACGAAGACGATGATGACGCTGTTAATGAACATTTCGACACCATCTTAAGGGAAAATTTGGTTCAACATGATTTCCCTGAGTTACCTTCCAGTGAGTCGGAGTTTGATGGTGATGATGATTATATAGCCGACATTTTAGGGTATGAAAGCCCCAAAAGATCAAGTTCTCCATTAGTTCCGGGTTTAACAAATAATGTTTTGCTGATTCCTAATGAAGCCCCGCAGGAACTATTGGTTCTTCCTAAATTGCCGTTTTCTGCAACATCTTTGCACACGAGGCATTTTATCAAATGCAACAATGTATCTCATTTGAGTCAGCTTTTTAAATGGTCATTGCTTTTACATAGCTGGTCGAATGGAGAAGTTATCAAAAGAAAGGAGTATCGTAATGCATTGATTAAGCTTTTGGGTTTCCATAGAAAAGATGTTCCCGTTGATGTTCTTATCAGCAATGCAGACCAGGTCATACGTTCATTCTTGAAAGCAGGTGGGATTCATTATGAAACTACCGACAATGAAGGAAACTTACAAGTTAATGATGCAACTATTAAAAAGCAAAAGAAAGATGACCAAGTAATTATTTTTGTTACGGAAGCAGATATAAACGGTGTTCTCCCTGATTTATCCTTATGCTACAGCTTCTATAGAACCCATGATTCTGAAGAAACCTTGAGATGCTTCTCTCATATATGTTACCTTAACAGAAAGATTGAGTATGAAAAGCAATGGAAGAATATGGATATCAATAATCTTCAACTAAATGCAGATTGGGAAACTCATTGGAAATGGACAGCAGATGAATTACAAAGACTAGATCGAAACTTGGCCAAAAGACAATCTCATATATTTGATTTTTTCAGATTTGAACAAGCATTCAGCAAGCAAGCTAACATTTACATTAATGACTTTGCTCCAAGATTCATTCAGGTTGTAGAAAGGATTATTGGGCCCAAAAATGTTCTTACTGTGTCTACGTTACGAAATGACTTTTTACTGCTTCCTCGATCGATATACGATATCCACCGTGAATATTTGCTTATACCATTACTCTATAAGTTGATAGAGGGTGGAAAATTTATTACTGATATCACCGGAATTGTTGAAATATACTGTAATTGGGCTGATAAAGTACGTCCAGTGATACTACGGCATGCGGAGATGGTTCCCTATATAACTGGGTTATTGATGAATGATAGCTTGAAACAATGGGTCAACGAACTGTCTCGATCAATACCTAGTATTCTGAGCGGTCGTTTAGACTCTTTGATGTTGGTGAAACATTTATTCAACGACAGATTTTTTAGGTTACCTTCAAGTTTTACAACATTGAGGTCGTCTTTTGATAAATCTGAGCCTGAATATGCAGCATTGACCAGGGCTGAGGTTATTATTAAAAACATCACTAGTGAAATCAATACCGAGGTAGGACTATCTGAGAATAGGTTTGCAATTAGAGGTGTGACACGGAGACTTGCATGGGATACTCCCAAGGTTGATATGCGATTGAACTCTCCTGATCGGAAATTAATCTTCAAGAGTGATCTAAAAAAGAAAGATACGGTGGGAAAGTCAACTGTACACCTTATACTATTTGATAACTATTTGATTATAACACAGATTACAGGAGTGAATATATTTAGGGTCATTGCACCTCCTATTCCTACTGAATACCTACTCGTGGAAGATAGGAAAAGGGATACAGAATCAACGGAAGAAACAGATGCAATATACTCCTTTAGAGTTCGTTTTGCTGGACGTGGTAAATCTTATATCTTTTTAACAGATCAGGAGAGGTTAAAGGACGAATGGCTCCGGAACTTGAAAAAAGCAAGGTCCAATTTCTGTGTGAAGGTAAGAGATGCGGCGGTGTTTGATATCAAGGTACTTTCAAATACTTGTTTTGCTTATGATCTTGCATCCAAGGTTAGCAAATTACCTATATGTGCTCCAAATGATCCTGTTGAGAATATGTGTACCAAGGCTCTCATACAATTAGAGTCGTGGGGATATAAAGGGGAGTTGAACTTCCCCGGAGCTTTGAACCGGTTAGTTCAAAATAAGGTAAGTTGTGCTACCTGGGTGTTCCATCAGGGAGTGAAGTTCTACTTTGTTGGTATGTCCAATGGGATTTATTGTAGTGATTTGAAAGGCAGATGGAAGAAGGTTGTTTCAGAGGAAGCTATTAAACTAGAAGCCGATCCCCATTTGCAATTACTCATTGTTATGTCTAGCAAGGCATTAAGATATTTCCTGCTTGCTCGATTAATCCAGATCTACATTGACAAAGGGGAATACAAAAAGTGTGTAACGTTACATCGTGGTCAGATATCTTTTTTTGAAATGGCTCAGCATAAGGGGATTACAACGTTGTTCTGGGGCTCTAAGAAATCAAGTACGTCTACCAATTTCCTGGCAATGATACCTGCTTGCGATAAGAGAGGAGTTTTCAGTTCGTTCAAGAGTGTTAAAGAGTTTTATGTTGAAGCTGAGTGTTACGGTATGAGCATTTTTAATCTGACATTTGCAGTTCATACTAAGAAAGGCTTAGAGATTCTTCGAATGGATAATTTCATTCCCGTCTCCATTCCTGTTATACCACGAGCTTCTGATAAGGCAAAAGATGAACCTAAATTGCGGTTAATTCTGAAAGCGGTGGAGCCACCGGTTGAGCCAAAGGGAATGTACATGTTAGGAGACCATGAGTTACTATTGGTATATCATAACTGTGCCATTTTCAGCAATAGGAAAGGTATTTTATCACGAGTTTATATTCATGAGTTCAATATCAAAGCCGAGTCCGTTGCATTTGTTGATAATCATTTGATTTTGATCTGTGATCAAGTTATTGAGATTTGGGAAGTGAGTTTGAATCCAGAGTCTGCAAGCATATTGAAGCAAGTGATTATTGGTAAGGGAATCCAGTTGATTGGATCAGGAAAGAATCTATTTTTCAGTATGGCTAATCCATTAGTCCCTGGACTCCAATGCTTATTTGAATTGGAACTACGCAACAAGGACAACCATCATTGATATGAACTATATTAGTGTACCCTACTATTATAGCGTACACTGTGCTATATGATGTATACTATGAATATGTTAGACTAGTATAGCTTTAGTTATTCACTTTTATCTGGTATCCGGTATATAAAGCAGTACCCCATATATTCGGCTGGCCCTGCGCGACCGCAATCGGAGTTGATTCAGGCCGAGGAAGAGCGGGGATAAGGGAGTGCATTTGATACTTTTCACCTTACCTATAAATAACAAGTCAAGTATTGCAAAACTTGGAGTCCTTTCTATTCATATAATAATTATAAGATATTACATATACTACGTGTTAGAAAATGGTTGATTATAACGTGAACGGAAAAGTAGCCGTTGTCACTGGAGGTACCAGAGGATTAGGGCTTTACAGTGCTGAAATACTTGCCTTAAGCGGAGCTAAAACAGTGGTCATCAGCTCTAGAAAGGAAAAGGCATGTCAAGAAGCAAAGGAATATTTGGATAAGGTGGCCAAGGATGCAGGCAAATCATGTTCTATCATTGCCATTGCAGCCGATCTTGCTGATGAGAAGGACTGTAAGAGATTCTTTGATGAGACTGCTAAACAAGTGGACAAGGTTGATATTTTGATTGCCAATGCTGGAGCCTCGTGGGGTGCCCCATTGGATCAACATCCTATTTCTGCTATCAAAAAGGTATTACATTTGAATGTGGTTGCAGTGTTCCAATGTATTCAATTGTTTGCCCCCTTATTGGAAGCAGCTGGTACTGCTGAAGATCCATCTAGAATCTTGATTATGTCTTCTGTTGCTAGTATTTCACCATTTGATGTTGGTGGAGTCTATGGATACTTGGCTTCCAAAGCTGGTGTATCCCATATGGGGAAGAACTTGGCCTTAACCTTGGGTCCTTCAAATGTCACTGTTAATTCTTTAGCTCCAGGGTTCTTCCCTACCAAGATGTCCAATGGAGTCTTGGAAATCGCAGGTGAGGTTTTAACTGAAGGTAACCCTAGAAAGCGTCTTGGGGTCAAGGAAGATATACAAAATGCTGTATTGTTCTTGTGTGCCAAACAAAGTAACTATATCAATGGGATTGTATTGCCCATTGATGGTGGCGCACATTTAGGGCTTCTGGGATCTAAACTCTAATGTATAGTAGAAATCACTAATAATTACCATATACGGACAGTAATTCGCACCAATAAATATAATAGCCACTATTACTACTTACATATATAGAAGGATATAGATAGGTATATATACTATGACTAATGTTATTCTTCTTACAGGTGCATCAAGGGGTATTGGGGCTGCTATAGCTCGTAAGGTACTTGCTGATGCCAGTGTAAGACTTGTGGCCATTGCCAGATCCTCAGATGGACTTCAACAATTGGTGGATCAATACGGAACTGAAAGGGTAGGCGTGGTTGTAGGAGACATATCGGAACCCATGGTTTATCAAAAAGCAGTTAAAACTGCCATTGATCAATTTGGTCAATTGGATGTGCTAGTATTGAATGCTGGTGTTCTAGACCCGGTTGCACCCATTGGAGAAGCGGTTATTGGTGATTGGAAACGATTATTTGATATTAACTTCTTCAGTATCGTTGGATTGGTGGCAGAAGCATTGCCTTATTTGCGTAATGCAGCTAATGGGAAGGGGAAAGTGATAGCGGTGTCTTCCGGTGCTTCTACAAAGGCTTACAGTAGTTGGGGAGCTTATGGAGCTTCCAAGGCTGCATTGAACCATTACATATTGTCATTGAGTTCCGAAGAACAACCTTTGGTAGAGGCCATCTCAGTTGCTCCCGGCGTGGTGGATACCCAGATGCAATCAGACATTAGAGAAGTGCATGGTAGTAAGATGAGTGTTGAAGGATTGCAAAGGTTTATTGATTTGAAGAAAAACAATCAACTTGTTCATCCAGACGAACCTGCTGCTATTTATGCGGGACTTGCTTTGAGGGAATGGCCCCCAGATATAAACGGAAAGTACTTGCGGTACAACGATCAAGTCTTGAGTCAATTCAACTAACTTAATTATTTGTATTAGTAGTAGCCTTAACTGTTGTTATTGGTTCTGTTCAGGTTTATTCTGTACGAACTTGATTTGAGTCGCACTCAACAAAAGTGTTTCAAATATTGTTTCTTCTCTCACCTTCACCTTCACCACACAGAATGCTTGCTAGAGTCCTTCCTTCGTTAAACAAGCCCTTGGTTGGCGGTCGTCGTTTGCTTACGGCCCGTCCATTTGTGCGTTTCAACACCACCACACCACCACGGACCCCATCTCCTCCTCCAGTACCAACACCTCCAAGAAGAAAGGGTAACGGATGGATTGTTGGTGCTTTCCTTTTGGCAGGTCTTGGTTTTGCTGGTACTTTTGTCTATGCGTTGACACCTAAAGAAAAATCAGGAGGTCCGGCTTTCTCTGATGGAAAGGTTTCAGTTGTGTTCGTGTTAGGAGGACCTGGATCTGGAAAGGGTACCCAATGTTCAAGATTGGTGAAAGACCATGGATTTGTCCATCTTTCTGCCGGTGACTTGTTAAGAGCAGAACAGTCTAGAAAGGGCTCTAGATATGGAGAATTGATTGCTACTCATATTCGTGAAGGTACCATTGTTCCTCAAGAGGTCACCATTGCATTATTGGAACAAGCAATTAAGGAGAACTTTGAAAAGGGAAGCACCAAGTTTTTAGTTGATGGGTTCCCTAGAAAGATGGACCAAGCCATTACATTTGAAGACTCAGTGGCCAAGTCTTCATTTACTTTATTCTTTGAGTGTCCTGAGGCCACCATGTTGGAAAGATTAATGGAAAGAGGTAAGACCAGTGGTAGAACCGACGACAACATTGAAAGTATTAAAAAGAGATTTAGAACATTTGTTGATACATCCATGCCTGTGGTTGAATATTTTGATAAACAAGGTAAGGTTGTTAAAGTTAGTTGTAACAACACTGTGGACCAAGTTTACTCTGACGTGGAGAAGGCATTGAAGACTAGAGGCATTTAAGATTCAGCTCTACAATAGCATTATACTTTATGATATGTAGTAATAACCAGAGTGAAATTGTACTAGTGTATAAGTACTTGTTAATTAGTACAGTAGCACAGTATATATTGGTAGATGCACGTCATTGGTGATGACGAAAATCATCATCGTTATTCAGCTTGAACAGAAGAACTTGTAGTGCACAATCTACTGAATCAAAACTACTGTATATGCAATGTCAGAAACAGGACTTCCCCCAGGATGGGCTATTAAAGTGTCACGTACACACCAGAGACCATATTACTATAACCAAGGAACCAAGGAGGCCACTTGGGAAGCACCCTTTGGTGCTGATAAAGATAGACTTGAAAAGTATATAAAAGAATTCACTCGTAATGGTAATAAGCCTGTGGTTGGAAGCGATGGCAAGGTCCGCGCGTCTCACTTGTTAATAAAGCATGAGGGCTCAAGGAAACCCAAATCATGGAAACTGCCTGAAGGTATTACTCGTACAAGAGATGAAGCCATACAGATCTTAAAAAAGCACCGTGAAGCTATATTAAATGGTGAAGTTAAATTGGCAGATTTGGTTGTTAACGAAAGTGATTGTTCATCACATTCTCAAGGAGGTGATTTGGGATATTTTGGGAAAGGACAAATGCAACCATCGTTTGAAGAAGCTTCGTTTGCCCTTAATGTGGGGGAATTAAGTGATATTGTTGAATCAGATAGTGGAGTTCATTTGATCCTTAGAACTGCGTAGTGAAAACGGAATTTTTGTAGGGTGCTCAATTCCGAGATCTTCTACAAATAACTGTTAACTGCTAGTATCAAATTTATACGTCAATATCATTGGCTATTCATACAGCCATTGTTGTATCGAATTACCTATTCAATCACACCACTATTATAATACTCGCTATACACTGTAATTAACAACGTCTCTTCTGGGCTATACACTTCCTCTTTTCGTGCCGTGAACCCGCACGCTTCACCGCCGCTCTACGTAAGGCATCGGCATATCAACTCTTTCTACTGCCTTTCATCAAACTAGCTAGTAAATTTTGCTTCAACAGTTGGTCGGCTTATGGTTTCTACAACGACATTGCTACGTCCGTTTACCAAGACGGCGCTCTCGGTCGCGCGAAAATTTCCCCAGATAAAGTCGACGTTGATATTGCCACAGGTTATTAAGCAACCTGGCACTGCAAGAATTAGAGTTGCCACTTCTTTTTCTTCTTCTACTTCTTCTTTCCAACAACGTTATTACTGTCTGTATCATAGAATGTGCAGACACTCTGGAGTCGCTTCATCAGCGCAAACTGTCCCCTCTGATAGAGAGGTGTTACCTACCAATGTGAAGCCAACCCACTATGACCTTACCTTGGAACCAAAGTTCGATGGGTTCACTTTTGATGGTGAAGAAACAATTGACTTTGATGTTAAAGAGGATACCGATTTCATTACCTTGAACACTTTGGAAATCAAAATTCACGAAGCTACCATCAACGGTACTAAAATCACCGATATCTCCTACGATGATGCCAAACAAAGAGTCACCTTCAAATCTCCAAATGAATTGAAGGCTGGTTCAGAAGCAAAGTTGTACTTGAAGTTCACAGGTGAATTGAATGACAAAATGGCCGGGTTCTACAGATCTTCTTATACAGAAGATGGTAAAACCAAATATTTGGCTACCACCCAAATGGAACCTACTGATTGTCGTAGAGCCTTCCCCTCTTATGATGAGCCTGCTGCTAAGGCTAAGTTCACCATTCATTTGATTGCTGATAAAGAATTGGTCTGTTTGTCTAACATGGATGTCAAGGAAACTATGGATGTTTCTGATTCTAAAAAGAAAGTATCTTTCAACACCACCCCATTGATGTCAACCTATTTGGTGGCCTTTGTTGTTGGTGATTTGAAATATGTTGAAGATCTTTCTTTCAGAGTCCCAATTAGAGTCTATGCCACTCCCGGCTCAGAACACTTGGGTAAGTATGCAGCTGATATTGGTGCAAAGACTTTAAAGTTCTTTGAATCTAAATTCGATATCCCTTACCCATTACCTAAATGTGATATGGTGGCCATTCATGATTTCTCTGCTGGTGCCATGGAAAACTTTGGTTTGATAACTTACAGAACCGTTGACTTGTTAATTGACACTGCCAACACCAATGTACACACAAAAACTAGAGTCACTGAGGTTGTCATGCATGAATTGGCCCATCAATGGTTTGGTAATTTGGTTACCATGGACTTTTGGGATGGGTTATGGTTAAACGAAGGTTTTGCCACTTGGATGTCCTGGTTCGCTTGTGATTCTTTGTATCCCGAATGGAAGGTTTGGGAATCATATGTCTCTGATTCTTTGCAACAGGCTTTGTCATTGGATTCATTGAGAGCATCTCACCCCATTGAAGTCCCTGTCAAGAGAGCTGATGAAATCAACCAAATTTTTGATGCCATCTCTTACTCTAAGGGTTCTTCACTTTTAAAGATGATTTCTAAATGGTTGGGTGAAGATGATTTTATCAAGGGTGTCTCCAACTATTTGAAGAAGCACAAGTGGGGTAATACTAAAACTTCTGATTTGTGGGAATCTTTGAGTGAAGTTAGTGGTAAAGATGTTGTCAAGGTAATGGATATTTGGACCAAAAATATTGGTTATCCAGTTGTTCAAGTTGAAGAATTGGGTAGTGGTAAGCTTAAGGTTACTCAAAATCGTTTCCTAGCTACAGGTGATGTCAAGCCAGAAGAAGACAAGACTTTATACCCAGTGTTTTTGAGTTTGAAGACTTCAGAAGGTATTGATGACTCTTTGGTTTTGGATAGCAGGTCAACAACTATTGAGTTGCCAACTTCCGATGATTTCTACAAGATTAATGCGAATCAGTTTGGTATTTACCGTACTGCTTATCTGACTGAACGTTGGTCCAAATTGGGTCGAGCAGGTGTTGATGGTAAATTATCCGTTGAAGACCGAACTGGTTTAGTAGCTGATGCTGGTTCGCTTGCTTCATCTGGGTTTATTTCTACTGTTGCCTTGTTGAACTTGGTGAAATCATGGTCAGGTGAAAGCAACCATGTTGTTTGGGATGAAATTTTAACCAGAATTGCTGCTCTTAAGGCTGCATTAATGTTTGAAAGTGAAGAATTAAACAATGGTTTGAAGGCTCTTACACTTGATTTAATCAGTAACAAATTGGAAGCCATTGGATGGGAATTTTCAGATGACGATTCTTATGATGATCAACAATTGAAATCATTGCTATTTGGATCCGCTGCTGCTTCTGATCACAAGGAAGTTGTTGCCTTTGCTAAGGATGCCTTTGCAAAGTTTGTTGCTGGAGACAAGAAGGCAGTTAATCCTAACATCAGAGCAGCTATTTTCAACACTGTTGCCAGAACTGGTGACTCTGAAACTTATGATCAATTATACAAGATCTACACCAACCCTGAATCTATTGAGGAGAAGTTGGATGCCTTGAGATCGTTAGGTAGATTTTCAGACCCTGAGATTCTTAATAAAGTCGCTGGCTTATTATTACAAACTGATATTATCAAGCCACAAGATATCTACATTCCTATGCAAGGTATGAGAACTCACAAGACAGGTGTTGAGAAGTTATGGGACTGGTTATTGGTCAACTGGGATGCAATTTATAAATTGTTACCCCCTGGCTTATCCATGTTGGGATCTGTTGTGATTATATCTACATCTGGATTCACCAAGCCCGAACAAAAGAAGGCAGTGGAAGAATTCTTTGGTACCAAAGATACTAAAGGATACGACCAAGGATTAGCTCAATCATTGGATATTATTTCCTCCAAGATTTCGTGGTCATCACGTGACTCGGATGTGATTGCAAAATGGTTATCTGAAAATGGATACGACACCAAGTCAAAGCTCTGATTAGTTTGTATCTGATATATATATATATATATAAGTAATAATGGTATTTACGGGATTTCACCTTCCAAATGCATAAACCTTACAATCAACATGAACTGGTCTTCTTCAAAGGGAAACATTTGTCTGAACTTGTAGATATGTTTCCACCTTTTTGCATTCATTGTGGCAGACTCTCTTATGAGCTTACTCCATAAATGGACACCACCAATATGTTGTCTGATTGTTGTTTGGGACAATTCAATGTCATATTTTTCAATTGATAAAGGTAATCTTGCTTGTCTCTGCAAGAACAATACCCAGATTAGAATGTGACCAATGTAGGCGAGAACAGCATAATCCAAGTTATTCTGATGGACTTGTTTTTTAGTCGACGGAGTTAATTTGGTCCCCGTTGTGTCCAAGGTGATCTCACTATATCCGCCAATCATGTCGAGCACTGGGAAGTCTGCATTGATCTTGCTGAACCCGTGCGACTCATAGAGAGCAACATAAATACAAAGCTTAAAGAACATCTTCTGGTTATTAAAATCACTAAAGAATGTATCGGAATATTTCTGAACAAAGTTTAAGATGTTGGTTGTCAACTTGCTTGCTTTGGAGACAATTGTTTTGATCTTGACATCGTTAATTCCGAGGTTCAAGATTTGAGTTCTGGAGATCCCAATGATGGTCTTCACCGAACTGGCTTCTAATAAGGTGGTGTTATATTTACCATTAAGATTGGACTTTGTAGATCTTAGCAGGATGTTGAATGGGTTTGGTGATAGTTCAGATTTGTTGGTGGCACCTGCTGGTTCTTCTTCCGTAATGCTATCAATTGTATCGTTCTCTCCTGTAGTATCTAGATTAGTGGTGCTTGTGGTGGTGGTACTGTTGGAGGCAGAAGTAGAAGGGGCAGTGTTATTCTTCTTTTTATTTCTTCTACGTCTTCTTCTGGTCTTCTTTGCTGGAGTCGATGACGTCGTGGAGGTATCTGCTTCGCTGGAGTCATATGCTCCTGGTGTTGTGTCCATGGTGGTATCGATCCCATCAGTTGGTGGGGTAGTTGGAGATGGCTTATCGGTATGTATGGGAGTCAGACTCGAACAGTCTAAATCATCGCCGTTGAATTGAATCTGACGAGGAGTCTCGATACAGTTGGGATCCGATATCCCACCAGCATCTTCAGGACTTAGCACAAGTGTCATTTAACAACAGTATAAGCAGCTCAAAAGTCAAGTTTTAACGGGAACTTTTCAAGATACAGTAAATAATAACAATAAATTTGAGTGGTGCACTTGCTTTTCTTATTATTGTTATTATTATTAGTGAAAAGATTGGGCGACTTATACTAGAAGAATAATATTATTATTTACTGTCTTAAAAGATTTTCAACTACTACATTCTTACAGTGGTGTAGAGGTTGGTGGTGATGGTGGGAAGTAATTGAATTTTCCTATTCGGTCGAGTAACCATCCTCATTCGACGCGGTACCGTTTTGGGTCTGTCGACCTAAAAAAACGCGATCGACACGTTTGGCTTACAATAGACCATCAAATAAGTAAGGAGGGTTATAATAATGTAGAACGGATAATATTATTATAATCAAATTGATATTAGGGGAGGTGCTCTGTAATTGACTGTAACTGACAACAATGCGACAGGCCTTTAGTACAACTGACTGCAACCAATTGCTACTGTAATACTGATAAATAGAATTTTTTGTAAATTTGAATACATATAGTGATAAATCTTAACAAATTTTATATTCACTTGTCTTTTGTATAAACATTAGAACTTCATTAGCAGCAAGTTAAGCAATCGTTGAACTCACACGTGATTCGCATCATCATATTTGTAAAACCCATTTTCTTCACTAAACTTGGTTCATGAATTAAATAATAACTTAGAAGGAGGCAACAAAGGATTCAGTAGAAGTCTTCAACTTAGCCAACAATTCCTTGGACAATTCACCCTTAGTCTTGATAGCATCAATGATTTCAGGTTCGTTGTTCTTTAAGAAAGCCAAAAAGGATTCTTCAAATTCACCAATTCTGTCAACTGGCACGTCATCCAAGAAACCTTGGACACCGGCGTAAATGACAGGAACTTGTTCTTCGGCAGCCATAGGACTGTATTGCTTTTGCTTCAACAATTGAGTCAATCTTTCACCTCTAGATAAGGTTTGCTTGGTAGAAGCATCCAAATCAGAACCAAATTGAGCGAAAGCAGCGACTTCTCTGTATTGAGCTAAGAACAACTTCATGGAACCAGCAACTTGCTTCATGGCCTTGACTTGAGCAGCGGAACCGACACGAGAAACAGACAAACCAACATTAATAGCTGGTCTAATACCCTTGTAGAACAATTCAGCTTCCAAGAAAATTTGACCATCAGTGATAGAAATGACGTTAGTTGGAATATAAGCAGAGACATCACCACCTTGGGTTTCAATGACTGGCAAAGCAGTCAAAGAACCAGAACCGAAGGCAGAGGACATCTTAGCAGCTCTTTCCAACAATCTAGAATGCAAGTAGAAAACATCACCAGGGTAAGCTTCTCTTCCAGGAGGTCTTCTCAACAATAATGACAATTGACGGTAGGCAACAGCTTGCTTGGACAAATCATCATAGATGATCAAAGCATGCTTTCCATTGTCTCTGAACCATTCACCAATAGCACAACCGGTGAAAGGAGCAATATATTGCAATGGAGCAGCTTCAGAAGCAGTAGCAGCAACAATAATAGAGTATTGCATAGCATCGTGTTGTTCCAAAGTTTGAACCAATTGAGCAACAGTAGATCTCTTTTGACCAACAGCAACGTAAACACAGTACAACTTCTTGGATTCGTCAGAACCTTGGTTCCATCTCTTTTGGTTCAAGATGGTATCCAAAGCGACAGCGGTCTTACCAGTTTGTCTGTCACCAATAATCAATTCTCTTTGACCTCTACCAATTGGGACTAAAGCATCAACAGACTTCAAACCAGTTTGCATTGGTTCGTGGACGGAGGTTCTTGGTAAGATACCTGGAGCCTTAACTTGAGCTCTGGAAGAAGAAGAAGCGTTCAATGGACCCTTACCATCGATTGGGTTACCTAAACCATCAACAACTCTACCTAACAATTCAGGACCAGTTGGAACTTCAACAATTTGGCCAGTTCTCTTAACGGTTTCACCTTCCTTAACCAAAGCATCGGAACCGAACAAGACAATACCAACTTGATCGGGTTCCAAGTTCAAGGCCATACCCTTAACACCAGAAGAGAATTCAACCAATTCTTCAGCTTGGATGTTCTTTAAACCGAAAACTCTGGCAATACCATCACTAGAAATCAATGTTAGTAAATCATACCAAAGAATAGTACTACAAAATTCCTCAACATTTAATTCCACAATTAACAATTCGGATCATACAACAAGAATAACACGGTTGGTTAAAGGCTCTCAATGCCCTTGGAAGGCATTTGGTTCACGACACAACAATTTTCAAGTATCCTGTAGATAGGGAGTATTCTGCGACTCTCATTGGCCAATTGATTTTTTCGGGAGGGACAAAATCGAAATGTGAGGTAAGAAAAAACTGTCGAAAGAAAGGTCGTGTTCGTAACAAAAGGTGCCTCTAAACACGATCCGGAATATGAACCTGCGGATTTAACAGTATCAATGGCTGTGGATTGTGGAATGAATGATGGGATGATGATAGAAAGACACTTCTGTAGTGATTGTTATACATACCCAATTGACAAAACTCTACCGGTTTCGTTCAAGTCAGCTTCTTGAGAAACACCTCTGATTCTCTCTTCCAAGATAGAAGAGACTTCAGTGGCACCAGCCTTAGCAGAGGCGTATCTGACATAAGACAATTGAGTTGGTCTAGCCTATAATATGGAGTTAGTATTATTATGAAGGGGATAAGTAAAAGCAAAGACCTACTAACCACTACCTTCAGTAAAGACCTACTTTTTATGGTTGAGGACTTAATTCAATATCACTGGGATTATTCAAGTGTATGGATGGACAAACACATTCTGAGACTATTCAGTACAGCATTGAAGGGGAAGGCCAGTAGTAGTAAGATAAGATTTGATCTCTGCATTGAACAAGAATAAAATATACATACAACTCTCAAAGTCTTGGAGGCAGCGACAGCTGTACGAACAGCAGCACGGAGAGCAGGTCTAGCAGACAACATTCTTCAAAACAAAGGCTAATATAATCGAATTAAACTGGGATTTAATTGATTGTATTGGTGAAGTGGAGAAAGAAGAAGAAAAGAAGAAGTAAGAGCTGTGAGGGTATAAAAATTTTATGAACGTTGAAATTTTCCATGCCTACAGATTGTCCACACACCTTACAAAAGAGCGAATAGCATAGCGAACTGGGGCAAAGACGACACAAAAATAGGTCTTAACCTTCAGAGTTGAAGGTTCTTATTGGTTTACAATAGAGTGATTGAGATTGCCTATGTAACATTTAATATAGGTTTTACGTATATAATACGATAGAATGAATCCAAGGCTAATAGAGCATCTAATTTCAATTAGTTTTTTTATGTAAAAGGTTGTTGAATTGATGATTCGCTTTAAAAACTCGCTTGTTCTTGGTGGTGAATCATTAATGTTGAAAGTCGCTTTTGATTGGACAATTCGGTTCCCAGACATCGCGCCCCTTTTTGGGCATTTCCTGTCAGGTTCCCCGGATCGGCTCGAAAAACAATCCACAAGATATAGTGTAATCACGTGACATCCCCCCAGCATAGCATATGAGTACATTTGTTAGTGAATTATTCGATGACTTATTGTTTGGTTTAATTGAAATTTCGGAATCAATGTATTTGTAAAAGTCTCTGGGAAATTTGAATCTTCACTTACTTTGCGGCTCAAAATGTTAAACAGGGGAATAATCTTCTAGAGTAAAAGCAGATTAGTTCCAAATCTCTTGAATTCACGTAAGAATAAACTATTTGTTTTATCATGAATGTAATAGTGTTGGTTTTTTTTATACTACACATTTCTTATAGACTTTAAATCCCTAGTTTGTTATTAGTCCTTTCACCAGTTATACTTCGTTAAGTATTTGCAGCAATTGATGTCTACAATATTAATGGCGCTACCAAATATAAAAATTCTAAAACGGTTTCCAAAACGAGAATCGAAAATTTTTCAACGTGCTAAGTTAACTTACAAGGGTGTTTAGTTTGGGAACAGTAAGACTTGACAATATCAACTGTCTTCTCACTACATTATGTTGGGACTCCTCAGACGTCAAGGATTGAAACTCCAGGTCTCAACTTCTAGGGGTTTGGCTACTGCTTCTTACAGTACCAAAGCTCCAAAGCAAGAGAACAAACCTGACGTTTCACTGGAAGCTAGTTCACCATTTTTGAATGATATTTTGGCTAAAATTGCCAGAATTGATAAGACAATTGCTGCTAAGAAGGCCGAGTTGCAGCAGACTTCTGTCAAAGGGAAGCAGCAGAATAGAAGGAAGCCAACTAATGGTGATTCGAATCAACAAACAAAAGCCCCACATAATAGAAAACAAGATGGATTGAAGCCAAAACACCAAGAAACTTCTAAGCCCAAGTCTAAGCAAGAGCCATCCAAAATTCCATCCAAACCAGCCAACATAAAGGTTGCTGATCACCCATTGTTTGCAAACAAGTTCAGAGCAAGAGATCAAAGCGAAAGAGCAGCAAAAGGTGACGAAGGGTTCAAGCCAAGAGGTCAAAGAAGAACAAGGGGACAACAATCCTATCAAAGATCAAACCAAACACAACAACAATCAGGTGAATCAAGGGGTCCTCGTCAACAAAGATCCAGAAGACAACGTGATAGAGCACCTAACTCCAACAACACCTCGTCATCATTTGAGAAGAAAGTGGCTACTAAACAATTAAAGGCATCCACCTACGTTCCTACCATTGATGGTTCTACTTTCTTCTACGGTAAAGTACCTTCAGTTAACATTAGTACTCTGAGTAGAGTTGCATCTGTGAATAAGTTGGCTTTACTTAAACTGAACTACCCTTATTTGTTACCTCGTTCGATTATCAACAACTTACCCAAAAGAGCACCTAGATTCATTGCTTCTCAGAGCTCCTTTACCACCAACATTGACCCTGAATTTATTGCTGATAAGGTGCGCTCTGTAGTTAAGGGAGAAGCTCAATTATTGCCTAATACCATGCAAGGGAAGGTGTGGGATGAATCTAGTGCCAAATCGACTATTGTGGAATTGAACAAGAATGTTACTCTTTCCTACGCTGACAAAAGACGCATGTATGAGATTACTACTGGTATTAAGAACACAAAGGAGCTATTCCCTACTGCTATATGGAATAAATAAAACTCGAGACAACCAAATAACTGTACATAGAAATAGACGCAATACAATGCATGGAAACAATCATAAAGTAGTATACATACGGATTAATTATGTGAATCCCTCGAAGGTCCCAATAATAGAATTTAGTAGTTATTCGAAACGTGAGCCAAACACGAATAATGTCGTTTACGATGACTACAGATTCGTACCCTTCTGAGGATGCCTAAAATATTACCTTATAAGATCAACAATAATTAGTAGTGAACAAACATCGACCCATTGTGATGTCGTATACAATGTAGCCTTATATGGTAATTGAGATGGGTGTTGACAAGAAATAATAGAATGGGTCCTCGTACACCGTAAACGAGTGACTATCGTATAGACTGTGTCAACAACACGTCTGCGAAACGCGTACAGTTCAAGAGACTATCTCTTGTTGACTCCGTAATTGCCTCCTAGTTTGTTCGCACACAGTTTACGGAACGAGACTTCCTCTTGTTTCACAGAAGTCAAACGGATTGAAAGCCGTTTGGTTCTTTCATTTTTGTGTAAGTCCCAACACCAACTTTAAGGGAATGTTTGGCCCCAAGGTGGACTGATGGTTGCGATGGGTACGTGTGTACAGGAAGGGAAGAGCAAAGATATGCATTGTGTGATGCACTAGACATCAACAGTATTAAGACTACAATACGATTTTAATAGACGTCTATCTACAGTATACTGTCGACTTAATAATAATCGCTTCAGATTGTATTAAATATGCTATTCAAGAACACTAAGTTCAAACCAAATAGTATCAATGGATAAACCAGTATCCGTAAACAAACCAGGGAATGTTACTAACTCAGTAGTAATATTCAACCATAAACAAGAAAAACACCCTATATTAAGATATAACCCATAGACGTAATATTTATGCCAAAAAAGAACCAGGTAAGACCTGATTGTGTCCCATGACTTCAAATGTTCTCATATCTTTGCAAACAAAGATCTAGTAGAAATGGTTCCCTTGTATGTGGGAGAATGATTAGCATTGGCTTCTCTGTATGAAAGCATGAATGGCAAGGTTGAGCCTACAGCTAAGTAGCCTAATACTAATGCTGCTGATGATCTTTGGATTGGGATGGAGTACATGATGATGTATACTTCTTATATAATAAACTAGTTGGAAAGTATGCCTTTAATTAGAAGATAAGAAGAAAGTAAAGTGAATGTTTAAAAGGGATTCCTTGGGTATTTATATTAGAGTCATATCAGTATACAGTTGATTTTGGGTCTCCTACCAGACATTCCATTCATACGTTATTGCTTTTGTGTCCTATTACTCTTTCTTATTGTGAAATTGCGTCTTCCGCCATACCGCAGACTAATTTTATGATCTGACTTTTTTTATCGTCCCAGACCAGCGCAACCTTCTATTTCAGTTTGTGTAATGTTCTGGAGACTCCCGGGTTCCAAAGCTTTTAGGGCTTATTAAGGAAACTTCCTCGTATAGACTTCTTCTACATTAGTACCTTATGTATTATGAACTGAATAGGAGGAGAAATTAAAGCATTACATATTATTGCCTATTCAACTTAATATTACCAATTAATAAGTATATAGTAATTATCCGTAGTTTCTATTTTTGTCGCTCCAACGGGATCTCTGATGAATGGATGCATGCATGAATCAGACATTTTGCAGTCGCGGGAAGGTCCATATCCTTTTTCCCGAAGGAACCATATTACTCAAATTCGTGCAATGTCACATTTCGCAGTGTTTGAACTATCCAATCAAGTTTCGCAGGTTTGTCAGCAATACATGAAAGTGATCGTTACTATACAATATTGTTCCGAGTGTCAACTATGTGGCTGATGCAGCCTCGCAAAGATTACTAAAATGGAAACTTAGATTATTATTAGTATCTTTAATAGTGATAATGGTGGTTACTATTAAGGTAATTATTGCTACAATTATTACTATAACTATTATTACTATAACTATTATTACTATAACTATTATTACCTTCATTATTATAACTATTAAGGTATTTCCCTCGAAACAGCCTGATTTCATAAGTAGGGAGTGTATCATTGCCTATCCGTCCATGGACAGTAACAGCGATGAATTTAAGGGAGGCGCCACCAATCGGAGCACACACAATACCAACATGCGGGGATTATAGGAGATAAGCACACCTCATCTCCAATATACCTTAGTATTCCATCCGAGTGTACTAAGACTGTTGTACTTTAGCATAATTAGGAGGACGCAACTTCCGATTGATATATTGAGACAACCAAACAGGGAATAAACTGAGCGATATAGTAAGAACCACTTGCCAGACAAATGAAAATGAAGACACATAGTCCAAATCAAAGTAATCAGGTAGAATAGGAATCAGAATAATATAAGCTAACAATGTAGCCACGATTGTACTGACCATTGTTCTATTCCATTTGCTAATTGAAATGACCACCATTGCCAATTCATTCAATATTAAGTTCAGATACGATAAACTCACCATTTTAGTGAAATTGTTCAACTCTATACCTTGGAACTTTTGAGCCAATAATTGAATCACTGAACCTTGGAAAAGAGATATAAACGTCCACATAAAGAACGTTCGATAACTCAAAGATTTTCCTAATGTCAACTCTTTGTATAATTCAGGATATAATCGAGTCAAATGTTCATCGATGTCACAGTCCAAAGTCAACAGGAAAACAGGTGCCATAGTGTATAAAGTAGAGTATCCAACCATAAGCCAACCTTGATATAAAGCCAAGGGTTCAAACTGAGACAGGATCGAATAAACTGCTTGAGCAACACTAATTAATAACCCCCTATGAATAATAAACTGACTTAGCTTGGCTGATCTCTTATAAGAGTTTCTTCCATGCCACAAAAGTAGCTTGGATAAATAACAAAATTGATCAATAGAAAAGTCAGCTGCCAAAGATGCTTGTTTCCCTTCCTTTCCAACAATACCAACACCAACATCAGCACATTGAATCATACTCACATCATTACCTCCATCTCCAATACAACAAACCCGTTTCCCAGTGAATTCCCGAATCATTAAGGCAACATCTGCCTTTTGCTGTGGAGTGCAACGACAAGCGATAACTGCAGGTAACCCAACCACAATATTAAAGAATTCATTCCGATAATGTTTCATATAAGTAAACAAAGATTCTCCATCGATCAATAAGCAAGAATTCAAGTCCGTCTGCAAATACTCTAAATGAGACATTGCTCCCTCAGGATGATTTACCTTGGTAATTTCATGAACATATTGTCCTCTCAGAATTAATCTAGCACTAATGGATACACATTTGGCAGTCTCCACCTTATCACCGGTTAGCATCCAAATCTTGACACCAGCATTACGTAATAACTCAATGGAGGTTTTAACATCATTTTGTAATTTGTCCTCAACTCCTGTAAGACCCAATAACTCCAAATCCTGTTCTAAATAATGGGAAATGACTCTTTGCATAGATGCTTCTCTGTTTTGCATTGCTAATGATGCCTGTTTATACTGTTCAACAAAATCCAAATATAAGTTTTCATTCAACTTCTTTCTTCCAATTACTAACGTTCTTAAACCCTCTCTTGCCATATTTCCTGTTTCCTCATCTAGCCAATCATTATTGCTGACAATTCGTGACATCACAGTATCAGCTCCCTTTTGCATGAACCAAAGCTCTTGTGTTTGAGCATCTCGAACAATGATCCCCATTCTCTTGGTGTCTGAATTGAATGGGAAAATATAGAGAATTTCATAGTCTAATTGACGTTGAGAAGCTTGGTGAAGTAATGAAATGGATGCTCTATCACGTTTGAACAATCTTAAGCCCACAAGTTCTGTAAATTTGACAATTGCTATTTCATCAGGTGAAGCTGCTTGATAAGTGACACTTTCAAGCATTAACCCATCTTCTTCATCATACACTGGAGTAACGTTATGACATAAAGCCAAAGTCTGAATGATATCACAAACTTTGGTACTCAAGTCCTTCTTTTTAGTTGTATTGGAAGAAGCATTTGAAGGTTGAGTAAACTCCGGCTTTTGAAGCATGTGTGTGACATAATCTGTAACCATATCCAATGATTCACCGGCATAGCTGACAGTTCCCAAATGTAATTTCTTCATTTCCATATCATTTTGAGTTAATGTTCCTGTTTTATCACTCAATAAATATTCAATACGACCCAAGTCTTCAGGTATAGTAGATGTCCGTACAATTGTATCAGGAATCTCCTTATCATTTTGTATCTGTGATGCATAAACTGATTTGGCCAAATCTAAATTGACTCGAAGGGACACAGGAATAATTGTAGAAAATAAAACCAAGAAGCGGAACACATCAATATACCAACCAGATTTTAAAGGGAACCCGTTAGCAAGAACTAATATAACAGATAAAACAAAGACAGTCACACATAGAATTTTGGATAATCTATTGATTTCAAATTCTAAAAGTCCTGTTTTAACTCCAGTCATTGTTGTGTTCAATTGTTGTCTTGTTTCAATCCCTGTATATACCACCATCCCAATAGCACTTCCTGATGCAAGCATTGTATTAGCCCATAAAGTTTGATCCACAGTTAATGGGAATGTTTCATTTGATTCTGAAACCAGAGATGTTGATCCTGCAACTTGATTGGGATGATACACCAATTTACCTTGGAATTGATGAATAGATTTGGTTGGAGAACCAACTATTAAAGAAATACGATTAGTGAAGCTCAGTACATTACTAAGCTTCTGGGTTGCTGCAGGAGCCACTCTTAATTTCCAATCAGTTTCCCCATCTAATTGGTCAGTTTTGATGAAAGCTTCTCCAGTACCATCTGAGGTTTGTAATAAAACCATATCTGCCGGGACTCTGGTATCTTTATGTAAACGAACCAAATCTCCTACTTTTAAATCTTTCGAAGCAACTAAAGTAGATTCACCACTAATTGAAGCTACTCTATTTAGGACCTCAAAGAGTTCGTTATTTTGATCTCTGTCTCTCCTTCTTCTTTTTATATCATCATTTGCTTCTTTCATCATCGTCACTGTCAAGACAAATACCAAGGGTACCACATATGATGAAAGATATCCGATTCTTAATTGCGGTATTGCTTGAGATAGGGCCACCAAAAGAAAATACATATTGAAAAAGAACTTAAATTGTTCATATAGAATGATTGGAATGAATGTGAAGGGGTTATATTTGGCGTTAGACACTGCATTTGATGGATAGTCTTTGGAGCTATTGTTTCGTGGTGAAATGTATCTATCAGTAGCCAATGATGAAGTAGTGTCAGAGTTAATTTGTAATAAATCTTCACTAACAGTATTACCAATGACCCCATTATTTATTCCACTACTACCCAAACGAAGTCTGTCCTTTTTCAACTCTCGTTTAGCATTTTGAAAGAAATTAATTGATTTGCTGAAAAGTTCTTTGGACGCCACAGATATACTTGTTTGACGTCTGTTAGCAGAAGAACTAATATAATGTATATCATCTCTGCCTCCAACACCACTATTATTAGACAATAACCCATTGCCTCCACTACCACCACCACCAAATCTATTAACAGGAGATGACATTCGAAGCTTCTTACTGATCAATGGAGAACTGTCGTTGTCACCATCACCTTCATCATCATCTCGTCTTCCCATTGAGTCTCGTAATGTGTTCAAAGGTATCCCTCCACCATTCATGGACCCCTGTGAAGAAGACCTCGTAGGTTGAGCACCGCTCAAACTCGTACCACTGGCATTATAAGCAGGGAACAACGTATTGGATGCACTGTGCAACGCTCTATCTAAAGATGAGTCTAGTTCATCAAATGAATCTTGATTAAATGAATACCCTCGTCCACCAGACATTATGTTATACTATTTATTTTGTTCTATAATGTATATCCTTGGATGCCACTCAGTGTTTGAATCGGGGAAAACGTATGATCTGAGCTGATCTGATCCGCAACCTTCTTTCTCGCACTCCTTTATCGAGTACAAGAACAGTACGTCTAATCCAGACAATTTATATCAACACGATCAATACTCTTAAATAGGTTGGTTGAATTAAAGTAGGCGTAGCTGTTTGTCTCAATACGTAGATTTTTAGACTCAAATTACCAAACCAGCGCTACCAAATAATTATATACTACATACAAATTATTTATCTAATGGTAGCGCGAATGGTAGTTGGAGAATAATAATAGGAACGTAGTACAAGCTGCAATAGTTATCAGTACATCCATGTGGTTCAAGAATATGATACTATTGATTCTAAGTCACTAAGAAGATATCTCGCTACATCGACTCGTACCATACATTGTATATATGATTGTTGCGATGCTTCACGAGTCACATGTCTATTATACCAGTGGTAGCGCCACAAATTTAACCACTGTGTATAATAAATATACATAGACCATGCTGGTCAACCTATCATTATACACTGTTCATTGAGTAGTGTTCTTTTCATACATTATATAGTGTTGCTTCATATTCACGGACTTTATTTCCAGCTATACTAACTGTTGTATTATTTTGTCCAAGATGCTGCTGTCTGATGAAGAAGAACAAGAGCCTTTAAGGGCAACAGTAACAAGCGGTGATACCACCAACATTGATAATACAGCAATATATTCTCAAGGTACTAATAGTTCCAATTATATAAAGGAGCTAGCTGACAGTCAAGAGGCTTGTACCAAACAGTTATTACCCCGAATTTTCCAGTTTCTTCGATTGCAGGTGCTAAGACAATCTAATGCATTAGAAGAGTATGTTATGCAACATGAAGCCAATGATTGCTCCCTTGTATCTAAATATAAACAAGTTGTCACTATTGACATGAGTCATGATTCCAGTGTTTCTGTTGATAAAGTTATTTTAAGTGGTCTTCATATTCCTCATCCTTTGGTAAGTTTTATGAGTAATGAAAATAACCAAAATGCTCCAACAAGTATAGATCTCCCTAAAGAACTCCACGAATCTCCTATAATAGTGTTTATTCATGGGTTGGGTGGTCAAATTTCACAATTTGAACCTTTAATGGGCCTTTTATCTCAAGCTCTGGAAATCATGGCAATTGATTTACCGGGGTTTGGAAATTCGTGTTTGGCATTTGATCATAAGGGGAAACTGATTACAGAGTTTACTCAAGATGAAAGAGATAGCATTTCTCTGTCAATTAAAGCAATGTCATGGACAGATTTCGAGACCGATAACATAGTGACCATTGTTTTGGAATACATTCGTCAATATATTTCCCTGGACAAGACTATTATACTTGTGGGCCATTCTATGGGTACTCATATTTCCACTAAGGTGGCTTCAAGATTACCTCAATCTAAAGTTGAAGGACTTATTTTATTATCACCACCTGAATTCCATGACGATGTTAGCGAAACAAATTTAGGTGGGGTAGTAGTACAGCCGGCTCATCGATTTGCGTTTTTCACTTATTTTCCTTGGTTATTCAATGTTTTCAGAACTTGGGATAGATTGCCTGGATTATCAAGTGCCAGTGTTCAAAGACAACTAACCAAAGAAAATAATTCTAATTTCTATATCAAACTAAGACAATTTAGATGGAACATGGATGTGGATTCTGAAATAGTATTGAAATATATCTATGGATTTTCTAAAGCAAGATGTTCTGAATTAATAACGGCAATCTCCAAATTCAACGACAGAGTTCAAGATAAAAGAGTTTATGAAAAAACTTTATTTGTTGGCGGAGAAGAAGATCTTATGACTCCTGTTAGACACATTGATGAAGTTGTGAGTATATTGGAAAGTAAGTTTGGTAAGAAGGTTACCCATTCAATTAAGATTCCAAACGTTGGACATTCCTTATTACTTAGCAAACCTGAATTTATAAGCGGAGTAATCCTTAACCATGTGGAATCCAAGTTTCCTGAGCGATTACATTTATCCCCGGCTTGGGTGTTAAAGGTTAAAGCAGAAATATCAGGAGACAAATGGGGATTAAAAAATGAACAGAAATGGTCTAAGATAAAGCTGCTTTCAGCTAATATTACTAGAAGGAATGGTACAGAAAGAGCACCTCTTTTAGGAATGAAAACTTTAAGGGAAGGTGATGTTAATCATTCCCCTTCGGCATTAGAAGCTAGATTTTACGGTGATCATCATCATGATTCAGATAATAATTATGATAAACCAAAAGGAAAGCTTATTGCAGTGGTTGATATTTCTGCGGACATTCCACCTTACAGCCCCAAATCGTTTGAACATATCAAATATTATAAATGTGCTACTGTTTCCAAAGTTGTTCCTGATGCCCAGGCGGCCAGGAGATTCATTCAATTAATTGATGATATTTTTGCTTCTACCAATGAACCAGATCCATTAATCGTGGTTCATTGTCATTATGGTTTCAATAGAACAGGGTTTCTTATATGTTGTTATTTGATTGAGAAGCTTGGATGGTCAGTGCCTGAAGCCATTGATGGATTCAAAGAGGCCAAACCTCCAGGAATTAAGCATCAACATTTTATTGATGAACTTTATGTTCGATATGAAAATAAGTAGAGACTGGTTCTCGAAAGTGTGTCGTAATAGTGCATATATATACATATCTAATTATGCACCCTTATACTCGCGTACATACATACTACATAGTAATTACATATATGTTATGTATGGAATAAATACCTGCAAAACACATGCACACATATTTAAATAGATTAGCGCGGCTGCGACATTGTGACACGTGCAAGGGCGGACTATAATAAATACAATATCGCAATACAACTAAGCTAACTGAGTTCCATCCAACACCACTACTATGAGAGTGTAATGAAGTTTGGTGCGTCCCTAGAAGAAGGAGGAGTTCCTGAATGGAGAGAACAATATCTTGACTACAAGGCAGGGAAGAAACTTATTAAGCGGTGCTTGGATATTAAAGAAGCCAAACAAAGTTCCGGGGGTAATTATAATACCAGTCACAATGCTATTGATGATTCAACGCCTTTACTTTTCCCTTCAACCGACAGAAGGACTTATAGTGCCGGTAAGGATGCCAAGTACAACAATCATGCAGAGACTGTAACAGATACTAGTATCAAAAGCCGACTTAACCTAAGGAGACCATCAATCTTTAATTATGCCCTATCATCTAAAAGTGGCGGTGGTGGCGGTGGTGTTGGCATTTCTGAGGAAAAGGAGTTCACCAAATGGTTAGATGGTCAGTTGGATAAGGTAAATTCGTTTTACAAAGAGAAGGAGCAAGATGTGTTTGAAAGATTTTTGTTCTTACAAGATCAATTGTACCAAATGAAGGAACAGAAACGATATCTCAGTACCACCAAGAGAGCTCCTCCCAAAGCTTTAAATGGAAATGTATATTCTAAAATCAGTAAAGGTACTCAGCTAGCGTTCTCCAAATTGGATTTACCTTCACTACCTTCGGGAACATTCCTTGATAAATGGAGATCAAATAAGAAACATTTAACTGATGAGATGTCTATGAAATCTTCCAGTAGTGATGATTTTGATATAAATTACAATGAAAATAGAATAAGAAATGGTATTGATCGGTATGATAATAGCGATGAAGCTTCATTGGATTCTGAATCTTATGACGAAGATTTAACTTCGGAACCTAGTCAATTCCCAGTGCAAATACAAGAACAAGAGCAAGAATCACCTTCTCAAAGAGCGCAAGCCAGGAAAAGAGATTACTCAGCAAAGAAAAGACGATTTGGTGTTCCGTATGTTCATGCTAGGAAGCAATTGAAATTGGCATTACTTGAACATTATCGAGCATTATCTTTATTGAAATCTTATAGAGTACTCAATCGTACTGCCTTCCGGAAAATCACCAAAAAATATGATAAAACAATGAATACAAAATTGAGTGGTCCATATATGAAGAAAGTCGATACTGAAGCCTATTTCATGACTAGTGAAACTCTTGAAAAGCTTATAAGTCAAGATGAAGAACTGTATATCAGTTTCTTTGACCCGGATACTCCAGATCGAAAGCATTCTCTTGAAAAGTTAAAGAACATCACTTACTCAATGAATTTGGGCGATATGAAACCTCCTTCATATTATTATTCATATTTTGTTTCTGGGATCTTCCTTGGTATTTCAATACCATTGATTGCAATTGGACTATATTTGGCACTCACCAAAACTATCAACAAGGACATGTACGAAGGGAAATATTTATTTCAGATATGGGCTGGGTTTTTCTTTCTTAATTTAATGGCCCTATTATTTGGTGTCAACTTGGGAGTGTTTAGCAAATTCAAAATCAACTATAAGTTTATTTTTGAGTTTGATATGGCTACAGTTTTAGATTGGAAACAATACCTATTTATTCCTTGTTTGGGTATGGCACTTTTACTGATTTTATTTTGGTGCAGTTTCAGCAACTTCTTCCCTCTGACATTCCCTGGTCGTGATTGGCCGTGGATATATTTTGGAATCATGTTGGGGATATTATTTTGGCCAGGTGAACAAATGTTTGGTAAGGCTCGAAAATGGCTCCTTATTGCATTATGGAGATTATTACTTTCCGGGTTTTATCCTGTTGAGTTTAGAGATTTTTTCCTAGGAGATATTTTCTGTTCATTGACTTACTCAATGGGTAATATCTCTTTCTTCTTCTGCGTTTATGGTAGTCATTGGAAAGGCTTATTAGGGCGCGGAGGGCTGAGTTCATGTGGATCTCACAGATCTCATGTCATGGGATTCTTATCAACTCTCCCCAGTATTTGGAGATTCTTACAATGTGCTAGACGTTATATGGATACTGGAGATTGGTTTCCACATCTTGCCAACATGTTGAAATATGCTATTGGTGCAATGTACTATATTTTCCTTAGTATTTACCGTATCCAGAGACTAGAATGGAATCGAGTTGTTTTCATAGTGTTTGCAAGCATTAACTCTATATTTTGTTCTGCATGGGATATCATTATGGATTGGTCTTTATTACAGAGTGGGTCTAAGCATCCATATTTACGAGATCATTTATTTTTTAAGAATCCATCGTATTATTATGCAGCTATGATCCTTGATGTCCTTCTTCGGTTCCAATGGATCTTTTATGCATGCTTCCTGCAACAAATCCAACAATCGGCCGTTACCAGTTTTGCTATTGCATTGGCGGAAATATTCCGAAGATTTATTTGGATATTCTTCCGGATGGAGAATGAACATTGCACCAATGTTATATTATTCCGAGCTTCAAGAGATTCCCCCTTACCTTATGCAATTAGTTATAAGGTTGAAAGGGCAATCCGGAACCTTATCAAGGTTAAGTATGGACTTAGCGATCTGCTGCTTCCTTTTGATCAAGAGATTTACGATAATAGAGGGTCTAGAACAACTTCTTTCCAACAACAGTCTTTGACTACTACTGGACATTTAGACGAGGAACAAGGTGGTGGAGGAGGACTAGTTAAATTGAAACCTACAGAATCAAGAAAGTCATCAACAACCGTGAGAAGAAGTACATTGGCAAATATCAGTGAAGTCTTAAACAAAGCACATATTAAAGACTTCCAAAGACAAAAGACCATTGCATCATCAGCTGATGATTCTGATGATGATTCTGATGAAGAATCTGTTGTTACCAAAGGAACGACACAACGTTCTGATGCATTACCTTCCATTGATGAACAAATGGAAGATTAATATATATATATTCATAGATATAAACTATATAGTTCTTTGTCGTTTGGTGTTACTGAATTCCTCCTCTAAAGGTTCCAATACTGAACCATTGTTTGAAGAAGGGAGCAAAGCAGGTGTACCAATTTGGGTATGGAAGTCCTTGATTATGGAGTCGACATCATCAATGTTCAAAGGTCTAATATCACCCATTTTCTTGATCTTCATAGTGACTTCTTTACATTGTTCATCAGTTAAATCCAAGTTCAATTGATCAACTCTTGACTTGATAGCATTCCAACCAGTTAACCTGTTGGCAAAGTGGATATATCTTGTTAATCCGAAATCTGAAGGGTTTAAGATTTCGTAAGTAGAAGGGTTGGCCAAAATAGCTTTGGCATGAATCCCTGCTTTATGAGTGAAAGCACAGAACCCTGTAATTGGATTATTAAACGGAACATTAACTTGAACAGCTTCAGCAACCAAATTCTCCAAGTCTCTTATCTTGTGCAACTTATATTTCGACAACACATAATCTCTATCAGCAGCAATCATACGAGCCATTAAACCACCCAATGGAGTGATACCATTTCTTTCTCCAATTCCCAAAACGGAAACATCAATAAGTCTTGCACCACCTTCCAAAGCCGTATAGGCATTGGCAATGGCACAACCGGTATCATTATGGAAATGACATTCTATATCACATTTCACTACTGACTTCAATGTTCTAACCAATTCATAAACTTGTCTTGGATTAGCGCATCCAACGGTGTCGGCAATACCAACCCTGTCAACACCTATTTTGTCAACAGTCTTGTAAATATTCAACAAGTCCACCAAATCCGATCTGAATGAATCTTCCGAGGAGAATCTGATTTCAATCCCCTTGGACTTGACGAACTCAATGACCTCAATAGCACTTTGAGCAATGTAGTTCATATCTTTCCCATGGGAATATTGTCTCAAAAACTGCGATGTTCCAATCACAACATCAACTCCATCAACACCAGTCTCTACAGCAACTCGTGCGTCGTCCATATGACATCTAATATGGGTTAAAATCTTAGCCTTCAAGCCCAACTTGCAAATGGCTTCACAGTCTCTTCTGGATTGTTCCGAGGCAACAGGCGATGTCAACTCGATGTAATCAACACCGAAATCATCTAAAGCCTTGGCAATCTCAATCTTCTTCTCCGTATCGAAAAAGGCATTGGCAAATTGTTCTCCCTCTCTCAAAGTCGACTCAATCAATTGAAAGTTCGACACATTGCTTAAGTAATCTCCGGCATTGGGGCCGTAGGGGTTGGAATTGATCACGTCTCTGGCTCCTTCGTGCGAGGGCTCCTCACACACCATTTGGAATCCTTCAGGGACGGACATGATTGGCTGGTGGGAAAGAGAATACGGTGGATGGAGTCTTTCGTTACGGAAAAGTGTTGATGTATACTATAAATTATGTACTGCACATAATACAGCTTAGGTAATGGATTAGCTAAGCCATACCATTAGCCATATACTATTGCAATAGCTTACAGTTGCAAAAGCTTGCATGGCGCTGCTAAATGTTTAAATGTGCCTTGTTATAATTCATTATTTAGCTAACCTGTGGTTGTTTATATCTAAACCCATTGTATGTCCTTTGTTCTGCTACCAACTCCTTTAATGACAACATGAGCGCATAAGCAAGATCCAAGAGAACATCATCAAAAAGTCTAAAGGATCGATCAATACTTCTTGGTGACAGTCTTGTAAGCTCGGTCTCTAATAGTTGTTGACGAACTAGAAGATCAGGAATATGTTTGAAGTAATCCTTATCTTGTAATTGAGGAAGTTTAAGTGGATCAATGTCCTGAGGAAGATTCACAATGAGTTGAGTTATCACCAAAGATAAGGTTTCGGGTACACAACTATCTAAAAGTTGTTTATTGACTCGAAGCATGGGTAGAATTCGAGGATCAAACAGTAACACATCTTTATGACAATCAAGTGTTACTTTATATTCTGGAGATGGCTCATTTTCACTTATACCATCTTGAGCATCATAAAACATCTCATTATTAGGACTTGTGGCTTCATCAATAAGCGGTACCGAAGGTGGTGTAACCGAGTCAGTCTCCAAGTGTACTGGATCCAGTTGTGGTATGTTCAGTGTTACTGTAAGCGTTAATGTGTCCTGTGTATTTAATGAGACCCGCTCTGTTTCTGAGACCCGTTCTGTTTCTGAGACCCGTTCTGTTTCTGAGACCTGCTCTGTTTCTGAGACCTGCTCTGTTTCTGAGACCTGCTCTATTGAGACCTGCTCCCTCTCCTGCTCATCATTCACTAATGCAAGTCTACCATACTCAGCACTTGCAACAAATGGTACAACCCTTATTCTTCGATTATCCGGTGGGCTGTGGTGTCTTTCAGATGGCAACCTGATTCTAGACATAGCAACAAACCTTTCCAATTAAAACAAATACAGCAAAAGAACTTAAGTGACCATTTGGGTTAAACCATTTATGGTATGTACAGAAAGAGTTCTGGTCATCTGGGGACTACCCAAAATTTCCTATTTAGGCACAACATATATGGGTCATTAAATGGAGACATACACAAACTGAATACATGTGAAAGAGAGAGAAAGAAAATAACCACAAATCATAATATGATTGGATCATTATTAAAAGGAATACCAGATTACAAAAAATATTGTAAGCGACCTGAGATAGCGTACAAAACATAACGATCTTGATTGAATATATACTTTATTTGCGTTATAAGGATACAATTCTCCACATTGAACTGATTACTTTTTCAATTTGTCAACTTCACTCTTCAAGTCATCGACCAACTTCTTTTGTTCATCCAATTGCTTCTTTAAAGCCTTCAATTGTTCAGCTTCATGCTTTCTAATGTAAAGGTTTTCTTGGGTTCTTTCCTTCTCAGCAAATGAATCCTTCCCTTGAGAAATGGCACCTTCAGTCATGGCAATTCTCGAAGTAGAGAACATTCTAACAGATGATTGCAAAGTTCTTCTGGCCAACATAATTAATTGTGATAGATCAGATTGGATATAGTTATTATGATTGAAGATGAAGTAGGGAGTTTGATTTTCTGTCTGGGGCAAAATTTCGCTGGTATTCTGAGCAATACAGGATTTGTATGGGCCTTTTGATTGGACAAAGGTTCGAACTATATACAGTACAGTCTATATACTACTGCAATTAGTGTAGCACTATATTATACGGTTGCTATACTTCTACAATGTGGTGTTCTTAATACGTTCATCATATATACAAGATTAGACTCTCCGTCTATAAACTTCTGGAAACTAAATACTTTTGATGTCTATGAGTTGAGCTCAATAACCCAACACTCCGAGCCCGTTTAACAGCAATGGCCAACTTCTTTTGATTTGCAGCATTACATCCAGTATAATTTCTCGATAAGATTTGTCCCAGAGGCAGAAGAAACTTACTTAAAATCTCAGGCATTGTGTACAAATTCAAAGGATCAATTCCTGATGCTCCAAATGGATCTTTACGTTGGACATCTCTTGCCATTTTCTTTCTGGTCTCTAATTTTGCAGTACCAAAATCGAACGGATCATACGTTGATCCAGCATCAAATCTATTCGTGAATTGGTTGTCGATCCTAATAGGTGCCTCTTTAGCAGATTCTTGAAGTTCTTTAGCAAATTCAATCACTCGATTGGTCATATTATTGGGTCTAGTTTTACTACTCCATGATTCAGTACTTTTCATTTCTTGTGTTGAGGGTAATGCAGATTCTTCAGGAGAAACAGCCTGCCATGTTCTCCTTGTGTTAGACATCATTCTGATGCCTTTCAAAGCACCATTTCTACCTAAGATTCTTGTCTGAATCATGCTTGATATGAGTAGATTGTTCCTTAATACCATTATCAAGTTTGAAAAATTTTCTATACAAAATGTGAGTATACAATTTGAGAATACGTGCCCAACTCAAAAATAGAATAAATACATAAGAACAGATAGAAGACAACGACAGATAAAAGAGAACATCATAAGTAGTAGATTGCTCTTGCCTATGGTAATTGCGGGGTATAAGATGCATTGCAATGTTGTTTTAGGGTTACAGAGTGTTTATTGGACTTATGCTAGGTAAGCTCTTATCCGCGCTACCAGAGAAGTTTTGTAACTTTTTGCTATAAGATAAAGAAGCACGCTAGTGAATAACTTTTCTACAGCGTCTGCTATAAAGCATTAACATGTAAATCATAGAACAATACTGTAAATACTATAGTAGCACTATTGTCCAAATTAGTTATTACTAAAGAGTCGTTCCAACAGTTTAGTTGATTTCCATTCTAGCGCGCTACCATAAACATCGTGATGAAACAACTAAACATCATCTTGTAGCAAAACAACTACAACAGACTAATTGTATTCCTTTCAATCAAGTCATTATATAGAATGGGTTTCGCTCACATATGCGTGGAGGTAAACTGAGCATACGTAGTTAGAAATGTAAGCATAGTTTAATTTGTGACTTACAGCATTTACATTCTCGTTTTGCAATGAACAACACCGTAAACGGCAAGCGTGTATGAACGTATTCAGCCGTTACATTACTATCCAACCTTTCAACATACAGATAACAATACTATTACTAGACACTAGTCCCTGGCGGGCCCCTTTCTACAACAAGTATACTGACATAATAATAATTACCCGCGCTACCACATATACACTCACGACTTGTCTGTCGGGAAGCAAAAGAATGAGAGAAAAATTTGATACCGCTTGCTTAGCGTAGAGTGGACCCTACAAAACCACCTAGTAAAACAAGATAGAGACGGAGACCAGTAATATTATTATAATTATAATTAGTAGCATTGCTAAGGCTCGAACCATACACATCACTTAATATAGTAAGACTAATATCAACAGTAACAACATAATAATAATCTCAATCCTAATAACAACAACAATATGGGCGAACGAGGACCTGATCAATGGTTGGAACAAATCAAGAAATGTATTGCATTACTGGAATCGGATATGAAACAGCTCTGTGAATTAGTCAAAGAACTATTGATGGAAGAAAGCAACATTCAACCTGTTCAATCGCCAGTGACTGTATGTGGAGACATCCACGGTCAATTCCATGATCTTTTGGAATTGTTTAGAATATCTGGTGGGTTACCACTGGAAGACAATAATACTTGCTATATTTTTTTAGGAGATTATGTTGATAGGGGCTATTTTTCATTAGAAACACTTACATTACTCATGGTACTTAAAGTCAAGTATCCTCATAGAATCACTTTGGTTAGAGGGAATCACGAGTCTCGACAAATTACTCAAGTTTATGGCTTCTACGAAGAATGTCTTACGAAATATGGCTCAACCACCGTATGGAAATATTGTTGTCAAGTATTTGATTTTTTAACATTGGCAGCCATTATAGACGGTAAGATACTTTGTGTTCATGGAGGATTATCTCCTGAAATTAGAATGTTAGATCAAATACGAGTTCTTTCCAGAGCTCAAGAAGTACCTCATGAAGGTGGATTCTGTGACTTGGTATGGTCAGATCCGGATAACGTTGATACGTGGGCCGTATCTCCAAGAGGTGCGGGTTGGTTGTTTGGAGCCAAAGTTAGTAGAGAATTCAATCACATAAATAATTTGAGTCTTATAGCCAGAGCTCATCAATTGGTAATGGAAGGGTTTAGGTATCATTTCAAGAACAAAGATGTGGTCACAGTGTGGAGTGCACCAAACTACTGTTATAGATGTGGGAACGTTGCCAGTGTGATGCAAGTTGATGAAGATTTAGATCCAACTTTTAAGATCTTTAGCGCTGTCCAAGATGGTGATTTGGTTGCAAAGAACAACACAGCCAAACAACAAAGAAGTGATTACTTTTTATAGGTCTAAAGTTTTTAAAGTTTAAAAGTTAAAGTTAATTAATTAATGCATATGTACGTTCATCCGATCATTTATTTACCCTTTCTTTGCTTTCTCTTTTTACCAATAATATGCTTGATATCATCAGAGAATCCAGATTTGGGTTTGGTGGTAGCAGTAGCAGTAGCAGATCCTCCTTTATTCATGTTACCCTTCTTGTGGTTACCCTTTTTGAACTTTTTAGATGATCTCTCATCTCCACCTTCTTCTCCGTCCTCTCCACTTCTCTTTCTCTTGTATTCACTATGACGTTTGGTCTTAGACATCTTAACTCTTTCCATTCTTCTCTTGACAACCTGGGCATTCTCAACAGCAAACTCAACAATCAATCTCTTCTTATTTATACCTTCCAATTCAGCCAACTTCTTTTCCTCATCAGTTAATCCCTCTATTATCTCCGCTTGGGTCACCTCATGAGCATTCAACCATCTTAAACCCATCAAGGCGGACTTATGGTCTCTATATTCAATGAACCCATATCCTCTACTTCTACCTTGTTCTCCCGAACCTTTAACTTCCATAACAATCTTGGATTGTCTAACCACACCAGTATGCTTTGTTTTCTTCTTGTCACCACCAGTGGCAGTACCTGCGGTTTTGGTGTTAGGGTCTTCGCTCGTGGTTCCCTCAATGAAATGCTTATAGGCAGTTGAACGAGAAATCTCCTCCTTAGTCAAGGCATGTCTCTTTTCTTCCTTGACTTCAGTAGCAAATTGAACCACAGCCTTTCTTCCCAACGCTTTAAGTGCCTTGGCATTCATGGCCCGAGGAATGTTCCGAATAGCCAATCTGGTCATAGACAAATGAAGTGATGGATTCTTATTCAATTGTTGGACTCTCAATTGATAAGATTTGTCTCTAATTTCCATGTCTTTCTTACTGACAAATTGTGCAAGCTTGCTTTGTTCAGTAATTCTACCTTCATTTAAAAGATACAAGTTTCTCTTGTCTTGACCTTTACTAATCTTCCCCCCTCCAATCAATTCCTTTCTCAATTCAGTGTTCTTATTGGTTAAATACTCAGCAGATTTACGATCAACAGTAGACGTGATAAACATCACTCTTCCATGGTAAACATATGCTGGAGAAACATCATCAGAAATTAACATTGATCCACTGGCTTGAGTAGGAGCATTGTCTAAACATGCTTCAAATGCAGTTTGGGATAGGAATGTAACAAAAGCTGTACCTTTAGCTAATCCAGTGGCCTTATCAATAACCGGTAAAGCGTATTTAACTGGTCCAAACTTCTCTTCAAAATGGTCTTTAAGGGATTCTTTATCGGCATCATAAGGTATATTTCTAACAAAAACAGAATATGCTTCTTGCTTATTTGCTTTAGGTCTTGATTCTTTGATTTCAGGTTCAAGTTCAGCACTATGATCATTCAATTTGGAAAACTCATCATCAGCTTCATCATCATCAGCTTCATCGTCATCAGAATTAACTCCATCGCCATCAGCTTCAACTTCTTCCTTCTCTTCGGCTTCTTCATCGTCACCCTCCTTCTCTTCGGCTTCATCTTCTTGAGCTTCTTCCTCCTCCTCCTTCTGCTCTTCCCACTTGGTCTTCTCTAATGCAAAATCAACAGCCACTTCTCTGCCGTCAATCTTCAACCCAACACTCTCCTTAATTGCCTTCTGAGCAGCTGCAAGCTTCTTCATTACAACAAAGGCAAACCCACTCATCTGACCTCCTTTCTTCCGAGGAATATAAGCATCAAAAACTGCTCCATATTTAGAAAAAATCTTCTTCAATTTTTCAGGGTTCTTACAAGACCAAGGTAAATTACGAATAATTAATCTTGCTCTTCTCTTTTCTATAGTCGAGGATTTCTTGTCATCTTTCAGATCTTTGGCTCCTTCTTCTTCTTCTTCTTCTCCGTCTTGCTTACGACTACGATCATCCTTACGATCTCTTCTCTTCGCAATGTCAACTCTCAATAATCTTCCCTTGAATTTAGTCTTCTTGGAGTCAGCCAAAGCCTGCACCGTGTCTTCTTCCATGGCAAACGATACAAACCCAAACCCTCTGGATTCCTTGTTGGCATCTGTGACTATAACTGCATGCTTAACTGGAGCAAACTGAGAAAAGTACTCCGATAATTCCTCTGACGTAGCGTCAAATGGTACGGATCTAATAAATAAGGTCTTTCTGTCTAAGCCATCTTTATCTACACCACTTGGTGCATTGGTCTCTTCAACGCTCATTGTGGTTAATTAATTCAATAAAAGCCAAATAAATGTACTGTGATCTTCTTTGTATGGAGATGAGAAGAGCATCGGAAAAAATCTCAAGGGGGTTACCCGCACATAGCACAAATCTAAAAGTAAACAAAATCAAACACAATACAATACACACTACACTATACGACAACAGTACATTACAGTATACTATATTACGCTATATTACCCCACATTACTACTCCACTGTACATCTGGTCTAAGAAGGAACATTCATTACTGTTATTTTATATTACTATATTATACCACACTTAACTGTACTGCAATACACTACCCTACTCTGCTACATCTATACTGAACCGTTGCTATACATTATGTCTAAGCGAAGCCATAATACCCTTCTGAGTACTTATATCCCCACGATATCTCGTCGAGTGGTGATCAATATCCTAAAACGACTTCCTAAGGTTTCATTAATAGAGTTGGTGTACGTCTGGCCCAAACAGAAGAACACCCAACCTCAGTTGGACAAGGAGAACTCCTCCCAGCAGCAACATCAACTTAACGAAAAGGTTTGTCAATATGCTCTTAGTCTTAAAAAAGATCCTTCCAAAGTAACCAAACTGTTACTAATAGACAAGATCATTTATGACTATTGGCCCCAAGGTTTGAATATACTACAACTATCACAAGTAGATTGTCAGTTATTGGTGGATAGACCCAATTCATATTCATGGGTTCTGTCGACTGTTAAAGATTCCCAAGAAAAAGAAACTGCCATTGCCATTAATCCTAAACCATTTCTTAATAAGTTGGCTCAAGATTTAGGTCAATTTTATCTTCATTATTTATATGTTTGCAGACATCCAGAATATCCTTTAGTGATCATTAGAATTCAACTCTTTGAATTCCTTCATCCGCATCAGAATATTCATCATCATCCGCATTCAAAAATCAATTTAAACTCCCACAAACCATATTTCATTGCCATTCCAATAAATTCTCCTCATATAATTCATTCTCCAGGTGATGACATAGTAACCAAAATTATGCTTCAGGCTGTGGAAAGAAACTTACCTCAGAATCAAAGAAACCCTTACCATATTGTTTCAAACCCACTCAATTCAATAACAAAATCCTTGGACTCAATGTATATCTTAAATGGTAGTTCGAGGTTCGGGAACTCTCTAGGGGCTTGGTCAGCTTATGCGGACGGGATTATTGATATACTGCCATTATCAGACGGGTTAGACCATCATTGTATAACAAGAGCATCCAAAGAATCGTATACTGATGAAGATAAAGCATTGGTCCAATTAAAGAAAATTGCAAACTTACGATTCAAAGGTACCATTGACGGGAAAATGAAATCAGATAAATTCTTTGACCAATTAGGGCATAGACAAAAGTTGAAAAGGAGGAGATTAATGTACTCCGATGTTGATGACGATCAATATCATCATGATGAGGATGATAACGATAATGAAAATATGACTGTCCAAAATCAATTCAGTTCAATCACTCCTTCTAATTATGCAGAGTTCATGATTAAAGAAGCCATGGGAAGTTCAAATAAAAAGTCTTCAATAACCGTGAAGCTCACAGGAAGTGACGTGTTTGCTGGTCTACATCAACTTTCTGTCTCCACAACTGTTGAAGATCAAATGATAGTGAATCCCCGAACCATACCGTCTTGGTTGACTGGAGAAGAAAAAAGCTGTCGTCTAACAATTGAAGATGGGAAAGTTCAATTATAAAGAGTTTTTTCAATAACCCAATTTGGTAATATATGTTTTAACCATGGAATGTAACGTTTGGTCAGACTCCGAAACTTCATAAAGCAATCTTAAATGTTCAATATCTTTAATTTTGAATGCTTCTTGAGCTGCTGTTTCAAATTCTTTATTTTGAATAAAAAGTTCGACTCTTTCAATTGGTTTTAAATTAGTTGAATTCTTAATGAACACTGAAATATGTTCTTTGGGTCCACTTTTATCAAAATAAGTTTTAAGAATATCTTTAAACCCAATAGGTGATTTAATATTGACAATATCACTGGTATTATTGCTATTGCCAACAATGAATTTGTATAACTTATCCCATTCACCTTTTGAACTAAAGATTTCAACAACCAAATACCAAAAGTCTTCAATTGATACTCCCAAATCTTTGGATACTTTTGAGGCCCTCTTCACTTGATTCATACTGACAAGTTTACCAACAATGTCATACAATGACTTTTCATCATAAAAACTCATTTGATAAGTTTCTCCAAGCTTCTTTTGAAGCTCTAGTATATCTCTTTCCTTTTGGTATATCTTGGTGAATGTCTTGTTAGGACTTCGGCTTATAAGTTTTGACAATCTAAGCTTATAGGCTTCATAATAAGTTTCATCCCTTTCAGAGACCGTTTCAAGATAATTTATGGTTCTATGGAGGGATAATTCATATTTTTTATCTTGCTGTTTCCAATAAGTACTTAATAGGTTGGAATTATGTTTGGCAATATTTTCAACCCAAAAGTTTCCTATAAGATCACCATTGATTATCAAGTTTTCATTCCCACATTCAATGCTTAATTTTTTCACTTCATCCATTGCCATATCAACTAATCCTCCTCCATTAGATTGATTTTGATCAAGAATCTTAAAGAATTGAGTGGTGGTCATGTTATCTTCTAGAGCAATCAAGATCAATTTGCACATTTCATAATTACCAGCTTGGAAGGATTTGATGAGAGCCATTTCTATCTCATTATGTTTAAGTAATTGCTTGATTCTTCTATCCAAATTAGACTCCAAATTGATTAAAAGATTGCATAAATTAGTTCTACCTTCTTCAAATGCAATATCACTAATGGTTTCAACTGAAACATAGTTCCTTTTGGAATTGGGGACAGCAGAAACAAGCTTCTTTGCAATTATTTTGAACAAATTCATATCTGAAATGTTGGGTTCTTTCTTGATCTTTTGACAACACCATTGGGTATAAACTAGATCCTTTAAGTTAGGTAATTCCAATAAATCAATGATCTGAATGGCTAGTAGGAATAAGCTTCGACGAAGTAGCATTTGAATCAAATTCTCCCAACCAATTTCCATCATCTGATCATAAGTGACAAACAATCCAACGTCGGCGAACCGTAATTGGTTCATGACTTTGGTATAATTCAAGTACAAGAGATATTTCTCCGAATCATTATACTTTTCACAATAGGCTTTGCCAAAAGATACTGCCCGCAATATTATCTTTTGTAATGCTTGGTCAAATTCATCCAAAAGTGCTTCAAGACAATCATTGATCGCGGTGATAAGAAGATTTTCAGACTTGAGATAGGATATATTGGCCTCTGCTTTAGAAGCATTGGTAGCTAGCTTATCCACGAAATCAAGTAAAATGCTACTTGGTTTTGAAGAGCCAATTTGATACAATTCAATTCTTTCATTGGAGACTCTATTAATGAACTCCACTTTGTTAGAGGTAATCACGGTTATACCATCACTATGACTTTTGAGAATGGGGATCTCGTACGGGACGTGTTGTTGTGAAGACGTACGAAGAAAATTATCGACATCAAAACCATTCATATTATTATCTTCTTCATCATCATTAATAAGATCATAGAAGAAAGATATTGATTCCTGGCCCGGTCCAATCAACTTGACTTCATCTCTGAGGGATAATACAATAGCATCGTTCCCACACCACGATATCTGATATGGTTCACTGGACTCTTCCGAAATGTCGTATCCAAGTAACATGGAACTGAAGTCTTTGGACGTGACAAATATGGTTTTCATAGTAGAGCTGAATAATGAAACGAATTGGCTATTGGCTGAAACTGCTATTTGAGTAAAGGGACCATCAGCAAGCTCCATATCATGCAATGAAAATGTCCTTGTCAACAAGTTGATCTCTATTTGAAGAACGGTCTTATCGTAGCTTACCAATAAGTTAAGCTTCCTTCTAACCAGAGATTGAATGTCAATGGCATGGATTTTATTTTGGTCCAAATCAGATATGGGTACCACAAAGTTCTTGAACGTATCTAAGTCGGTGATAATCAACTTATCTGGAGTCTGTAATACCAAGTATTTGTCTACGACTCTGGAAGAGACCAATCTAAGAGACTCTTCAAAGTCTAAGTTCAGAGTACCTTCCCCATTGGAATCTGGGAGGTTTTGTTCAGATAGCAGCAAGGAAGTTAATTGAGCGCCTATTTCCTTAAGTATGATCAAATCCTTAGTATATGAGTTTTCATTGAAGTCACCTTTGAAACCTTTATAGTACCTAAACTTTTGGGACGTAAACACCACACACAAGTCTTCACCCCGGAAATGATAGTCGTAGATGTAGTCGTCCTTCTGGCTGTTGTATACAAAATTCCATATCTTATTTCCACTTAAGGAGTAGATTTCAATGACACTGGGGGTTGCAGTGTACTTTGAGGTTAGTGCTAGTAATGAAGCTGATGGAGACACAGCTATTCTGTAGTTGGCATACAAACTTTCAATTGGCCAGTTCAACGAGGAGAAACATGTTCGGAGATTGTAGTAGACATCACGAAGTCTTTGCCACTCCAAACTGGGGTTAGCAATCATGGTAGGAGGCTGAGGCGTATACACTATATAGAGAGAATGTGTGCTTGCAATGTAATATGGTGGAGATAATACTATAATTATGTCGCACAATGTCGCACCCATCTGATGACATTAAGTATCACTAGTACATATACGCACACTTGTAGGGGAGTAACTGACTGTAAGTTGTTGTCTTTTGAAGTGGTACGACAATATCCCCGACTCATACTGACCTTCGTACCGTCTTTTGTACTGGACTCAGATAATAGAATGAGTTCAGAATACGTGACATTGATATCAGCAGACAAATTCAAGTTTGTTGTGCTAAAGAAGGTGGCTTCGATCTCCTCGGTGTTGAGGAATACCCAAGAGTTTGCAGAAGGCAGATCAGGTCGAATTCAACTCGACATGGATGGAGATATCTTAGAGTGCATAGTCGAGTATCTTTATTATAATTTCAAGTACAAGGATAAGGCTGCTAGTGGGAGTGTGCCTGAGTTTAAGATCCCTACTCATTTGGCATTGGAGTTGCTAGTTAAAGCCGATTATCTTGATATATAGATAAGGATCATAGGTCAAGATAGAAATAGACATTATTATGTACTGTTATGCTACTATAGTGTACTACCATACTATGGTGTACCACGGTTCTGCCGTAGTATAGTGTGCTAGTGCACTATAGCAGTGACAGTTCTGATTGTACTACGCCACCGATTATACTAGTTTAAGGTGACACTGACGGTACTACTGTACTACTGACTGTACTGTAATATACTGCTCTGTACTGTAATATACTTTGGTGGTATCTCATCTTATCTCCTGTATACGGCAAAACGAATAAACTGGGGAAAGGGGTTACTTCAACTCACATTAATCATCACTTTTCCTTATCTTCATGCCGACCAAATTACTAGATAGCCTCGTTAGGTCCGTTCACGGATATACCGGGACTGGGTATGATAAAGTATATGACGAGTCAGAAACATTTCTTAACGAGCTTCGTGATGTTGAACTGAGTCTTGTTGCCGCATCAAAGTGTGATGATCTTCCTCCTCCTCCTATCAAATCACTACTGAAGGCTGGCGATAAATGGTATAAGAATCTGATAGATCATCTTAAGACCATCAATTCCGCTACTAATTCGTTCCAAAAGGCCGTCATTAATAACCCAGAGTATCTGTTTGATTTGGATGAAGCCTACACTTATCCCTTGTTATTGGATAACGACGCCATCTTTGAGACCAATGAAGATGAATGGAATTCGAATGGAAGTGGTTCCGATAAGGACTCGTCATCATCGATTGCATCCAGTAGAGCTGTGTACAACGAGAATAAGCATGAGCTTTCGAAGGCCATCATGATGCATTTGTTAAAGAACGGGAACTTTGATGTGTGTCAACAGATGATAGCACAACAACAACATCAATATCAAGATTTGGGATGCTCTGCCGAGGTTCTTACGAAGTTCAAGGAATTGTCAACAATTGTGGATAGTATTATAATTGACCATGATTTGATTAAGGCCTTGGATTGGCTAGATATCCATTCCAAGGAAGTAATGGATCCTCTAGATGGAAGCTTTTTTGAAATTAGGTTCAAATTGACGGCTCTACAGTTCATTTTACTTCTAAGTAAGAACGGGAAGATTACCTTGGACAGTGCCGTGTTGGCATACACGCATTCCTCCAAACGAATGTCGGAGTTTCTCAGTATGTATTTGGAGGAGATCTCTCCCATAATGGCATTATTAGCATGTCAGGGAGCAGAGGGAGAAGTTTTAATCAAATGTCTACGAGAAGGGTTCAAAGTATCGAAAGAAGGGTCTCGGAAGAATCAAAAGGAGAAGCAATTTGTCGGAGAGTTGCTTCAGAATTTTAAACAAATCAACCTTGACCAATCATTGTTCATGAGCATTGCTCATGAATTCATTGGCCAGTTTTGCAAGTACATGCAACTTTCCAATGAACTGAGTTTATTCCAAAGTGTACTTGCTGGGTTTGTTAATCTCCCCAGTTTCCATAAATTCAATTTCATTCAACTGAAGTTGAAGAACTTGAAGGAAGCCAAAGATAAAGCCAATGAAATGGCCGATCTTGTTCATAACGTGGCCACCTATAACTTCGATTTACCCTTTCAATTACTGGACTCAAGTCGCTCATTATTCAAGTTCCATCCGATCTTCATATGTCCTGTTTCCAAAGACCAACTTATACCCAACATCAAACAAGATAGCATGCTGAAACCTGTTCATAACGAACAACGGTACAATAATAACGGCAAGAAGCCATGCCACTCTCGAGATTACTACCCTTTAAATCCCGTGGTGGTGCTCAAATTCTGTCGACATTTGGCATTGAAGGAAAGTATATGGGAGCTTTCAAAGCACGGCTCAGAGAAATTCAAGTGTCATTATTGCTATAAGAAGCATCAATTCAGTGATGTTTCTGATGCCTTTATTATCGACTTGTGAAGACCCCCTTGGTATATAAGTCAGCCTCATCGCGAAATTTATAAGTGTAGTTGACATCAAATTTGTTAGTGTAGATTCTATCTCTTCTTTGTCATACCAACATGTCAAAGCCCAATGCAGACGGCATTAAGTTGATCATGGACCAGCATTCAGTGCTTGGAGATCCATGGGTTCCTGTTTATGAAACCCCTGTGGACTTCAAGGCACTGCACTTTGAGCTGGCCATGGCCAATTTGATCAAACAGCCAAACATCAACTCCACGGTGATCATGAGAGCAGATATATTGAAGGAGAACATCTATGACCCTGGAAGAGGTGACTCCACTTTCACATCCAAACTTATACTGGAGATCCCTTCATTCCCTACCAGTGATCAAGACCATCAACATGATGATGAACATGAACACGATGAGGTGCTCACTCGGTACTTGGACGATGTTACTCTCCGTACTATCCCTCTAAACAATAGCACTATACAGCTCCATACCAAATGTGAAGCCATAAGGAGAATGATACCGAGAAACCCCTTCAAAGACCATATCATCAATCAGACTTGTCTTATACTAACCTCCTCCAATGCCACTTCTGTGTTGGTTGTTTACATCCCTCACATCAAGAGTGAAGACGAGATCCCCTTCTATTTACCCCCGGTCTACGGAGTGGGGATCTTATACCACGACTGCAAACTTTCTATCCAATACCTTCCCTTTAACTACAACACAGATCCCCTGGCTAGTCCCAAACTACGGGGATTGGATGTGGCTGAAAGACCCATCCGTATAGCCTTACGGTTATTGAAAACCTCAGATAAGCATTCCAACGGTCAGATGACTGGCTATGAAAAAAGGGTGTACCATGACTTGGTGGTTCCCAAGGTAAACTTCCAGAATAGATACATCACTCTCAAGAAGAAGTACTCTTCCCATTTGGTTAACAACTGGACAGAGAGCACCGACCCAAGGAAACATGTGTTTGAAGACTTGGCTATAGCTGCGTTCCTAATTGAGTTGTGGGATCTTCATTACACCAATGCTCCGGACTTTGAATTCCGTGATTTGGGGTGTGGGAATGGCCTACTCGTGTACATTCTTATTAACGAAGGCTACAAGGGTAAAGGTATTGATGCTAGACAACGGAAATCTTGGAAGACTTACCCAGAAGAAGTTCAACAATGTCTCTTGGAGCAAGTGATTGTACCTTCAATCTTGCTTAAACCCCATCCTGCGGTGAGACAATTGAATCCAAAGATTACCGATAACGGAAGAGTCTTCCGTGTAAATGGGAGAAATAACCATCCACCCACAACTTACAAATCAGCCGACCTTTTGCATAACCCAATGGTATGTACTACCGAAGACTTCCCAACTAATACATTCATCATAGGCAATCATTCAGATGAGCTCACCTGTTGGATCCCGCTATTAGGTTTCCCATTTATGGTGATTCCATGTTGTTCCCATGCCTTGAACGGGAGTAGAGCCAGATACCATCCACGGAAGACCATAGTGAAAACCGGCGTTCAACCAGTTGCACTGATGTACGGGTGTTTGGTGGATCATGTTGAAGATCTTTCTAAGCAAATGGGATGGATAGTGGAGAAGGAAATGCTTCGGATCCCCAGTACTCGGAATGCAGCAATTATTGGTATGAACAAACTTCTGACTCATAAAAGTGATCCACCTGACGATGTTGATACCCGGGTTTTAGACCTTATAGCTTCTGAAGGTGGAGCCGATGGGTGGGTTGAAAATTGCATGCTACTTACAACTCTGTCTCCCAGAGGCCATTAATATATTCTGTCGTAAATTAGAAAATACGAGATGCGTTACCTCGTATTTGAGCAGAAATGTATATCGTTTGACTTCCATATGTTTGGTGATAGACTAACTATTTACGAGAATTAGTATGCTGATACACCATATACGTTCTTTAATGCTAGAATTATTTTAATCATAACATCAGTAATGATGCTGAAGGAAGTAGTCATGTATTGCGTTTATGGCCGGAAGGAGGCTTCTGTACTTAATATAACACTAATTAATGCACCATGAATTATCAATTGTACTATAAAAAATTATTCAATTGTACATTTTCCTCCTAATGCTTGGGTTTGATTAAGGATCAGTTACGGAATATAAAGTGTAAGATTGATGTTTACTTCAATTTAGTGTTCTGTAAATCACTGTCACCTTAATGGTTTTCTTTTAAGCCAAAACTTGGCCATAACCCGAATTAGTGAAAATTAGACTGTAAAAGCCCGTACAGCCTTCATAATCACTACAATTCACTCTGTTCTAATTTGCTCGTGACTGTGAACCCATCACTCGGTGCGCAAAATTAATGCTAACTTCATATGTCTTCTAGTTCTGGATAGCTTGAGTGATCTGGCGATAATAGTAACGGCTTTATGGGAATAAAGAGGCAATTTGAAAAATTCCATTTTTACGGAATATGTACATTTCAAATGTGTCAAAATATTTTGCAGCATAAATATACGAACAAACTCGTAAACTTTAAATTTTCATATACTAATACGATGGTCTTTAATTATATTGCCCAATACAGAGTGAATTAAGGTTACACCAAAACATCTTAAGTATAAACAGAAGTAGTCGACACTCATATATCTGTTTTAAATATCCAATTCTTTCGCATCTTATTTTTGGCACTTTTCTATAATGGAAAGCGCCATATCAGGTTCGTAGTAATTTCAATTCAGGAGTTTACAAAGAGTCAGTAAAGGGGGAAGACATAGTTGAACTTTACAAGTTTATTGCTTAACACGATATCATCACCTTATCAGTTGTGTGAAGAATTTTACTTCATTTTTTACATTTAACATGCTCAATGTTAACTGGACGTTTCATAGTGTTTTCCTCTAGATTAAACTTATAAACAACTTATCAAGATAAGTTAAAGAACTACAAGATTTAAGTCCCCTTTAATACCAACAAAGAAAACGTTCAAAACGTAAAAAAGTAAATGATTATTATAATCCCACAAACCAATAAACCCATGTGACTCCTGTTATTTCACCGTAGTAATTTATTGGCAGCTTGAAACTAACTTGTACTTTTCTGGCAATGGCTCTTATTATACCGTTTCAAATCACTTACATAAGCAATTACATAATAGTACAGATTTTTAGCCCCTTTTGGACTGATGGTGTTTGTTTAGCTGCAGTACCCCAAATTACGATGTTGGTGAAATAAATGAAATGGAATAAAATGCAACCTCAGCATCCACCCGTTAGATAGATAGCAGTTTATCCGACGTATTTCTTGCCATGACCGGATCATCTTCTCAGTATGTGAACACCACAATAACAGTATTGTTATCTTTACTCGGATAATTATAACGACCGTACTAACCCTATACTAATTATAGATTTCAACAACTTGAAAAGCTTGGTGAAGGTACTTATGCTACAGTTTATAAAGGACGGAATAGAGCCACGGGGACGTTTGTGGCCTTGAAGGAGATCAACTTGGATTCGGAAGAAGGTACACCCTCTACGGCCATCAGAGAGATTTCCTTAATGAAGGAGTTGGACCATGAGAACATTGTTACCTTGTATGATGTTATTCACACTGAGAATAAGTTGACATTAGTGTTTGAATATATGGACAAGGATTTAAAGAAGTATATGGAGAACCACGGTAATCAGAATGCTTTAGATTTGAAGATTGTCAAGTCGTTTATGTTTCAATTGTTGAAAGGAATTATGTTTTGTCATGATAATCGTGTTTTACATCGTGATTTGAAGCCTCAAAACTTATTGATTAACCATAAAGGAGAATTAAAAGTTGGAGATTTCGGTTTAGCAAGAGCGTTTGGAATCCCCTTCAATACCTTTTCAAATGAAGTGGTTACCTTATGGTATAGAGCTCCTGATGTTTTATTAGGGTCCAGAGCTTATACTACATCCATTGATATTTGGTCTGCCGGTTGTATTTTTGCGGAAATGTGTACTGGGAAGCCTTTATTCCCTGGTACCAATAACGATGATCAATTGACCAAGATCTTTAGAATAATGGGTACTCCAAACGAAAGGACATGGCCTGGTGTCAGTCAATACACGAACTACAAAAACAATTGGCAAATCTTTTTACCTCAAGACTTTAGAATGATGATTCCTAATTTGGACTCCATGGGTTTGAACTTGGTCCAGAGCTTATTGCAAATGAGACCAGAAGCAAGAATCACAGCAAGACAAGCTTTACAACATCCATGGTTCCATGAGATCACGCAACCAACCCCTGTTTTACCATTGGCTGATCCTTATCAACAACAAATCCAAGACCAGCAACAGAAACAGCAACAACAACAACAATCTTACTAAACGTAAACTATACTAGTAGTGTATATCTTATATTGGAATAAATTTAAATAAATTATCATCTATATCTGCTAATAGGGCCAGCCTATTGCTTCCCACCGTTCTGTTAAAACACCCCATAATCAAATCCTAACTTTGTTCTGCTAATATCCATAAACATCTCTGTCAACTTGACGTTCCGAATCTCCATTAAAGAACGCCATACCATATCGATCTCGTGTTTGGACTGGACACCATCTGTTCCACTACAATACCACTCCAATAACTGTTCAAACAACCCAGACCCCCCTTGGTACCCGTTCTTGTACACTTCAAGTGCTTTCAACACACTGTAGACCAGCAATACCCTGTTGTCACAGTTGGCATAAACCATCTTGGCCATCTCAAGTAACGGTACTTGAAGGTTTACGTTTAAAGAATGCTTTAAGGGATCATCTATAGCACGATATCTTCCACCCATATTGAACAACTGTTGGCATTCAGCAAGCTTTTCCTCGGTATCAATGGTCCAGAATCGTTGTGGCAAGTATCCTTTACGGAACTGATGTCTGAACAGTAAATGTTCACATAAATTATTATCACCAGCAGCTTCAGCCAAAACTGGGGTAGTAGTAGTAGTAGTAGTATTAGTAGTAGTAGTATTAGTAGTAGTAGTATTAGTAGTAGTAGTATTAGTAGTATTATTAATGCTTATTGGGTCTCCCAACGTTGTTGTGATATCTTTAACTAGTTTCTCAACTCTCTGGCTTCTCCATTCACGTTCCTGTTCTATGTTCTCTCTTGTAGCCAAATATCCATACTTGGTAGCAAGATATCCAATCACATCTTTGGTGACAAACTTGTATTGCAAACATGCACTATCAACAGCATATCTCCATCTACGCAAATGAGACCCAAATGCCGTGGCTTCCTGGAATACAACAAGGTTTACATCACGATTAGGATTCAAACATACATTCTTGCAAATGTCACCAAGCTGTTGGTGTTCAAATTCATACACCCTCAAGAGACGATGGATACGATCTTCCAACGTGGGAGTTTTAACTCTTTCATTCAAGTCACTAATGAAACTCTCTTGAATAACATCAAGCTTAAGCTTTAACGTGGGCTTCAAGCATAGTTTAAAGTAATGACTCATGTAGTACATGTTGTTTCCTTCAACACCAACGTAAACAAATATTTTATGTAATACTTCCAACGGGAACCGTTCTAAAATTGATTTCTTATCTGTCAGGGATTGAATCACTTGTTCTTGTTCTCGTTGTGCTGACACTTGATTCTTATGTAACCGTTTGTTTAGTCGTACTTGACTGACACAGGATCGAAGCTGCCTCTTCTTTCGAGGGGCAACGCCCGTCATTATATAGCCCATCTTCTTCACACCTCTACGCCGCCCCTTAACAAATGTCCACACGCACTATGAAACCGTCACCCGTGGGACCGAGTTCCAAAAACAAGTTCACGTTTGCTTAGAGCTGGTGGTGGTCATCGGCCTTAGGATCTATGGAAAAACTATCTCACTCAGAAGCACCGGGTCGTGCACGTGTCCGAAATGAATCATATGGAGTAGGCATTTGATTCAACTCAGGGGTACGGCTGGACGGGAGTTTGATTTAGCAACAACCAGTGAAAAACCCGCCTTGAATCATCAAGATATAATGGTCTTGGTATCGTAGGTTACGGAGCACAAAGCTCGTGAGTCAACGTGGTATTTGAGAGTCGAACACGGAACAACGGAAAAAGACACGGCTGTGGTCCAAAGGAGATTCGACTAACGAAAGCAAACTTCCTTAAGGGAAGGGAGGGGAGCATCACAATAGATAAGATAGCATCATTGTGGAATAAGGAAGGAACCGGGTGAATGTGATGACGTAGATAATCACTTTGTTGTCAATCAAGGTTATGGAGTTAAGACTGTGCACAATCCCTATGATCCCAACGGTGTCTAGTGATTCTTCGGTTTTAACATCGTTGTTACTATCTATAGAAAGCATTTTAGGTCGTAAGAGTAGAATCTCAGCCACACCGTAAACCTACCATGTACTTCTTAATGTAATTGTCCACCATGCTTTCATATGTGATGAGCAACGACGTTTCATACGACCAACACCGTATGTTCGCTACAGATAACTGCCAGTCTCGACTTTGTTCATAGTATTATCATATGATAAAGATGCACATATCAAATTCCATTGGTGCGAGTTCCTTATGTACTTGCTAAAACGTTGGCCTCGACTCATCCTTTCCTCCGAACTACTACAGTAAATAGATTCAAAGCATATTTTCATGAATAAATAAATAACAAAATATTAGATATAATTGCGTACAAATAACTGATAGTCAGTAATCTTGTAAAAAATCAACCTTACAATTTAGACTTGTCTTCCTTGAATTGATCTTCAGTGACACCAGCACCCATAGCAGCAGTTGAAGTAACACCACCAGTACATAATCTCAACAAACCATCAATGTATTCTGCACCAGACCATTTTTGATGCTTGACAACTTCAACACCTTGTTCGATTTCAGGTTGTTGAACTTGTTGGCCATAAGCACGCATACCGATTTCAGCATAGTTTCTGGCAAAGGAATCAACAGCCAAGGCTGTGGTGTGCAAACCAGCCAATGTGATAAATTGCCAAACGTAACCCAACTTACCCAATCTCTTGATATAAGTTTCTTGTTCATTTGGTGGCATAGCCTTGTTCCAGTTGAAAGATGGTGACAAGTTGTAAGCCAACCATTGTTCAGGCCACTTAGACTTGACACCATCAGCAAATTCCTTGGCTTGGTCGTATTCTGGTAAAGCAGATTCCATCCAAATCAAGTCAGCATATGGGGCATAAGCTCTACCTCTCATAACAGCACATTGAGTACCACCTCTGTATCTGTAGTAACCTTCTCTAGCACGAGAAACTTCCCAGTTGAAGTAAACATCCTTACCCAAGATATCACGGGCCAACTTTCTGGCTTCCTTGTTGGAAGTTTCAGATAAGGGGTTAACTTTTTCAGTGAACTTCTTAATCAAACCAGCCTTATCAGACAAGTTACTGGCATTGATTTCATCGATAACTGCTTCGTGAAACAACTTCAAACCAGCCTTAGCAGTCCACTCAGCTTCAATGGCAGCCAATTTATCCCCATAGATACCCTTGGATTCAGCTTCAGTCATCAAAGTAGCCAATTCTGGAACTTCTGGGTTTGTGGCACCAATAACAAAGTAATGATCTCTGTGGTCAATGGTTGATGTAAGCAAAGTAGCAGCTTCAGAGTCAGTTCTGGCAACAGCAAGTAAATCAGATCCCAAAATATCAGCAGAAGCTCTAATAGCAACTAATCTGTTGATATGTTCTTGAACTGGAACCAAGACTTTCCCAGCCATGTGCCCGCACTTCTTGGTACCAGGAGCTTGATCTTCAATGTGAATACCAGCAGCACCTCTTTCAACAAACAACTTGGTCAACTTAATGATAGCAGTCAAACCACCATGACCGGTATCAGCATCAGCAATGATTGGTCTTAAAAAGTCAATGTATGGAGTGTTTGCTCTTTGTTCCTTGGTCATTTCCAATCTGTCAGCTCTTTGTTTTCTGTCATGGAACAATTGGGCAAACCACAAGTGTTCAACCTTGTTTGGTACAGTATCCATAGGGTAATCAGCTAAATCTGGGGAGGGTTCATTGGAAGTAGAAGCAGTAGAAGAACATTGCCATCCGGAAACGTAGACAGAGTCCAAGTACTTGGCCATTTGAGCAACATGGATTGGATCCAAAGCACCAAAAGTGAAAGAAGTGGTCTTAGCAGCATCATGCTCTTCTAACAACTTGTACAACTTTTTAGCTTGGTTATTTGAGGGATAATCAATCTTAAGAGTACCTCTCTTTTTAGCAATTTCTTCAGCGGTATAAATACGCTTAGTCTTTCTCCATCTTGGTTGAGACCACCATTCGTTAATTTCTTTAACTTGGTCTTGGAAGAACTTTTCTTCAGCGTCAACGTTGATCTTAGTGTAAGGCATGGTGTATGTTTAGTACTGTATTAGTCTGTGAATTAACAACCTTTTTGAGGATTAACTTAGAGTCTTTGACTAAGATGTAAACTGTTACTGACTCAAATGGAAAATAAAATACTTCGGTTTTACTGGGGACATCGTTCCGTATTTATATGTCTCTGGCCAAAGTGGAAACTACCTAAAATTCCACAACCATATTTTTTTTGTTACTTTTGTCCGCCGACAGGTATGATTTTCACTTTTGAGTTCCAGACAATTTTTCTTTTTTTTTTACTTTTCAATATGACTCTTGTTCTAACTTTTAATCTTCTCTACTGTAAAGATATCTTTTGAACTTTTGCGCAGTCTGGTAACTGTGATCAAGTGCTTGTCTACAAGTACAAGTACATATGTTTTTTTATTTTATTACGACTATAAAACTACAAGTAGTTGACTCATTAAGTTGTTCTAGTCTGCTTCTCCATACTTTTCTCAAATGAATGTACCCCAGATTTCCTCGCCAAAAGCACGTAAATTTGTGTAATAAAAGCCATATCAGTCTTGCATAGAACGCTGCTAATGACTCCCACAATGGCGCCAGCCACAACGAACTTCCGTTAATCCAGGAGATTTATCAGCGAAGACTGCGTATAGTCCGCTACTGCCTTTGATTTTCCTCGGATGTATGGGAAGTTGGTTTAAGGTGTTAAGAAATGCATGAGCCAAGTTAATAAGAGCTGACGAACTATGAAGTAGTTGAAGGAGACACAACGACGTAAACAAAACTGTGGAAGAAGAAAAGAAAAAAATATAATCACAATCTAGAGAGTGTTACTCCGGGAAATATAACCATTACGATTTAAGAGAATATTATGTTTGTGACGATGTCTCGGAGTTCGTAGGAACATACGCTCAATTGGTATTTTCATCGGCTCGCACTTAATATATTTTGGTAGCGCGGGTTATATCTGGGGTTTAGAGTCTCGCAGATTTTGTTCCCAGGTGACTCAAATGCTCGGTTCACACATACCAAAAAAGTATGGAGAAACTGGGACAAAAGGATATAAGGACACAAGGACACAAGAAGGATTGCTTTCCGTGTCGGAGCCGGTTTCAAGCAAACTTGAGTCCTTAAGAATACCTGCCGTTGATGCGTTTGTCCGCGTTTTCCAACGTCATACCCAACTGACTTTGCGGTGATTCAGTTATTACATTCGCATTAGACATTACTTACATTTGACTGTCACATGAATGGCAGGCTGATATTACTAGTAGGGGTCAAATTTGGCTTGTTCTTTAGGAGGACAAGCCAACAAAAATATTCCCGACAAAAAATTGCTATGCAAAATGACTGCATGGTCACAAACCCCCATTTGTCTTCATTGGTTGAGAGTGTCGTAGATAAGTGAACACCCTATACTTGCCCCTTTATGATCTCGGAGTTTTAACTCCAGAAATATTGACATAGGTGGGGGTCTCGGAGTTTCAGTTCCGGTGATTTTTTTTTTTGGCTTGATCAACCATGGTTTGTATAATCTAAGTATGGCTACGATAATGGGTATCTAAGGAGAGATGTAACTACAAATGACTCATGTCTCATTACTTGTTTGTTGAAAAAATTAGCCTAGGGCGTCAGAACAATTATAACAAGAATTCTTGTTGAAGTATAATTTGTTGAAATGTCAATGGTGCCACTTTTCAGATTGAAGTGCTAACACTTGCTTATTCCTACGACATTGAGTCATTCACGAATAGTCACATGACCGATAATGTCGCAAATGTCGTTAAGTAATTATCTACATGTATGCATCTTCTTCTCAAGTAACATGTATACTTTTTACCCGAAATGCATCTCTGATCCTTAACTTATGTATGCTGATTCATTGCGTGCCCAACAATTCTTTTACTCGTTTAGTCATCTTTTTCAACACTTATCTTATGACTATAGAGTTTAAATAGGTATCATCAAACGATTCTAACTACACTATAGGCAACGCTCTACCTTTTCAGGTGTTCACTCCAGGTATCACAGTTTCCCTTATTATATATTAAATTTCATCGTACAATCTAATCAATCACCGAAACAGTCGGTTGTTAAATTTCATGTAGTGTAGAGGACATGCCCGTATTATGACAATTGTCAAAAATATCTCCACCTCCAGGCGGAGATATTCTCAATTTGGATTTTGGAATTCTTAAATTGGTAAGAGCTCGTCTCAACCTCTCCTGCACTCGAAGACTTTTCCGTTACTATTCATCGGTTACTAAAGGCCAGTTAAGAACAAGAAAATCATCAACAGATACCACAGAAATTTCATCATTTGTTACTTGAAAGTTTGAAACACTATTTACGTGTTTGAGATTTAGCGGATGTTGCCCAAGCTTCTTTCTTTCCTTCCTTTCTTTTTTTATGGATATCCGTCACCATAACATATTGGTCATCAACAATAAATCAACTTCGACTTAAAGAAGCTTACGATGGCTTCAAACGTTGTAAAATACCCTGGTTTCTTAGAATACCTACCGCCTATCCAGTCCATCGCGAATATTGTTATATCGTTAGCGCCTTTATTCTCATATGGTACTACATGCTATTCAATATACAGACGACAAACCCTGATGGGGTTTTCTATTGATATATGTGCTACTATGCTTATGGCAGCAATACTTCGGATCTTTTATTATATGATAGTCCCCTATGAAATATCCTTATTGAGACAAAGTATAACGATGATCATCATTCAACTGATCTTACTTAAAGTCTCTCTCAAATATAGACAGAAAAATTATAGTCCGGAATTCCTAGAACCAATGCCGTCGTTCCAACATTCATTCCAATCAAGACTTCCAAGAAGGTTATCGATACTGGGCCAAATTATACTGCATCATGATTACTCAAAGCCTTCAGAACCATTCAGCCCTACTAGTCCGTCATCTTCATCTTCATCATCTTCTCCATCGTCAACAGGCTATAGTATTAATTCAATTACAAAAGATTATTCGCTGTGGTCATCATGGCTCAATTTTTTAAGCGATTTGAAATTATATTGTTCAACCTATTTATCTCTGGGGTTGTTTTATGTATTGAATTTTTTTGATGTCTATTATCGTCGTCCGGGTCTATTCTGGCAATGGGAAGATGAATGGAAGTATTGGCAATATATAATGAAATTCACTACTGTATTCGCCATTTTAACAGCGATCTTCTACGGTAGTGAAACTTATGGAACATGTATTGGACTACTAGGATTATTTATTGAATCATTATTACCATTGCCCCAGATTCTATTATTAAATAGAGTGAAATCAATTAAAAATTTTAAATTGATCTTATTAGTTAGTTGGCTCTGTGGGGATCTAACAAAATTAAGTTACTTGGTCTTTGGGGCAAGAGATACCCTGATCATATTCTTTTTAGCAGGTTTTTTCCAAATGTGTCTTGATTTAATTATCTTATATCAATACATTTACTTCAAAAATAACGAAGCAGAAGAACCTGAATTAGATATAGCGTTAAACCATATATAGGCTAATCATAGGAAAATTTAATATACATACTACAAGCATGTTCTACTTAAATTAATCTTAAATTATCAAGGAGTTATTAATAGAGTGAACTATATATAAGTATTTATAGTGATTGGGATATTAGGTGCTATTAATAAGAACCCATGATAAAAAAAATAAAAAATAAAAGAAAAAGAAAAAATGATATAGAAATAATATAAATAAGTGATAATAAATCCGAATCATAAACCCAAAATGATTAAATATGATAATAAAAACCCTTTTGCTGGGTAAGGGGTAGTGCTTTCAATTAACCTTAAATATACTCAACATTAGCCTTAGCTTCGTTGATCAAAGTTAATGCTTCATCACCAACTATTCCATGCTTCATTTTTATATGTCTAGAAAGAGCGTCGTTCCGACTAAAAGTCTTTGAGTTACCATTACCCTCACCACCAAATCTCCGTCCTTCGCAGATAACACAACGGAAAATCTTCTTCTTCGCGGCATGAATGGTATCCTGATGTCTAATTAAATCATATGGTCTAGAAAACTGGCGATTACATGGCAATCCGGTACTGGGGTTGACTAGATGACACAAATGATCAGGATTATTAGCAGAAATCTCAGCAGCAGCAGAATGATGTGCAGCCTTTGCACGTCTCTTTATTACTGTTCCATGATCTTCATGGAACCCTAAATCCTCAGGAGCCATGGTAGTAGCGGGAGTAACCGAAGGAGCAACAGTAGATTCTTCTTCTTCAAACATCATCTCATCATCTTCATCTGAAACCAAGTCAGGAACATTGCTCTCTAAGTTCATATTAGATGATTGAGAAATAGCATCTAAATCAAAAGATTCGACTGCATTCAACATATCAGGTTTTATTTGAGATTCTAGTGCATATTGTTGGGGGGCGGAAACCTCACCCTCAAAGGTCACGCCAAAATATTGTTGTGGCGCAAACTGAGTTTGAGAGTTCATTAAAAAGTCTCCACATGCCTCATCCATTTCTTGAAAGTAGTCATTATCATCAGCTTCATCTTCATCATCATCACTAATCTGTTCTTCTTCAATCTCTTCGAGTTGGTGGAAAACATCAAATTGATCTATTCCATTTTGCACCTCATCATAGATATTGACAGTTGAAGGTTGCTGTTGAACAAAAGATGATGGAGAAACATCTGGATCTATCAACAGGAGATATTCATTGTACTCATCTTTCTTTGTTTGGTTATCTAAACCTAACGTCGTAATCCGGTTACGAGGAGGTAAAGAGTTTTGCATGCTAGTATTGTTTGAGTTCAGTCTATAACTCACTTGTAATTCCGGATCGCTGTGAGCATTGAAAGGATTTATTTCTTGAGGGTTCATATTGTTGGGAGTACCTGCAAAACTACCATTATCATATACTGTAGAATTACCAAACAAGTCACCTTCTAAAAACATACCCGGTATCGAGTATGAAGGAGGTTGCTGTGTAGCAGACAATTCGGGTGAAGAATTGCTAGAAATTTTTAAAGGGATAGAGAATGCAGTTGATGAACTGGTACCATCCGAGAGGACACCAGTAGAAGTATTGTAATGGTTGTATAATGCAGATGATCCAAGTAACATGGTTGAATCACTATTCATCATATCAGGTAATGCTTGAGTTCCGAAAGTGGCGTTGTTATTTGTGGTGGCAAGTGAAGGATTATTAAAGGCTATTTGGGTGGCAAATTGATTCGATGGCGATGTTGGGACGTGATAAATTTCGTCGTCCATTATATCTGTTAAAGTCCGTTTTAATGGTTGTAATACAGCTAACGAGGTCATACCTTATTACTATGGTAAAGGAAAAGGTATGCTCAATATTTTTTTTTACGACCTTTTTGCCACATTATTACTGATGGCAAATTTATTCATATTTATAATATCTCTGAACTCCGTCACACAATACCAGGCTTCCCAATTGGGCTTAAGCTCCGAGTTTTGCTGTCTGTGACTAAATTCGGACTGCACATAAAGGGGTTGGAGGCTTCTTTAGTGATCGATTTTGTCTACGTCTAGTCAGTGAGGTTGGGCTGTTTAAGATTGTGTTATAATCTTAGTAAAGAGAACGAATATCCAAAAGCTAATTTGATCCGTTTGCTGTACCTGAAAAGATACCACAATTATGGGGCCGGGATTTGCCCACGGAGGGTACGATTCCTAAGTTGATCATTATTTATTTAGTTTTGTATACGAAAATTGTTATACCCGATGGATACACTAATTCCCGTCAGTGTTACCTTTTAGCACGGTAGTGTATTCCTTTGCTACCGAACTCAACTCACTCACACCCAGAAAGTGGAATTAATTGAGGGGTTTTATTTTAGTATTAAGGCTGCTTCATCCAGCTTAAACATTTGCACATGTGAAACAGTACGCCTCTTTGAAACAGTTTCTCTTTAACGCAGAAAGTCGTAAGTTTTGTTGAGGGCTATGGCTGCTGCTATGGTGTAAGGCGATATTACGCGATGTACTTCCCCGGGGTCATAGGCCTAGCTATTTTCACTGGAAGTGATAGTGGATTTAGTATGTACAATTTAAATCCGCTGATTAGTCATAGTAAAGAGCTGCTCCACCTAAGAAGACATCACTTTAGTGATCAGGTTCTACGTATCTATGCAACATCAGAGGTGTCATGTATGCCTGTAAAACAGATTGCACCTATTCTATTATATGAATGATTCCATCCGACACAGCCATCTCTTGACAGGGGATGTGTTGCCCAAAATAGAAAGAACAATCAAAAGGGTCTATATGCAGGATAAATATTTATGAAGTAGGGAGGGGGCGAACATTTCTAGAACTTTCGGTATTGTTATCCTATTTCGGTAGTTATGCGTCCTAGTTTGATCGTTCTGTTGCAGATCCATACGACAGGTTCCATATATACGAAGGTAACATACATATAAACATACCGTCTTGGAGATTGCATATATGGGTCTACTAATCATTCTTAATCATAATCTAACAGTCTATTACTTCTCTATACCTTCCTTGCTTACTTTAGCAATACCTCGTTCAGCAGCTTCCTTATCCAAATAGTAGAACTTGATCAAATGTAAATCCTCATCTAGTTCAAAAACTAATGGAACTCCCGTAGGAACATTGACCCCAGAAATGGCATCATCATCTACTTTATTCAAATACTTGATTAAACTCCGAACAATACTTCCATGCGTTACAACTAGCACTGTTTTGTTTTCCACAATCAATTGTTCTTCCAATATCTCCACACGGAAATAAGGAATCAATCGATCCATTACCATCTCCAACGATTCTCCACGAGGTAGTAACCTTCGACTTTCTCCCATTTCAGCCTTATATCTATCATCATAATCATCATCAATGGAATGATCAATGGCATCAAGTGGAACTAACGGTGGTACAGCACGAAAGTTTCTCCGAACCCATTTATACTTGTCTTCCCCAAGTTCTCTGAAAACTTCATGTTTTACCCTTCCTTGATATAATCCATAATGTCTTTCGTTTAATCGCCATGTTTTAACATGATCCACGTATAATTTATTCAATTCCTTGAGAATAATGTAGCCTGTATCAATCAGTCTCAGGAGTCGAGATGTAAACATAATCTGGGGATGTAAATCTGCCAGTGCAATAAGATTAGCTGCCTTTATGGCCTCTTGTTTACCTTGAGCAGATAATGGAGCATCAATCCATCCACAGAATTTGGATTGATTGTTATACTCACTTTCTCCGTGTCTTAGTATTATTAGTTTATGTACTGCCATATCGACATTTAACCTCCCTGTTTCCTCTCTTCCAACTTGCTTAAAAAAATCCCAAAAGATTTAAGCAGAAAGACAACCTATAATTGTCTTATGTTCTTTAAAATGTTTTAGCGAACCATTAACACTCAAAAGTATTAGTGGGACGTTTATTTGATATAAGAAGTGAATTCTGGTATTTTTGGGATCACGTGGTGGACAACAGGTGACCCTAATAGCCATACGGAGAAAGGATCTTTTCTTTTACGATTTCACTTATGCTAATACACGGATAGACGGAAACTACACAACCATATGATTTCTGAAGGTATCCAATTGAATGGGAAGCCCACTATTAATGACTTAATGGTTTGCGTACTTTTATTTTTGCATACCCAAAGTTACCCTTGATATGATTTCAACTCCTATCAGAAGAATGGACTTATAGCCCAAGTGAAGTATACAAGTATCAGGTTAATGAACATGAACCTTTTGTTCCCGATATTATTAAGTTTACAACTATTATTATTACTCATAACGTGAGCTTGTATTAAAGTGAAAACCCCCCACCAAAAAGTTTCGTTCCATGGTAAACCAACGATCTGACTCTTTTGTGTAGTTTTGAAACTCGTAAAGTGTAATCCTCCAAACACTATCACCAGATAAGAAGCAAAGAAATTAGTTGTCCATAGACAGTTGTTCTCTAATATCTTAAACGGCATCCTTGATCATGTTGCTGTGGGAGCAAATCAAACTGATGGTAGAGAAAGATGAAATAGGCTATTTCTATAGGTCTGAGGAATCAAAGCTAAAGTACTATAAGTTAAAAGAGAAATGCCAGAAGGAAGGTATTACCTTGTACCAGAATCTTGTGGTGCATTCTCTTAATTGGTATACACATAAAGAAGGAGTTCCACTTGGTAAAAATGGTTTACCTGATGATAAAGACATAATAGTTAAAGAACTGAACCCCACACTATTTGCAGATCCATCAGACTACAAGTTTCTTGTAAATGAATACGGATACGATTTTCCTAAGAATCTGATCCACTTATGCTTATGGTTTAAGAACTTTATGGTTCCTGATCCCAAAAGTGACGTTGGTGATATCAGTATTGAAACAAAGCATGTTATTGAGAGAGGACTACAGAATTTATTAGAGCCTGTGGGTGTGAAACGAGATCAATACGTATGGTTCAAAAACTGGGCAGCATTACAGAGTATTCGATTGTTAAGTCATGTACATGTGGTTATAGTAGATTTAACCTCTGAACAACTTGCCCAGATTTTAGCATTGTAGGTGTCGTGGCCTTGAACATTCCATCCTCTATAATAGAAAATACTACAAACAACTATGATTAAAGTTCATTGGTGCCACACATAGTATGGAACTTAATTTAAAACACAATTAGATATAAAAGATAAGTGAGTGCCCATTAAATAAATCATTTTCAGACATAATTTATCAGTCTAATTGTAATAATTTGAAGTCATGTTCAGTTGGGAAGATTGTGGTGATATAATTGGCCGTAATGACCTTTCCAAATTTTGCAGAAACTCCGAACAAACCGCAATTTATCAGACATTAAAATCAAAATTACAAGAGGAACATTCATCAATTTTCAAGCATGTTTTAAATACCCAATTAGGATGGTACGATCCAAAGTTAAATGGAAATAAGAGAATCGAAGACCTCAAAGATACGGAGATAGTGGTTGCTGAAACTACTGAAGAAGATTTGACTAAACCAGTGTATGAGGATGCAACCCAAATTAAGATTTTATTGAATGATTTTCCATATGATGTTGAGCCTGGAATTACTCATTTCGTTGTTTGGTACCGAGGGCTAGTACCTGTTACCGATTCAAAGGGTGACATTAGTAGTGAGACTCGCAACCAAATGTATCTGTATGTGAAAAACAAATTTATTGAAGGTCAGCAAGTTCCGGAATCAAATGTTCTTTGGTTTCGCAATTGGCTGGCAATCCAAAGTATTAAAGGAATTAATCATATTCATGTATTAGTTCGCGGCTTATCACCTGCCCAAATAGCCAACATACTCGAGGGATGATTGAACGCCTAGATAAAATAGTAGAGTACACTAAAATAGATAATAGAGCTAGATTACAATAGAATTAACTTAGACATAATATTTGCCACGTATAAAAGAATAGAACTTATAAACTCACCAGAACTGAAAAACCATTAAATACAACCCAAATAAAACAAGCTGAATCTTTGAGAAAACCTATTGTTAAGAAGTACTCGGTTGTTTAACCACCGAAACCATACAAGGTTCTGCCTTGTCTCTTCAAAGCGTAAACAACATCCAATGAAGTGACGGTCTTTCTCTTAGCATGTTCGGTATAAGTAACAGCATCTCTGATAACACTCTCCAAAAATTGTTTCAAAACAATTCTGACTTCTTCATAGATCAATGCAGAAATACGCTTGACACCACCTCTTCTAGCTAATCTTCTAATAGCTGGCTTGGTAATACCTTGAATGTTATCTCTTAAGATCTTTCTGTGACGCTTAGCACCACCCTTTCCTAAACCTTTACCACCTTTACCTCTACCGGACATAGTTGCTTTGTTGTTTGTATGCTAATATGATATAAATTAGAAACTATACTATCAAGTGTGTATAGCAGAAAAAAAATCAATATTGTTGATGATTAAAAATATCCCCAATAACGAGGGCAACATGAGCTATATATAAAGGGATTTTTTGTTCTCGTTGAGGATTCCTCCCATTCCCATACATGCAAGAAAAATCTAAAACTTGTTACTAGGCATGACAAACAAACAAACAAACAAACGAGTAAACAAACAAACAAAACCGTATACACAATTAACCTCCCCCCGTAAATGCCATACACTACTACGTTACAACTACCGGTAGGATTCACTCCTTTGTTCAGGTTCAAAGTGATGTTACTATCACTTCAGGACGACTCAAAAGCCATAATCAGTAGCTGGGATGTAATTAACTGAGGAGGGGTGAAAATCTGAGAATGACTATTGTTGGAGCAAAAGTAACAAATTACACCCGAAGAAAGGGCGTGTAGAGCCGAATTCTCTGGGTAAGAAAGACCTATATGGTTTGTCAAAGTTTCCCTAAAGACTCAGTTAAAGGTGAATTTCTTAAGGAACGGCTGCAACACCTAAGAACCGTTGCTTTTGTATTTCGTTGAAGGGAGACTTCGCACTTTTTCTGCTTCTTTTGGGGTGGAGGGAGGCAAGTCGCGCAAAGTGCTGTAAAATACGCATGGTCGGCGTATATTTCAGCACTCTTAGCTACATACTTTTCTTAACCTCAAAAGTCAATTACAATTTTGTAGCCGTCTCCCTGGAGAAACATAAACAAGAACATTTTTAAAATCACGTTTTGTCACAGAGGGGGGTTGAGTATCGTATTGTCTTGTATGTATGATACGATATCAGATGTAAATAAATGTAGTAGTGGTTTTTGTTTGTTATATATTAAGCATAATTCCACATTAATAAAGTTTTATACATCTCTTTTCATTCTATTATCATCATACATATTCACAATGGCTAGAACCAAGCAAACAGCTAGAAAGTCTACTGGTGGTAAGGCTCCCAGAAAGCAATTGGCCTCCAAGGCTGCCAGAAAGTCTGCACCATCCACTGGTGGTGTCAAGAAGCCTCACAGATATAAGCCAGGTACCGTTGCCTTGAGAGAAATTAGAAGATTCCAAAAGTCTACTGAATTATTGATCAGAAAGTTGCCATTCCAAAGATTGGTTAGAGAAATTGCTCAAGATTTCAAGACTGACTTGAGATTCCAATCTTCTGCTATTGGTGCTTTGCAAGAATCTGTTGAAGCCTACTTGGTCTCCTTATTTGAAGACACAAACTTGTGTGCTATCCACGCCAAGAGAGTTACCATCCAAAAGAAGGATATCCAATTGGCTAGAAGATTGAGAGGTGAAAGATCTTAGGCTAATTTTTTTATGATATTTTATTCTATGATATTATTTTAGTTCTTGTTTTGTTTTTTTCCTTTAATTATTAGATTTCTGTCTTTAGTTTGTATATTAATTTTAATCAAACAAAAGTACTTACTATTGCTGTAAACAACTAAAATAACGCGTGGTTACCATCGTCGGCTGTACGCGATAATCCACGTCACAGATTCGTCTTCACCGCCAAGGAAAACACCAAGGGCAAATTTAAGTCTTAGTGTTAAGACACACGGTTTTCGAAAAGAGGTGTGACGGTATAACTCGCATATATACGACTATGTATTTCTCGTAAACTAGAATAACTTTAACTCAGTCTGTCTACTATTAATTGAAAAACATAATGGGTGCTTGGGGTCACGAGATTTTTGATAGCGATTCTAGTTGTGATTACATTAGCAGATTTTTGGAAGCAAAGAGCCCCGAACAATTCTATTCATTCATAACTGAGGATCTCGAGGAATTGTTTTCACTGAGCTATATTGAAGGAAATGGTATTAGTGTGATTGGATATTTGGTTGGAAGATTGAGTGGTGATGAGCTTGTATTTGCTAATGTTAAGGATTATTGGAAGGAAAAGATTGACCCAGTCATTGGAGATCATAAACCGATGTATCAAGAATGGGTAACTAAAACTAAAATTGAAGGTCACTCAATTGATGAAACTATTCTTCTAGTTTTTAGTAAATTATTACTGAATGGAGACGTAAGTGAAGAGTATGAATTATGGGCAGAAACCGAGTATTTCCAAGCTTGGTTTAACTACTACAGTAGGTTTGTCACTTATTATGAGAGTAAAAGTAAATGAATATATTATGTTATGGAGAACAACTCAGTTAAAGTAAATATTTTAAAAGGGAAAAACTTGAGGTTCATTTTCAACAGTAATCCCAGCATCTTCTTGTTCCTTTGCCTTTTGCTCTAAATATGGAAGTAATATATCTTTGAAGGTTGCCAAACCACGATACTCTTGGACGTCAGGTTCCCAACTTGAAATAGCATCAAATAATCGTCTTGGAATAAATGGTTCCTTGACCATTTCAGTAACGGGCAAAAAATATGTCCGTATAGTAAATGCAATGGCCCCTGATTTAGGTAGTCTTCTTAAAGATTGTCTTTCACTTCTAAAATAGATTCTGTTAATGTCTGATGCTGCGGGTGCAGTATACCAACCAACTTGTTCAGTATCTTCATCACCAATGGAAGTAGACCATGGCAAGTTCTCATCGGTTTGAATAAAATAGTTATTACGAACAACAGGCTTATCTAAACCCATACGAACGAAAAACTTCTCCATCCCAGATTTTAAATTCAGATTATATTTGGGAACATCACCACTGGTGTGGATTTGACTTAAAGGCATCATATATTTGTCTTTCAATCTCCAGAATCCTGCCAACATAATTGCTCCAGCCATTAAAATATACTGACCATTTTCATCTTCAACCATAATAGCTATGTCATCTTGTAACCACATTGCAGCAATGTATGCTGGATCTTGGGAAATTCTATCTGATAAATGAAACACTTCACCAGTAGGAATTATCTTCATCACGTCTTTTTCTGCATAATAAGTGAATAAAGTTGGGTATCTATGAGATAAATATATCTTTAATTCATCAACAAACTCCCACATAGCAGCACGAGCTTTGGGATTAGTGGCATATAATGCTTCACCTTTTTCTTGAACTCTTGCCTTTTTCAACTCATGATATCTGAGCCATTCGTTATCCAATTGAATCCATTCATCCCAATCCATGCTACGAATTCCCATAGTTACAACATAACGATGCTTGAAAGCTCTATATGGAACCGGTTTTGTTTTCTCAATATCCCAATTAGCATAGCTTGGTGGAATTGGGGTTTTGAAATTTGGATCCGGTGTCCATTCACCAAACTTTCTATTTTTATTAATTCTTGCAATTTCTTCACTAGTAAGTTTTTTCGTCCTTCCAAAATTCAAAACCTCTGGTAAAGAAGCACCATTCTTTGTGAAAGCGACCCCTCCAAGAACGGCTATGATAGCAAGGAATAACAAATAATTCTCAGTGATAATCCCCATCAGTAATATTCTAAGATTCGTGTAAGCCACTTGTATAAAAATGGTTGAGAAATTTTTCACTACTAATGAAAGTGGAAACTAGTATATAAATAACTCCCACTTTTAGGCTAAACCACCTCCTTTAAGTGTGCACAATTACTTATTATTCTTGATAAGCAAGTTTGGTGGTGATAATGGTCCTCAATCAATGCAGATCAGGTCGCAAATTTGTACCTAAATAGGAAACGCGATCCCAGAAAGATATTCGCACCCAATTCCAAAAACGATCAATATTTCCTTTACTTCAAAAGACATACATTGCAATAGCAGTACTCATATTCATTGGCGTAGACTTTCTTTATTTGGTGTATAATATCCCTGCTACCATTAACAAGAAAGTTTGATCTGTTGATCAAATAACTTCTTTCTATGCTGGGGGTAAGAAAGCTGCAAAGAGACCGGTTTGGATCAAATTCCATCCAATGAAATAGACCACTATCCATTGACCTATTTTCAATTCATTTGATCTTGTCAGTTGTAGTATATCAGCAACAAACCAATAAGTAACAGGAATGAAAGATGATATGCGATTGTATATTTGAGTATGCCACATAAACAATGAACCAATAGCCAAAATATTGTTTATGAAAACATATGGCATAAGAAGTCTAAGAGGTTTCACATAGATGAAATATCGATGACTGAACCAACATAATATGAGAAGTGGTGTGGCAAATAAAAAGTTGGGGATATTATTTAGGGTCCAATATTTAAGGAACCCCACACCCCAATAATGATTTTGAGCATAGGTGAAAAGTAAAGGTAAAGTCCATTGACACCATTCACCTCGTTGAGGACAAAACTGATAGTAATTGTAAATATTGAATCCTACCATACTTATGGCCAATTGTGACCCTGTAACAATAGCTATTATGGAATCTCTCCAATTACCATTTTTCCACACAAAGTCATACAAATCCCATGTATAAAGTAGACCTGCAAGAGAAGTATTGGAGCGTATCCCAAAATTGATAGCAACAAGTGTACCCAGTACAAAGTAGGTCATGGAACACTTTATGGCTTTATTAGTTCTCAGATTATCAAATGAACAATAATCCAACCCAATTTCTCTAAGAAGCATCAGGGAGATACTTAAAAAATTACAAACAGATTCCAGGTAACCATTGCTTAAGAATACTCCAGATGGTGATATAACATATAATAATGCTGATAATGTTGCCAATGATTCTACCTTACCTTTATATAAGCTGGAGGTAATGAAGACTCTTTTACTTAGCAAATAAACCAATACACATGCTGCCAAATGACACACGTTACTAAGTATAATGGGTATTGACATAGCTGAGAGTTGAGGGTAAATTCCATTTAGCCAACGACAGAACCTCCAATAAAATGGAAAGAAAACGTATTGGTGTTCCCACTTAATGCCATTGGTCATCATATCATATAAATATACCCCATCCCAATGTATTAAGTTCGATGAGTGTGAGGGTGGTAGTAATAGATGAGATGAGGTATCAAACTGGCCAGGAACAAAAGTAATTATAGCCCATTGAAGAGCCTTCACTATCACAAATAGCAGTCCAATCTGCATCAATGATTTGATACATATTGTTGCCTGTTTTGCCATGGTATATTTGAAACGGACTTAGTTTAAAGTTGACCATGGCTTTAAACTTCATGAAATTCAGAGATTATCGTTACACTAAAATCTGTCATGAAAAGTCACACAAAATCTACTCGAAATATATGGTAACAATTTCCAAATCCATTAACAAGTATATACAATAGGCATTGATCTAGGAATACTTTGGTGGGGAAGTACATAAGAAAGAAGTAAATTATTTACCAAATTGATTACCAAAGGAGGCGATGATACCTTCAACAGAAGATGGGTTTTGTAAGGTGGTGATATCACCCAATTGATCGGCTTCATTTGAAGAAATCTTTCTCAAGATTCTTCTCATGATCTTACCAGATCTAGTTTTAGGCAAATCTTCAACAATAATGACAGACTTAGGAGAAGCAAATGGACCAATTTCCTTTCTAACAGTCATGATCAAGTCTTTTCTCAAGGCATTAGCGTCATCAGAGTTTTCTTTACCGTCTGCAATAGCTGCAAATTCATCCTTCAAGGCAACAAAGGCAACAACGGCTTGACCAGTCAAATCATCGGTAATACCCACAACAGCAGCCTCGGAGACACCATGATGTTCAATTAAAGCAGCTTCAATTTCAGCAGTGGACAATCTGTGGCCTGAAACGTTAACAACATCATCAACTCTACCTCTGATCCAGTAATAACCATCGTTATCTCTGGCAGCACCATCACCAGTGAAGTAGTGACCTGGGTATGGGTTCAAATAAGTATCCATGTATTTGGTGTGGTTATTCCAGACAGATCTGGCCATTGAAGGCCATGAGTCCTTGATAGCCAAAACACCTTCAACATCGTTACCTTCAATTTCAACACCAGTAACAGGATCAATTAAACATGTTTTGATACCAAAGAATGGGTAAGAGGCAGAACCTGGCTTGTTAGGGATGACACCAGCAATTGGAGCAATGAAATGAGATCCAGATTCAGTTTGCCAATAAGTATCAGAAATGTGACATTGCTTCTTACCAATACGTTCATTGTACCATTCCCAAATATCTGGGGAAATAGGTTCACCGACAGAACCCAAAGTTCTTAAGGAACTTAAATCATACTTGTCAATTTGATCTTCACCAGCCTTTCTTAATAATCTCAAAGCAGTTGGAGCAATGTAGAAGTGAGTTGCCTTATGCTTTTCAATGATTTGGAATAATCTACCATAGTCTGGGTAAGCAGGAGTACCTTCAAAAACAATTGTAGAAACACCCAACAACAATGGACCGTACAAAGCATAAGTGTGACCAGTAATCCAACCAACATCACCAGCAGTGAAAAGTATATCTTGAGGGTGCAAGTCAAAAATGTATTTAGTGGTCAAAGCAGCACCTAACAAATAACCAGCAGTGGTGTGGACAACACCCTTGGGAGTACCAGTGGAACCTGAAGTGTACAAAAGGAATAATGGATCTTCAGAATTAACAGGTACGGGAGGAAAGTAGCCACCAAACTTGGCGGTTTCTTCATGCCAGTAAAAGTCTCTACCAGCCTTCATTTTGATGTCTGGGTTACCAGTTCTTTGGTGGACAAGGATGTGCTTCACAGTTGGACAAGAATCTAAAGCAACATCACACAACTTCTTGATGTTGGTAGTTCTACCACCTCTCTTACCTTCATCGCAAGTGATGATAGCCTTACAAGAAGCATCGTTGACTCTATCTCTAATCGAACCAGAGGAGAAACCAGCAAAAATGACAGAGTGGACAGCACCCAATCTGGCAACAGCTAACATGGCAATTAAAGCGTATTGATTCATGGGCAAGTAAATGGCAACTGTGTCACCCTTAGTGATACCCCAAGATTTCAAGACACCTGCAACCTTACAAACTTCGGACAACAATTGAGACCAAGTTAAAGTGCAAGATTCCTTTTCATCATCTGCTTCGTAATAAATAGCAATATCATTTGGTTTTGAGAATGCCCATCTGTCAACACAGTTGAAAGAAGCATTCAATTGACCACCCAAAAACCAAGCAGCATCACCATTAGTCAATGAGCCGTACTTAACAGTTGAGAAATCCTTATCCCAGGATAACAATTCCTTTGCCAAGGGTCCAAAAAATCCTTCCGGATCTTCAATTGATTTCTTGTACAATTGTTTGTACTCATCAAGATCCTTAATGTAACCAGGCTCTGGTTGTCTTTCAAAGAATTCCTTTGGAGTTGGGATTGGGGTGACCCCATTGGCCTCATGAACAACCTTATGGGACATAATTGAGAATTAAAGTTATAGTGTTTGGAATCGGAAGAAAGGAGAAAAAAACTATGGAATTATTATTAGTTTTTTCACTAGCCTTTGATGAATTGTTCGTATACGCACAACACAAACTGGTGATAACTTGTAGCTATTCTGATCTCAGCCTATGGCACGTCTTTTTCGCTCACGGTTTTGTTGGGGGAAATTGAAATTTTGTACCAACAAATTTAGCAGCGACAATTAGCTCGAAAAAATTAGTACGAGCGGCTATTGACAACGATTGTACGGTGTTTTGCAATCTTGCTTAACCTCAATTAAGTAGTAGTAAACTTCAATAGGTTCAACTGAAATTTGGTTAGGGTCAATGGTAAAATGTTAAACGACAATGACTCAACTTAAAAAATAATGACTAACTGCCAGTAGTGGTAGACGGTTGGTCGTGGTAGTGGAGGGTGGTTGTGGTAATATACACGAATAAATAGATTCCTTTGGGAGCAGGAATTAAAATTAATACAGGTACTAATTATAATGATAATAATAATACTACCAGAAATGGATCAATGCCACCCGTGGAAACGGAAATCGGTCCCCTATTTATACCACATCCATTTATATATGTGGTATATGGTATTTTCGCTCGAAAGGCTCTTATCCTTATTCTAAGTGGAATCAGTAGAGCAGGTATAACCTTTTGGGCCAATCATACCAGCCAAAGGTGTAACAAACGAAAAAAAGTTGAGTTGAGTTTTGTGGGGTGGAGCGGTTAAAGTGCAGGCCGCCAACAAAACCGGACGAGTGTCACAAAAGGACCCACATTGAAAGGGTAATTTCCACTATAGTAAATCAATGGTGTTTAAGTGCTCTCAGTTCAACGTTGACTAAACTCGTTTAGTTCCGGTTTGAGTAAACAACTTGGTAATAGTTTTGCTTAGAAAGTCCATGTCTTTTAGTACCCTCATTAAACATCGACATCATCGTCTAGATAACAGTTATGTCCGAATGGTTGCTTGTTGGTTCTTAACTCCATCCACGACCTCGATGGCAATTTTGTGTAACTGATTGTTAAATCACCGGGGTTTACAACCCATTTTGTATTGTGCTATAATCAGAACCATACGTTCTTTTTTGTCTTTTCATTTCCCGTGAGGATTGCTCATTAGTTCTTCGATAGCAGTAGTAATATGATTCAGGCAATGCTATTCAAACATATCCTTTAGACTTGTCAAGTTTCATCTTTTGTTATTTCTGGTACTTAACATGTTTGTTCACGCGCAAGTCCTAAACCCCAGAACTCAAGATCATTATTGTAAACGTCTTCCATTGGTCCATGGCTCTAACATTTTAGTCATTTCAACTCTATCTCCACAAAAATGAAAAACATATACTTTACATACTGAGACGGCGGAGCACTCAATCCTCAAGCAGGATTGTGCATATGTCGAAGTCAAAACAATTGAGTCACGGTGGAAACAAGCTCCGATTGGTTAGCATTCTCCGGTAGACCGTACATGAACAGCATTGTTCTCCTATCTGTTTCCTAATTACCCCAGGTTTTTCGCAACCCCTAACTTCCGAGATATAACCGCAACCCAGAAAAAACAGGAGCTAATTAATATCTGGCTAAACCGGCTATCCGTTAGTTTGGTAAAGCACGAACTCCCTGAGTATACCTCAAGTATGCTAAAATCTTAAACAAAGCACAACGTAGTTCATGTACCTCTTGTTTTAGGATCAAATATTCCATTAAACTGATCTGCATTAATCATTTTCGTTCGTATGATTATAACTTCAACAATTGAATTGTAATATAAAACCATCTTAAACGCTAACGACGGTAGCGCGCTTAAGACCCCCAGGTTATTATTTTAACCTGGAACTTCCACAAAACGTGATCGTATGAACAAACTAATGATTTAAATCTCCGAGAAAATCTTGATATCCTCCCATATCTCTGTCATAATCTGAAGTATTTGCTTCATCCCGTATTGCAATGAATGAAATATATTTGTAGATATACGGATTATTATATAGTTTAGATCCCCTCCGCTTCCCCTCTACCATCGTTGTTCTACTCCCCACGACTTATGGTGTGTTGTAGCTTTCATGTATTTGTGTGGGGCAACACACACACAAATGTGCATAAGATTAAAAGTGGAGGCCCAAAAAGCTTTGAAAGGTAGTAATGTGGGGGGACTTTACTGCTAACTGCTTGGCATCGGATGGGGTTATTACAAACTTTTATTACTGGCACCTAGTATACAGAAAGAACCGTTTTGAAAGCCTAGAAAGATCTGGGTCACGTGTGCAAAATGTAACTCTTAACCAAGTCTGCTCAGATGGGTATATGTGCTCTACATTTTGATCGTAATTAAATTCTAATTATATATATTATTGTACACAAGAATTAAATTCCTAACAATTCTAACACTTTTCTAGCTAGAGCCTTAATCTCTGAACATTCCCAAAATAAATACTCTTAATATGGCTCGTAAATTCATTCTAATGCGTTTAATCAACTTCTTCGACGGTTGGACCATCGTTACCTGGAGCAGCAGCACCTGGAGCAGCACCTGGGAAACCACCTGGGGCAGCACCGGCACCACCTGGAGCAGCACCAGCTTGGTAAGCCTTAGCCATGATTGGGTTAGCAACACCTTCCAATTCCTTTTGCTTGTCAGTGAATTCTTCTTCAGTAGCAGTTTGGTTGGAGTCTAACCATTCAATGGTTTCATCAGCAGCCTTGGTAACAGCTTCAACATCAGAGGCTTCCAACTTCTCCTTGAATTGATCATCACTCAAAGAGCTCTTCAAAGAGTAAGCATAAGATTCCAAACCGTTCTTGGCTTGAACTCTCTTAGCTTCCTTTTCATCTTCATCCTTGAACTTTTCAGCTTCGTTAACCATTCTTTCGATATCTTCCTTAGACAATCTACCCTTGTCATTGGTAATGGTAATTTGTTGAGTCTTACCGGTACCCTTTTCAACAGCAGAAACATTCAAGATACCATTGGCATCAATGTCAAAAGTAACTTCAATTTGAGGAACACCTCTTGGAGCTGGAGGAATACCAGACAATTCAAACTTACCCAACAAGTTGTTATCCTTAGTCTTAGCACGTTCACCTTCGAAAACTTGGATCAAGACACCAGGTTGGTTATCTTGGTAAGTGGAGAAAGTTTCAGACTTCTTAGTTGGGATAGTGGAGTTTCTAGGAATCAACTTGGTCATGATACCACCAGCAGTTTCAATACCCAAAGATAATGGGGCAACATCCAACAACAACAAATCTTGAGTCTTGGTAGAAGTGTCACCAGACAATACAGCAGCTTGGACAGCAGCACCATAAGCAACAGCTTCATCAGGGTTAATAGATCTGTTTGGTTCCTTACCGTTGAAGAAGTCGGAAACCAACTTTTGAACCTTTGGAATTCTGGTAGAACCACCAACCAAGACAATTTCGTCAACTTGGGACTTGTCCAACTTAGCGTCTCTCAAAACCTTTTCGACAGGGTCCAAAGTAGATCTGAATAAATCTTGACACATTTCTTCGAATCTAGCTCTGGTGATGGTAGTGTAAAAGTCAATACCTTCGAACAAAGAGTCGATTTCGATAGAAGTTTGAGTGGAAGAAGACAAAGTTCTCTTGGCACGTTCACAAGCAGTTCTCAATCTTCTCAAAGCTCTTTGGTTAGTAGACATATCCTTCTTGTTCTTTCTCTTGAATTCAGCAGTGAAGTGGTTGACCAATCTGTTGTCGAAATCTTCACCACCTAAGTGAGTGTCACCAGCAGTAGCCTTAACTTCAAAGATACCATCTTCAATGGTCAACAAAGAGACATCGAAAGTACCACCACCCAAATCGAAAATCAAGACATTGTTTTCCTTTTCAGACTTCTTGTCCAAACCGTAAGCAATGGCAGCAGCAGTAGGTTCGTTGATGATTCTCATAACGTTCAAACCAGCAATCAAACCAGCATCCTTGGTAGCTTGTCTTTGAGAGTCATTGAAGTAAGCTGGGACGGTAACAACAGCATCATTGACCTTAGTACCCAAAAAGTTTTCAGCAGTTTCCTTCATCTTGGTCAAGATCATGGAAGAGATTTCTTCAGGAGTGAAAACCTTAGTTTCACCCTTGAATTCAACTTGGATCTTTGGCTTAGTAGCGTCTTCGACAACCTTGAATGGGAAATGCTTGATATCACCTTGAACTTCAGGATCAGAAAACTTTCTACCAATCAAACGCTTAGCATCGAAAACGGTGTTAGCAGGGTTCATGGCAGCTTGGTTCTTAGCAGCATCACCAATCAATCTTTCGGTATCAGTGAAAGCAACAAAAGATGGAGTGGTTCTGTTACCTTGATCGTTGGCAATGATTTCAACACGATCATTGGCAAAGTGGGCAACACAAGAGTAGGTTGTACCTAAATCAATACCGACAGCCTTAGACATGATTATTTAAATATATATTTATTTGAATAAAGATATTTGAAAGGAGAAGAAAAGTTATAAAATTTTTCAACGGATCAAGTGGAAGATCCTCCATTTATAAAGGTGTTTGCATGTCGGTGAAAAATTTGGCTTAATAGTCGTAACCGGATATTAATTGTCCAAATACGGGTGCAAATGTGGTGATGAAAATTCTATTACCTTCTATCGTTTTCCATGAATTTCTAACATAAAAAAGTCACGTGCTCGCTGGTTCTTCGAACCTTCTAGAAAAATTCAATTCTGGCAAGACGACTTGGATGCACAAAAGAGGAAGAATAAGATTTTCAATAGATTAGATTACTAGTTTGAAAAGGAATGGTATCATAATCTGTGGCAAATACGTTTCGTGTTACGTCATCCCGTTTAGAAGTCATGTGATACAAATATGTATCATAGGATTGTTTTGTATTGTATTGAATAAAAATGGTAGTAGAGTTGTACATGCTACACAATGTATACACTACAAAACAGAGAGCATAAAGATGTGAAGCACAATTATAAAAAAAGAACGAGACTCTTGTAAGGACTCAATCAATCAAATTTATTGAGACTTGGCTTCCTTAGTGTAATCGTTCACGATGTGTACTTGACCAATTCTTCTTAATACTGATTTAACTTGGATCCAAATTTCCTTCACTTTAGGGTTCTTCAAGTTATTAACTTGAGAGTCCAAAGAAAGTTCAATCTTTTTAACGTAGTTACGAGTGAATTGAGAAGTTTCAAATCTCTTCTTTATGAATACCAAATAATAAAGTAAGGGCATAAGGGATCTCTTTCTGAAAGTCAAAGTTCTTAAAATTAACCAAACCAAAGAATACAATTCAACGATGCTGGCCAATTCAATTGATTTGGAATTATTGGCAGTGATGAATGCGCCAATCTGATTACCTAAAGCAGATGAATCGGTACTTAAAAAGATAGGTAACAAGTAATTCTTAGTGTAAGCCAATACATGGAAAATTGAAAACAAAAAGAATGGATATAAGGCAATCAAAACAAATGGTCTCATAATCATAAATGCCAGTCCCAAAAGGAAATAATGAACATTATCATCCTTAATAATAGTTCTAAAATCCCTTGTCTTAGAAACCAATTGGTATACTAAGATACCAAACAGTTGAACAACTCCGAGGTATGCCAAAATATAAAAGTAAGCATACCATTTCTTCATAGTACCAAAATATGTTAAAGTATATAACACAGTATTTACCAATGTGGTAACTTGACCCAAAAACCACACAAATTGTAATGATTGAACAGTTTTCATCAATAATTCTTGATTGAACCCCTTTTTTGTGGCGGTGGTTGGTCCCACTGGAGTAGCATCTCTCTTGCCTGTCTTAGGCACGCTATTGTTAACAGAACTAGACATAATTGATGATCAATTGTACGGTTTAAAAGAGAACAAATGTTTGTAAAGAAACTTTTTTCCTTTTAAAATTAAAAAGTTTGCTACTTCGTCGCCAAAACGCAACCACTGGAAGACCTTCACACAGCATGACTTATTACTAGATTTGGCGTGGTGCTGAAATTTTGAAGTAACATAAAGGAACTCCAATCTATAGTAGACATCCTCACTACTGGCATTCCCTTTTTACAAGTTGAAATCGTACACGTTTCACCGTCACTATAAAGGCCCTATGTGGATCATTGGTGGGTGTTACTTGTTGAATCGTTACAACCAACAAAATAGATAATCACCCTTTAAATATGCCTATGATCTCAAGTTATCGTAGGTACTTTGTCGTACAAAACCGACATAACACATGAAAAATACACCTCTGGTACCGAGTTTATATATTTCAAGTTTACTTATCTTAACACACACGCACACACACACATATATATATATATATATTGATTCAAAGAGTAATAAAAACTTCTACATATTAACTCACTAATTATGTTGTTCACATAAACAGAAGGTGAGCGGTACTAACGTAAGAATCCCTTCTTCTTTGGAATTGGAGCTGGATCTGGAGGTAATAACTTTTGTTTTTCCAATTGAGCCTTCTTTTCTTCCAATAACTTGATTTGTTTAATCAACTTATCCTTCATTTCCTTATGTCTGTTGAACAAGTCGGCCTCCAGTCTTTGTAATTTCTTTTCCTTTTCACTAACCTTCAATTGGAATACATTGTTCATCTCTTTCTCCATCTTGGATAATTTAGCTTCATGTAAAGCCCTTTCTTCTTCTTGTCTAGCCAAAGGATCAAACTCTCTGAATACAGAGTTATCTTGCTCTATACCCATTCTGGTCAACTTTTCGTTACGATAATTCTCATATAGAATATCATTGGTTTGTTCCTTTAATTCTTCCAAGTAATTTCTAATCAATAATTGGCGTAGTTTAACAAAATCATTGTGTTCTTCATTATCAACTTCAATTACCCCCCAGGGGTATTTTCTTCCTCTAACAATTCTTCCATCATGGGTTTCAACTTCCTTGGTAGATCCAATGACAGCAAATGGTGAAGCATCCACAATGTTTTGACAATTCAGTATGGTTTCTTCATCATCATTATCAAAAATTTCAGGCTTAAAGGTTTTAATTTTTTGAAAGGAAATATCATTAATGATATTACGTTTGAAGTCAACAATTTCCTTATCTGTTAAAGTATCAGATTTGGCAATTATTGGAATCAAATTAACTTTATTATGAACTTGTTTCATAAATTCAATATCCAAACTTCTTAAAGAATGGCCGGTAGGTTCAATAAAGTATAACAAGGCGTGGATTCTTTGATCATCAATAGTAGATCGATTTATTCTGCTTTCAGCTTCCAAATATTGATCAAATCTCCTATTGACTTCATTGACTATTGGTTTCCAGGAATCGGTATTATCGATTGAATCACCAAAACCAGGAGCAGTGACAATATTCAACTTTAACTTGACACCATCTTCTTCAATAATGTTGGTATACTCGTTGATCTTAACGGTAACATCTTCTGCTTCGGTCTCTTCGTCATCTTCCTTATCAAAAGATTCCAAAACAGCTTCAGTTGATTTCAAAACTTCCCGGTTAAACAATGTATTAACTAAAGTCTTCTTACCCAAACCACTTTCTCCTACAACCATCAAATTCAAATTGAATCCTCTTCTAATTGACTTACGGTGCCACTGTTTGGGTAAGTTAGCAAACCCGACATATCCATTCAACTTACGTTTGATGATCTTCAATTCTTGTACAGGTTTGGAACCATTAACTGGTGCGGGGCCAGCAGCGTTTTCGCTTGCTACTTCAGCTATGATTAATTAGTTAGTATTCAATGCCAAGGGACACGTCGTGAAACATAATCTTGAATATATAAGTGACAGCAGAAAGAAAGCAAGTAAGAAACAAAGCCCAAAAGAGCTTTAGATAATGCTGTTCACGGTGTATATTTTAGTTTCCATAAACAATCATAACTTCGCTTTCAACACCTGTACTTATGCTCTCGTATGTTATCACTCAATCACACCTCAACAAAACAACATACTCATTCCCGTGTATCAAAAGCCAGTCTGTACTGTTAATCAATGGAAGATACCGATACGTGTAGTCTGTTAGTCTTCAGTAGGAGGATCTGATGACTGAATGCAATGATAAAGAAACAATTTTTGGACCTTAACACGGTTGATTTTTGATGTTTTGGTTTTCAATTGTCGGCGCCTATTTTAAATGTGCTAGTGTTTTGGTTTTAGTGCGGTGAGAAATTTTCCGGATCATAGAGCGACATTTTGTGAGGAGAACGACGCGTGTCTGAAGTGCCCACCGGTATGATAGGCTGGGACAAGATGCATACGATTAAGCAATTAAATGGTGATGAGGTTCAATCAAATTAGTAATACAAGAGATAAGACAGATATGGTAAGTAGGTACGGAATACGACATACACAATTGAAGTAGTAGTTGTGTTTACAAAGGTTGATTACTTAGCCAATCCACATCTATCGATTGCTATTAGTGAAACATTAGCGGAGTAATTGAGGTATGCACATGATTCATTACGTAGACGTCAAGACTGTGAAACCTCCAATCGCAAGTCATATTCAAGGAGATTAAGTAACGGTTTCCATGCTATTACGTTTGATTGGCCTTAGGTATCGACATATATGTGTTGGTAATAACTTCTCTATGGCCAGTACCCAATTTGACGACATATATGGAAACTTCCTTATATGCATTCGAGTTATTGTATGGTGTTTCAGAATTGAAAGGCACATTTGGTATGGCACGATTATGTCGCATGTCGTCTCATGATAAGCATTTGCGGAATAAGGTGCGTGCTCAAGATTAGTGGCTAGACTTAGTATGTGCTAGTATCTAAACGTGCTGGTAGCTATCGTAGTCTTTTAAGAAACTAATGCAATGGTATATTGACTAGCCATTTCTTTTGTTGTAGGATCTGCTTTTCATTTATTTTGGTACCACATTAAACAAGGACATTCATGAATATAAAGGAAACATTTATAAAAAAAGTAGTTAGGGCTAGCTGTAATTTAATTTATGTCAATTAGTTGTATTATACGATACAATCACTAGTCTGGCACATACGCCACAGTGTTCTCTTGAGCAATATCTGTTTGATTAAAAGCACTTTGATGGAACATCTTCAGGGTACTAACAATATGAGAAAGGCGAAAACCGTAAAGGCTGCACGGCTCCACGGAACTTGTAAGTGCCTTCTTAGGGGTTAAGGCAGACATAACTATCAAGCAAGTGTTGATTGGCAACCCTTTTTTGGTAAATTAAATCAAGGCTTGTGGTAATTTATAACAAGCTAATAGTTAATGACCAAATATTCTTGTATTGTATCTGTTTGTTAATATTGTGCTGATACCAGGATCTTCATTCACTTAACTCCGCATCGGCTACATGGGTATCTCCACCTACTGATATTGCTTATAGACATTAATATAGACTACTGACGATCAATGTGTAGGGTTCCTTCCAACATGCGAGGATAAAACAGAGTGGGGAACAACAGTGGAGGGGATGAGACGTACAATCCCTAGTAATAGACTCTGAGAACTGGTGGTTTGAAATTAAGACGACGACATGGTACATTACTTTCCCTTATAGCAATGACCTTCCTAAATTTTAATAGGTAAACCCTAGTAGGTAAATCTAAACGTTTACCCAGCCATTGGTACCAAATTTGTATGTGATGATGTACCCCAGATTTCGGGCTACGACAGATGATTTTTGCGGATGAATCTCGGATAGAGCACAAAATACCCCACAAATCTCGTCCTGGTTATTCCTTCAACCCGAGACATTATAGATGCCTTGGGACTTCTGTAAACTAAATTCAGTGATTGTTTACTAAGGATGGCTTTGAGGACGATATATAAGTAATGAGTTGTTCCCCATAAAGTTGGGTGGAGGACCTTAATTATCATCAAGATATACTGTACGAAAATATTATCCATAAAGATGTCATTGAAAGAAAGACTTGACCCTATTCTTGAGAAGTGGACCAAAGAAGGGAATTTACCCATGATATCCGCTGGGGTTGTTACTAAAGATGGAATCATTTATCTGGGAGCCAGTGGTAGTAACAATTTAAACAACCCAGAAGGGAAAACTAATCTTGATACCATTTTTGAATTATACTCCACCACAAAGGCTGTTACTACAACTGCAGCAGTACAACTTATTGAAAAGGGACTACTTGGTTTAGATGATCTTGTTGAGAATTACATTCCAGAAATTAAAGGTATCAAAATCTTAGATGGTTTCGATGAGAATGACAAATGTATATTTAAGGATCCTGTTAATAAACCAACTATAAGAAACTTGTTGACTCATACAGCTGGTTTTTCCTATACTTTTTTTTCCTTTAAATATGCCAAACTTTATGATACCACAGGAAAGCCAGATCCATTCAAGGATTCATGGGACGAAATCTTAACTCCGTATATCTACGAACCAGGTACTAAATGGCACTATGGTGTTAACATAGATGTGCTTGGACAAGTGATTCAAAAGGTATCTGGTGTTACATTAGACGAATATTTCAAAAAGAATATTTTTGCACCCTTAGGAATAACCAGTATGACATTTATTAGAAAACCTGAACAAGTTGCTAACAAGGCTATTATTCATTCTCGTGAAGAAAATGGATCTTTGAAGGTTCTTCCAGATGATAGACCTTTGGAACCAGAATTCCACTGTGGAGGACATGGACTCTATGGGACAATCCCAGATTACTTGAGGTTTCTACTGATTTTCTTGAACAAAGGTACTTCTCCTATAACTGGGAAACAAATCCTTAAACCTGAATCTGTAGAAAACTATTCCTTTGCTAATTTGTTACCAGAGGGAGTATTTGTTGAAGATTCTCTTGAACATTCACAGCCTTATTATTCAAAACCGGTTACCACATTTAGTCAGCTTCCTAAAGAACTTCATACATGGACATCTTCATTCTATAGAACTGATGTTCCTTTACCAACCGGTCGTTCTGCTAAATCATTTATGTGGTGTGGATTACCCAATCTTTACTATTGGATCGATCCTACGGAGGGAGTAGCTGGAATGCTTGCCACCCAAGTGTTTCCATTCTTTGATGAAAAATGTCTAGAAGCAAACAATGAATTTGAATCTGAAGTTTATAAGTTTTTAAGAGCCTAAGAATGCTCTTATTTTTGTTTATGTTTACCTCAATTATATCAGTCAATATTTGTGTATTCATTATGCAGCAAATTATAACCTGGTATTGAAAGAATTAATAAAACAATGCTTCTAAAGTTAAGTTATTGAGCTTTCAATTGTTCAAGTAGAAATTCTAAAGCAAACTTTGCAAATTGGGCCATATTCAAAGCCCGGACTTGACTAGTGGTCCTTTTTGTAGTCGATACTTCAAGGTTAGGTCCGTGTAATCCCAAAAACACAGTACCAACTTCACTACCATTATTCTCTTTAACCTTAATCGAGTCATTCAAATGCAAATCAGTCCCAGGACCAGCATAACCTGTTTCTGATAATACAAAAGTAGATCCAAGTTCATACTTTGTGGTGCGAGCAAGTCTTAAGGCAACTTCTTCCGAAGGTCCCATATAATGGGAAATATCGCTATCTGACCAACCTGAAAGTTTCAATCTTTGCTTAAGGGAATAAACAAGTTTACCACCAATATAGAAGTTGGAAGCTCCGGGTACTGAAACCAAGTATGCAGAAATAAGTCCACCACATGCTGCCTCAGATACCCCCAATGTTTGGTTTCTCAGTCGCAAAATCCCGGAGATCTCCGTAACAAGGAGTTGTACTTCTTTAGGAGGAAATTCACTCATCCCTATTCTATTGAACAAAGTTGTATACTTTCTATCGAGTTGAAAAGTTGAAATCAAAGTTAACCGTTTAATTATAAAAGTTTAGATACGGTCGTGTATTACGACCGAAAGTTTAGTTCGATTATCGAAAAAGTGGTGGCCAAAATGTTCAGAGTCTTGATACTATTGAAACTGCCAAAACTAGCTCTTTCAAATCTATTTCAATTCCAGTTTGTCTTGTGCATCTAATAGAGTATACATATATATATCATCACAATCAAATGTCCAGTGGAGTGAAGTTTAATGCCGGGAAGGTGCTATACGATGAAGAAACCAAAAAGTGCGAGCCCTTAGCAATCAAGGGCCAAGTCACCATAACTCAAATGGAAGATGAGAGCATGTATGAATTTGTGTGGAATCCTAAGGCAGATTCAAGTAATCTTGAAAAAGATGAATTATTGATTATGCCTGGTGATGTTACCTTCAAGCAAGTGAAATCATGTAAGACTGGACGTGTATTTGCCCTAACATACTTGTCTTCTGGAGCCAAGTATTTATATTGGTTACAGGACCCTGGTGATGATCAAGAGTTGGACCAATTGACTGCTAAAGATGAAGCATTGGTTAAGGAAATAGAAACGTTATTTGCTTCTGAAGGTGATGAAGAAGAGGAAGAAGAGGAGAAAACTGCTATCACTTCAGCTCGTGACGCTGAAGAAAATAAAGATACCATGATATCGTAAGTACTACCTACCGTCTGTTCGACACTTTGAGCTTACCTAGCAACTGAAAATTTACTTTTTATCAAAAGTCGTATTTTCATGTCTAACTATCAATAATTTACCTTTATTGATGTTGACATCAATTGTATATTATCAATAGATTTAATTCTGTCTGTGAAGAAAACATTGTACTAACTAAAAATTTATCTCTCTAGTTTCCCACAATCTATTACATCAATTTTAACTGAAGAAAATGTCAAAAAGTACTTTGATACCTTGACTGAAGATGAAGCCGCAAAAATTATGGCCCCTATATTGCCAGAAGAATATAAGAATACTCGGAAATTGGATAAGGAGTTTTTGCTTAAAGTATTCCGCAGTGGGGTATTCAAAAGACAAGTAAGATATCTTGAAGGCATTCTTAGTTCTGTGCCAGGCAGTGGAATGCTTATGTCTCAATCATTAAAATTTGAGTATAGTGGCGAAGGTGTCGGGGCATTCCTTCGGGGCATTAGCCAATTGGCTGTCAAGGAGCAGCAGAAGAAAGATAATGATAACGAAGAGCAACAATAAGGTTTGGACACAATTGAGATGTTTACCTCCGGTACAAGGAATGGTTACTGGCGCTAAAAATATCCATGTAAACTTGATAGATGGTTTGCACCTAAAACTGCTGTGCCTCCCTCATCAATATTGTGCAACTCCTGTTGATACAGTAGTGTTCGTATATGTCATGCATAGTCCTGTCAAGAAGTTTGACACCTTGTTACAGTAAAACTGAGATATAATAGTACAGATTTACAAGAGAGAACCACAGTAATAATAGCGCGTGCATAGATAAACATTGACACTCTTTATATCACAAATCGTATACTGTAAATCGTATACTGTAAATCGCATACGTCTTTATTATAATCTGTAACGGGAATGAATATTTTTTCCTTCGTTTGCTCATTAGTAAATACCCTCACGTGCAAACTCCTGATAATGGAGTACAGCAGACAAATTAAGCTTTCCTTATTAGTTACAATATACTGTAATTTCAAGGCTGTGTGTGGCCGGTGGCCTGTAGCCGCACTCTATTGTTTACAACTTTGCTTCAGACTTAGCCCGGTCTTTTGACACAAAGTTCGTTCGAGTAGAAGTTTAAAGAGTACTTTTTCGCAAACTTGTTTCTTCCGTACGATTGACTAAACCATTGTACCTTTGTTTCTAATTAATAATATTTAACACACAACTCGACCGCAAGCAGATACCTCACCCCCGAGCCTCCATATATACAAAACTACGGATTTTCTACATTTTGCACGTGTAGGAGAGACTCAACCAGGATATAATTGAATGACATTGGCTTCATTGCGAGGTTTTCCTTTTAAGTTTCAAAGTGCTTCCGCTATACAATAACAACAACAGTCCAACGGGCACGGGGGCAAGGACAAGCCGTGGATCCGACCATCATCATTCTACTCTGTTGACGTTATCACCATCACAGCAGCTGCTGACTTTCAATTCATCAGAATTGATAGAAAAGTTCAAGACTACTCATCCTCCTCAGCCCCCCCATATCGCAGTGAATGGTACAACAACAGACATAACATTAAACCCCTGTACCTTAGTTACTAAGATGTGCAACAAAATAAGTGCCAATATGATGACTTCTCCATCACGATATCAGAATCGTACCAATAAGACATTTCTTTATATTATGGCACTTGTAGGATTCTTATTATGTTACCTTATTGGAATGCTGTATGTGGCTGATTTAGGCAGCGCAGAATCTCCAGGATGTCGCTTAATATATATGGTTCCATCATATGCTCGTATCCAAGGAATGGATTCAGCAGCTTCTCAATACGCTTCAAAGTATTCCCTTTATTTATATAGGGAAGTGGGGAAAGACTCTGTTCCTGCTAATCATTATGAACAAACAGAAGACATGTCATTTTTAAATGGAATTCCTGTGTTGTTTATTCCTGGAAACGCAGGATCCTACAAGCAAGTTCGATCAATAGCTGCGGAAACTTCCAATCTCTTTTTTGGTGATGATGATACCCGTGAACAGGACATAGACAACCCCCATATGAAGAATTTTGACTTTTTTGCAGCGGATTTCAATGAAGACTTTACGGCATTCCATGGACAGACCATGATGGAACAAGCTAATTTCTTAAACGAAGCTGTTAAGTTGATATTGTCACTTTATGCTGACAAACCCAATCCCCCAACATCCGTAGTGATAATAGGCCATTCAATGGGTGGGATTGTGGCTCGTGCAATGCTAGCTTTGCCTAATTATGTTGAAGAATCAGTGAATACAATTATTACTTTAGCATCTCCTCATGCAGCTGCTCCTTTAACTTTTGATGCAGACGTTGTGAAAATGTATTCATTAGTTGATAAATTCTGGTACGAAGGTTTCCAAAACATTTCCCAAATTGCATATAGTAGACTTGCAAACTTGTCATTAATATCCATAACAGGTGGAGGTCTAGATGCGACCTTACCAGCAGATTATACTGCCATTGGCCATCTTGTACCTCTCTCGAACGGGTTCACTGTATATACTACAGGTATTCCCTCAATATGGTCTCCAGTTGATCATTTAGCAATTGTTTGGTGCGGTCAATTACGTCGAGTTATTGCTAAATCTCTTTTGGAGATTGCTGATATTTCCTCACCTTCAAGAGTATATCCATTAGAAAAGCGAATGAATGTTTTCAGGAAGAACTACTTAAGTGGGTTTGAAAATTATGCTCTTCAAGATAGTATTGCATTTGCTTCTTCTGTCAACACTATCCAATCTGAATTCCACAATTTAAAAATTGATACCCAATTACTAAATTCATATTCATTGGACAAAGAAAGTCATATGAAATTAACCAAGGATAATGTGGGAAAGAAGTTTAATTTATTTACTATCCCACCTACTTCTAATATTTCCTTTTCTTTATTGACATCATTAAAGTTTGCAAGTATCAATGACACTAAATCGGATCCACGATCGTTATTGCTTTGTGCCAATAAGGATATTTTGAGGGACAAGTTAATAAGCACCTTAGACTTTACAAATTCTGGCTCAGATAAGTATGCATCACTATATTGCAGTGATATTTCAAAAGACTTACATGCTGTTCCTCGATCAGATAGTGTGCAAGTACAGTTGCTTGCCGATTCGTCGTTTCTTGGGAACCAATCTCCATTTTATGGGATACATCTTGATTCATCAATACTTTCAAAGTTTGATTCTATTTTAGTTGTTAACACTCCAGGTGATCTTAGGAAAGACGAGAATGCCTTTGTTATTGGAGAAACCTCGTTGCAAGAAAATACTGTGGATACTCTTGGGAATTCTGAATTGATTTCATTGCTATTCCGTGGAGCAGATGTAAGTTTACCCAGTAATAGACCATTGATGTTCAGTATTCAAATCCCTAGTGCATGGTCATCTCTTCTTGCGTATAAGATTTCTTTGCACTTTACCAATGACGACAAGCATTCGAAAGTGGGAATATTTTCTCCATTTATTCGACAATGGAGCGATGATCCCTATGAAAGTAAATGGCATATTAATATTGGTGATAAATCAACCTTGACGTTATTTTGTCACAATATAGCCCCATTTATTCCATTCAAAGTTGATAAGAAAAATAAGGGTCTAAATTTACAGTTGTGGAGTGATAATGACATTAGTAACGGACCCCTTGATGTCAATTTAAGCATTGATTATATTATGAGCTTAAGATTATTAGTTCTTCGTTATCGACTAACTGTTGTTTCATTCTGTGTGATGACTTGCTTGCTTGTTATCTTAAGACAATTTATTTACTTTAGGCATTTTAAAATGTTTCCTAATTTCCAGACGGGATTACAATTGATTACAAGTCCTCTAATGTTTGTGATATCGGTGGTGGTATTGGCAAACTTAAGTTGGCTTGTTAAAATACCTTTGATTAATCAAATTTTAAGTCTTTTGGATCCAGTTACCTTTAGAGATCGGGAACTTTCTTCATTCATGTATGAAAATGGGTATCAATGGAATAAATTATATATGGGACTAGAGGAAGACTCCTTATTTTTAATTCCGGTGATCTTTTATTGCATAAGCATTTTCATTGTGTTTTTGACTTACAAAGTTATTAGCTTATTGCTATTTATTTTTGGTGCTTGTGTTAGAGGCTTCTACAAGGCTACTGGAGTGTATGCTCAGAAACGGGAAGCTCATGGAACACCGGTTGATGCCGAAAATAAGACACCAAAGGACTTGGACAAAGAAGCATCATCATTATCACCAACATCATTATCACCAACATCATCATCGTCTTTTCTCCTCAGAATTCCAGGTCGGAGTATCAAGATGCACAGATTATTAATAGCATTAGCTCTTGTAACTCTTGTTGCATTTTATGTTCCCTTTCAAGTGATTACAGTGATCTGTTGTTTCGCACAGGGGATCAATTGTTTGAAGTTGTATGGGATAATTAAAACCAAAGGGGACTCAAGTTCAAGAGATGGACAACAATTATTAAACTTTCAAGTTTCTATATTGGCTCTCATGCTTTGGGTTATGCCTATTGATATTCCTATAGTGATTGTGCACATTCATAATTTGGCAATTAATTGGAGAACAGCATTTAGTTCTCATCATAATATTTTATCTGTCTTGCCTATCATGTTATTCTTGGAGAGGAATGAGTACTTGACCACAGAAATAGCAAAGGGGGGTAAGTTGAATTTAGAATGGATCAATTGTTCATTCAGAGTAACCATATCGATTTTGGTATACTTTATTGGTTACAGTTTAATTTTTGGTACAAGACATACATTTTGGATTCACCATTTATTCAATGTCACCTGTGCATGGTTACTTTGGCTACAAGTATACCACTATGATGATGGTGATGATGATGGTGATGGTAATAGAAATGGCACAGTGAGTTGAAGCCTGACATTCATTTGTAAATAGAAGTAAAGAGCATATACTAAATTCAGCAATTGTACTACGATTACAGATATCTAAAGAAAAGACTTGATTAATAAAACAACTTAAAACTAATGTACATATAAAAGGGGAAATAAACAGCAAATTTGAAACTCAATTAAGAGGCAGCAGAAGAGTACTTGGTAACAGCTCTAGTACCTTCAGAGACAGCGTGCTTAGCCAATTCACCTGGCAAGATCAATCTAACAGCAGTTTGGATTTCTCTGGCAGAGATAGTAGATCTCTTGTTGTAAGCAGCCAACTTTGAGGCTTCAGAAGCAATTCTTTCAAAAATGTCATCAACAAAGGAGTTCATGATAGACATAGCTTGTCTGGAGATACCAGTATCAGGGTGAGTTTGCTTCAAGACTTTGTAAATATAAGAAGAGTAAGTTTCCTTTCTGGTCTTAGTTCTCTTCTTAGTATCAGTGGTGGAAGCAGTCTTCTTAGCAGCTGGCTTCTTTTCAGCTGGGGCCTTGGAAGCGGGTTTCTTTTCAGCTTTAGTGGATGGAGGAGCCATTATGTGTTATTTATTGATAGATAAAGTTGGTGAAATAAAAACATTACATTTTTTTAAGTCAAGGGGATCCACCAATGTATTTATACTCGTGCAACGAAAAACTCGTTTGCAAACAAACCACTATAATCGCTTTGGGTGTGCACAAAAAAAAATGGTATGGAGAGAGTGGGTGGAAAATAATAACAAACTGATAGGTAATATTATCACTCTAGAAAAGTAGTGCTATTACTAGCATATTGTTATTAGTTTGACAATGAACAATTACACTAAGGTATTATTCAAGTTGTATTTTACTAGGGCAATTGGTGTTTGCAGCATTTGCCCCACGAAAATTTCCAAATCGTGTGGGTAGGAACGCGGTATGTCATACTGAAATTTACTGCGAAATCTCAAATTTACACCGAAGTACACTCTCCCTTTTCTATACTCTCCTTCTTTCTCTGTTGTGTGATTGCCCTCTCCTCCCTCCCTCTCTCTTTCCTTTCTTTGTTAGCTTGTGCTCTCTTGTCTTTTTTCGGCCTTTTTTCCCTCGGAAGTATCACGTTACGCTTTGTTCTGTTGCTTTGTAGAGGTTGTTGTTATTGGAACCATCAGCCGAAACCTACTTGCAGAATGGGACACCTCGCTGTACTGTGTTGTACTGTGTTGTACTGTGTTGTACCCCAATCTACCGATGTACTACTAATCCTGTACTGAATTCTACTCTGGTCACGTTACAGATTAAACCTATACCAATCCTTTACGCAGTAAGCTAATTGTTGTTCCTCTCTCCCCATACAAATTGCCATTCCACTAACTCAATCGCGACTCCCTTGTAGGAGAAAAAAAAAAACCCCACCACTATAAAAACAACAAGAAATCCACCTGTTGATAAATTGGAATAAAAAAAGTCATTAAGGTGTTGTTAATCTCCAAACATTCACATATTAATATATAATCACATACAATGTCCGGTGGTAAAGGTAAAGCTGGTTCTACTGAAAAGGCCTCCACAACCAGATCAGCCAAGGCTGGTTTGATTTTCCCAGTCGGTAGAGTTCACAGATTGTTAAGAAAGGGTAACTACGCTCAAAGAGTTGGTTCTGGTGCTCCAGTTTACTTGACTTCTGTTTTAGAATATTTAACTGCTGAAATCTTGGAATTGGCCGGTAACGCTGCTAGAGACAACAAGAAGTCTAGAATTATCCCAAGACACTTGCAATTGGCCATCAGAAATGATGAGGAATTAAACAAATTGTTGGGTCATGTTACTATTGCCCAAGGTGGTGTTTTGCCAGCCATTCACCCTACCTTATTGCCAGCCAAGAAGGCCAAGCCTTCTCAAGAATTATAAGTGTTGATCTCTTTTTTGGTTCGTCTTATTGCCTCGACACTTTTAGTTTGTATATGTTGAAGACTTCGGTTTTAAGGGTCTGGTCATTTGTGTTATTTTCTTTTACTTATAGTGTATATTAGTGTTTAATTGAATTCAAATCTTGTTTTATTCATAGAATGTGACGGCGTAAAAGTAATCACCATGGTGTAAATCTCAGTCTGTTGTAGTACAGAAAAATTAGCATACTAAACTAAATTCTGACTGACTTCCTACACTTATTGTTAGCCACCATCTTCAATACTTATAGTCATGGAGAAGTTCTCGGCTTGGAGAGATAGTGGTACGGGTATATCACCGTTTATGCCTGCTCCTAAACCTACTCCAAGTTTCCTTAAAAAAGTTAGTAGTCCATTTTCTTTGCTATGGAAGGTGCCAGTTTTAGTATTGGCTTTTGTATTTGGACTCTATAAATTCATACTTATATCACTTTATGGATTCAATAACATTGATTTGACAATTGATGGAGTCAAGAAATCGAAACTTGAAGTGATAAAGTCCCTTAGACCCGATAAAGGCCAAGTTATATTTACCAATTATGTGTCTCCCGTAGATTATATGATTTGTAAATGCATTTCCAAGAGTCCCAGTTCTACTTTATGTTTGATCCCTGATACCAAAGGAGACTTATACCAATTTACGGTTAGTCAGTTCTTTAGCAAGACATTGAGTGGTCAATTTGATTTTGGAAATGGTATCAAGTTTACTGATTTTAAATCGTTGAAGTCAAAAACCACATTTGTGTTCTTTGAGGGAACCCCCTCGAATAACAAGGCTATTTTGCCGTTTATAGCCAACTTAGAAGGCTCCCTACTTGTTAATAATGCTACGAAGTTGCGTGTGTTAGCTTTGAAAGTTGTACCATTGCTGTTGACTACTCCACTACCACTCAGTTCCTATTCATATTACTATGAGCTTCTCACCAATTCAAATCGTTCCAACGCTATTAAATGTAAGTTATACGACATAAATGATATCTCCAAGAACATTAATAATGACATTGTCAAGGCTTTTGAATACTCAGGGTTGTACCAAGTTGGTCCTAATATGATTGTGGAGAACAAAAAGAAGTTTTACGATTACTACACCAATTATCAAAATCGAAAGAACTAATGAAATTGGTTATCTTTCTTGGACTTTTGGAATATGTCTGCTAAGAACAATTCAGCTTTCTTATCATTCTCCTTTTGTTTCTTACGACTGCTGCTTTTCGCATGATGTGATCTCTTCTTGGTTTCTGTCTTAGCGATTTCAATAAAGTTAGCCATAGGATCTTTTAACTCTTCATCACTATCGTTTTGCTTCACGTCGCTCAATGGATCCTTCAACTCATCAACATTAGTTTGTTTTATGTCACTTATTGGATCCCTCAACTCATCATTGTCGTTTTGTTTCATATTCTTCAAGGGGTCATGATCATTCTGTTCTGCTTCACTAAATAGCTTAATCATCTTAGAAGAACCAGTATTCTTAGTTTCAACATATTGACTGTAGTCGATCTTGAAGTCATCTTCTTCCTTACCTTTCGGAAGTCTGTAATTGGCATGGTCTACTCGGAGGTAGTGCAGATCAAGTAACTTAATACCATTCAAATTGTCTATTGCTAACACACAGCTACGGAAGTCATTATACTTCAAATAACCAAACCCCTTAAGTTCACCAGTCTCTTCGTTCTTAACAAGATTGATATGTGTAGGGATTCCATATTGGCTAAAGATCACCAACACATCATACTCTTTTAATTCCGATGGTAACCCTCCGATGTAGATATAGTTTGTATCGCGACGCTCATAGTGCCACGACGCTCGGTCCAGTACGTTATTCTCTAGCTCCTGTCGGTTAAGCTGGTTGATCTTCTTAATGGCATTCATAGTATTGATATACACTGTCCTAGTATAACATCTGTACCTTCTGTGAGATCTTATAACCGTACCTCCGTACGCTTTATTACTTAAGCAATGTATAGTCACGTGATACGCGAAGCTCATCGCACATCTCCCAGTGTGATTTGGTTTTCATACCACTAAAACTTTTCCACTACTACACCGTCTCAAGCAAAGCTCGATCAAGCATAACAGGGGATAGTTTGTTGTGAGCTATGGCCAGAAAGAATACTTCCGTGAAGAAGACGGATGTGTCTTCCAGAAAGAGAAAACAGGAAGATGACGTTGAAGTTGAGTCTGAAGATGAGTTTCAAGTAGAAGGCTTGATAGATGCCTCGAGTGATGAGGAAGATAATAATGAAGAAGAAAATCAAAAAGAAGTAGCGGAAGAAGAGGAATCCGATGATGAAACTGATTCTGACGCAGAATTGAATGATTTGATTGGCTCGGAAGAAGATGCCAGTGACTATGATTCTTCTGATTTTTCAGATGAACCAAGGGAAGATTCAGCTTCCATCACAGACAAATTATCCAACATTAAATTGAAGGTAATACCCACTGAAGATTCAGATAAGACTATTCATACCACGTTTTCTGACGGTAAGCCTCGGGAAATAAAGCCTGAAATTAATCCTGTTTATGATTCAGATGATTCAGATGCTGAAGATTTTAACACCATTGGTAACGTTCCTATAAGTGCGTACGAAGAGTTCCCTCACATAGGGTATGATATCAATGGGAAAAGAATCATGAGACCTGCTAAGGGATCTGCATTGGATCAATTATTGGAATCCATCGACTTACCTGAAGGATGGACTGGGTTATTAGATCAAAACACCGGTTCAGGGTTGAAAATCTCGGATGAAGAATTGGAACTTATTCGTAAGATTCAAGCTCAAGAAAATACTTCTGAAATCAATCCTTATGAAGATTATGTTGATTGGTTTACTAGACATGAAGAAGTCATGCCATTAACTGCTGTTCCTGAACCCAAAAGAAGATTTGTCCCTTCCAAACATGAAGCAAAGAGAATCATGAAGATTGTTAGAGCCATTAGAGAAGGAAGAATTATTCCACCATCAAAAGTTAAACAACAAGCTGAACAAGAAAGGATGAACTTTGATTTATGGAAAGATACTGATGGTCAAGAATTTGAGGATCATATCATGAACTTAAGAGCACCTAAATTACCTCCACCAACCAACGAAGAAAGTTATAATCCACCTGCTGAATACTTACTTTCCGAAGAAGAGAAACAAAAATGGTTGCAAGCCGATCCCGAAGATAGAGAACGTAGTTTTATTCCTCAAAAATACAATGCGTTAAGAAAGGTTCCAGGATATCAAGAATCAGTTAGAGAAAAGTTTGAAAGATGTCTTGATCTTTACTTAGCCCCAAGAGTTCGTCATAATAAGTTGAACATTGATCCTGATAGCTTAATCCCTGACTTACCATCACCAAAGGATTTGAGACCATTCCCAATCCGTACCTCTACTGTTTATGAAGGACATACTGGCAGAATAAGGACACTTTCGATTGATCCTTCTGGATTATGGTTGGCTACTGGATCAGATGATGGTTCTATTAGAATATGGGAAATCTTGACTGGAAGACAAGTTCACAAGATTCAATTGGTTAAGGAAGATGACTTGGCATCAGATCATATCGAAACTTTGGAATGGCACCCTGATGCTGAAGTTGGTATTTTGGCTGCATGTGCTGGTGAAATCATTTACTTGATAGTACCACCTGTGTTTGGCTACGAAATTGAGAATGCCGGTAGATCTAAGATTGAAAGTGGTTGGGGTTACGATAAGTTTGGAAATAAAAAGGGAGACATCAAGATCAAGGGTAATGACGATGAAGCTGATAACGATGATGATGACGAGGAACCTTCAACCAAGGGGGATTCCAAAAAGACAGAAGTTGCTAAATGGTTTACCCCTAACGCCAGCCAATCTCAAGATGGTATAGCAGCTGTCATTGAGTGTCGTCGTACAGTCAAGAAGGTTAGCTGGCATCGTAAGGGTGATTATTTCGTCACTGTTTCACCAGAGAGTAAGAACACTGCCGTCTTGATCCATCAATTATCTAAGCATTTATCTCAGTCACCATTCAAGAAATCCAAGGGGATCATTATGGATGCCAAGTTCCATCCTTTCAAGCCTCAATTGTTTGTGTGTTCTCAAAGAACTATCCGTATATATGACTTGGCCCAACAAGTACTCGTGAAGAAGTTACTTCCCGGTGCACGTCTCCTTGCCAATATTGATATTCATCCTCGTGGTGACAATTTACTTGCATCATCTTATGATAAGAGAGTTCTTTGGCATGATTTAGACTTATCAGCCACCCCTTATAAGACCTTAAGATATCATGAAAGAGCTGTTCGTTCCATTACATTCCATAGAGGGAACTTGCCACTTTTTGCATCCGCTTCAGATGATGGTACTATTCATGTTTTCCATGGAATGGTTTATGATGATTTGATGACTAATCCCTTATTGGTACCATTAAAGAAATTGACTGGTCATAAGATCATCAATAATCTTGGTGTATTGGATTTGGCATGGCATCCTAAAGAAGCCTGGTTGTTCTCTGCTGGTGCTGATGGTACAGCAAGACTCTGGACTACTTAAATGTATACTATTATAATAATAATAATAATCGCTTCAATATTCAACGGGATGATCTACATTCCCATTCTTTATATACTGGAAATCTATTAATGTATGTCCTTTATAAATCATCATGTACTTATCATCACATGACCCCTTCAATAATGTGTTTAAAATCAACTTGATATTTGATACAACTCCCAAATTATCAGCATCAACAACCCAATCCCATGGTTTCCAGTCCAAAATTCCTTCGTGTGAAATTTGTACGGGAGTCTTGTATGAATCAACAACTTCTTTACTCACCTCAGCAGTAAAGACATACATTCCATTCTGTTCTTCGTTCTCGACGTTCCAGAGAACCACACCCCGACTTTGATATTGAGGGATATCCAAGCCTGTTTCTTCAAAAGTCTCACGAACAATGCAATCTTGGGGTAGCTCATGAGGATCTAATTTACCACCAACCCCATTCCATAGTCCCATATTGGGACTTTTGAGTCGGTTGAGCAAAAGTACTTGGTTTGTCTCTGGACAATAGACAAATCCTAGAGTATACTTTAGTGTCTGAGGGAACGTCATATCAGAGACTTGATCAAACGCTTTCTTAGGTGATTAACGTGTGTGTGTTGAGTAACGTGTATCCTTTGGTACGCGTGAAAATTTCAAACTTCTGTCCTCACAAACAGTAACAAACTTTCCCAATCTGGTACCCCAGTAGGAGTACTGCTATCAAAGTCGTAATACCTCCCCTTATCGGTCATGAGAGACTCCAATTCTAAAAGATCGTATTCATTTTCAAGTAATCGATAGTTTTTTCGAAGTAGAAATAAGATTAGTATCAGACGTGCAAGATGCTGCTGGTTCTCACCAAGATGATCCAATTCCAAGTGGAAGATACCAACAGCATACATCATTACTTTGGCCACGTCACTAGTGTCTAATTGACCGTACCCAGTCCCAATTCCTGGTATCACCACATTTGAATGATCATCCAATTGTGAAGTCGCGGTGGTGAATGTCATACTCAAATGATTAAGTAATCCCCACATAAAGTCGAAAACTGTCTCTAATTGTTCAATTTTGCTAGGAACTACCATTGAAGGAATTTGTATTAATTCTGTAATATTCCAATTGGCAAGGGCTAGACTATTTGTGAGTAATTGAGTGATTCCGGCTGTTTTCAAAAGTGATACCGGATGAATGGTATTGGGAGCGACGTATCCTTTGTAACGGTTCAATGCCTGATTTTGAATCAACTTTTCCAACCGTTTATAATCAGAAGAACCTGTTCCTATAAGTAACAGTTGTAAAAGACTTTGATCAAACCCACCTCCCATATACAGAAGAGAATTCGAAGGGGTTACTACATATGTGGAATCTATACCATTCTTGGTCTCGTTTGGGACATGGTCTAATCCTAATAAAAGATCGTGGATCAGTAAGTTATGAATAGTTATTCTAGGCATTCGTTTTAATAATGTACTCTGTTTAAGTACCTCCAATTGCTTAATCCATTGATGGCATATTGCCGCATTGGTATCAATAAACAAGATGTGCATAATGATTAACAACTAACCAACCAAGTTCATTTCAGAGAAAGTAAACAATATTATTTCCAGTAACTAACTCCGATATTAGCATTTCAGTCGGTATTAAGGAAGCATATTATGTTATGATGAAGCAGTGCGAATTCCGAGGGTTCTGTCATGTTATGTCATGTCAAGACACACACGCACGCACGCACGTTGAAATAATAATGTCTGTAAGTGGGGAATTGTCATGCAGCGATTAAATTGTTAATATGTATCACCGAAAGTTTTGTTGTGAGGTGACACAAAATAAATAGCTTTTATGTCGGTAATGGTGGAGATCAAATGTTTTTGTCGGATAAAAAGTACCTCAACAAAAATAAAAAAATCTGTTTTGCGAACAGTATATAAATAAAGTGTTGGTTCGCCTCAAAAATTGCGACCTAAATAGTTCCTTTCTCTTCTCTTCTTTTCCTTTTGTTAATCTATCGATTGCAACAAACTCAATTGAACACATAGTTTAATTTACAATGGCTCCATCCTACGCTGACATTCAAAAGGCTTCCAACGACTTGTTGGGCAAGGATTTCTTCCACCTTTCTACTGCATCTGTTGATGTTAAGTCTACTGCTCCAAATGGTGTTACTTTCACTGTTAAGGGTAAGACTGCTAAGGACAACTCAATTGCTGCTTCCGTTGAAGCCAAGTACGTTGACAAGGCCACTGGTTTGACCTTGACCGAAGGCTGGAACAACGCCAATAACTTGTCTACCAAGATTGAATTATCTGAATTGTTGACTCCTGGTTTGAAGGGTGAATTGGATACTTCATTGGTTCCAAACGGTACCAGAAATGCCAAGTTGAACTTTTTCTACCAACAATCCGCTGTCAATGCTAGATTCTTCTTTGACTTGTTGAAGGGTCCAATTGCCACTGCTGATTTGGCAGTTAATCACGATGGTTTCACTGCTGGTGCCGAATTGGGTTATGATATCTCCTCTGCTAAGGTTAACAAGTACTCTGCTGGTTTAGGTTACGCTTCTCCAGTCTACTCTGTTTCCGTCACCGGTACCTCCAACTTGTCTGTCTACACTGCTGCTTACTACCACAAGGTTTCTCCATTTGTTGAGGCTGGTGCCAAAGTTGCCTGGGACTCTGTCAAGTCCAATGGTGTTGCTGTTGAATTTGCCACCAAGTACGTTTTGGACAAGTCTGCTTTTGTTAAGGCTAAGATTGCCGACTCTGGTTTGGCTGCTTTGGCTTACTCCCAAGAATTGACTCCCGGTGTCAAGTTGGGCTTGGGTGTTGGTTTCAACGCCTTGAAGTTGGCTGAACCTGTCCACCAATTAGGTTTCTCCTTGTCTTTTGCTGCTTAAGCAGGGCTTATGCATAGCGTAAACTACAGAGAATAGGGCAGCCTTTTATATTTATTCTTTTTTGTTTGTTTATCTGTTAGTTTGTGTATTTCATTAGAAACACATGCAATGTGAATGAGAGAGAATATCTGAAGATAACCGTGTAAAGTAGTATTGAACATTGTAGTGTCCAATGACTTGAGGTGCCATAATAAAATGTTGAGTGTAGACCGTAAATATTGTGGGGAATTTGTGTCATTTTAGATCACCGCTTTAAGCGATTAGGGTGACCACTCAAGTCACTTGAAAATGTCCAGACAAAAAAAAAAGTGTCATGGATGAAAGAACTTGATGAACGGGATTATTCCGTTGGAGTAAGTAATTTTCAATAGTAATTTGACACTATCTGTATCTTGTGCAAATGGCAATGTCGGGTTAAATGGGCCAATAAAATCCGAAAGTCTAGAAGGTACGAAATGTCTGGGGCTCTATGTGTCTGAATAATTTAAAAGGGAAGAAATCGGATTAGAACAATCTATGTCCAAAGATGGTCCGATCTATAGCCGTAGACAAAGACCCAGCTTTGGGAAATTATTATGTATGTCACTGACAGATTTAAACCACACTACAAGTTGACATAGCAAAAGGAGAGCCCCCACAGTGCCTAAAACCAAATGGTATAACCAATAGGCAATCAGTTGGTAAAGACATAAGTATTACACGTAAAAAGGAGCTCTCTAACCCATCCAAAAACAGTAACCATTAAATCTTTTCCAAACAGGTGTCTGATTTGTCTGTTCTTGTGTCATGCCAGACTTGTAACCCACATTACCCCATGTGGGTTTCAAGATTTTCCCCGTGCTACATTTTTCCAGATGTCTGGAGTTAACGACCATGTGGAGTAGCTCAACGCATAAGATAATTTGCAATTTCCTCATGCCATTGGCAAAGGCAGTCTATTACTATCGTGAGCCAATTAGAATACGTGTAACCGGTAATTGGTTTGTTGTCTAGAAAATCTCGATCAGATACTAAAAATTCGTAATTATATAGTAAGCCTCGTAGATACTCCTCAAGTTTCTATAATATGTTTATTCTTTATTGAATGGCATAACGGTAACCTGAGATGTTATCATTAGATTATAATTGTCATGATGTGTCTGGTCTCATCAGAGCTTAAGCCTGATATACACTCTTAAGTGCCTAGCTGTTCCTGATTCAGTTTTGTATAATATTATAACTCCATGCGACATTTGTTTTTGGTACCAAGAATGTCGTATCACCACAATGTCGCGTGATGGTGTGTGTTTAAAATTTAAACCTCTTAGTGTCTATTCAGCCGGTGCCATCTCTCTTATATGTCTTCCGTTATGACTTCCAATGGGACACCGGCCAAGCCCGAACTTAGACCCCATCTTCTCCAAGTCTCTCGGCCATATCTAACTGGTGATGAGATTCTGTATCTCCATTCGTTCACCATTGCTGAATCTAAGAAACTACTTTATAACCAAAAGAAACATCAGATATTCAAATGGCTTTTTCAAGTTGTGAAACAGCTAAGATTCCCTCTTCGTGTGCTCAATACAACCATGCTATACTACCAAAGGTGGTATCTACTCAATGAGTTTGATGATGATTGGCAAGAGGGTACCAATGACATTAATGATAAGAAGTTTGATCCATACACAGTTGCCATGGCGTCGCTCTTTTTAGCGAGCAAAAATGAAGATTGTATAAAGAAGCTTAGTGACATTCAGGCAGTGGGGAATAAACTCCGAGATTTGGATACCGGCGATAAGGAACAGTTTATTTTATTCCAACGGAAATGTATTTTAAACATTGAATTCAAAATGCTCCAAGTGATCAAATTCAATTTCATGAGTGATACCATGGTTCCATCAATAGATTCTTTGGTGGTTATATTTGCTAAAAAGTTGGGAATTGGGTATAAGAATACCATGTTTTCATGGCTAGTGACATTTGATATTATGTCTACTCTACTTGGAATAATGATTCCACCTCATTGCATTGCTCTTGCTATTGTCATAATTACGTTAAACTTCAAACCCAAACAGCTATCAGTGAATCCACTTATTAACGTCACCAAGAATACAGATGATGCAGCAGATATTCTTTCAGATGACAAATTGAATGCTATATTAGAATCCATTGATTGCATGCAAGACTTCAAAGCCCCTGAATCGCTTGTAAATGAAGCCATCATCTACGTATTAAACTATTACATTCATCAGATGAAATACTCCATTCTTAATGAGTATATACCCAGAATTGACGAGGAATCAGGGAAGGAACAGATTTTCAAGTTTATGGATCTTAAGTCTAAGTTTAATGATCTACAAGTATTAGACACTTGGGTTTCTTCGCATCAAAAGGTTTTGAATGAAGATGGCTATTTGAAGACATGGGATTATTCCACCGCCCAGAAGGGTTCGGTTAGATTCTTGCAAAGTAATAAAAGAAGAAGGTTTGCATTGGAATTGAAAGTACCTGGGAAACCAGAAAATGTATAGACTTATATATATATATATATATATATGTTTCAATCCTGTACTTTATACGTAACAAAGGTACCTACCTTGTGAATGTTGGTTGAGAAGGAAGCAAACTCTACGTTCTCAACATTATCTCCTTCTAGAGCCTTTGTGTCTCCATTGGTGTCTATCCATTGATTCGGCACTCCAGAGTTAGCATCGGTATAGCAAAGCACATTGAACGAGTAATTATCATCGTTCAATATCGGTAAATATGAAACACAGGATGTTATTTGTCTTAATATTCTTTGAATCTCTTTCTGTACCTGATCACGAGACTTCACTTCACTTGAATCGCGTTCAGCTTCACCTTCGCCGTTTTCCTCATTGATGATGCTCAAATCAAAGTCCCATCTTTCAGCACGATCTCCAGTGTCTTTAGACACAATAACAACGGCTAGCTTGCACAACTTCTTGCCGTAAATCCATTTCTTAACTTGACTCATGATCTGTCCCACATACTCAACCACGTCGCTTTCGTTACTCACAAGTAATGGTAGGCCGTATTTCCTAACGGTGATGAAGTCTTCTGGAGGGTATATGTTTCTTTGGAATAAGATGGAATGTATGGCAAACTCGAAATAGTCTGCCACTGTTTTAGAGGACCCTTTGAGAGCAAGTTTCGACACGTCAGTCATAGTAGTTGTTAGCCTGTAGTTAGATGTGTTGATCTTAGGTGCCACTGGCATTATCTGTAGACATAAAACGCGAATTGAATTTTTCGGACCAAAGCATGTGCGCTACCGTTGTGGTTATCTCCATTCATAGGTGTAGTGCTTGAGTAACAACACTCACAGAACGTACTTCATTCTTCATAGGAATCTGGAATTTCAATGGTACGTGCCCTCAAGATCACAATAATAACCTGTCTGTCTGTCTATTTTCTTACCACAAGCGAAAACTAACATGTTTATTTAAAGCAACACGGAATCAAACGTCAGCATGTCTCGGATGCGGCAAAGAGTGCCAAAATTCAAAGAGATAAGAAGAAGATTGCCCATTATCGTAACCTAACAGATGCTTGCTTAGATCTCAGAGATTCTCACACATATACACAAGATGCATATGATAAGACCAGTAAGCTACTTGAGGAAAACCCTGAGTTCAATGCCATTTGGAATTACCGTCGAGATATCCTTGAGTCGTGGCAATCAAACAACAAAGATATTGTCACCCATTTGCTTGAAGAATTAAACCTTTCAATGGGCCTCTTGAAACGCTTCCCAAAGTGTTATTGGATCTGGAGTCATCGGGTCTGGGTTCTTTTCAAGTTGGAAAGCTTAAATAAACCACAATGGAGTACGGAGTTAATGATTGTGGCGAAGATGCTAGAGTATGATCTGAGAAACTATCATGGATGGAGCTACAGAAGGTTCATTGTGGACAACATAGAGAAGGCTGAAACCAGCGCAACCACCACAGCAAATGAAGATGAGCAGATCTTAGCGTTAGTGAAGATCAATTCAAAGGAATTCGAATACACTACGTCTAAAATCAACAATATCTCCAATTTTTCAGCATGGCATAACCGAAGTCAATTGATACCAAAGATATATAAACTGTTTCAGCTGTTAAAGGATAAGAGCTTATTCCCCCAACTTCAACCTATATTTTTATCTCCTTATTCCTTACTACAACATGAACTTGATTTGGTGAAAACAGGTATGTATGTTGATGCTGATGATTCTTCGGTGTGGTTATATTTGTCCTGGCTCCTCACAGATAAATTCTTTGTTGAGTCCTTTGAATCAACTCAAAACTATAAGGATGTTCTTCTGCAGCAGCTTAACATAGTTGAAGAGTTGAACGAGTTGGAAAAGGATGATCATCCTAAAGGTTGGGATAACAGATGGTGTCTTAAGGCTATGATTCTTATTCGCACATTACTTGACGACTCTCCTGAAAATGATGATCTTACTAAAAATTGGTTAAAGAGATTGATTGATATTGATCCTTTAAGGAAAAATAAGTATATGGATCAGTTAAATGGGAAACTGGTTATCGTTTCCATTTGATTCGATCTTCTATATAGAAATATGATGGAAACAAGATGTGGATTTCGTTATACTATGCTATATTGTGGTAGCGCCGATTTATACCATGGTAGCGCGCGTTTTAAGGTAAAGCGATGAGATGAGGTTAACTGCAGTTAAACTTACTCTCTTCTTCTCCATTATATGTAATTGGTCAAGATGGCTAAGACTAAATCAAGAGGAAGAAGATTAGCCGCTAAGGAAAGAGAGATTATTGACGATGAAGAGATCAACAACAGTAACAACTTAGAATTCAATTCTGAGTCGCAAAAGAAGACTGTCTTCTTTGGATTAGTTGACTCCAATGAACTTGATTATTTCAAACAGGCAGAATCGACATTGAATGTGAACATGTTTGATAGTGATGAAGAGAGGCAAGGGTTTATCGGTTCTGTCTTGGAAGAAGCTAAAGGAAAGGAGCTTAAATTGGTGACCAACCAAATCTGTTCAAAATTGATGGAACGGTTGATCTTAGGAGCTAACAATAGACAACTTAAGGAATTGTTTCAACTGTTTGGAGGACATTTTGTTGATTTGGCTTGTCAAAAGTACTCCTCTCATGTTTTGGAGACGTTATTTGTCAGAAGTGCTGGTGTTATAGAGAGGGAGTTGATTCTGGGCGGTGAAGAAACGAACGATAATAATGAAGATGTAGCAGAAGGAGAAGAAGAAGAAACAGATTCTTTTATCCCAATGGAGACACTTTTCAATAAGATGCTCAATGAGTTCAAACCAATTGTTAAAACCATGATAGATGATCAATATTCGTCCCATGTATTGAGATTATTAATATTAATTATGTCTGGAAAGCCAATGCCTTCATCTACAATGGCTCATTCAACTTTAAGATCAAAGAAATCCAAGATTGCCAGAAAAATGATTGATATAAAAGATAATGAAGATTTCCTGAGAGCTTTCCAGACCCCAGCATCATTTAAACCTCAATTAAGAGATTACTGTAATGCCATTAGCATTGATGAGAACATGAGACACATGAGAGAGTTGGCTTCACAGAAGGTTGCTTCTCCTGTGTTACAATTATTAGTTCAAGTTGAAGGTATCATTGATAAGGAACGGACCATTTGGCATTTATTATTCTTAAAGGTCACCGACCCCAAAGATCCTCAAGAAGAAGCATTCATGGAGTTCTTACTTTCAGACTCAGTGGGGTCTCACTTCTTAGAGTCCATTATTAAGAATGATGGTGTCAGAATGAAATATATTGAAAGACTATACCAGCTTTATATCAAAGACAGAATTCTTAAATTAACAGGAAGATCAACAACTGCCATTTATGCGATCCAAGCGTTATTGTTCAAGTTAAAGCCAGTGGAAGTAGAGTATATTCTTGATATCATTATTCCTGAGTTTTCGAACTTGGTTTCTGTTTCTGAAAACCATAATATCGACTTTGGTAAAGCCATTATTGATGCTTCTATTTCCAGATTCAACTATAGAAAAGATGATATCGTGAGTCAGTTGTTTAAAAAGTTTGCACCCAATTACAACGAAGATGATGGAGATAATACTAGCACCGAGTTCTTAGAGAATACACTTCAATTGACTGGCTCCACTTTGGGGAATACCAAGGATGATTGGCCAACAGCAGAGGAAAGAAGACGAGCATTATTTGTGGAGAAGCTTATGCAATACGACTACAAGTTTGTTATTTGTAGTTGGTACAACTTCATGGCCTTGCCATCTGAGACTCTTGAACAAATGTGTTTTCATGGTGTATTTTCTAGAGTGATTGAGGAGCTGTTCAAAGTACTTCCCGATGAGGAAAAGCCTGTCGCGGTTTTACGTAAGCGTGTCTTGAATTTATTTCAAGGTAAGATGGTTAAATTGGCATGTAATGCCTATGGATCCCATTTGGTCGATAAGCTATGGGATTTCACTATTTTTTTGCCGATGTATAAGGATCGGATAGCTATGGAATTGTATGGAGAGTCCAAGAAAGTCAAGGAGAGTAATTACGGAAGATTAGTATGGAAGAATTGGGGAATGGAATTATTTATTAGAAAGAAGTATGAATGGAAGGCATTAATAAAGCAACAAGAAGCTGAATTCCATGTTGAGCATACACAAGAAGAACAACAGCAAGATGAAGGTGCACCAACGAAGAAAAGACCAATTGATATTAAGATGGAACAATTGGCAAAGGAAAGAGAGCTACAAGAGAAGAGAAGATTGCAGGAAGAAAATGGTGATGATGATGGGTCTAATGGTGCAAAGAGACAAAAGATTAGAGGGCGTAATAGATAAGTGAAGTCTATAATAAAATATATACAAGTTTAAACTAATATAGTCAATTGTTCTCTTTATCCTTCTTGATGTAGTATAAACTCAAGGAGGAATCAGGCACATCAGATGGAGACCCTATCACGGGATCAACACCTTTTTGATTCTTAGGAAATGCTATCACATCTCTAATACTACTGGAACCAACTAGCATGGCACAGAGTCTATCAAAGCCTAAGGCAAGTCCAGCATGTGGTGGACATCCCATACTTAAAGCCTTCAACAAATGTCCAAATAAAGCATCGTAGTTGGTAATCCCAAGAATGTTTTCAAAGACATATTGTTGAAGGTTAAAATCATGAATTCTTCTGGACCCACCGCCAACTTCAACGCCATTGATAACCAAATCGTAATGTTCACCATGGACTTTCTTCGGGTTTGATTCAAGATAATCGTAGTCCTCTGTTTTGGCCATAGTGAATGGATGATGTGTGGACTCAAGAGCTGTGGCTGAGTACTGGGGGAACTCCTCTGTCAGATCATTAATCTCCACTGGACTAAACAAGGGAAAGTCTACGACCCATGTACCAATAAACACTTTGCTAGGGTCATAGTCTGTTGAGATTTCGTGTTTATCTCCACCTGCTCTTCTTCTTATTGGTGTTAACCATTTGGTAGGATAGTTTTGAATGGCTAGTTGTCGGAATCTTCCTAAGGGAGTTGGGTTCTCATAGGGGAACTCTGCTCTCGTAGCCAAAGCAATAATATCACCAGGTTTCAAATCCAATTCTTTCAATAATTCAGTCTCATTGTGACTTGTTTGTAGTTTGAACTTGAACCATTCCTTCTTCAAGAGTCCCTTGAACCAGTTTTTAGCTTCATAATCATTGGTAATGGGAATAACAACAGCAGCTCTCCGAGTATAACTATCGTGGTCAGATAAAGCCTTGGGGATCTTAGGTTTCTTGATAGTGGGATCAAAGGCTCCTCTGAGGATGCATGCTTCAACAATGGGGAACTCAGCTGAGTGATTCATTGGTTCAAAGTGTTTGGAAAGATCATGGAACTTAAGCTGATACCGCAAATCAGGTTTATCAATTCCATAATTGGTCAAAGCATCAATATAACTTAACTGGGAAAACCTAAGCTTATCATTCTTCGACACTTGTTCCATCTCACCATTGTCGTTGAGTGTATACATCTTCAATCCACCAATTTCGTTCCAAATCCTATTGACAATATCCTCTACTACACGGCAAATCTGATCCTTGTTGTTAATGAAACTCATTTCCAAATCGATCTGAGTGAATTCAGGTTGTCTATCGGCTCTCAAGTCTTCGTCTCTGAAACATCTAGCAATTTGGAAATACTTGGTGAACCCAGAACTCATAAGAATCTGCTTATATTGTTGGGGCGACTGGGGTAAGGCATAGAACCTCTCGGGAGTTCTTGTGGGTACTAAGAACTCTCTGGCTCCCTCTGGAGTTGACTTGAAGAGTAAAGGGGTCTCTATCTCCACAAACTCATGGTCATCAATTAAGGTGTTCCGAACAAGCTGGGCCACTTTGCTTCTCGTTCTTAATGTCTTTTGATAGAAGGGAGTTCTCAATTGTAAGTATCGCAAATGTGGTGGGATATCCTCGGGATTGGTATGTTTCAAATAGTCTAATCTACTGGCTTCTAACGTTGATGGATTCAACACTTGATACTTTTCAACAACCAATTCCCATTGCTTCTCTTTAGATTCAAAGTCATTGCCTTTTGTTTGCTTTTCTCGGGCATATCCAATCACAGCAACAGAGTCCTCGGGCTTGCTTGTCTTCAACAACTCAAGATACTTTTCATCAGTTGTTTCTGGACTCATCATCAACTGAACAACTTGTCCGTCACCTGACCCATCTCTTAATTCTGCAAAGCCTAGCTTGGAAATCTTCTTTGGCTTTCTATTCATATGTCCATTAAGTATGATCTTAGCATCCTGGTTGTCTAAATAGTTGTCTAGATCACGAGTCACACCAGCTATGGTATGTGTTGCTGAAGGGAACTCAAACTTTTCTAAGGTGATTTTCTTCTCAGGAAGCAACGAGTATCGCCGAGAAACACTATGAGACACTGCTCTTGATAGCAGGGTCCACCCTGACGTAACAGTAGATCTCATTACGAAAGTTAATGTTTGGTTGCAAGTAAGCTACCATCCTTTTGCAAATCATGTACACTATATTTCGTCAAGAGACGTTAAGATCACGTGACCAAATTAAACCCGAGGGTAACTTGGTCGGATATCCACGGGGCCAAATACAATAAAGCAAATGCGTTACGTCTAGTTTGGTATTGGATCAGCTTATGAGTTCAATGGCTCCAACATTGTACTTAATTGGGCAATAACAAATCTTAGTGTTTACTACATACTACAAATGTTCTTTTGATTTCCTTATATACTAACGTAGTAGATGCAAAGCCGACTGCGTTCTTTATGGTACCTTGTATGCAACAACTTCATGAACAGCTCTTTTCTGTGATAGACCTCCTTTCCGTCCGAGTTGAGAGCATCATTTATCAACTGGGATAAATTATAAATGGAAATTTATTCCCTATTACTAGAGCTCTGGTATATGTATACTTTTCTTCTCTACTGAAGCCCCATTGATGTAAGTGGTGCATAGATCTGGGCCATCTAATTTACGAGCTGGGGGTCCAACCGCGTGCATCTTCAAGCGTTTTTGTGTACGTTCCTTCGTCTGCAACATTAAAAAACCAATAACCAAATACATAAAACTAAACCCCTAGTGTTTTAATGTTGGACATCTACAATAATATGGGGATTCGTAGTCACCAGCTCTTGTTGTTATTGTTGGCATTTACCATAAGTACAACACTTTTGCTAGTGTTATCCATCCATGTATTCCCTGATCAAGTTGCAGACTTCAGTGGTGAAGTAATGGTTGAAAGTGAAAGATGGATACTGGGCGAAACTGTCAGTACTAAAGAAAGACTGCTACGTAAAAATGGCTACTATATACATAAGGGCGATGTTGCGTTCCAGTTTATAAATCCGGTGGAGAAAGTAGGTACCCCTGAGGAAATGAATTATTTAAATATGGAACGATTTGCAGATATCTCTGGTAAAGAGATTTTGGAACCCTTAGACTATGATATTGAATCAATTAGATCTCCAGAAAACCCAGATGGTTATGAACGAGCAAGTGCTACGATTGTAGCCTTGGCGAGAAACGAGGATTTTGATGAACTTGCAAAGACCATCCTCAGCTTTGAGAAAATGTTCAATGCCAAATTTCAATATCCGTATACCTTTTTAAATGATGGAACATTCAGCGACAATTTCAAAAAGGGGATGCAAGCACTTAGTAAAGCCCAAATGGAGTTTGTCACTATTCCGGAGTCACTTTGGCAAATGCCTCCTCATATAGATAAGAAGAAAGCCAAACAGCAAATGAATAAGCTTTCCAAATCTGGTATTAAATATTCTAAAGATTTCTCTGTCAATAATATGTTACGATTCTTTTCAGGGAACTTTTATCATGTGCCTGAGATGAAGAAATATCGTTATTATTGGAGAATAGAACCTAAAGTCAGTTTCTTCACTGAATTGAAATATGACGTGTTCAAATATCTTCAAGGAACAGGGAAACTTTATGGGTTCAGTATTAGTTTATACGATAATCCATTAACTGTGGAGACCCTTTGGCCCGAGACAATGGGATTTCTCAATGAAGGTTCAAACTTCCAATATGTCAACAAAAAGGGATCCTTCCAATGGCTTACCGAAAACCAACAGCTTCCTGGTGTCAATGCTAAGGCAAATGGGTATTCGACGTGTCATTTCTGGTCCAATTTCGAGATAGGGGATATGAACTTCTTTAGAGGTGAGGCCTATAGTCTGTGGTTCCAACATTTGGATACCACAAACAAGTTTTACTATGAAAGATGGGGTGATGCTCCTGTTCATTCTATTGGGTTGGGATTATTTGCTGATAAATCAAAGATTCATTGGTTTAGAGATATTGGGTACTTCCATTACCCATACTATAACTGTCCTAAAGCAGAGAATACTCGTGGTTGTTTGCCCGGTCAGTTTTCAGAGAGTTTGGAATTACAGGACCGGAATTGTCTTCAAAATTGGATCGATTACAGCATAGACAATCTAAATAAAATATACTAAATAGACTACTCTATACTTCCCTTGACTAAATATATGGTTTCACCGGTTTTAAACGTTGATATTGTTCTTTCGCTTGGTTCAACCAACTCAGGTACACCGTCCTTTACTTTGAATATATTTAATCTATTCTCTGAGTCTCTGGTGGAATTATTAAAATTGGAAATCGCAAGTGTATCGGCCATCAGATCTAATGCTCTCCCCACAGGCCATTTATTTGATACAAACACCGGTTTTTGATTCTTTTCAAAGTCTATTTTGGTCACATCTGTATCACCACTTATATATAGACACCATAAGTATATTCTATCCGGGACAGTGACTTTAAGATCACCTTTAGCTGATTTCTTTAGTAATAGTATATCTGAAGTCTTTGACTTAGAAGCCACAGCCAGTTGTCTCAGTTTGCTACTACCAAAGATAGAGCCTATGGAAGTTTTGGAACTCGACGATCTGGAATGGGGGGATATATTAAGAAACTTTTTAAGACGAAGTAACGCCACTGATTTTCGGGTTGAAGGACCAGGAGACTGCTCCAAGAGAGTATTAACTCTTTCACGATCCGCATCTCTATTAGGAAAAAGAGAAGCAGCTGAGGGCCCATTCTTAGGGGTTCTATAGTTCGCTTTAACGCTATTATTGGTGGTTGCCGGACATTTATGAGCTACTTCTGTTCTGTGATTGGAACAAAACACCTTCTTGCAGTATTGGCAAGTGAAAGGAAGAAAATCCAATTGGTCACAGAAGGCGCAGTTCTTGCCGAGGTTCAATATCCCTTGTTCTGTTGGAGTCTTTGACTTGTCCATAAGAAGGGCAGTTGACATGGTTTTTTTGCGGAGTATAGATCGTTTGCACTTGGATCAAGAAAATTATGTCTGCAGTGCTTAGGAAAGGTAAAGACCTGGTAGTCCGTCGGGGTGCTATATAACTCGTATACTATAAAAGTAATCTATGCGTGTGTATGCGAATGGAATAGTAAGACAGTGGTGCATATTTGGGTGCACGATTCTGTTGATGTTATATACTTTTCGTAGTATGGCTGATTAATTGTCTATGTGGCGGTGGCGCGGAGTCACAGCACATTACTTCTAGTATCTTCTACAACAAATGCTAGAATAGTAATAGAATTATAAATGGATGGTGTTGTAGTTAGTGGCAGTAGCTAGTATCAAGCAATTGGGGTAACTAGAAAGAGGGGCGTGGTTCCTAGTGTCAGTAGAACTCATGGCTGAAGCAGGGTGCTAACGTGTGGTGGTTGGTCGTCTATGTATAATAGAATTTTGGATTGAATGTCATGTTGTACTAACTCATTGATTAACTCCACCGTCCGTTTGTATATTGGTGTATCTAAGTAATACGTCGTAGAATGCGTTGTATATCGTTGGCATCCATAGTTCGATTGTATTTGTTTGGGTCGCACTCATCACGAGCACGATGACTTGGACAAATGGTTGGCACAATTCTGAACATCACCAGCACTCTTCCTCCACACTATCACTATGTTTGATCTTAATGTTCCATGGCCTGTGAGCAACTATAATGTTAAGCCCACGCCTCAACAACTCACTCAGTTGATCAATACCATTGCTACGCTCTATACTCTAGGTTATCGCTATGTTGCAATAAATTTCACTCTAGATGAGAAAATCAAATTACCCAATGGCCCTATTAACCCTATAGATATACAATTATTAAGGGCAAGATTGAGCAAATATGAAGGTCTCAAACTCTTCACAAGATTAACCCTTATAATCCATGATCCTTCACAATGTCAAGGACTTGCAAAGCTCCAGAGTTGCTTTGATATCTTAGCAGTGAATCCTATAACTGAAAAGGCCCTTCAATTGGCTACTAGCAATCTTGACATAGATTTGGTATCTTTGAACTTTGGTAGTAGATTGCCTTATTTTCTTAAACATAAGACTGTTGGAAGTGCCATAGAAAAGGGCATACTTTTCGAGATTTGTTATTCTTATGTCATCTCTGGTCCTGCTGGTTATACATTATCTCAATCTAATGATAGTCTCAATTTAGCATCCTCGGCTTTACTAATACGTAAGAATTTCTTCAATAACGTATTACAATTGATAAGAGCTTCAAGATCAAGAGGGTTGGTTATAAGTAGCGGAGCTACTCAACCTCTACAAGCCAGAAATTCAGTTGACGTTATAACATTAATGAAGACATTAGGAATGGATCACGGAAGAGCAAAGCATTTCATGACCAAGAACCCAGAGAATGCTCTTAGAAACGGTCGTCTCAGAATAAAGAGCAATAAGCAAACTGTGATCATAGATAATAGAGGAGATGTTCTAATTGATAATCAATTTGAAGACCCTTTAAAGAAAGGTGATACAAACGCTTATAAGAAGAAGTTAGATGATACTTCAAGTGGAAGATTACTAAAGAAACACAAGCCTAATTAGCATTTATATTATAAATGTATATATATATATATATGTATGTATGTATACGTATATACATTGAGTCCACTTTACTTACCTGTGCTTAATATTATCCCTGATGGCAACCTGATAGTAGTACGAAGATCAGCTCACTATGCAACATTAATTGAATATAGAAGACTTGATCTTCTTAATTTGTGACTCGGTTGAAGGCTTTGGAAGAGGTATGGGGTTCTTCTTGTGTGTTTGTTTTGGAATAAAAGGTGGAGTGACTTGTCTCTTTTTGGGTAAGAAAATCGATGCTTCAGGTCTTCGCTTTCTTGGTGCCAGAATACGTTTGGGCAGAATTACATTATCACCAATTGGTGGCATTTGTGAAGTAGAATCGCGCAGTTCTTCCTGAAGAACGTCGTTTGTAGTATCAGATCCACTATTACTATCATCATTAGCACTGGATTCTCTGGGCACCATCGAGTGCATTTGCGAAGTACTCTCTTCTGTTGGCAGCTCTTTATGATGTGTACTCTTTTGTATATCTAATGCAATTGTGTTATGATGTGGCTTCACTGTTGTAGGTGGCTGTCTGTAATATCTTGACACATAATAATCACTATTACTCTGTCGAGGAGCAGCAGAAGGATAAGGTAAAACTGGCATCCGGTACTCAGCATTTGGTACGACACTATTCGTAGAAGAAGTGTAGCCCCTTCTGGGATGAATCATCCCTCGAGAAGTTTTCTTAGGAAACATCAACTGCCGATGTTGTAACTCTCTTTTGGCCTTGTAAAGTATGCTATTTTTATTCCCTGAAAATGGGGCAAACCCATTGGTGGAGGTTCCCCCTTGTAAAAAGGTACCACGTCTTCTAACAGTCGGATCACGGACCATTTGACTCACTGCAACTATAGACTTTGCAGATTTCTCCTTCTTCAATCTTTCGTTGATACTTCGAAGTCGAGCAGCAGAATCGTTCCTCAAAGCGTTTCTTTCGTCAAAGTATCGATCAAATAATGACTTATAGGGCATATAATCATCTCCCTTAGGATGAGGATCCGCAGGTCTATTAGGAAACTCCTTAATGATTAGATCTTGCCACATCTCATCCGATTCAGGTGTCACCTGTGAACTGTACTCCTCTATCTTGGTAAGTTGTTTGGCATTCATTCGTCTAAGAATAGGTCGTAGTAATCTATATGGAATATCCCCCACATCATCTATCTTATGGATTTGGCGTATGCAAACGTTGGTGGCTATTTCTCTAAGTGATTTCATCGAGAGACTCGTCTCAGTATCACTGATCGACGAAGATGAAGTCGGCATCGGTATGGAGATCTATTTGACGTTTTAGAGTCTAAGCATATATGGATGTTAAAATACTATGCATGTAACTTGATTAGGCTTCTAGTGCGATGACGAGCAAATCGCACTCACCCTTCACTTCTTTTCACTTTAATAAACTTGCAAGTGCTAACCTTATTGAAGATATTAAAAAGGTTATAGAAACTTGAATAGCATTTATTCTTTGCCATTTATTGGCTGGAAGAATCTATAACGATTCAAATCAAAAAGTATCTCTGGCAAAAAAAGAACTCCGATACCGGGAATCGAACCCGGAACTGCTCTGTGAGAGAGAACCGTGCTAGCCGTTACACTATATCGGATAGTAATAATGGTAAACTGCTACGTTACAATGAAATTCATTTCTCCTGCGCTTAGTGTACTATTACTCTGCATTTTGAGCACTCTGTACTACTAGTTATATAGTCCTCGCTTGTATCTACAATATTAACCCCAATGTCAAATGTCTATAGTATTAATTAAATATCCAACCCAAAATAAAATAAATAAACAACTATGTGTACTTTATTGTTCCATTAAAACCCTCCTGTCATATACCGAATCTTATCGACTTCTTCTTGTAATGCTTTTAGATCGTCGAGAATCTCTGTGGTGCTGTCATTCGAATGATTGGGGTTGTATATTGACAGTTGTGCTGGTGTTTGAGTGTTCTGACCGTTAAAACCCGAGTCAGTCGAGTTATTGGAGGGCTGTCCAAACGTAGGTGACAGGGTAAAATTATTAGTAGGAACTTTTGGCGGAAGTGGTGGTGGTGTAGGAGATTGTGCATTGGATACCCGTCGTCTCGAGGGTGGTGGAGGTGGAGGCACTTGCCTACCAGTGGTGGTAGTAGTCGAAGGATTTCCATTAGTATGTGATCCACTAAATATTGTAGCCCCAAGTTGTGGAGGTGGTGGAACAGGCCGTCCAACATTTAAATTGGAATTGATAGTAGTGCCCTTTAATAATGTGGCACGATCATTCTGGTTTGGATCCAGTGGGATTTGAACTCCTTGCAAAGTATTGACATTCGCACCATTTCCATTCATGCCCGTATCAAAACTTGAAAAATTGCTACTTGTTAAAGGTGTGGAGGCTGACCTGGCTCTCCGAGAAGGAACTGGCGGTGGTGGTGTTAATCCATTTCTTGTAGGTGAAGGCGAAGCATGATTTGTTCTTTGGGTATTTAAAAAGCTTAAATGATTGCTTAAATTTGGCCTATTGGATCCATTCATTGTGCTATCAGCAACATGGGAATTTTGTACTGTATTGTTAAAAGTATCTCCTGTCATTTGAGTTGTAAATGACAGCAAAGATATTTTTGGTGTTGTGCTCAGACCAGGAAATATTATTTCGTCATTATTGCTGATATTAACACTATTATTATGGATAATAGGGTTATCATTATTGCTCACCGAAGTAGTAAAATAGTTTGAAAAGTCCGTGTTGGAGTCATTCTCTCGTCCATGTAAATATTGTTCCATTTGAGCTGGGCCTGTCATGTTAGGTTTAAGAAATTGTTGCTTGGTGGGAGATTCAGCAATAGAATTAGGTTCAGTTAATAGTTGGGCCATCTCATTAGGTCCTGTTCTATTAGGCCTTAACGGTCTATTAACCTCGAGACTTGCAGGGACACCATTCACCGACATGGTGTCAACAATATGCAAGTTCTTGAAATGACCCATATGTGATTCAACTTCTTGAAGAACTTCTTGTTCTTCTGCATCTGGTTTTTGTTGCAGTTGTTGTTTCTTCACTTGTTCTAAGAGTTGATCCATTGGTAATGAATAATCGAGCTCCGAAGTAATATTAGGGGAATATGCCCTACTTGAGGATTCTTGATGTATGTCACTAATAATTTGGTCACTAAACTTGACTGATTTCAATTTTTTGGATCTTTTTTTAATAGAAACCTTTTCATCAGGACGTTCTCCAGTTAACATGAATTGAGTGAACCCATCAAGATCTAAAGGCTTGTTGGGTTCTAAAGAGGAGTTCAGAGACTCATTCATTATTTGCTCATCTGTATCATCATAACGATAGTCATCATCCCTATAATCATCATTTGTTCTCTTTTTGGAGAGTATAGACGGTGGAGTAGGCACCGGAGCCATTACCTTTATAAGACGTCTGGAAGGTTCCCTTCCTAATAATACATGACTAATGACTCTTAGCAATGCAAAGAACTGACCAATATTAATCGACAGGGAATGCTTTTGAAACAATCGAGATATTTTCTCTTTCCGAGAGTCCGGGATTCTAAAGTTCACTAAAAATGAATAAACATCAATAAGAGTGATTGTACGACTATTTGTTCGGGTAAGAATATCACTATACCATCTCATATAAGTTTTTGCTTCTTGAAGAGACATTTCCTGAGCTGTTAAACTCAAGGGGATAGATTCATCATCAATTGATTCAACCAGCATATTTGATGATGCAGATGGAGTTGTTCTATATGAATCAGCTCCTCTATTGATTCTATCGGATGAAGAACTTCGGAACACAACAGCATGCAGTGATTGTGCAGAAGATAAATCCAAATCCGATGTGAATCCAAATGATACCTGTGGAGGTGCTGGAGAAGTACTTGACCCACTTGTTTCAGATTGTCTAGGGATATTAAGCCATTCGAATCCGTCCATTATTGATTACTGTTATATTGTTTTAAGGGAAGGACAACGACTTGAATAGGAATTGAAAAGACCTCAATTATAAAAGCACGCAACCGATTAGTGTATATATACTGTATTTGATGTTGTTGATAATTTGAGTTATAAATAATAAATGTATAATGTGTCTCCTGCCGTTTGGCTCTTCCAACTTGATCCCTTCAACACTATTTTAGGTAATATCCACCGACCGACGACAATTAGTGCTGTGATCCGTTGGTGATCCGTTAAATTTAAGATTACCTTCTTCTCGTAGAAAACTGGCCTAGTATGGTTTCCCACTGGTTTCCGATATTCTGTACCGGTAAATACAGTGTTAAGGGTAGCGAGTGTGAAGGTTATAGTGTGTTCTTTAAAATTAGTAGGTTGGTGTCGCGGTAATTTGGCCCGACCAGCGAGCTTTTGTGTACAAGGTAAACTTGTTAGTAAGGAAGCGAAGCACGTAGAGAGAAATAAAAGTATAGATGATAGGTTAACATTTCATATAAAGACAGTCTAGATATATATATATATATATATATATATATATTCAAATTATAAATCCAGTATTAATGTTAAATTAGTTCACAGTTAAACTTCGTGTCACTATGTTAAAGTAGGTGAAGTTTGATTCCGTACTGCATATAATGAATCTCCCTAAGTATTTGCGTCTTACGTTTAACAAGTGATGGTAGTCTTCTCTCTAACTAACTGATAATATTATGTTCCTGCTTAAACGAAAGAAGAAAGAGGGCCATGGACCTAAAAAGAAACCATCTCTATTTGGAACTAATGTGAGTTCAGATTCTGATGATAATGAAGATCGTTTCTTGAAGAGCATCAAGTCTAAAGAAGCACAAGTAATGTCTCAGGATACAGCGGTGCTACAAGATAACTACGAAGACAGTCGAACTACAAACGAAACCAATCAGTCATCATCATCTGGATCACCCTTAGGACCTTCATCTGGAGCAGTGCCATCATCATCCAAATACATTGGTGGACTACTTGATGCTGCGAGCGAAAGAAAAAAGACATTTGAAAGGGCCCGTAAGCAAGCACAAGATAGAAGAGTTGATTCATTTGGAGGAATGGTGTTCAAGTCTTCCGAGTACAAGAAGATACGACATTCAAAAAATATTGATGAAAATATCGATGGTGATGATGATGATGATGATGATGATGATGAAGATAATGAAGGTCTGTTCTATAATCGAATACTAAGCGCAAAAATGGGTGAATCAATAGCAGAACCAATTAGACCACATAAAACTGTCAAGAAAGAGTCTAAAGCTCAGATTTCAGTTAAAAGTGATACTAGCACAACTAATACTATTACCAATACATCTACACCGACTCCTCTGTTCAGTAATATAAAAGATTTGAAGACTTTGATAGAATCAAAAGTTACCCCACAAAGTCTTGACCTCTACAAAGAACGCTACTGGAAAAGACAAAACGTTTTAAACAACCAAAAATTGACGTGAATAATTATTTAATCTCAATAACTATATAAATAACCGTTTAAAATCCCCCAATACTAATAATATACAAAATGTTTCATCGATTCATTAATTTTTTTTTTCTTTTTTATCTTCTTTAATATAGTGGGAAGTTACGTCAATCTTGTTTGTTTAAAATCTCATCAGCCCAAGTAGGCAAGATGAAAGAAGCACTGTGGATTCGCTTATTGTAGTATTTCATGTTCTTTCTAACGTATTCGTCAGTCCATTCGTATCTGATTGGGTTGGAAACGTCAGCATTGGCATCTTTAGAACAAACCATGAAACCAATGGAACCAGATGGATAAGTTGGAATCATAGTGTAAGCATATTCAGCAACAGAGAAGATTTGCTTACAATCTTGCTTCAACTTAGAGATGATTGGCATATGCAAAAAGATGTTCTCAGCTTGAGTAGTGATAACACCCTTTTCAGTTAAAGCACCATTCAACAATTCAAAGTAAGGCTTTTGGAACAAAGATTCGGCTGGACCTTCAGGATCAGAAGAATCGGTGATGATAACATCGAATTGGTTCTTGTATTCAGCCAAAAACTTGAAACCATCACCAATGTGAACCTTAACTCTTGGGTCATTGTAAGACTTGGACATTTCTGGCAAGTACTTCTTGGAGACTTCAATAACAGTTTCGTCAATGTCACATAACCAAGCTTCTTCGATAGAAGAGTGTTTCAAGATTTCTCTTAAAACACCACCATCACCACCACCAATGACTAAAGCCTTCTTAGGGTTAGGGTGGGAGTTTAAAGCCAAATGAGCGATCATTTCTTGGTAAGCAAATTCGTCTCTTTCAGTGACTTGAATGCAGTTATCCAAAACCAAAACGTTACCATAGTCAGTAGATTTAAAAACCAAAACATCTTGATACTTGGATTGTTCCACGTGCAAAATCTTTTCAACTCTTAAGGACATAGCTTGGCCTGGCCACATGGTGTTGGAGATTTCAGCAAACCAACCATCCTTAATGGATGGGTGAGTCAATTCGGAAGCCATTGTTAAATCAATTGGATTTTAATTGAATTGAATTACAAAAAATTTCTTACACGAAGAAAATTTGGTGGGGATCTGGTTCCTTATATATAAACTAAATCTCTCCTTCTAATTAAGTGAAAAATTTCTCGCAATCATTATGAATTCCAATCTTCTTCCGTAAAGAAGTCAGCCCCAATATACAGTCCACATCATTTACCCACTATCATAAAACTACGCAATATTCCTGTGTGTGATCTGTTACGCTTGGTATTACTTAATGGGGTATAATCCGTCCCTTTGTGCCTATCGTGTTCCGCTTCTATTCTTTCTCCGTTGGCATTGGTGCATCATTATAAACCTATCACTGGTTGTACTTGTTATCTGTAATCATTGCGGTTGATATCCGGCCTGTAGTAAACAGGAATACCGTTGGCGTTGAAGAATACCGTTGGTAACTCAATACCTAATAGCAACAGTTAGTTTTTAATTAGGACAGTTTTGGAGGTGCAATGAGAATTTACGGCACATTGGATGCTTGCAACACACAACGTACACTAAAACTAACTACAATTTCATGAAATCACATACACAATGTTCATTTTCAAAAGTTATTATACATTCGTGGTAACTACCTGTAGCTATAGAGCACTTAGTAGAACCACGGAATTACTACTTGGATGATATCCGACTGCTCCTACAGCGCTGCACACGTGCTCGTTTGAAATCCACAATGCCTGTATGTAAGTGTGCTAGGCACTTTTAGTTTAAGGGTGATGCGGTGGCTCAATGGTAGAGCTTTCGACTCCAGATCGAAGGGTTGCAGGTTCAATTCCTGTCCGTGTCAAATCCTTTCTTTTTGCTTTTTACAGGTTATCAACTTAGACTTCTCTTCAATCATGAAGTATACAAAACCTTTTAGACTATTTCCATTTCCAATGATCACAATAAAATACGGTCATGCCTCAAATTGTTTTCATTGAATTACGTGAGAAACAGACAATCCCGCTCAAAGTGTTCATTAATCGTCAACAAGTTACCAATGAAGCAAAGAAAACAGTAGCAGTGAATCAAAAGTCAATTATCACACTAAAAAAGGCAACTCACCTTAAATTATCACCAAAAGACTTACAACTACTATGCGAGACAGTAAAACCATACATTCTGAAAGTACTACTACAAGAACCATTAGTGGATATACTAAACTCCATTCAAATAGCCTCTAAGGCTCACCCTCAGAGTATCTATTCGGGTAAGTACACCCAGGAGGTCAATACAGACCCGTTGGGGTGTACCATAGCCATTATGCCTGAACTAATAGTAAGTTTCAGACAATCATTTGGAATCTTTAGTGGTTTTGAAGAAGAGATGGCCCAAACAAGAAAAGTAAAGGGAGTTAAATCTAGTCGAATGGCTGTATTGAGGGAAACTATGGAATTCAATGACTCACTGCTTCAACAGATATTAACGGAAGAGCCAGATCCAAACGACATCAATTGGAATGAACCTTTCAATGGTGGTGATGATAAAAAGAATTTGGTTCATAAATGGAATAGAACTTCAACTATTGGTAATTACAATTATTGCGTTCATGTATATTTGAATCGATATCATTAAGCTACAACTACTAATTTTTTTGTTAAACACTTTCATTCCATATTTCTATCTACAAGACATGAATAAACAAAAATTTAACCAAACAAAAGAAGAAGCAACAACAATAACAGCTTTAAACCACGTCACTAATGACTCTGGATGCTTCTCTATAAGTTTTCAATAAGTCAATGCACTTTTCTCTTTCAATTTGAATGGTGGCATCCTCTTGAAGTAACTCATCAAACAATTGTTCACTGTACAATTTCACCACCAATCTGTTTTGAATATTTTCTTTAATGAAGTTCACCAATAAACACATAATCAGTTTAGGCACTTGATCTTGAACCATTTCTCTCACAATACTGAAATAGGATACAATTAATCGTCTGATCAATTCACATTCCATTTGTTCTCTTTCACTCAAATCATTGAAGGAACGATCATATTCCATACTTTCCTCCATGGAAACCCGGGCCATCTCTTCAGCCATATGTTCATGTTCGTGTGCTTGTCCGTTTTCAAGAGAAACTTGAACACTGCCATTCATTTGAACAGCTCCATTTTGATGGGTAAAGTTGGAATTAAATTGCAATGGTGCTTCCACTGAGTTGGGATATTTAAATGGAGTGGGGTTCAATTGAGCTTGAGCTGCCAAATGTTGTTGTTGGGATATAGGATCTTTACCAAAAAAGTAATTCAAATATGATTCATGTTGGTAACTTGTGTTAGACACAGTAGAGTTAACATCAGATGACCTAATGGAATGGCTACCATTTCGAAGTTGCTTAACTGGCTTGACATAGTCATCAACTTGATTAATATCATAAATGGCTTGATCATCTGAAGTAACTTCATCACCTGATTCCTTAGGTTGCAGATCTGGTGAATCAGGTACCTTGGTAGAGTTCTTCAAAAGAATTCTTTCACTAGTAAGCTTCATTTTACGTTGCAGTTCTTGTTCCTTCAGTTTGCGTCTTTCATCCACAACCATACTCATGGCCTTTGCAGCACCAACAAAGTTTGGATGATTGGTGTTAATGTAAGCTCTGTGAATATCAATCAATGATTCAACATATTTGATCGTTGGTCCTAACCGTTCACGTAACAAATCAGATACAACCTCAATAAGTTTACTTTGAAGCTTTGGATACCTATTCAACTCAATACCTACACCTGTTGAACAGATATTGTGGACGATTTTCATTAATTCTTCGTAAACTTGTTCCACACATCTCTTTGAAGGATCTTCCAATAATTTGATTTGAGGTTTAACAAGTAAATCAAACGCCAATTCAGGAACAAACAAAGAAGGTCTTGGGCCGGTAGAATTACGGATAGCAGTTCGAATATCACTTATAGACAAATTATGAGTTGGATTGATTGCCGCCAATTGTGATCCAAACACTTCATAATAAATGAAGTATAAACGAGCTCCACCACACAATTCCTTTGTGGATACTTCATTTACACTTGTTCCTTCAATAGAGTTGATGAATGAAGTGGCAAATTTAGTCATCAAATTGAGCACAAGTGCACCTCGAGACTCCTTAGAAGTGTCAAGTAGTGAAAAATCACCATAACTGGCTAATTCTTGTTCAGTTTGACCCATCAAAGTATTTAACTTGGCTTTGATATCTGGTAACCTTTCCCTGATGTGGTTCATCAAGATCCGGTTAAGAGTCTGTGCTAAGTATTTGGTTCCACATTTGTTTGAAATTGAACGATAAGCTGGATGATTAAGAAAGAATTGATGTTCAGCGTAGAGTGAATCTTCCAAAGCTTTGTTCTCAGATATGTCCTGTTGTGACCTGTTAACAATACCTATGAATCCAAGTTTCAAGGGATATATGTTGCCTTTAAGGATATCTAAAGCATTCGTTCCTTGGTCCATCAAGTCCAATTTAGTTAAAATACCCACTGTACGTTTCCCTGTGGGATCAACTTGACGAGCCAATTTAAGTGATTCTGAATTAACCAAATCAACATTAGCGGGAGATACAGCAAGGATAATACAATTTGGTTTAGAAATGTATTCTAAAATCAAATTCCGAGTTTGACGTTCAATATCACCTGGTTGATCACCAACTGGAACCTTTGTGATACCTGGTAAATCAACTAATGTCAAGTTAAGTACATTTGGTGAATAAATTTTCAAGTTGATTGGCAAACGAGAGATCCCTTTATTTTGGCCAGCAATTCTAGCTGTTTCGGATTCAATTTCACGTCTAATTTGATTAAAGTTGTAAAATCTCTTATTTGGAATATGTAAAAACTCACCCCATTCAAGAAGGGGAGCAAAAGAAGACACGGGATTGCCTGTGGAGGTGGATGCTGTACCATTATTAGTGGTGCTGGTGGTAGCAGCGTGTCTACGTAAATGCTCTTCCAAGTCAATTTCTGATGTTTCAACGTTAGACGATGACAGGTGATCATCATTAAATCCATGACCACCAATAGACGTGCCATTTGACATTGATTCAGATTGTTCCTTAACAATGGGATCTGTAGGATTCACGTGGATCAACTGAAGCACTAAAGGTCTTCTTGTTACAATACCAGTACCCCTTGGTAAAAAGTCTTTACCCACTATGTTCTCAATCACCGACGATTTACCACAGGACTGAGACCCCACCACAGCCAAGATGGGTAAATCTAAATCGGCTAGTTGGGTTGTGGTCACAATGTCCTGAAGTTTGTTTACCACGGGTATCAAATCCTGTAACGACATCGTGGTGTGGTGGTGATAAGTAAGATTTAAAGGGGACCAATGTTTATTATAGGTAGCTTAATTTCAGGTATATTGCTGTGTTCTGAAAAAAAAAAAAGCTCCACCTTTTGTTTGTTGATTGATTGATTTATTGATTGCTTCACTAGAGCTAAAACCTTGGTAGCGCGCTGCGAGGGCAAATAGGCGGGATTTTACAGGGGTATCTAATGGAATTGCGGATACAGAAAAAAGAGGCTATTAGAACAATATTGTACTAGTAGTAGTAGTAGTAGTAGTAGTAGTAGTAGTAGTAGTTGAAGTTCAGTATTAGTGTTTGATATGGTGTTTTGTGTGTAGATAGCAGTCAGCTTCTATGGTGGTGGGCTCCAATTGATCGAACAATAATGTACGTGAAGCTTGAACTGTATAAATTGCAGTGTAAAGATTTTACGGTAACGTTCTGTAAACCGTTCAGGTTCAGTAGTGGTAATGATGGATTCTGCTCTATAGAATCGAACTGAGTAGAATTGGAATCAAAATTGAAATTAAAATCTCTGATCTTAAACTAATATCTTTACTTTTGTTAAAGACTAGTTTTGGGTTCTTAATTCTTAAACAAATGTGGAGCTTTTATAAACGTTTCGTATCTATACACTACGATGGCAATAGTCATGGTGTTTTGCAATGTAACTCCGAGAGCCAGCTTGTGGCAATTAATGCGAATGCTTTAGTGTGATATTGGAGAGAGACATACACTTAAGCGTATGTAGTTCAAGAACAGTATATATTTGTAGGCACAGTACGTTCTATTGAACTGAACTCGAGCAAGCTACTGCTACCTTATGGAAGTAAAGGATTACTGTTACAAACACGCAGGAAATATATAAACCTTGTAAGCGTTTTATGGCAAAACTATGCCATAGCAATGTGTATCAACCATTACGAGCATACACTACAAACACGATATAAAGGATTATACTAAAGTAATCAAGCTTGTGCTATAACCTTACTTTATAATGATCTCCAATGGTAATACGTAACAGGCATCCGATTCTATGGAGCTTTTTGCTGTGGTAGCGCGGTTGCATTTTTTCCATTCCCTCCTAACATCATATACGTGTTTGACAGACAGATGGTGAAAAAACACCAACCAATCCTTTTAAAAGTATCATCTTCTGTTGGGGACCCCATTGTATATAAATACCATGATGTTTGTAGGCTGGGTGTCACTTGTGATCTCGTTTGTGGCTCTGTTCGCTGTTGCATTGGACGTGGATCCAGACTCGTGGTTCAATGAGCAATATACAAGAACAGTTGAGTTGTCCAAAAGTTATGTTAGAGAATCAGTTTTATTAAATATTAAAAACACTGCAAGTGCTCCTCAAGATACCTATTATTTCCATTTAAGCGATGGCTTGGACTTTATTAAAGATTTATCTTTGATTTCAGCTATCTTGGTTAAAAATAGAAACGCTGTTGATATAGTTCCGGTTATTGAGTCAGAAGAAGATTCTTCGTCTGCTTCCAATAAATTGTTCAAAATCACTTTACCTTATCCGGTTTCTCCTCAATCAAGTGTTGATATTAATGTCCAATATAATTACATGAACTCAGTCCGTCCTTTCCCCGAAAAGATTGAATTAAGTGATGTTCAGAAACTTCTTATTAAGACAAACAAGTTCCCTTACTCACTTTATGCCACTAAAAATTATCAATTGGCTTTTGGTGGTGTAGGAAAGTCTGAAGAGATGAACTTGAACTTAAGTAATGATTCAGTTGTCACAAAGGATTTACCATCTTTGGAAGGCCGTGTGGAAAACAATATGCTTGTTTATGGTCCTTTACTTTCAGTTGTTGGTCCAAAGACTATTTTTCCAATGGGTTTGTTATATACTCACTCAAAGGCAATTGCTAAAGTAACAAAGTTGGACCGTAGTGTTTGGATACCAGGACTGGATGTTATTCAATTACCCGTTGAAGAATACTTTGAATTAACTAATGATGGTGCAGCCTTAGCATCTGGATTCTCCAGAATCGACTTTATGAAGGGAAGATACGGTCAGAATAAAAACCATTTTTCTTTACTTCAATTGGAATTTCCCTTTACAGATTCCAACTCTTATTCTGATTATTATTACACCGATTTGGTTGGGAAAGTTGATACTCATCAAATCATACAAAAACATTTGGTTATACAACCTCGTTATCCAATGTTTGGTGGTTGGAAATATAACTTCACTCTTGGATGGAATCAATTGGTTGTTAATAGTATTCGTCGTGTTATTGATGAAGAAGATACTTACGTTATGGCATTCCCAATAGTTAATGGTTTGCAAGATGTTACTTATGATAAAGTCTATTTATCTTTCTACTTACCGGAAGGAGCTGAATTTGTTAATGTTTCTTCTCCTATTCCCTTTGAAAATATGGAAGTTTCTTCAGATTTGAGTTACTTTGATGTTGCTAAGGGTCACACCAAAATCACTTTAACATACACCAATGTCATTGATGCTATGACTAAGTTGGACGTTTTCATCCAATACAAGTATTCCAGTAAAAGTTTTATCTGGAAAATCCTTAAAATTAGTGGCTTTATCTTTACTGCTTTGACATCCTACTTCATCCTAGGAAGCTTAGATTTGTCAGTTGACGACAAGAGCAAGAAATAGAATCAACAATTAAATAATTATCAGATTCAATAAAAGGAATTGTATTTAACAAACAATTTGGATCCACTAATTCTTCTTGTTGTAGTTTATAATATGTAAGTCTAATCTTATTGGGTACGCATCACGTAATTCATCAAGTGTCATAACGTTGTTTGAGGAGAGCAACTTGTTCTTGACGTACTAAATAATCTTCAGCTGCGATTCTACTCGTATCAACTTTGTACGTTGTTGCCACCAAGTAACGACCTCTGAAATTGACCCCGTTCAATTCTTTGACCGCTTTTTGAGAACTTGATAAATTCATGTACACTGCTATGGCCGTACCATCTGGTTCATCTTTAGGCACTCTGATTTGACTTAAGGCTCCGAACCGAGAAAACAAATTACAAAGGTCCAGATTAGTGGTCTTATATGGTAAGTTCTTGACTTGCACTATAGGGAACTCGGACACCTTCAGCATGTTGTGGAATTCAGCATAAGTGAGGAAGTATATGTACTAATAGTTTTTTTATCTAGTAAATGATTTTGTCGCAGAATATATATTGATTTGACATTTTTGAAAAATGTCGTGATTTTGCTAACAATAATGATTTGCAGCAATAGCACTTAGAACAAACGTAAACCACAGGAGGCAAAGTAGAGTTCTCAATATGTAAGATATACGTTATGGTATATTATACATTTAGTAAAACCCTGTAATTGTAGTAATAGCATGACCCTTAACGAAAACATCAAACCCTTCGGAATCTACTCTTGGTTTAACAGTAGACACCAAATGAGCATCCCTGTTGATCTTGTTCCCTTGAGAAATATGGTAAACACCTTCACCACCCTTTTGATGGACTCCCAAATAGGCTCCAAGTGCGCCTGCCCCTGATCCACAAGCAGGATCTTCAGGAACCATTTCTGCTGGAGCAAAGTTTCTCATTTCCCATTTGGTTCCTTCGTCATTATGTTGGCCAATAGTACATAGACCAGTCCACCCATATTTTATTGAAACGTCAGTTAATGCCCCGTGGTTTGGTTCAAGATCAAGAACAGACTGCCCATCCTTTAAGCGAACAACAACCCATTTAGGCCCAATTTCAACAAGTACAGGAGTATCAAATTGATCTTTAGGTAACCCTAGCAGTTGACTAATATCTTCAATGGCTTCATCACTCACTTGGTGGAAGTCATAGCGAGGGACACGCAACTGCAAGTCAATTGAATTGAGATCTTCGAGATTTCCAATGGGTTCTATCTCAACGTTACCAGCACCACACTCCTGTACAATTAATCCTTTGGAGTTGACTTGTATCCGCTTTGCTTCCAAGAGAGCAAAACAAGTACCAAGAGTTGGGTGACCAGCAAATGATAACTCTGTAGCAGGTGTGAAAATACGAACCTTATAAGAGGTCGCTGGCGTCGAGGGTTTCAATATGAAAGTGGTTTCCGATAAGTTGGTCCACCTCGCAATCTGTTGCATTTCTTCCTTACTGAGATGGTCCGCATCAAAGAATACTGCCACTGGGTTCCCTTTGAACTTTGTGTTTGTGAAAACATCCACTTGCTTAAACATAGACATCACGAATCAGTTTGTCAGTTGGTCGTAGTTTCGATTTCTGTTTCTAATTCTTTAGAAGGGACAACACCTTATTTATCCAACGTATATCAACTGTGACTCATGTAAACAGCAATTAGTCCTGTACCTGAGACTGAACATTAGCTACAGCTTTTGCAACAGAAAGTAGTCCAAGGCGACACTTTAAAAATGTACATATACGTTTCGTTTTCCTAATGAGTCATAACGGAGTACCTTCTTAAAACTTCATAATACAATTACCCTTCACTTTATAACACGAATTTTCCAGTCAATTATTTGTTAATTATATATTTTGTAACTAAATCTTATTTCGCAACTCTAGACCAATCAGCAAACTCTTCTTCACCATATTGGATTTTTCTGATCCAATCAGCAACAGTTTGGGTCAAGTCACCAATAACACCATTGGCACCACATGGGACAGGGATTTGCTTATCTTGGAAGCCAATGTTGTTGATAGGGGAAACAATTGCTGCAGTACCACAACCGAAAGCTTCTACCAATTGACCTTTACTTGCTTTTTCGGCAACTTCGTGGATAGTAAACTTACGTTCAGAGATAGTCCATTCATCAGCTGGTAATCTTGCTCTGGCCAATTGTAAAACGGAATCACGAGTGACACCTGGTAAAATAGTACCATCCAAAGGAGCTGTAACCAATTCTTTCTTGTTATTTTCATCCTTGAAGACAAACATAGCATTCATAGCACCAACTTCAGTAACATATCCTTCTTCACCAAATAACCACAAGTTTTGTTGATGACCTTTGCTAGCTGCTACTGTTTGAGGTTGGATACAAGAAACATAGTTGGCACCCAATTTATAACCACCAACACCACCTGGCCATGCTCTCACAGCATAGTCAGTAGCTTCAAGAGAAACTGGTTTGAAACCAGTCTTGTAGTAAGGACCAACAGGGGAACAAATGACGTAAAGTAAAGCTCTGTCAGGTTCATGAACACCTAATGTAGGTGTAGTACCAATCATTGTGGGTCTTAAATACAATGAGTATCCAGCACCGAAAGGCACGAATTTTTTATCTAAAAGTACCAATTTGTCAATGCATTTCATAAGTTCTTCACCATCAAAAGTTGGCATAGATGCTCTAGCAGCTGAGTTATTCATTCTAGCCATATTCTTATCACTTCTAAATGTACGAATGTTGTTGTCTTTGTCACGGTAAGCCTTCATACCTTCGAACAATTCAAATGCATAGTGGAAAACAACTGTTGAAGGATCAAGCAGTAGAGGGTGATATCCACTAATCTTAGGAACTCCCCAACCTTCAGCTTCTGTCCATTCAATTTCAAGCATATGGTCACTGAAATATTTACCAAACACTAAGTCCTCATTAGGACGAGGTTCACTTGGTTTAGTGGTTGGTTCTATCACCAACTTAGAAGCATCAATATCAGACATTGTTAATGGCTCGATGAATGCACTATGTTAAGACTATCGAAGTGGTGTAAATTTTCACATTTTTCACCGTCCTTTATATACTAATTACGGGGTAATGGAAAAGTGAACAAGCAATGTCTACTCTCTAAATGCCGCTTTGGTAGCACCGTAAAAGAACAAATCGGTTAGTAACGGTAGAACATTTTAATGCCGATAATGCAAGAAGGGGAGTCAGACGTTTGGTGCGGAAGATTGAACTTTCGGTTATTAACGGACGTGTGTGTTGACTCATCAGTCGCTTTAGGAGATCGCCGGTTCAGGGCCGAAAATTGGATGAATCATAAACTTGAATGTGGAGAAGCTTTCAAGCAAACATTCGGTTGCATTATACATTTCAACTCAACTGCCATATCGGCCAATGAGTAACCATTTAGACGATAGCAATATGGTGTGAACAGAATTAATTCAGTAAATGAAATCTGCTCGTTGTCACACCTATTAACCAAATCGTAGTTACCAAATATCGATTCTTTTGATAGTACGACTAGAAACCACTAAACACCCGTGAATGTTAGCGTGGCTCGATGTCGGATCTTCAGCCAGTCCACGGGTTTATTCATTTGTTAATTTCGATATTGGATCCACTTGTAGCATGATCCTTAATGGTTTCTTAAATCGGTGCTACCAAAAGAATAGTTCGTAGTTTATTGTACACGAAGGAACTAACAGTTATACGATGGGCCCATTCAGTAGAATTATGATGAGTACAAGGAGTAGTTTAGCATCTATAGTTCGGGAAGTAGATACCTTCCCGTATAATGATATTCCAACGGAGTATTACCTGCTCCTAGCACATGATGGATCTACAGTACTCGGGTACATTTATCAAGACATTGCCCAGTTAATGGACACAGATTCTCTTTTCCAGGTTGATCATGCAAGAAAGATAGCAGCTATCCCTACTGAATATGACACATTCGAGAAAAGGAACCAGTTCATGGCAAACACTGCTTCTCAATGGCGTTCTTTACCTCAGTTAGAGCAATCCTTGGATAAAGCATGGAGAAACGAACTCTATGTTGTGTACAACCCAACTACCAAACCTTATATGCTACTTGAAAGAGCATTTTCCGTGTTAATAGGAGTTGTAACGTATGGAGTTCATATGAATGGATACGTTGCTCCGTGTAACACGAGTTCTAAAGAATTAAAGCTTTGGATTCCTCGTCGTTCGGCAACGAAACAAACATTTCCTAACAAATTGGATAACACGGTAGCCGGTGGACTTGGGCATCCTTATGGGGTATGGGAAACGTTAGTGAAGGAGTCATTAGAAGAAGCAGGACTCGAGAAGCAGTTTGTTGAACAAGGTGCAAAAGCTGCTGGAGTAGTGCTGTATATGATTCAACCAGAAGGAACACACAATCAACCAGAAGTTGAGTATATTTACGATTTGGAGTTCCCTGATGAAACTTCGATTCTCCCTTTTCCTGTTGATGGAGAAGCTCAAGACTTTCAGTTAATGGGATTTCTGGAAGTATTACAGAGAATTAAAGCACATGAATTTAAACCAAACTGCGCACTTGTGATAATAGATTTCTTAATTAGGTGGGGCTACATAACACCTGAAAATGAACCAAATTACTTGGAAATCGTTCACAAAAGCCATAGAAAGATCCCATTCCCAACCCGATGAATATTAGTGATCATAATTTTTTTGTTTTAGGTCTTAGTTGCTCTTTTCGTCAATAATTAGACGATATCTTGTGAACCCTTAAAACTTCTTTTTCTTTTACCTTAAGCGTTTATACATGGATATAGTTTGGTTCATAAATCTGTACTGAGAATGGAAAATCTTGATTTGAAACGATATAGACCATCAACAACACTTTAAGATTGCGTCTCTCTCTATCGTTTTAATTACTTGGACTACACAATTCTTAGCTCGCATTATCAGTAATTGGCATGGAATATCGCTCTGCCACCCTTATATCCAAATTATTGAGACAGTTGTATTCTATCACTCCTATATAGAATCCGGCCTTTTATTGTTGGATAGATATAGGGCTGGCTGTGATAAGGTTCGGGGATAGCTCCTTATGACACAAAACACCATAATGGGTTCCACAACCAGCTGTCACAAAAATAAAAAGATAATCAAGTAACTAAGAAGTAACCAACTTTAATGCCAGTAAGTCATTCTATTTGGCTCCAACAAACATATGGCTATTTACACTCACAATATGTTGCGATGTAGGACGTAGAAGCATAATAAAAAAAATATGCTGGCCTAAGTTTAATTTGGAAGTAGCTACATAAAATGTAATGTCAAGGAAGAAGAATCTATGGCAAGACTATGTAATTATACTCCAAGTATCAATCTGTTTGAAATCATAATCGATGGCGCAAGAGTTAGGGCCAAACATTTTTGATGATGACGCGGTAGGTGTAAAGAAGGTTAAGATGAACCCTCATCGTCGGACTCCCTTCCCAGATCAATGCACATTGAATTCCGGCTTAAAACTAGGAAGTTGTAGTCTAGGGTGACCAGAGTATGTATCATCAAATATGCACTTGGAAATCGTAAGAGAAATTCCAAGGTCGTTTGGGAAAGAGTAGGCAATATATGGCATTGCAGCCAGCCTTCCCCTGAATAAAGCTTTCAAGATAAATCTTTTGTCTGCAGTCTTATTTTTTTTTTCTCGATTGTTGTACTCCTCCATGGCTGCGAAAACAATCCATACTGTACTAAACCTTCAATCCCAATCTAGAGGGATGTGCCAGCTCTCTTCAAATATTTTATTCGCCTAGAGACTTGTGCAGATAGCACAAACATCCACTTACCGAATTATTAACATCTAAGATGTAAACTGTCAAATATACTTGTACGATATAAAGTCATCCAAGATCCCAACCTTAAGTTCCTGACCAAGGCAATTTTAACCTTCTAGTCCCCAAATTCTTTTACCCATATTAACTCCAATAACAAACAGGTTAGATAAAGTCATTTTTGGCCCCACATTCATTTTAGTCGTCCTGTGAACTCACTCCAGTCTTTCTCTTATACCCCAGCTTTTCAGCTTCTTCTTTAACTCCAACTATATTGTCACTCTTTAGTTTCCAACTACTGTCTTTCTTTTAACAAAAAAATATTCTATCCAAATATGCAATTCTCTAAACTCTTTTCTTCTCTTCTTATGTTTTCATTGGCTGTTGCTGCTCCTCCCTTTTATAATAAGGATCTGAATTTGAATAAACGTGGGGTTGTCTATGTGACGAATGTCAATACTCAACAAGTTACTGCTACTCAAACAATTGATTCTGTTACTTCTACTTCCGTGGCTTATCTGGTTCAAACTTCAACCACAACAGTTACCAGATATACTGCAACTGTGACTTTAACTATCAGTGGCGTGCCTCATGAATATACAACTGTTGCTACTACTTCCGTTAGTCCTTCTGATGTTGCTCCTATTAGTGAAAATGAAGTAACCACATATACTCCATCTACCACTATAACTAGTCAATCCAGTGCCAGTACTACTCCAGCTACCACAAGTTCTACTCCAGCCACCACAAGTACCACTCCAGCTACCACAAGTTCTACTCCAGCCACCACAAGTACCACTCCAGCTACCACAAGTTCTACTTCAGCTACAACCAGTGCTAGTACTAGTTCATCAGAAATGCAAACTACTTCATCCACATCTTCCAGTTTTGTCCCTACGGTTACGCCTTCTTCAACAACTGACAATAATGAACCTGCTACAGTGACAGTCAAGAATGTTGTTACGAGAATGATTATCTACATCGGTAATGGACTGTACATTACTAGTACAGTGCAACCTACCACTTCTTCTAGTAGCAGTTCTTCTAGCGCAACTCCAGCAGCAGTAACTACTACTAGTTCCTCGTCTACGAGCTCTACTGCCCCATCCACCCAATCCTCGTCTTCAACTGCTTCCACATCGACATCTTCTTCAGTTGCTCCAACAAAGACATCTTCTCTGTCTTCATCAAGTTTGAAGACTGTGTCTAGTACTATTGTTGAGGGATCCAGTCTTATTACAGATGCCCCTTCTGTATCTGAAGCAACAAACGAAGGTTGGATCTTGGATAACATCTATACTACCACTGAAGATGGTCTGTGCGTGATAAACTACGATTATTACTTAGAAGGCGAAGAAGAAGAAACTACTACGATACAAACTACCGTTTACACTACTGTTACTTTGTCGTCTTGAGACATTACTGACGTTGTAATCATTGACCGATATGGTTAAACAGTGAAATTAGTATCATAGAGTTTTTTTTATATTTACCTTGAGGCGTTATTTGATCGTGTAAGTTTGATTTTGAGTTGACAACTTTTTATAGTATTGCAGCAAATTTTATATAAAAATGAAACACCAACAAAATGTTTCATTTTGGCTTATTTTAGTCCGATATCCTTTGATTTAGTTAATAGTTTACTTTTATAATGTATATTTACGAACATTTATCTTATTTTTGAAACGTAGTTATACCATAAACTACAAAGATATAATATATAAGCTGCAAAGATAAAGATTACGGTTGCTGATAGTTATATGCATGACTGACAGGATGTTTCCATTCCATATATATGTTTCCCAGTTTAGATTCATAGATAAATGATTTGAACACCAAACGTGGTACAGGTATATTTAGCAGTAACATAGAGTCTATTAGAAACGTTCACCACTAAGAGTGTATCCACATTGTAACTCCGAAAGTAATGGTGAACTGAAGTTGCGACATCAGGAGGTTGTGTGGTAGCTCCAAAATATCAAAAGCCGGTGACATTTAGAATCTAAGGTGTACAACAGTCACCTATAGCTAAGGTCCTCTAGCCCTAACTTAACATAAAATCACGTGGAAAATACGAAAACACTGATCGCTGGAAAAACTACATTCACGTGATACATTAGACGTATTTAGTCGTGTACCAACATTTGTTACCTAATTCGGACCTCATAGTAGTATTCTCTTCGCGTACACTGGGTGGGGGCCTGGGAAAAATTTTTCATTTACCTTCATGGTGAAATACTCTACTAGAATAGTAGATTTTCTTTCTTAAGGAGTTCACTTTACTATCCTAATTATTGAGGCATAATGGGTATGTGGTATACACCAATAGGACCATCATAAGATGAAACGTATAAGATTTGAGCAGTGGATGAAATGAAGTCAGTGCTTCTAAAGTGTTTGACGATTTGTGATTGGAGTTAAGAGGTGTGAAAAGTCCAAGATATAAATTGACCAAGGCAAAGAATATCGTCTGAGGGATTCAAGTAAAGTTGAAGAGCTATCCAACACAAGAAATACAGCAAAATAGTCAACTATTATCATACAATGGTTGTAGTTTTGTCAATTTCAAACAACTTATTATCCACCTAATACAAGTCGAAGCAGGTTCCAAGAAATCGAAATGCTAGCTCCGAGTTCTTATCATATCACAACGTGCACATGGATGGTTCCCTATTCTCCAAGTCTTACGACTACTAAAGCACATAATACTAACAATTAATGTATAGTTAACGTTCCAAAGACTAGAAAGACCTACTGTAAGGGTAAGCAGTGCAGAAAGCACACCCAACACAAGGTTACCCAATATAAGGCTGGTAAGGCCTCCTTGTTTGCTCAAGGTAAGAGAAGATATGACCGTAAGCAAAGTGGTTTCGGTGGTCAAACCAAGCCTGTCTTCCACAAGAAGGCTAAGACTACCAAGAAGGTTGTCTTGAGATTGGAATGTGTTGTTTGCAAGACCAAGGCTCAATTGTCCTTGAAGAGATGTAAGCACTTCGAATTGGGTGGTGATAAGAAGCAAAAGGGTCAAGCCTTGCAATTCTAAGCATATGTCTAGCCCACTCACATCTCACACACGCCGCCATATCCATAATTTCAAATCACTTTGTATATGTAAATGTGTTTGTATGTATCTATGTATACTATGTCTTGAATAGCTAACCTTTAATGTAAGTGACAGAAGATGATTTCCATATACTCAAAAGACACACGTTTTTCAAATACAGTGTAGTGCCAGAACCAATTGGCACCTCCAACATACAATATTTTTTTCCAGAAAAAGGAGGACTTATTTCGTGTAACTAAAACGAGACGACCAACTGAAAATCTCAACATCTTGCCAATTAGCGTAGGTGAACGCCAGATCAAAGAATTCTCGTACAAATAATTAATTGGTCCTTTAATTTTAGAACAACCGAGATAAAGTAAAGGCTATTTCATAGATTTTATAAGGAGTTCATGGAAGCATTTTGAAGTTAAGTTGTCATAATGGAGTATAATCGTGTGGATCAACGGTATTACGAAGAACAACAACAACAAAAGCAACAACCACAACAGCCTCAAGTACTTTTACAACGTCAGCAGCCAGCAGACCATCAACTATTTTATCAGCTTCAACAACAGCAACAGCAACAACAGCAACAGCAGCCACGCCAAGAACAACAGTACTATCAACAAGAGCAACAAGAACCGCGTCATGAAATTGCAGACGTAAGTTACATGGAAGAGGACACTTTTATTGGTGGACGAGAACCTGAAGAGGCTACTCCATATATGTACGAAGCTCATACACCACAGCATCAGTTTTTAAATATCAATCGAGCTCCTGAGGCATCCTTTGCTACATCCCCCACCTTTTCAAGTTCCCAAAGATTTGAGTACCATTCTGATCCCGTGCCCACAGGTTTCGGGGGAAAATTCCAATCGATAGACTCCTTGAACTTCAAGCCTCCAACCGCCACTACACAATTCACACAGCTCAGCAATACCTCGTTGACAAACGTTAGTGAAATCAGTCATGGGACCAATAATTCCCTTGTTTCCAATCAGGGAATAATACCGCTGTCATCTCCTACGTTGAGTAGTGGCAATGCTACTCAAAATTCACAGCAGCCCCTACAACAGCATTTGCAGCAACATCACCACCAACAACAACAACAGCAGCAACAGCAGCAACAGCAGCAACAGCAGCAACAGCAGCAACAGCAGCAACAGCAGCAACAGCAGCAAAAGCAACAACAGCAACAACAAGAACAGCAACAATTACTGCAACAGCATCAACTTCAAGCACAAACTCGTGAACTGAACATAGTTACATCTGCACTTGGCGGAGATATCATAGCTCAAAATATCCCACATCAAGGGTCTTCAAACGGAGGTCCAGTTACTCCTTTGCTCCAACAAACCAGTGTAGTAGAAGGAGGAAAACCTGAAAATGCTGCAGACCTGGATACACCGTATGTGTACTTTACAAGAACTCCTAATCTTATGACTCGAACTGCTCAAGACAGAGCAAGTGCCATTCGACTCAAGTTGGAGAATTATTACCAAATGGGTATTAGTCATGCCATAGAACGTAACCAACGGAGGGTAGACTTAGAGCACCGTCTTGCTACTGAAGAAGTAAATCTGTCAGAAGAACGTAAGAATCGTCAATTGGCAAATTTGGGTAAGAAAGAATCACACTTTTTAAGATTAAGACGAACCAAATTAAGTTTAGAGGATTTCACTACAGTTAAAGTTATTGGTAAAGGTGCATTTGGTGAAGTTCGTTTAGTTCAGAAGAAGGATACAGGTAAAATATATGCCATGAAGACGCTTTTGAAATCTGAAATGTACAAGAAGGATCAATTGGCTCATGTTAAGGCCGAAAGAGATGTATTAGCTGGTAGTGATTCACCTTGGGTTGTATCATTGTATTATTCTTTCCAAGATTCTCAATATTTGTATCTTATTATGGAGTTTCTTCCTGGTGGAGATTTAATGACAATGCTTATCAGGTGGCAGATATTCACAGAAGATATCACTCGGTTTTATATGGCCGAATGTGTTTTAGCCATTGAAGCGATTCACAAGCTAGGATTTATTCATAGAGATATCAAGCCTGATAATATTTTGATTGACATTAGAGGGCATATCAAATTAAGTGATTTCGGGTTAAGTACTGGTTTCCACAAGACCCATGATTCCAATTATTACAAGAAATTACTTGAAAGAGAACAAGCACAACAAAGTAATGTTGGCAGTGATGGTCTTTTAAATCCAAATATAGGTGGTGCTGGAAAGTCACGTAACAGTATGATGGTTGACGCCATTCATTTAACCATGTCTAATAGACAGCAGATGCAAACTTGGCGTAAGTCTAGACGGTTGATGGCTTATTCTACAGTTGGTACACCTGATTATATTGCGCCTGAGATCTTTATTCATCAAGGATATGGTCAAGAATGTGATTGGTGGAGTTTAGGAGCAATTATGTTTGAATGTCTTATTGGGTGGCCACCTTTCTGTAGTGAAACAAGTCATGAGACATACAGAAAGATTTTGAATTGGCAAGAAACATTACAGATTCCTGAAGATATTCACTTAAGTCCTGAAGCCGAAGATTTAATTCGGAGATTATTAACTAGTGCCGACCGTCGTTTAGGTCGTTATGGAGGTGCTGATGAGATTAAGAGACATCCGTTTTTCCGTGGAGTTGATTGGGAAACCATTCGTAAAGTTGATGCACCATTCATTCCTAAATTACGAAGCATCACTGATACAAGATTCTTCCCTACAGAGGAATTGGAGAATGTTCCTGAACAGTTGGATGACAATGGTGGACCTGTTGGTCTTGGTAATGCCCGTGCCACTGCAAAGGCCAGTGGTATTGACAATGGCAAGGATGGCATTAAAGAAGATTTACCATTTATTGGTTACACCTATTCACGGTTTGATTATTTAACCAGGAAGAATGCTCTATAGTATGGATCCCTTTCCTTAATATAAATTATAGATTAAATGAATACACATGCACATATCTTATTGAAGGCAACAAAGTGAAGTGGTTCAAACGATAATGTACGTCGAATCATTTGATAACTGAATGCAAAAATAAAGTGAAACTTGGCTACGGGATTAAATACGATGCGAGTAAAACATAAACAATAACGCTGATTGATATCTTCCGCCATAGTTATTATAGTTAGACGAAGATACGGTAGTGTGACACTATTTACTAAGCAGGGCTCGGATTTAAGAGAGGTGGGTGGATTTAAATCCCTCCGCTCTTTACCGATGAGGTAAAGATCGCACGCCGGCATACAGAAATGGCTATTATTCTTGGAATGCCGCAATCATCGGTCGTAAAATACACCCAGGCAACGTAGACCGCTAGATCCGCCAATTCCGAAAGTGGATTGAATATACTGAGAGAACTATTGAACAATACTTATACAGAGAAAGCGTAGACATTGTAATACAGATGACACTATTGGATATGTATGTAGTTGTACTATAAGATCGAGTATTTTTATATGAAAGGTTGATCAATTTCCCCAATCTAATTTTATAGTTAGTACTAGAAGATTGAATCTGTTTGAGGAACCAAATTGATAACAAATACGACACATGTAATGACGTCAACGGCAAAATTGTAAAGGGGACCTAAACCGAAACTAATGTTAGTCAAATTGCACAAGTTTAGCACGATACTTGAATAGACCTCATGGAAGAACAATTGAGAGAAAAAAAGTGTGAGCAGAATATGAAACCCCAAGTAAATAGGAAACATTTTCAGTTTACAATTACCAATAATGGAAGGACCGGATGACCAATGGCAATGAAGTGAATTCGGGTATTAGAAGGAATTAGTTCAATTGATATTGGCCGATATTCATAAAAAACGCAACTTACTACCCCCATGCCTAAAACGGATAACTGAAGAGGTGGGCTGGTACTATATAGAACGGTTTTAATGCATAATTATTAAGCCACCATTGTGATCCTCAAAGAACAAATTATTTTGGAAACCCGTAAACTAATTGTATGACTTTGTCGGGCTTTGCATGTAGTATATAATTGTGTGGATCTGCTGTTAGTGATCGCACACATCGACTGATGTTTTTCCATAGTAAAGTTATTACTCCTTAATTAAGCATATTCGTTCAACAACGTTTTAGGTTGATATTTAATAATCTATCCGTACTTGGTACTCCTTCTGTTACAATCCAATCCAATTGGTAGTGCTTCATTACTTTTTCTTTAAAAGCACTAGTTCAATTGAATAGTGGATGTGAATTGTTACCTGTATAAATTATTCTACCCCTTAAGCATGAAGTGGAGTTTCTTTTTAAATATAGCCCTAATGGCTTTAGCGCCAGTCATTATGGCGCATGGTGATGAGATGGATATGGATATGGATATGGAGGGTATGATGACTGAAAGTAAACCAATTGACTCAATTGAGACCTATCACAATAATAACGAGGATGAGAAACTAATCCCAATTGCTCACGTTGAAAAGCATCAACATGGAGTTCCAATTCTTGAAACAAGCCTCCTACCCGAGGAAAGGCTATACTGGGAAGCTTATGATGCCACAACGTTTTTCAATTACCCTAATACCAATCAGAAGGCTCTTCGAACGCATGTCACAGCAATGATTTTGGCTGTGATGTTTGTTTATCCTTTATTCCTAGTATTCCGGAATGCCAAGCGTACTAAAATGGCACTTGTGTCCTTATTAGTGTACAGTGCAGCCACCACCACTGCTGTCATCAGTTTGTCGGTGTTCACATCTTCAGCAGATGAGAATTTGTACCCTGGGAATGCGTATGTGCCAATGACCGGAATTTGGGCTATTTTAGCAGTAGCCCATTTTGTATTCACTGTTTTAGCGCTCAATTACCAATATGGCCCAACACAGAAGTATGCTATGCCTGTAAGAGAGTTTGATCAGGAAATTTCAGGTGGAGAAATGGCACTGCCTTCAATTACATTGTACGATTTGAGTAATAGGGGTTCTTCTGATGGCCAAGAAAATGATCTGAATATGAAAACGAGCAATAACTCAATGTTTGATAATCATCATGCTAGTCCGCAATCATTCGGACTTGGATTGAGTAACGCTGAAGATGAAGACAACGATGAAGCTCAACATCATTTATTGTATTTGAATAGAAGCGAAAATAACTCCAATTGGTTCATCCTGGATAATAAGTGGGTGAATTCCATAGTTGATAAATTAGGTCATTGGTGTGTACGTATCGCTAGTATTCTCACCTGGATTCAATTTACCTATTTCCTCATATATGTTCCAACTGGAGTGGCGGTGATGGCTAGATATGGGTTTGGTACTACGGTTTTCAATTTACTTGCTCATTTTATTAAAGGTGGAGTATTCTTTCTCTATGGTATGGTAACTTTGGCCCGGTATTGTGGTGCGTGGCTGAATAAAGGATGGAATTGGAAACATCGCTATTTAAGTACACATTCCAATAATAAATCCACATGGTGGAACCGGATTCAGCCTGAGGGTATGTTTACTATGGAATGGATTGAGCTGTTTTTAATATTCTTCTATGGATGCACCAATATTTTCTTGGAGAATCTAGCATCTGCTGCTAGTGGAAGTGGATACTCAGCAAAGGATCTCCAACATGCTTCCATTGCTTTTATTTACATTGGTTGTGGTGCTTGTGGATTAATTATAGAGTCTAAACTTAGCAAATGGCGTTATGATCATGCCATTGAGGCCTTGAACTCATCACGGTCTCTGAATATTATTAAAGCTTCACCAGGATTTAGTCCTAACCCATTCCCTCTTATGACAGTTTATTTTACTGGAGCTATTATGTCAAAACATATGCAATCATCGCAATTACTGACAGCAGTCCATATTCAATGGGGACAACTTCTTACTGTTGCTTGTGCATTCCGTTTATTGCTGTACATTCTCAAGTTTATTATAAAGTCAGAACCTCAAAGTAAGAGTAGTTCAGGAGCTCCATTTACTGAATTAATGGCGCTGTTTTGTCTTCTTGGAGGCGGATTGATTTTCATGGAATCTACCGAACCAGCTATTGAATCAATGGAATTTCATGGCTTAACAGAAATGTTCACTTTCAATGTTAGTGTTGGATTAGTGGCCTTGTTTATGGCTTGGGAAATGTTCTTACTCAACTTGCGAGATAAATTGAAGAACTGAACTTAGGATTATTATCTCATTATTTATTTTTATGTTTTCTTTTCTTATTTCACTACCCCCCCCAATCGATCTCCTGATGATAATATTTAATGTTGTTTTTTTCTTTGTTAATACTTTTCGATTATTTACTTTTGTTCTAGGAGTCGGGGAAAGCTTTATAGTTTTAAATACATTTGTTTCGGCACAGTATTATGAATAAAAGAACTGATATGAGTAGATAATATTGATTTGGATGGTGATATCGATTGCACATCACCTCATCAATGTGGCTGCAAAGCTAAAGAATTTGAAGTTATACCTGAATACGTGGGTATGTATACAACAAGCTTACATGCAAAGTAAAATTGATAAGCTGGTGCGAGTTGTTTCAGTCTTCTCAATTCTCACAGTGGGATTCAAGCGAGAACCAAGAACCGTATGTTTGAGTAATAAAACGATAGAATGAATTATAGCAGTAACAAATGCTACAGAGTTAAGAAAGTGTCTGACATAATTCCAGGGCTTTGCAATTGCTGTAGATTAGGTTATATGGGCATATAATGAACTTATGTTTCTTACGTCACGTGACCAACGAATTAGCACAAACATTATACATTCAAGTGTAGTCTGCTTTTGATGTCAAGAATTAAACCCAAGTCCTGGTACAGATCGCAACATGTCACTAGATACTATATACTCTTACATGCACATGGACGACCCGAATCGGGTGCTTTACATGCAATCATGGCAATTGGATTCCGACATTGCATTTGATGATATTGATACTCATACGCTTACCGAAGCGACTATGCATTTATTTCCATTAGCATATCTTCAACAGGAAGAAGAAGATGGAGGGATTATTCTAGTGAATAACACTAATTTCAGTTCTAATTCTAAATTTAGACAAAAGCATCAAAAGGAAAGAATATGGCAAGACTTAGATATCAATTTTCTAGAACTACATAATGCCCATACCAAAAATCACCTTCAAACAACAGAAAGCAATCAACGGGTAGACACTGGGTTTCCCTTTCAAAGTGAAGCAGTTTCTGGATTCGAATCACACCAAACGCAACGAGATCGTACTTTGTTGACTCCAATGCATGATGCCGACTTGGGACAGTTCTTAGCCAATGGGTATCAACTGTTACGACCCCAACAATTCACTATGGCAACTTCACCACCTCAATTCAATTTTCTGTTGGATGAAACAACTGAATTCCCAACGCCATCTATCGGGAATTCAAATACAGTAAGTAACAATAGAAACCCTTCGGGTTTGATGCAAACTCCCCGAATAACCAGAGTTCGACAATCGTCGACTGATCGAAACTTCCAGACCCCAATCGCACGTATAGTTCGATGATTAGGTTAATGTATAATGAGAGAAAGGAAATGGGTAAACGGAATGAAAAGGCATATAATCTATATGAATTAGAAAATACATGTATAGTAGTGTCTGGTGGTTGTTTATTCTATGTATACTAATTTACATTTACCTATACTATGCAAGGTACTACAATTGGTCAAATATACGTCTCACAGTGTTGATTTCCTCTGGACCCGTGGAACAACAACCTCCAATGATACGAACGTTGGGAGACATAGACATCCATTTCTTAACGGCAATTGCCCAGTTGTCTTGATCTTTGTGAGATTCGTAGGTGAGATCTTCTCTACTAGAAAAGTAGTCAAAACCCAAGTTAGGGTAGATAACAATAGCCAAGTTGTGACGGTTTTCCTTGTCCAAGTTCTTCACCAAATCGGCAACAAATTTGTAGTCCATACAATTAACACCTATGGCAAATAACTGATTTTGGAGATGAGGATGACTGTCAAGAAATTGGTTAATGTACCTCATAACTGATGGGATTGGGGTACCATCACATAAGGTCTCACTGGTTTTGAAATTCATAGATAAATAAACTGGCTTTTTGGAATTGGTGGTTGCTTGTAAATTCTTCAACAAGTTGAGCAATACCTTGATTTCTTTAAAGTTTGGAATGGTTTCCAAGGCAATCACTTCAACTTCATTATGGGTATAGAAAAAGTTCACCAATGGGTAATGGTATTTAGTCAATTGAGCATTGGTAATGTCACCATATTCCCCTGTGTACTCAGCGCCATTGACCAAGTAGGCACCATAAGGTCCAACACTACCAGCGATAAATACTTGACGGTCCTTGGTAGAATTAGCTGCTTTTCTTGCGATGTTGACACTTCTTTGCCAAAGAGCCTGGATTTCAGAATCAGAAGTAGATGTAAACTTCTTCAAACTACCATAACTGGTCTGATAAGTTCCCGTGATAATAAGGTCCAGGCCAGCATCAACATAAAGCTGATGTACCTTTTCAACTAAATGAGGCGACTTCCAAAGGGTAATACCTGACCACAAAGGGTGGTATTTTGGTTGGACAGGGTCATCTTTTGGAATCAATTTTTCAAGTTGGGTTCCTAATCCACCATCCATGACTAATGGCTTTGCAGCCAATGTAGCAAGAAATGCTGAAGTTGAAGACGATTTCATGTTCCTGTTGAAGGTTTCTATGCTGTAGAGACTATTCTAAGAGACTGTCTGGTAGTGAATACGAATTTGACTTATAATTTGATTCGAAAAAAGTAATCTCCATTATATACTACCGCTAAATCCACAGTAAGTGTCTCAAAATTTGTCGGAACTCATGAGTCAGAAGCTGGAAATAGACTAGACCATACAGGTGCGCATGCCTTACACTAAAAGACAGAATGCCTGTACAGGCTACAGCTACTTACGCCGGTGCGGCTCATCAAACACAATCAACATAAATAGTGAGCTTAGAGAGGATCAGATCAGAGGCTCGGACTCCCAGTGACTCACAGTTATATTACAAAGATTTCAAACAACTAATCCATTGTTTGAATTAGCTCAACCGAGAGTACTAAAACGTTGACTACATAACTGCAAAGCTGGGATTATCCATCTCCATAATTCCAAGGCATTTTTTAAAAATTGTGGCCCTTTTAATTCTTCAGACACTCTACGAGTGTCTGATTTCTGGGGTATGTGTTCTCAAAACTTCGGCTTATAGGTATAGAGCATTAGATTCAACAAACCAACTCTTAGCAAATATAGTAAACCTTGTGCCTGTAATCTAAACCGAATTGTTAATTCACTGCCCCTCTCCAGACTTTAATCAGTAACTTTAAGAAACTAGCAAAAGCATATCTATCCAGCTTGTTCAGTCTAGTTGCCCGCTTATACTGCATACTAGTACAATATCGAAAAAAAGACTTTATCTATTGTTACTGTCGAACTACAGCATTGTCGTTGGCTGAAAAATTTACTGGATGAATGTACAAGCTCTATTCAACAATAACACTACGTACTATGACTCTTACTTTCTTCCCTTTGATGAATTGATGAACCGGCTTCGTCCAACCCGTACTCCTGATCCTCTTACTGTCGGACCGGTTGTAAAAGGAGAAATGAAGTTGTCTGCACTTCCTCCTCCAATCCATTCTTGAAGAGCCTTTTCATTCTGGCGACGTTGCCAGTCATCATCTTTCAATGCTTGAACGTACTCCTTTTGATCTTCACGAAGTAACACAGGATCTTGCAAGATTCTATGACGATTTTGCTTGTTGTGTTGGTGTCCAGCATTACCTTGACGTTTCTGGGAATTCTTACTTAAAGGTGAGGGTAAAGTGTAACGATCTCCACGTCTGATCCAGTTGAAATTTGCCTTTAAATGAGGAGTAACTTTACCAGTTATGTTATCAATAGAAACTGCGCACCGTAAAAGAGTTTGACCACCACATTTAGGACAGAAATGTTTAGGCTTACCATTCTTTGGAATTGGCGTCATTCTGAAACATGCGTGACAACGATACATATAGTTACGAACTCTGCGAATCTGTCTTCCAGACATAGAATTCATCAAATTAAGACCAATTTGCATGGCTACGTTTTGACATGCAAAATCTCCTGTAGTCAATGCACATTTAATAAATGGAACATTAGCTTCACCCACTTTGGATTCAGCTATTTGTTCGTTATTATCTTTCATCATTTCTTCATACAAATTCTCAGGATTGATCCAATCTCCATCATCATCATCATCATCATCATCATCATCATTACCATAGTCTTCTTCAAGAGCTTCATAATTTTCCTCTTTCTTTTTTTCGATGGCTTGAGTTAACACTTCTTTTGTTTGAAGAATTGTCGTTTCACTTTCTTCTGTGTTTTCTGTATTTTTTGTGTCTTGTTGTTTCTCTCCAACCAATTCATTTTGAAGCTGTGCTTCTCTCTTCTCTCTTTGTCTCTTTCCCCCTCTTCTTCTGGGTTTTTTAGCTTTTACTTCTTCAAATGGTTGTTCAGTAGGTGCCAGAGTCTCGGAAGCAACTTCCACAGGTGTCGCATCCGATTTTTCTTTTGTTACCTCTGTTGTAGTAGCTTTTGTCTTAAATTCCAATTTTTCACCAGGGAATTTTCTTAATCTCCAGTCACCATGATTAAGTTCGACTTCAAGTTCATATGCCAATGCAATAATGTGAATATCGTTTGCAGATAAAACAGCATAATCACCAGTTAAACGAGCAAACCTGCTTACTTGATCAATATACTCTTGTTTTGGATGTCTTACCTGCAATTTATCTCCCCAGAGAATTAGTTGTTGTCTAGAATGTTCATCTTTTAATTCTGAGTGCACACCCGGAGTTGTGTAAAAAGTGTTGGCAAATTGCTGAAGTTGACTTGAAGTTTGAGTAATCAAAGGACCAGCATCAAGAACCAAGGATTGGATGCTCTTTGACATTTTACTGTATTGTGTCTAGTGGATCTTGGTGTAGAACTATAGCATACTTTGAACTTTAGCTAGAGATGAGCATCGAGCTCAAGGAAGGAAAAAGGATAAACGCGAGATCACGTGCAAAACCACGTGATAGGTGTGAATTGTTGCCAGTAACAGGGAATGATTGCTACAGCCAAATTAAGTCATGCTGCCTATACGGCTTTGAAGGTTCCCAAGGGATTGAGTATATTAAAGACATCTGTTTGTATGATACCAGGCATGTGCTTTTGACCAGTAATTTAAGAACTGCTGTTTCAAAATTAACGAGGTGATCCTCTTAGGTCTCAATTATATACAGATACGCTCTGGACCATAGATGCATATTTACCCACCTTCGCTTTCTTAGTGAAGTTGGACTTTGGTCCCTCGGATCAATTGATTTCCTGTCTCGCACAAGAGATCTTAAGGATTCATGGTACTCACGTTAAGAGGGATTCCTGATATGCACGTTGAACCCCTCTTTGCCCATATTTTTACGAATTTAGTAAGCCCGGTTCATCACATGAGTATATGTTAAGCGTAGTCATATTTTTTTTTATCTATTTCGCCATTTTACTGTCCTCTATTGTTAAACTATAATAAGTGCCCTTAGAAGCAATGAAGATGATCCTCCCCACACTAATTTTTAATTGTAGTCATTATGACTGGGGAATGATACGAAGCAGCCTAACAAGGCAACTTTTGTTCTTACCCAATTTGGAAATCGCGATGTAACTGTTTGCCCCAAAATTGGCAATTTTAGCATTCATTATATCGCACATATGCAACCGACCATAGTTCATACATACGTCTAAATACAGGTTGACTTCTAACCCTAGGGCTATGTGCAACATTCGTTATAGTAGACTATGCGTCCACGTCGTGGTATAAATATAAAGTGATTGTAGCAGTACAGTGGAAACATTAACTGTTAATTATATAGTCCTATTCGATAAACTTTTATAGCCAAATAATATAAATAAGATTAACATAAAAGATAAGGTCAGTTAATATGGGATACAGCAAAGACGACCTTTTCACATTACATTGGCTTGACAATTCACGTGCACACCGTATTCTATGGTTACTTGAGCTTTTAGGGCTCAATTATGAAGTGAAAATTTACTTCCGTCACCCTAAAACCTGGAGAGCACCCCCAGAATTATTTCGAGTCCATCCTTTGGGTAAGTCCCCTATCCTTGATATTGATTTTGCTGATGGGAGTGAACGTCTTCAATTACTTGAAAGTGGTAATATGATTCAATATTTGCTTAAACATTATGATTTCGATAAAGTTTTGGCTCCCAAAGATAGAAAGCAAAGAATGCAGGTTGATTACTTTTTACATTACACTGAGGGGACTTTACAGCATTTGTTGATTTCGTTATTAGTCAACAGCAGCGCCAAGAATATGGCTCCATTCCCATTAAAGAGTGTGACCAAATTAGTTGGGAAAGGTATCAATAACGGTTACTACAAGCACGAGTTTGAGTTGAATATGATCTATTTGGAGAACCATATGCGTAAACAAGGAACAGGATTCTTTGTGGGTGACAAATTAAGCGGGGCTGATATAATTTTGAGCTTCCCCATTTACGAGAATGTGTTTGACAATATGATTGGTGTAAAGGAATGTACTGGCGAAAAACGAGATATGAAGGACTTGTATCCACAGTTAGCCAAATGGTCCAAGATGGTGAGTAAAGACCCTGCTTACAGAAAGATAAATAAGTATATGGAAGACAAGGTGGAAGAATATGTTCGGGCCCAAGCTAATTTGTAGTAAAGTATAATATACAATAGTTATAATAATGTTAATAATATGACTTTTTAGTAAAATTACCTAGTATGTGAGTAAAGTACTATGCGAATTTTATCTATTGTTTGTTCTTGATTAATCACTAACAAATAGTACCACAATCGTGGTTTGGAAATTCAGAGGTAATACAAGATGATAAATATCAACAAATCTGACACATAACAAAAAATACCAAACCGTAGCAATTTTAGCAATGTTGACGTTGTTTACTCTGGATGTGTAGTGCAACTCCCCTCTCGTCTAATTGGTTTGTTTGTGTACGAATGGTTCTACGAAGGAGTAGTAAAGGAATACTTTGCTTCTTAAAATTGGTACCGCCGTTCTTGTGAGGGTTTGGTCCCATCACACGACCTCAGCCATACAATACAACGACATTTTCCACCTATAAATGTCGCGCGCCTTGGTTTTTTTTGTTCCAAATTTCTTCGTTCAACACTGATGCTGGCGAGGGGATAGTGAAGCTATTCAACAACACTCATTGAAAGTCATAAGGACTACAGCTAATTTTTTAAGGTTTCGTTTGTTCCCTTAGGAAGATACTTCCGTCACCTGTGACATATTAATAAGAAGCTCCTTTCCATAGTGTTTTTTTTTCATCACCGTGTGTCCTATTTTGGTAATTAACAAAGGACCAACAAAAATAATCTTCAATCAACTTCATATAGTATTTCCCATTTATCCGATTTGATTCCTTTTGATTATAAAATTCAATTCAAAGTTTTTAGAGTTTCAGTTGATATCGTAATATCTGTATCGTGGTGATAATACTTGAATTAGAGATCGAAAAGCTAGAGTCCTGTTCATTTTTTGTTTATCATTTCAAGAATCTGACAATTTTTTATACAAATCAGTCTTCTGAGTTTGATCAAGAAAGTCTGTGATAGAAACCCATTGATTGATCTATCTGTTTCAAACCAATGTCTAACCGTCAAACAAATCCTGCTGCATTAGCCGCTGCTGCTGCTACTAACCAGCATTCACCCCAACAAAACAATTACTACCTGGGTGTAACTGGTACAAACGGCCCTTACAATGCTAACATGGGCAACTCTACCAATCCTTCTAACGTAAACTATACCAGCGCAAGCAATGCTAATTATGCAAGTGGTGGTGGTAGTCAACCTATAACTCCACAACAAAAAGGTGGTCAATTAGCACAACAACAAAATGGAACTTCAGCCGCCGCAGCTGCTTCCGGCTCTTCTGGATCATCTAATAATAGTGTGGTTGGTTTACACTATAAGATTGGTAAGAAGATTGGTGAAGGTTCTTTTGGGGTTATCTTTGAAGGTACTAATATCATAAATGCTCAAAGCGTAGCAATTAAGTTTGAACCCAGAAAGACCGAAGCTCCTCAATTAAGAGATGAGTATAGAACTTATAAGCATTTGCAAGGGTGTGAAGGTATTCCTAATGCGTACTACTTTGGTCAAGAAGGATTGCACAACATCTTGGTAATTGACTTATTAGGACCAAGTTTGGAAGATTTATTTGATTGGTGTGGACGTCGTTTCACCATCAAAACAGCCGTACAGGTGGCTATTCAAATGATAGACTTAATTGAAGAAGTTCATACTCACGATTTGATCTATAGAGATATTAAGCCTGATAACTTTTTAATTGGGTGTCAAGGTGCACCAGATGAAAATAAGGTTCATTTGGTAGATTTTGGTATGGCTAAGCAGTATCGTGATCCAAGAACGAAACAGCATATACCATATAGAGAAAAGAAGTCATTAAGTGGTACCGCTAGATATATGTCCATTAACACCCATTTGGGAAGAGAACAACTGAGAAGAGACGATTTGGAAGCATTGGGCCATGTATTTTTCTACTTCCTTAGAGGTCAATTACCATGGCAAGGTTTGAAAGCTCCGACAAACAAACAAAAATATGAGAAGATTGGTGATAAGAAGAGATCTACTCCAGCAGTTGTATTATGTGATGGTTTACCAAGACAATTTGCGGAATACTTGGATTCTGTTAGAAGTTTACCCTTTGATGCAGAACCTGCTTATCTGGAATATAGAATGCTTTTGGCATCAGTTTTGGATGATTTGGGACAAAAATGTGACGGTGACTATGATTGGATGCATTTAAACGGCGGTCGCGGATGGGATTCGTCAATCAATAAAAAGCCTAACTTACACGGTTATGGCCATCCCAACCCACCAGGTGACAGAGATAGAAGACACAGAGAACAAAGAAGAAGTAGACACAACCAACATCATGCTCAACAACAAGCTGCAACTGGTGCTCAAGGGCAACAACAAGGATTGACTGGATCTCAATTGAATCAACAAAATCCTAACCAACAACAATTGGCTGCACAGTTACATCAACAAAAATTACAGCACTTGGTTAACAGACCTCTTCCACCGATTAAACAAGATACTCATAGTCCTGACTTGAACAATGGCATGTCTAATAACAACAACTCACCATTGGTGAATGGTCATGGAAGCCCTATGAACAAACAACAAAGGCCTTATGAGTCAAGGGGAAACCAATATGAACAACAACAAATTGTTGATGATCATGAAGAAAAGGGATTCTGGTCTAAGTTATGCTGCCATTAAGTGTAGCAAGTCTATTTATCTTCGTCATGGCAAGTGATCTTGGGATATCTTGTTTTAATGCTTCCAGTACGTTTTTCTCATCGTCTCATAGTGATATAGGTGGTCATGCTTTTATATTCTTGATGCTATATATAATTTGTTGCTCAATTCTTCCCCTATGGATACAGCAGTTCCCTTGCCGTCCCGCTATTTTTATACTTCTGTTGTGTCAACTAATTTTAGTTCAACCGTTTCTATTTATCACTATTTAAAGAATATATAATAAACCTTTCTTGCTAAGGGGTTGGCTGTACCCATGGAAAATTTAAATGCGTGTGGGAAACCGTTGGATCTTTGACATTGTTACTTAGGTTTTCAAACTCCGCATTTCGGGTCGTCTCCCCATATAAATATGCCGGGAATGTGCACTATTCTGCAGCACTAATTATTAATATTAACTACTATTGAATGCGCAAACATGTCTGAAACTCACGCTGAAGCCATTGAGGCTAATAAAAAAGAAATGGACCTGAATTTTGCTCGTATCTACGATGAGTTAGACAGTCAAAAGTTTTTCAATTCTGTCAATGCCCGAGTTCTTCTTGAATTTGACCCGCTGAAAGTCTTACCACCAACTGATTCGGTTATAGATAAGTTAGTTGACTTACCTAAACCTGGATCTGACTTATGGATATCTAAAGAACCTCGTTCGATTTTAGATTTTGCTGTGGGTACTGGATCTTTAACTGAGAAATTAGCTCCTTATCTTCAAAATGGTAGCGAAGTTGTAGGTATCGACATTAATGAGAGTTTTATGCTGCTTTTTACTGAACGAATCGAGAGATTGGAAGTTACTCATCCAGATATCAAGTTTGAAGCTGTTATTAATGATGTTTTGAATGATGATACAGCACAATTTCAAGATAGATTTGATTTAATCTTTCTGACTATTTCTTATCATCATATTCATAATTATGAAACTGTGACAAAGAAACTTGCCCTGTTTTTAAAAAAAGATGGTCATTTGGTTATCATTGATTTCTACAATGAAGATGTCGAAAAGGAAACTGCTCCAGGAAAAGCACCAGGTGGTGCAGTCCAACACATGGGAGGTTTAAAGTTAGAAAAGTTAAAGGAAACTCTTGGTGACTTATCAGGACTTAGCAACGTTTCAGCTGTCCCATTTGCCGAACTTAAGCTTTTTTTGCCAGAAAAGTTCATTATGAATCATAGTACTCAAAGCACCATTGATGCTTTAAAGGACGGTAAATTGCCACAAAAGATAGCCAAAGATGGGTCAAACCTCTTTGAAATAACTATCAAATTGGTCATTGCAACTGGAACAAAACTGTCATAAAAAACTCAAACAATTGGATTGATTTGCAAAAATGCTATTCTTCTTTATTATTTATACATACTCAAGCAATAATACGCCTTTTGTTAAGTACTTTCAAACTTAGTATGGAAAACTATCGGACATACTCTTCTTTCTTATCCTTTTTGATCTTGGTGTGCCACGTGACTCAGGATGTTTACAGCGAAATTTATACAGTTTGTGTTAAAGGATGATAAAGATTGAGACACATTTACATAGTTACAAGAGCGCTTATTTATTATAGATAGCACAACATATAGCCATGGTTTCTACTCCAGCACAGAAAAAATTGACAAAGGAATACAGATCCATTCAGGCTAGTCCCCCTCAGTATATTGTGGCCAAGCCTAGTGACGCCAATATTCTTGAGTGGCACTATGTGATCACTGGCCCGCCAAAGACACCTTATGAAGATGGCCAATATCATGGGATACTTCGGTTTCCCAAGGAATACCCCTTTTTGCCACCCAGCATTATAATGATAACACCACTGGGACGGTTTCAGTGTAATACAAGACTTTGTTTACTGATAAGTGATTACCATCCCGATACTTGGAATCCAACATGGTCAGTTCTGACTATTTTAGTTGGACTTTTAAGTTTTATGACTGGTGATGAAACTACAATGGGGTCGATTACGACTTCTGATTATACCAAAATACAATTAGCACAAGCTTCAAAAGCATGGAATTGTTCAGAAAATGTGAGGTTCAGACAACAGTTTCCAGAATTATATCAACAAAATCTTCTGTATGTGAAACAAAAGAAACTTGATGAGGATACTGCAGCAGCTGTGAAAGCAGCAGCAGTAGCCGCAAAGTCGGTAAAGTCTGATGCAAATAGTGGTACCATCAATTTGGATGAATTAGATCTTGAAGATAGAATCCGTATATTACTGGAAAATGAGATTAAGGGAAGAGATAATGGTGGAATTAATAATCGTGAACAAAATGATGGATTACTCAAGCTAGTTCAACGGTTTTCTATGTTGGGAGTATTTGTGGCTGTTGTGGCTGCATTTGCCAATTATTTTAGATCATAATAACATGACATCATGGGTATAAAATGGGTAGTGGGATCCTACAAGCTGACGTATGCATATATAGATTTGCTCTATTTTGTTCACTCTTGCACAAGTTTTATCTTGTTTAAGATTTATGCAAGCACTTTGAATTATAAGAAACAACATATTAATATTTGTATATATATGTACATATATTCATGAGACAGACAATTTCCAACCTATCATCTACTATTAATGGCACGAATGAAGGCTGTGTAGAAGGTACCCTTGGATGCGTTATTATTGTTACAAGTAACGACAGGACATGGTATATTCTATTATCATTTCCCAATTGGATAATTATTCTTCAGATAAAAGTAAAATTGTCGGCCGGTGGGCTTAGGTTTTAATTTTGAAAGAAAATAAATAAATACGACAAAAGAGTTTTGATTTTGTGGCTCATTAAGCAATTTCTGACAATTTCTCACGCCGGTTAACATACCTTGCCTTAAGACAGAGAAATACCGGGTTTACGAAGCAGATATGGTAAACATAAGGTGGCTGTTTATGGCGTATTATGGGTTATTCGTTGCTGCACATGTACCCACACGTACTCAAGCAGAACGACCGGAAATCTCATCTTTGCGATGAGGCAAATCCATTATTAGTGTCTTTATAGTTATAGACACTCTGCAACAAAAGTATATTTATCTAGAGTAACAAGACAATGCTTCGGACCTTACATGGTAGCACGAAGATTAGATTGAATTAGAACTAAACTATTCATAAAGCAAGTACACAGAGATGTATGTTCCCCTTTTTAGTAGTATGTCATGTGGTAACCATTGAGAACTACATGTTCTAGAATCAAGTCCACGTGACAGGGTTCATGCTTTTTGTTCCTTGGTCCACTGTCGCTTGTGATGGCATCTAACCCTTATCAATATCAATTTGCCTGTCTGTCAGAGCTCTAATTATAGCTAATTGTCTGACGCCGCCAATGGCTTGGTTCCGAATTAGGGCATGTGAAGGCGTGGTGGTGCAAGGTGAACTTCTGGTATCCTGACCCAGAAAGTGGTGTCTGTCTGAAGTAAAAAATTTCTCTCAATTTGTGTCCGATTGTTAAACTATTCCCGTTTGCCGGCCAGACACATAAACACCATGCATGTTTGACTAATTATTTATACTATATAACATATGTACATATCGACCTGAAGAATTCCACTAATATAAAACTTGCATATATATATATCAAATAGTTTCTTCTTTGATAAACATCTAACTCAAGTTTGTGATAATACTTGTGTGGTTGTCCGGTAGTGTCGGCGTTTTGATTTTGGCTACGTTTTTCTCAACCCCCTTTTTGCATCGCTTCAATTCAGCACACACCTTTGGAAACTGAAATCAAGACCTTGGAACTGCAATTTACAGACGAAGCAAAACAATATTATTTATTATTATTATATATAATAATAATACCATTAATATATTCTTCAGTATTTGCTTTCCAAAACTTATTGAGGTTCCCTTCAAACTTCAACTTTTGGCATCAGACCCCTTCTGAACGCGTCAAATCCTTCCAGATATTTACCAGCATTTATTTTTTTCCATCCATCAGAATTTATTCAGCTTCACCAATCAAACTTATTCAATTATCTTCCCACTATAGTCTCCCTTTTCTTATCTAGTCATATTACTTTGTAATAATGAGCCATAACCATCCTTATAGACAACTTCATTCGTCTCCTCAACCCGGAGTTTCGTCGCTGACAGTCTCAGATACCATGAAATCGGAAGCCACCACAATTAAAGAAGCTACAGTAGCTACACCACTTCCATATCCCATTCAAGAGGGAGCCTTGAATACCCCTATGGTACCTTCTCCAGTGGGACCCAGTAAACTTGGATACCCTCATCAACAACAACCTTTAGCAGCACCACAATTATCGCCTCGTTTCACAACTACCGACAATCATAGGCCACTCCAAATACATCAGACATCCTCTGGATCTGTTCCTACTTTTGAGGGCACTACCCCACACATAACTGAGTCGCTTTTGTCTGCTTCCTCTAGTGACTCTTCCATTCCCCCGGTGGGAGGACATCGTGGACCCACGCCTAACAATAATTCTGGAGGCTACTCTTATCCTCCAAAGAGGAATGGTGGAACTTTATCTCCTAATGCAACTGGATCAGGATCAGGCTCAGTACCTTATCATAATGCAGCACATTTAGCTACATCTCCATCATATGGTCCAAATACTCCACCTCGAGCTTTTTCTTCCGCGGGCCAATCACCTCCATTCGTTGCCCTTTCGGCTACCTCTTCGGTAACCAATTTAAACATCACAAATTCAGCCAACGGTGTTAATGGCCCCTTTAGTAAATCTGAGAACAATTTATCACTTGTGGCTAGTCCTCAGTTCAATGCTAAGTTGGGCCATAATCGTTCAGTGTCTTCTGCATCGTCCTTCATGTACGACCGGAACGATAATGCATCTTTGGTGGATTTCAGTCAAAGTTATATTACTCAATATTTGGGTGATAACTCTTCTAACTTGTTACCTCGGATTAAAACTCTTCAGTTGTATCAAAAGAATGCCAAAAAATCAAATGATCCTACTGTGCTTTTCCAATATGCCCAGTATATCTTACAAACAGCTTTGTTATTAGATTTGGATAGTCAAAATCATCCGTCATCTTCAACTTCTACTCCACCAAGATCTTCACTGTCAAACCAATTGAATGTTAAGGCCCATTCACGTTCAAAATCAAGTAATTCTTTAGATTTGGGATTGGATACTGAAAATGATACTCAACTTGATATCAACGAAGCAAAATTGAAGCGTATTTTGCTTAAGGAAGCACACAAATATTTGCGCAGATTGTCGGATAAGGGCTATTCTGAGGCTCAATATCTTCTTGGTGATGCATATTCATCTGGAGCTTTTGGTAAAGTAGAAAACAGGGATGCATTTGCACTTTTCCTTCATGCCGCTAAGCATGGTCACACAGAATCAGCTTATAGAGCATCACACTGTTACGAAGAAGGATTGGGAACTGGAAGAGATGCTCGTAAGGCTATTGAGTTTTTAAAAATGGCTGCTTCCAAAAACCATTCTGCAGCCATGTATAAGTTGGGTATTTATTCATTCTACGGTCGCATGGGATTAGGGAACGACATCAATACCAAGAAATCAGGTATCAAATGGTTAACTCGTGCTGCCAATGTTGCTACTGAGCTTACCTCCGCTGCTCCATATGAACTTGGTCGAATTCATTTTCAAGGGTTCCAAGATATTGTCCTTCCTGATGAAAAATATGCGTTGGAATTATATTCACAAGCTGCAGCTTTAGGTCACATCCAAGCAGCTGCAATTTTGGGACATAATTATGAAGTCGGAGAGATCGTTGCCCAAGATGCAAATTTACTGATTCATTATTACACCCAAGCAGCTTTAGGAGGCGACGCGGAATCTATGCTTGCCATGTGTGCTTGGTATTTGGTAGGTTCTGAACCATTTCTTCCTAAAGATGAAAGTGAAGCATTTGAATGGGCGCATCGTGCAGCATTATGTCAATTACCAAAGGCTCAATTCGCTTTGGGAAACTTTTACGAAAAGGGTATTGGTTGCATTAAAAATAGTAATGAAGCTCAAACTTGGTATACGAAGGCAGCTGAAAATGGAAGTGAAAAGGCACTTAGTCGTTTAGTCGACAAAGATCTTGCCCGTAAGTTAGAGAAGAGGTTAAAAATTTCCTCCAAAGAAGGCTCACCTGGTAAGGATGCAGCGAAGGATAAGGATTGTGTTATTGCTTAAAATTATTTGATGTTGTCATTCGCTCTTTTTGAAGACTTTTATTTCTTGCTCTTCTCTTCAATTCCTTAAAATAAAATTTAATATAGAGAATACATATCGACGTTTATTCACATTACAATAATCTCATTTTGTTTCACCTTAACATGGAATTTCATGTCACTTTTCGGTGTACATAAAAAAATGTCGGGACACGGGATTCGTACATTTATACGATGCACAATATGCCTGAAAGGGCGCAATTATCCCTATAGTAAATTCGTTTACGAGATCAATGTTTTTACGAGCTGATATGTTATTGGCCAGAAACTAAACTTCTGAAATTTTATATACATTAATAGAAATCCAGGACGTTAGTTGCGCTTTCCAGTATTTAAGTGAATAGATTGACGTTTAAAATGTGCAAAAGCTACAATTATGTCAAATTATTTGGTGCTGGACTTTTTCTTAGCATAAAACCAAACACCATATCTTCTTACAAGATATTCCATGAACCAAAAATAGCTCATTTTTATAAAACATTCCTAGTAAAAACAATTAAAAGGAAAGTCTGACTACAAAGTTAAGATACCATTTTGTTGATATAAAAAAAATGCATTACTACTCAGCGTATTGAAGTACATTCGACTATTGATCCAATGGAACTGGACATATGACAGGGAAGATCCAGATTCATCTAGTTTTCAACGGAACCAGTTTCTGTACTATTGGTAGCAGGGGCTTCAGATGTGACAGGAGCATCTGCACTTTCTGGGGAACTTCCATTAGCAAATCCACCTCTTCCACCTCTTCCACCTCTTCCACCTCTTCCACCTCTTCCACCTCTTCCTCTAAAATTACCTCTACCTCTGAAGTTACCTCTACCTCTGTAACCACCCCTTTTGTTGAACCCAGGCAAGTTGGTTCTTTTGGTGGTTATTCTCAATTCTCTACCTCTGAAAATCTTCTCGTTCAAATCGGAAATAGCTTTTTCAACAGATTCAACATTTTCAAATTCAATATAAGCATAACCCTTAGGCAAACGAGTGAACTTGTTAAACAAAATGGTTACTCTTTTGATAACACCCACGACATTGAAGAAATGTTCCAATTGTTCTGGAGTACTTTGGAAATCAACATTCCCAACATAAATAGAACGAGAATCAATCTCCGATTGTCTCTTCAAACGTTCAGCTTGATCTTCTTCAACTTGTTGTTCTTCCTCGGTCTTGGCCTCTTCAGAAACTTCAACTTCTTCAGTAGGAGCAGTTTCTTCAACAACTACTTGGTTTTGTTCTTCTACAACGGACATTTTTATTTTATTATATCTTATCTTATCTTAATATTCCTTCAAGATCCCAGCTTCCGCCCAATTTCTTGTCTCCAGCCTACGTTCCAATTCTCTTGAGTAATTACTTTGAGTACGTTATATTTTCTTAACCCAAATAAAGTATCGTCCATTGAAAATTTTGGTTCGAACGGTTACTGGACAGAAAAAGGCGATTTTGTGTAAACTCGTATGGTAGCGCAACGTGTTTGGAAGGAAAATTCAAAGTCGGCTCTCTAATGTTAAATACGTCTCTTATGTATGTTTATTATGAATTATTGTCAGGTATCAAACGGTGTCAAAGTCTATGCCTCCACAAAGGCTCTGTATGAAGTGAAAGGAACATCATCTGATGTAGAAACTAATTCAACAGCAGCTTCTGGGGCAATAAAGTAGACATAACCCGCCTTGACGTCAAATGTCTTACCCGTGGCAGTTTCCTTCAATTGACCTTTACCTTTGGTTGCAATGAGAATAGATGGACCCAAGAACCCATCAAACTCTTGCTTTTGACCGGCCTTTTCGAAAAGTGTTTGTAACACAGCAAACTCATCAATAGGCGGGTTGTATAACACAGATCTTGATGCTTCACCTCTGGACTTATCAAAGGATAACAAAGGCATCTTTTGCTTTTCCACAGACTCATAGTCGTAGGTCAACATTTCAACCAAATTGGGAACATCCTTAAACTTAGGAGTAAAACCAGATCTAACAACATTGTCAGAGGCAGCCATACATTCAATAATATCACCACTAATGTATGCATGAGGGCAGTTAGCTTGTAAGTATATAGCTTCACCAGGTTGTAAACAGGTATGGTTCAACATCAAACAACCACAGAATAACCCAATATCGTTAGGGAATTGCTTATTTAATCTACCAATCAATTCGGCTAAACCTTCGTTGATGGAATCAAAAGTTTGAGGTTCAGTTTCAGCTCTCTTGACTAATTCTGAAGCCTTGGAAGAAATAATGGAGTCTTCAGTGTTCATGACGCATGCAAATAATTTCTTCAATAATTCTTTGTTGGAAGCATCTTCTTTAGAACCAGCTTTGGCATCAGGAACAATACCAGAAATGAATTTATTGGTTAATTCATCACCAACGATGGCATGGAACTCAGGAATAGTCTTTAAAGTTGTAGCAAGTTGCTGTAAAGGTTTGAAACCACAGAAACCTTCAAAAGAAGTGACAGCAATAGCCATTTCTGGCTTATGATTATCATCAGGATAGTTTTTAGGATCAGCAGCATGTAAACGAGCAGCCAAAGCCTTATCAGGGTGAGCTTGAATACTCAATACTTTTTGAATACTCAAAACTTTAAATAAGAAAGGTAATTCCTTGGAGGAACCAAACTTATCAATGATTGATTGATGTAATAAATCTTTGGGATCAGAACCAACCAAATCTCTCAAGTTCTTACCGTTTTCAACGGCAATGGAGGGAACACTTGGATGAGTACCCATCCATAATTCCGCATAAGGCTTATGCTCATCAATAACAGTATTGACATTAGATGTGGAAGCAAATTGGGCAACAGCAGAAGTCGAACCAATTTTACCCCAGTCGTAGTTTTGGTAACCGCAGTCGATTCTAAATACCTTATCAGACATTATTCTTGTTTTGAAGTCGATGATAAAGAGAGAGAGTCCAGGTAAAACGATGTTATTTGGCATTTTCCAAGTTTTTCGGACTTTTTATATATACATGTCGTGTTTTCGCTGTGACACGGTTGTAAAATGTCGACGACATTATGATCTTATTGTGTGCACTGCATGCGAGATTTGTTCCATGCTACTTACTATGACAGTTACGTAAAATAGCCGTTCAAATTAGTGCTTACACCGTAGGACAAATGATGAGGAACGCGGGTGGAGAGAACGAACAATCGTGGATGGGGGTGGTGGGGAGACAAGAAAAGAAGTTAGATCCACTTATAATAATATCAATAATAATAATATTCGCTGAACGGTTACATGTAATCATAGATCTTGATTCTGTTCTTCCTATGTAGTAGTTGTAGTACAAGTACCTATAGGGTGTATTAAATAACTAGAATGCTCAGATGTACGCGTTCTCGTTCTCATATATACTCCTGATACTCATTAGACCAAAATAATAAGTGTCCCCATTTATTCTGTACGTAAACCCTAGTCAATACACGTGTTCCTTTAAAGCACTTGAAGTGTTTCCAAAAACACAAGCATTGTTTGTTTTGTACCTGATTGAACCGTATTGACGCCAATGAATGACGAATGGCTAGAGACAACTACAGGGAACAGAATCAATAAAAAGACCCAGATACATGGGTCCAATAGAATCCTTATAAGTGGGAACACTACCATTTGTCAAAATGTTTTGCTTCAAGGTGATGTACCCACAAAGGAGAACGTTCCACTGAGTATTCGCATAGGAAAGATGTGCTATCTACATGAAGAATGTCAGCTTTTACCTCCTGAGGGTTCAGGATTGACGTTAGGGTCTTATGTCATTATAGGAACAAAATCCAAAGTGATGCTGAAGAGTATAGGGAGTAGAGTTATAGTAGAAAACAATGTTACACTTTCTAGTGGCTCTGTAATTGAGGAATGTTGTATAATACGTGAGGGTACTATTATTCCACCACTGAAGAAGATCCCCAGCTATAGTGAAGTTCTGGGGATTCCAGGTATAAACTTTGAAGTGATACCTTTGCATAACAGTTATAGAAAACTCATAGAGTTAGAGGCTAAACAGTTAAGACTTCTTTATTAGCTAATTAGTTTTATTACACTCTATTAGGATTCAATCCTTTTTGGGACTGTTGATGTGATTCCCAATAATCCCTTGTCTAACCAGAGAAGAATTTCCATTATGTCTGCTTCTTCTTCTTCTTCGACTTCCTCTTAGGAGGCTCAAACAGCTCCAAAGTGCAATGAAAAGACCCAAATACCCAAGGAATCCATGCATATGAATATAGTTCATAAAAGGAACAGAGTTATTAAAGGGACTACCTACCAATCTCCATGCTGCTTTCCTACCATTGGCTAAATTGGGATCTAGCAAGGATAAAAGAACTTCCGTGACTCTTTCAGGATCATTTCTTAATCGGGTACCATTCAAATCAGTCTCCCACATATATTTGTTGTCATTAGATAAGATAACCGCATCGCCTTTTGCGTATTGCTTATTATCAATGTTCCAGATGCTACCCTCTTCGGCAAAAACATCGGATGATAAATCAATAAAAACAAACAGAACTCTGTTTAAATCAAAATTATGAGGTACTTCTTCCTTCATAGCAGAGACAACATCAACGCTATTGTCCCCTTTTTGTTTCTTTAGCTTTAATTTTTTCGTCTTTTCAATCTTCAACTTTCTACCTTCGAGAACCTCATCATAATAATATTTTTGATGTGATAAATGATAAGAATGTGCTGCTAAAGCTATCTTGGATAATGCATCATTTGTTTGCTTCTCGTCTTTAGTATCTAAAAATACAACAACTACTTTACCTTGAAGATCATCCTGCTTTTTAGCTTTAGGATTGAAATATTGGGGAATAAGGGCAGGTGTCAATTCTTGGTGCAATGGAAACTTATTTAAATCAAGGAATTTCTTAACCTTCTTGAAACTTCTAATATCTTCAGGGGCATAACTATGGAAAACGTGATTTATTAAGCTGTTTTCATGAAACATCAACAAAGTGGGTTTGGTGGTATATCCAGTCATAATGTTCATTTTTTCATCATATTCAATTTTTTTAGCTTCATCTTTTTGCAAAAGATTAGCATAGTTAACAATAGCATGATTTTGTTCATTCAAGAGCTTTTCCACGTTATCAAACTTGCAAATTCTCAAGTCGAAATTGAATGGAGAATCAGCAATATATTCCAATATGTATGGTAATAATGATTTATCCTCTTCAACAATGGTTTGATCATGGTAATAAACTAAAGAAATCTTATTTTCTAATGGATATTCGTATTCAATAGGATCTGATAATTCGGTGACGACTGTCTTATCTCTCCGCAATGTTTCGCCTGAAGACAATCTATAGTGATAGTTACTGTAGATTTTCTCCGCAAACAGTTTCAACCCTTTAAAAGTAGCAATTGGTTTCTTATAATCAATCTTACCCACGTGAGCCACTTTCTTAGGTAAGAACATCATATATTTGGGAGTTGATTCGTTATCAGAATAAGTTGAAGAAGCGAGGTCAAAAGATATGCAAGCATTAGGGTTTGTGAGACACGAAAAATGACCTGTTTTCATTGGTACTTTGTTTGATAATTTGTCCCAAATTAATTTACTGGAACCACACTCTAGGCAGTTTCTGCTAAACATGCTCTTACCTGTTTTATCTGTATCTTTCCATTCCTTTTCAGTGCATGGAAAAAAGGCAACAAAATATGGTTCGTCAATTGCTCCAGATGCAATATGAAGTAGCTCGTCAGTATTTAACATCTTCGAGGAACTCATAATATCAATTCCATCATTATATTCAGATGCTGAATTACGTAAAAACTTTTTGATATTTTCTTCTGTTCTAAGTCTTCCTTTAGGAAATGTCGCCAAATGTTTAGAGGTACTTTCCTTCTTCTTCTTTTTTTTATTATTCCTATCTTTGTCGTCTTCAGCGCTTGATTTAACATCTGCATTAGGATTTGAATGGTACAATCTCAAATCCGGGTACGCCATCACTTGTTCACGATTGCACAAATCACCAGACACCACACAATCGACTTGTCTCATGTCAATTTGCAACCTCTCCATTTCTGGCTTGAATTCCCTGTAAATCTTTTCCCATGTGGGGGCAAAATGTTTACAATGAGAGCATAAAGGAGAAAAGAATTCGACTAATGTTAAAGTTTTGCCAACTTCTTTATCAAAGGTATCCATCGTTAACATTGGAGGTATCTTGATATCACTGACGGTCTGATCTTTTTCCTCTGATTTATCCTTTTCTTCATCATCATCTTTTTCACTCTTCCCCTTTGATTTATCTGATGTCTCACCTTTAACCTTAACTTTGTTGTTTTTGGATACCTCTTTATTCAATTTAGCTTGAACATTTTCTTTTCCCTTAGTAGACTTCTTTTCTTCAGAATCGGGTGCTCCCTTTTGCTTATTCAGACCGTCTTCATTGATGTTTGCAACTTGTGCTCCGTTGTCTTTCTCAATAGATGCACCCCAGATAGTAGCAGCTAGCTGAGATACAAGCAATATATGAGATACCCTCATTTATCCAAATCACAATGTAGAAATGAACAATCCAGAACAAGAACCCTAATGGCTTGTTTCTAATGTGATACGTAGAATAAAAAAGTGACAATGATTATTTGTTTCAAGTTCAGATTACGTGAGCAGTTTTTCGATCTACAAGTTAGGTTATCTCCATTTCCTAATTGGGACACTCATACAAACTAAAAAGCGAAAAGTATAAAGTAATATAATATAATCTAATTGAATATATGTATCTATAATGAGGTATGCATAATAAATAAGTCTATGAATACAAAGAAGGGGAGTCAAATATCGTCGATTTTCATACCCTGCCACAGATAGTCAATAAATAACTCTTGAAATACTCGAAACTAACAAGTGTGACGGCAGATGCAGGTACTGTTCTAGACAAATTGACAAGATATCCAGCATAAAATCCCTTTATACCTTCTCTCTTGAATATCAGTTTGACAGTATCAACAAAACCCATATGCGTGAGACAACGCTTGTTGGATGACTGGATTTGCATTCTGGTTCTCAAAATCTCGTGAGGATAAGTAATGGTACTTGCTATCATCTTTGAAGCTGCCAGAGCTAAGATGAGTCTTCCTAATGATAATTCCTTTTCATGCGATTTATGATTTGTAACATGTAGCACTTTCTTCAACTTCTCGTATACTGGGAAATGGATGCCTACGTGGATAAGTCCAAACACTGATGGCACCAACCCACTATAAAATACTCTAATTCCTTCTTCGCGGTACATTTTACGGAATGCATCCATAGTACCATTATAATAAGTTCTATCTGGAAATTGTTGACGATCATTTGTTTGAATCATTAATCTTGTTTTCACAACCCAAACAGGGTTCACAGCTATGGAACTAGCAAGTCCAGCTGTTAATGCAGAACAAAAATGATTAAAAGATTCATATTTAACATTCAAATATTCTTCATTAAGTTTGGGATATATTTGCTTAGTCTTTTCATAGACTGTAAAATAGATTGTCCATGTTGGCAAATAGCCAATCATTGTTGGTACCAACCCTCTATAGAACCCCTTAATGCCTTCGTTTTTGAATATGGAAGCCACCGTTGATTTAAATCCAGGAAATTCAACTAATGATTTTGTGTTTACCTTAGCTCCTATTTCTTGGACTGCTATTCTGGCTGCTCCTTGTGCCTGTAGCCTGGTTTTAATCACATCCAAGGGACAAACCACTATCCCTGCAAGAAAACCACTGGCTGCTCCGGAGATAGTGATAAGTTGACTTGTGCTCAACTTAGAGAGCCATATAGAAGGACTTATTGTTTTTTTAGGTAAATTGATTGGTAAAGGGTGTATTTCATGTTGTATAGGATGCAGAAATTGTAGATCTTCACCATGTACTATATCTTGGAAGTCACTAACATCACTATTTTTCTCTGACGCTGTCATAGTATTAGCTACTGAAGTATGGAACGCATTGTTTGACGTTCGGCTCATCTCTGTGTCAAGTTATTTCTCTATTAAATTCTTGACAGAGAAGAAGTTTACCAACCTCCTACTAAAGCTAACGCCAGTAAGCCTAATGATTCCTAACCAAAATCAGAGTCCTTTGCTTCCGATATTTGCAAAAAGCTAATATATATATATATATATATATGCCCGTCCTCTACTTCCTTTTAGCTCTGTAAAAGTGTACTTGTGCTAATAGCAGCTTATTATTGGTTTACAGCAGATTCACAGGACCATGGAAATCAACCTCCGATATGATTTGTTCTGTGATTTTGCTCTTCGGAAAGAGAGGTCCTAAGAAGTTTGTGTAATTATTCTTAGTGGGCGCTACCAAGGCGAAAGCAGCGGTTTTTGGCAAGATAACTCCGTTCAGTGATAGAGATAATATATAAAAAATCTAAGATGGTAGAAAGACTATTGTTACAAACATAGTTTGCTGGGCTAGTTACTAATCACAATAAAATCAGTGGGAGCTCTTGTGACTGAAGTCCGTCGATCGTTTCCGTTTTTAGTGGTTTGTTGCATCGCTTTGTTTTACGCTTTATATATAGGACCTTTTTTGTGCGGGAATATCCCCCATTGAGTGAGTTCTGGTATCTCTAATTGATCGGGTTTCATTCCTAAAGACAAGACTCAACTGGTTGCAAATACTTTTACTTGACCTAAATACAACTACTTCTGGTTGTATTATGAAAACGCTTGATAGTCCAAAGCCATTCACTTAATCGTTTCCACTTTCTATGTGCAAGACAGTTGACAGTTAACTGACGATATGGCGTACTTCTATTCTATTCATGATTCAATTGAAATGGGAATAAACCAACTTCCATTCGAAAACTACGCTTTATTGGTTTGATTACGCCAACGAATACTAAATGATGTATCGAATGAATCTTCTGTAGCATTTCCATTTATCTGATTTGGTCCATCCATTATGCGAAGATTGAACTCCACAAAAATCAAACCAAAATCACAGTAAGAATTTTTGTCAAGTAATTTTAACATTCCTGCCAAAGATTATCATTATAGTTTACCGTATATAATGGGTCAATACGTATTGAAAGTTACTGGAGAGTTGTCCAATGTGACGGACTTGAAACCTGTGGATACTACTGATTCTCCCTTTGAATACACTTTTGTCATTGAGTGCACCAACTGTCGTGAAGAACATGATAGACCCATTACCATCAATCTGTTTGAGAAGCATGACTTACAGAAGTCCCGTGGAGATGCTCTGTTCATTTATAAATGTGCATCTTGTGGACACGAGAAGTCCACCACCATAACTAGAACTAAAGAGTCATTGTCGGAAAGTGGCAAATGGGCCACTATCTTGGAAATCGATTCCAGAGGTATGGAACTTAAAAAGTTTAACCCAGAAGGTCGGTTCCAGTGCGTGGGATCTGATAGTGGTACTCATTTTGATGAAGTCGATTTAGAAGAAAGTGAATGGTATGACTACGATGACAAGGTAGGAGAAGAAGTTAGCATTACTGAGGTGAAATGGGAATTGGCCAGACGATAACTACGGCAGCATTTTATACTGTGAATTTGATTACATAACCGTACCCACTAAAATCATAACCACTAAAGTGCTTTCTTCCTCAAGTTAGGTGCTCAATGAATTGAAAAGAACGTCCTTTTGTTAAAACGTACTTACTTTACATTTTTTTTCTATAGGTGTATCTAGATATACGTATGATTACCACATATCTGTGATTTTCTTCTTTGTTTCAGTCAGAGAAATATGACAATATGTATGGAATTACTTTTCAATAGTTTCCGATCAATAGTCGGCTATAAAATACCCTCAACCTTGAGTCGACTGAGATTCGCACGACACTTAGTTCCATGTAGATTATATTCAACTTTTGACAATACCAAGTTCAAACCGGATTGAATATTGTGAGCTTCACTTCAGCTAATTCACTACATCTTTTAACTGTTATATTATTTACTCGAACGATCCATTCGCAAAGTAATCGGCCAAATAAAAGCAAACTCGCTAATGCTTCTTCAAGTTAAAAACTCGGTTGTTGCGGTTGCGAACATGCAGTATTACACAACCATCAATTAAGGGGTATTAGAATCGAGGGATTAAGCAACAAAGACGGAAACCAGTGGAGCCGGTACGATATTGTACGGTGATAACAAAAAACATATAAAAATAGTCAACGCCTGACAGAAAACAAACTGTTTCAATATTAAAAAATTTTTGATTATTATTAGATCTTAAACTGATTTAATATACGGTGTGTTACAATCATTTAATTGAAGCTTCTGATTGATCTCGTATTCATAAAACTTGAATTAAAGTTTCCCAAAAACTATTATGCCTGACAAGATTGTATTGTACTCCCCCGAATACTACGCAGCATGTACCTTAGGTGGTATGCTTGCTTGTGGACCCACACATTCATTAGTCACTCCTCTTGATCTTGTCAAATGTAGGAGACAAGTCGATCCGAAACTTTACACTTCCAACATTCAAGGCTGGAAGACAATTCTTAGAACTTCTGGAGATTCTATTTGGACTGGTGTAGGGGCCACATTCATTGGATATACACTTCAAGGGGCAGGTAAGTATGGGTTCTATGAATACTTTAAAAAGACATATAGTGATCTTGTGGGTCCTGAGAAGGCTTCGCAGTATCGGACAGGAGTTTATTTGGCCGCAAGTGCATCGGCCGAGTTTCTTGCCGATATTATGTTATGTCCATTTGAAACCATTAAAGTGAAAACCCAAACAACTATTCCACCATATGCCACATCTGCATTAGATGGCTGGAAGAAGATTACAGCCCAAGAAGGAATTGGTGGGTTATATAAAGGTTTAGTCCCTTTATGGGCGAGACAAATCCCTTACACAATGGTTAAGTTTGCAACTTTTGAAAGAGTCGTTGAAGGTATCTATAGTTACTTGGGTCGTCCATACAAGTCGTATTCAAAACTTGAAAAGACTGGAATCTCTTTCTTAGGTGGTTATATTGCAGGTATTTTTTGCGCCATTGTTTCTCACCCAGCTGATGTTATGGTCTCAAAGGTCACAAGCGAAAAGTCAGCTACTGAAAGTATAGGTGCCGCAGTAGGCAGAATCTATAACCGTATTGGCTTTGTAGGTTTGTGGAACGGGTTACCAGTAAGAATTGTCATGATTGGTACTTTGACAGGCTGTCAATGGTTAATTTATGACTCCTTCAAGGTTTACGTAGGCTTGCCTACAACTGGTGGCCACTAATTCATATATTCAAGAAGAATTTTAAGTTTTACATTATTTTGAAAAATATCTAATAAGAAATATATTCGTATTATGATTCTGATTAAAAAGTTAGTTTATGTCAAACCTCATGCTCAGCAAAGCGTCAAAATTGATGATTGAAAGCGATGAATGTATGCCTACTCTATAAGATCGCAAACACCAATTTCAATCTGTAAATAAATGCCCGTAGTATTATACTGTAAGCAACAATGATAAGAAAATTAACCCCATACATTCTTCAATAATTCATCATCCATTGGTGTGGAATTTGAGTTTAAAGGTTTGGACGTGCTTGTTGATTGGCTGCTCCATTCGTTGTTCCATTGACTTGTGGATTTTGTCGTCTCAGAGGTCACAGCAGAACGTACCTGAGGGCTAGATGATCTCTGAGACAAGGTCGATTGTCCGCTTAAATTCAATGATTGTAATGAGTTACTAAGCAATGCAGGGTTAGTAATTGTAGAAGTAGAGCTATTGTAGTTATTTCTAGGCGCTGGAATAGAGCTGGAATTGTTGAAGAAAGATGAATTGGAAGATGATGGAGAAGAATATAAGGACAAGATTGATTTCTTTAAGTCAGCACGACCATTATTAGCACTAGGAGTAGGAGGTGTGGCGATATTCAGGTTCCCAATGGCAGAAGTCGAGACTGTATGTTGCGATGTACCATGAACTTTGGGAGGTACAGGTGGCAACAGATTGATTTGAGAAGTCAGTTGAGAATATAACTTTGGCGCAGGAGGTTTATTATTGCTCTTTGGAGTTGGTTGTGGTGTTATAGAACCTGAAGAATTGGCTGAAAAGTCTCCAAACTCTTCATCATCATCTAATAAATTGGTTGATGCAGGCTTAGAGCTGTTGATATTTGAGTTAGCAGAACCGGGATTCGCACCTCTTGAAGAAGAGGCCTTCCCTAAAGTCAGAGGGTCAGGTAATTTGGAGGATGCAGCCCATTTCTTCATATCATATTTTGTTTTGATGAAATTCTCAATCTTGGACAGATCAGGAATATACCCATCGGGCAACTTGGCTTCCCAAAATTGGTTACTTTTTTGGTTACCCCATCTGATCATATTTTCCACTTCATCATCCTTCCAAGTGTCTAAGTCAACTGACTTGACTTTGGAAATGTGAGTTCCCATTCCCCTATGAATTCCAGAACATCTAATGCAGATAAAGCATCCTAGAGACCATGATGCCCAACGAGGGTGTTGAGAAGTCTTACAATCAGCACAAGTTCTGTTGGGTGTTTCTCGAAGAAGTTGCTTAAGTATAGCGAGGTTCTTTTCGTTGTTAGCAGCTGTTGCCTTATGCTGATGACGGTGGGACATATTTATTATTTTCAAATTTACCCCAGTAATGCGTTGTTTATTGTTTTTGAACCAGAATACTAAAACTTTATATTGAAGCTACTGGTATAATCTTGTATAGTACAACTTTATTATCCTGTAGGTCTCTGTAGATCAGCGTGACACTATCAAAGTCCAATAAGTACAACTGATAGCACCACCATTTTCATGTCAGATCGAACGTCCTAAAACAGTAAGAAAAATTCGTCGGTTTGTTTGTTGTTTCAGCTTACGTAATTCATTCAGTTCACCATATTTTTATGAAAGAGGAAGCACCTGTGGTAGGAACAGCATATCAATTAACTTAGCAGTCAACCACATAGTATTTAATTCAATTTGAAACTAAATACTATCATGTTTTCTTTTCAACGCAATTTGTTCAGAATCTTCATCTTCATATATATGAAAGAAAATGGCCTTCTTTACATAATAGATAGTAGTTTATCTCTATTGGATATTCTTCAAACTATTTGAAATTGCTGTAATTGAAACTCATTCCATATGAAATTACGGCTTTCGTTTTTACTGGTTTTACCAACTACTGTTGCTTAATAGTATCTTTTGTGCTAGTTTAGAAGTTCACAGGTCGTCATCCTTTCACAACCACCAAAGCACTGCAACAAGAAGTCCCTGAAACGATTGGTATTGCTTACAATCTTCATCAGCAGTGACAACAATACGAATTCTTGTTCTAGTTGTATGCGGGCCAACAAACTGCATGATAGAATCCTGGGCTGTAAAGTTGAAATTCGAGTTTACAGTAACCAACAAAAGAAGAGATATTCGGTAAGATCATCCACAATATTAGGGAGATGGTAAAAGCCACCTAGCATAATGTTCAAGCTTTGTAGTATGTAATCACAATGATAGAAGCAACAAGCATCTGATCTGGGTTAGAGTAAGGACATGTAAGCGAAATCATCTTGTTTAGGATGTCATTATGGTGGGTGCGGGAGAATCGGATTAAACATGGAAATACATAAATACAGAAAAACATACATAAGAGTTCGCTCATCTAGGTCAGGAATCATCGTAGTATTCACATTGGTATTATTTTGTTTTAGGCTACAAGCTCTAAAGGTCTGATCTCTATTGGAATGTGGCATTTCCCTCAAGCGAGCGAAATCTAAAACATCAAGGTTGGACCCAGGCTTTGATCCTCACAATTTAGCGTTTAAAAAGTATTCATTGTTTAGACAGGATTAAGGTAGACGTTGAAATAGACAGAGAGTGTAAACGGTTGAAAAATAAAGACTAATAACCCTTTAAATTCAAAAGTAGTGAAACACATTTTTGCGACAATGGAATGTGAATGGGAAGAGACGGACCTTAATAATATCAGCCAGAAATTCAAAACCCTTGACCTGCTATTTCGTAATTATTATTATTGTTATTATTACTACTATTTATTATTCCTTCAGAACTTATAAGGTTTCATCATTTAATTGCCGTTATGAATAATTTTAATTAGGGCCAAACTCAGATCCTAATCTCCTTTAAATCTTACCTTAACGCATGTCTGTTAAGCTAGAGAAGGGACTACCTCGTCCTTTTTCGTACGCCGCAGCTAGCTTTTCTACATGGTGGTTTCCTGCCGACGGTTCTGCTTCCTTAGGGTCACAATATAGTTTTGTGATACTTAAGAGTTGAAATAATAGACTTGGCCAGCTTCGTTTCCTATACTTAACTAATATATTTTCTAACAATCACAGTTCACCAGGTTTGTGATCTTTCTCCACCAACTTTTTTCCTCCATTACCCGCCCCAATGGGTTATTTGCGAAGATAAACTACGTTCTTCTGGTTACCTTTGTTCCACGTCTTCCTTCCTCTATTTACTGATTCATAGATTCCTTTTACGTATTCCTTATAGTTGTTGCCCACTTTCTTATCAATCAAAGGTGTAAAAGGTAAATCGAATCGTTATTTATCTTTGTTGACATTGGCCAATCCATTACGCACTTCGGACTTTGAAACTACATGAACCATTTGATTGTTGTGGGAACTATCTTGTAGGCTTTTATCCGTTAATATTATCGTGCTGTGACTATATAATCCTTTGGTTTGTTTATAACCTTTGACTCGTTGGCATATTCTTTGATTACTCCTATTTGTTGTGTGGAGCTCGTTCTAGTGAAGGCATCCTCTCACGATTGCTTCCCACTCTCGTATCAACATTGGCATTAATACACTAAAAGTATATCTATTCAGTTGGCGCGTATTTGATACAATCAAAGCCATAAAATACGCAGTTAGTGGTTATCTTATTCCTGCTTAACTAGCGATACTTATTTGTGCTTATATGGACATTCAAACATTCATAACCAAATACCTGGAAATTAATAAATGAATAAAATGGAGAAGGTACGACGTTATACCTTAGAAGAAGTTAAACGTCACGAACATCCGGATGATCTTTGGATGGTTATTTATAATAAAGTCTTTGATATAACTCTATTTGCACAAGATCACCCAGGAGGGAAGGAGGTTCTTTTTGATTGCGGTGGTGTTGATGCCACGGAACCATTTGAAGATGTTGGCCATTCTGATGATGCTTTGTTCATGCTTGCTCCTTACTTTGTTGGTGATGTTATTGAAGGAGATCGTAAAGTATACCCTAAATGCAGAGAAATCACTGACCCTTGCAAGCCGCGAAGAGCAACTTCCAAGGCATCTTCAATATGCACTAATATGATGTCTTCATCAAGTACACCAGTTATTTCGAATATACGAAATAATTCAATGTGGGGTGGATTCAAAAAGGGCATATTAAAAAATACTCCCATCTCGTCGTGTGAATCTCGCTCATCAAGTAACAATATACCGTCAAAACGACGTTCAGGTTCAGGGTCGTCGTTCGATGAATGGATAATCATTCTATTAATGATCCTTGCATTGGTAGCACTCGTGCTTTATATCTGCCTACAAAAGATTAAGTGGAACTATCATCTACATCTATAAAGCTACTTATGAAGTTAGTTTTTTATCATTATATTTTGGGTGGAGTTGTTCTTTGGGGTACGCGATGCACAACTATTAGAAATAGTCTATCTAATAAATTTTGCATTATATCTCTTGGATTTAGTGCACAATGCTGAAGATATCACTTATTGAATCTTTGCAGTCTGCTACACTCTTACTCATTCTTTTTTCCCCTCGTGGCTAGCTTCATTATTTTTAAATGCTTTCCACTTTTGCATAGACTTAATATCATACTGAAATAGATTTTTCCTGGTTATGTTAGGTATAAACAAAACCCACGGATAAACCCCCTTAGTTTAAACATAAATGCTAACAAAAAATAATGGTGAACGAAGTTCGGTATTTAGCCCGACGCGGGGGTCGAACCCGCAACCTTTTGATCGCTTCTCTTGTACAAGACTAAGAGTCAAACGCTCTACCGATTGAGCTAGCCAGGCTGCTCGATACATATTTTAGGTGTTATATTAATAGGATTCAAGTTTAGTTATCACGTGCTCGACATAATAACTAAGGCACAATGCATCCGTTGTACTCTCACTATGAATGGTCATTCTGGAAGTTTGCTAGTAGATCTAATGGTAGGTATTAGTTTTCGACTAAAACTGGTCAACAAAATAATAATATTACATATACGTATTAAACGTTATTTACGTTCAAGGTTGCAAAAATAGAATGAAGAAAAATGTAAGGAAAGCTTTTAAATAATTATATCTAAATAATTGTAATTTGCGAACTAAAGAAACGAGTGATTTTGTTCTAACTTTTGAAAGTATAAGGTCGGGGATATCAATTAGTTGATGAGGAAAGATTCAGCACTAATGTCTCTGTTACCAGAGTCTAAAGTGTTGAACAAGTCACCAACATAGTTTTCGGACTTGTACAAGGTGTTGTCCTTGTAAATAGCATCCCAGTTTTCTAAGATGTCGTTGACAATTGGAGAACCAGCCAAGTACAAGTTAGCGACAGATGCAGAGCTGCCTCCTTGGGACACATTGGTAAACCAGTTAACAGTGTCGTTAGAGTACAATGGTGGAGGTCTAGCAAAGTCTGAAATTGTTCTCATAACAATGACTCTGTCGTAATCAACAATACCGTGAACGGTCATTCTGGTCAAGACTTCCAAATGAGCATTGTCTTCTTGAGCAGTAGCACAGTAAGTGGCAGTACCATTAGTGACAAGAGAGGCCCAGAAAGCAAAATAATCACCTAAAGTGTTACCGGAGTAGTAATTGTCACTTGTCATGACATCACACTTAACTACTGAAGGAAGGTTTTGAGCAGCTTCAAATTCATATAATTCTCTCATCTTAGCATTTCCTTCAGTTCCATTGTTCAAAGCAGCTGAGCTAGCCAATTCGACGGCTCTGTCTCTCAACTTTTCATTCAATTCAAATACTTCGGTACCATAGACATTTTCGGGATAAGCAGATGGGTCACTAGTACCATATGCAAAGTAACCGGTCTTCCAATCAGGGTTGGTTTCATGGTAGTCAGCATAAGCGATTTCGTATTCCAAAGCACCTTGAATGGCATACTTGGCAAAAGTGACAGAACCTAATGTGACGTGTTGAGGTTCACCTCCTGCAATACCTGCAACCATGAAGTAAGACTTGGAAAAGTCAAACAATGGTGATAAAGTAAGAGCAGTCATTGAAGCAGCAGCATTGATGTCACCTTCACCAACAGTAACTTGACAAACAGCGTAATCAGCTGTGCAATGAACGTCAGGGTAAATAGGAGAAAGACCTGGAATAGTGATGTTGTTGACAAACTTCATGTTTTCCAACCAAGGGTCTTGTTCGTAGAAAAACATAGACACAATCACAACCTTGGGTTGAAAGATAGCAAAGGGCTTACCATAACTGGTTTCCAATTTGTTGGTTGAAGAGTCAGGAACTGATTCTTCCAAGAAGGTGGTGTTAGCACTTCTCTTGCCAAAGATGGGAAATGCGGTTGCAGTGGCTGCAAGGAAGGCAGATGCCAAAAATTCTAAACGCATATTGAAGAGAGGAGAGTTCTTGATGGATATCAAGTAAAACTACAACTGGAACTTGAACATTGGGTAAACCTTTGACTATTTATACTATTCAAAGCGCAATAGTTGATAGGAAAGGCATCGCGAACCATAGAATTGAATCTTATCGGGTCGAATCGGTTGCCCCTATCTATCTCTTTTGAAAGCTAATAATCGCAAAACACATAAACTTACTCAGACTATATTGTGCTAACGCACCCGGACTAAAAGGGTAATGAAATTACTACTCCGTAAAAGAAACTATAAACAGTCTGCATAAAGAACATATTGAAAATGATAAATTACAATCGCTAAAACCTATATACAACAACAACTCAACGGCGCTGACAATTTGGTGCGATAAGAGCATTCCAGCGGTGTTGTCTCGAGGTCCGACGGAAGCTCTTGGGTGTTGTGGGTGTGTTAATTATCTGTTAGTTGACAGGGAATTGATTACTATACGCTAAGATGTTTCAATTGAAAAATTTTCAGTTGTAAACGATGAGAGTTGATAGCAGTCCATTCAAGTTCTGTTACCTTTCGATATTTTCAACAATAAAATAAACTACAGGTTGGTTACCATGTTGGTTACCAATCTCTAATATATCAAAAGTTATTCCCGAAAATATGTTTGGATTGGGAATCTCGTTTTGTGAACGCTTACTTTCAGTATCTTGAGACGGACATAACTCTAGAATCACATCTCATTGGGCAACCAGAGACAATAGGGTGCAGCGCGGATAACGATCACCATGGAATTAATTACAATATGATATTACAGAATGAAAAGATAGAGGTCTCTTCTAGCTATCATTCGATTATGCGTATTGTGTTTTAACGTTGACATTGACATTGATTTGCCAAGACTGACCATCGATTTGACAGCTTGAAGATACGCAACCAATTTGGCAGTACACGTATATGAATTTGCGGTTACCGCTATCAATTTTACCAAACTTATCTCCTTTCTGATGCCGTAGAGATGGATGGGGCTTACGGGCATTTTGGTAGGTGTTGAAAATTTCCTGTGGTTGGAGTGATGTAAAGATTTGAAGGTAACTGAGATGTAACTATGAATTATGGTATCATTGGGTAGCCAAGTGAGAAGTAATAGAGGAGGTCGATTGTTCAAGGTATGAACGGCCGACAGAAAGAAAAAGAAAGATGCATTACTAACTGTATTCGGGGCTCAATTGTGAGTCTCCATATATAATTGAGACATGGTTAATGTGTAATAATCTCTATAATTCTATTTGCAATTACTTTTCTTTTCATTTCCTCTATGCTTCGATGAAATCAGCCCTACCAAAATCAGCCTCACCTCCTAAGGTTCCGAAAATATCTCCAATATAATTAGTAGGGGAATATTTCAGTCCCAATTCATATTCAGAGTACCAGTTCGTTAAAATGTCATTTATGATGGGCATTCCCGCACGAACAAGGTTGGCGGTGGCACCTTCAATTCCTCCCTGGGATACTCCAGTGAAGAATTTCACGGTATCATGGGCATAAAGTGGTGGAGGACGAACAAAATTCAGAATGGTTCTCATTACTATGACCCGACTGAAATCAACTAACTTGATCAGATGCATCCTTACAAATACTTGTAATGAGGCATTGTCTTCCAGTGCAGCAGCACAGTATTCTGCTGATCCATTAGTCATCATACGAGCATAATCGGAAAAGTAGTCACCTAAGGTGGCCCCACTCCAATATGCATCGGAGGTGAGAACATCACATTTAACAATTTGAGGTAAACTTTTAGCCACTGGTTGTTCGTATAATTGCCTGAACTCATGATTGGCTTCCGAGCCATTGTGCAATGGGATATTTTGAGCTAGTTGAACTGCTCTATCTCGAAGATTCTCATTCAATTCAAACACTTCTGTTCCGTATGCATTCGCAGGATACGACCACGGATCTTTGGACCCATAGGCAAAATACCCAACGGGCCAATCAGGATGTGCTTCACTATAATCTTGATATGCAACTTCGTGTTCTAAGGCAACCTGGATAGCATACTTAGCGAATGTCACTGAGCCCAAAGTGGTGAGATGTGGCTCACCTCCACCTATACCCGCTATAAGAAAATAAGTCTTAGACAAATCAAACTTGGGCGATAATGCAAATGCTGTTAATGTTGAGGCAGCGTTGATATCTCCTTCACCGGTGGTTAGCTGACAGATGCTGTAATCTCTGTTACATCTGACATGAGGGAAGAGATAAAACATTCCCGGAACAGTTACATTATGGTGGAAATCGATTGCTTCAAACCAAGGGATTTGTTCCCAGGTGAACATGGATACTATGACAACTTTAGGACGTATGTGTGCATATGGTTTACCAAACTCATTATCGTCGAGATGCAACAAATCTTGCTTTGAGCCCAAACTCCAAAGAGAAAAGGCATGTGCTAATGGGATAAGCACCCAAACTAATACTGATAAGCCGATTCTCATGGTAAAGATGAGAGATCTCACAGGCCCTTGTTAACAAATGGCCGTTCAGTTAATTGGATCGACCTTACCGATTTGAGATGACTTTTACAAAATTATTAGCATCACCAAATTTCTTGGTGCTGGTACTGTGCGGCTCTGTTATCTTAAACTTTCCTACATGGCACTAGCGTCACACAACCATTAAATCTAAAGGGTCGTGTGAGAGGAGACTTCTTTTGTATTGTAAATCACCACTCTACTACTATCATATGCGGCTACTGCTTATCAGGAGGATCTGAATCCAATACTATTTCCTATATGTATAATTTAAGTGTTGTACCTTACTTTTTACAGGCCATTTCATCACAGCATATAGCTGCCTGGCTGTGCTTTAAGGCATCGGTGAAAAAATTTTAGTCAATTTGGTAAGTAGTATTCAAGAATTAGACTTCTCAATATTAAAAGAGTTCGATACTTTAAATTTTGGAGAAATAGATCCTTTAGATATAAGATTTAGTAGGAGCCATGTAGCAGTAAATGGAGTCATCTTATTCTCAGTGATAAAGATCATTAATCTCATTTAATTCACCTCAAATCGCATAGATTCAATGACTTTGTGCATACGAAACGTCTACTGGCAATATTACCTAACACATTCTTGAATCTAATAAGGTTCCGGTTTATAGTTCCAAATATGGACGGAATTAAGCACATACCTTGCGTCTGCCATCTAAGCGCATCCTTCCTATGACTACAAATATTCGGCATTAACCCCAATCAACGTATATGTACACTTGACAACGCACGCCAATGATTGTTTATTGTCAAGATCAAGTTTCGCATGTTCTAAAGACCGAAGACCGAGAGCCATGCCCCTCCAATAAATGAACATCATGATAAAAGAATTCTCCTAAATTCTATCCAATTCTACCTACCCCTTTTAATTAAGGCTAAAGGGTCTACACAAGAAACAAAGTCTTCAAATTCCACCGTGGCTACTCTAATGCCACGGATAAGTAAACTAAGTCCCAACGGCCTTTAAGTAAGTCGCACGTGAGTATTGCCCGATTGGGTTATGCTCGGTCACTTCCTTTTACCCGTATTCTGGGGAAATTCGCTAGTATAACCCCATTTTATACACAAAAAAAACATATCACAGGAGAAGTCAGTATCGGACATGTTATTATTATGAAATATTTTTAAGAGAAAAAGTTTCAGCTTTTTTTTCTTATTGAATCTTCCCTTTATATATTAGTCTTAACTACTGCCAGAGCGTTCTGCCTTCCATCCTTTCGAAAGAATTAGCTTCACAATTAACTTCATCCTCAGCTGACGAGTCACCACCAAGTAGAGCATAACGAGACCATGAATGATTTACCCAAACAACCCCCGTCTGATAAAGCGAGCGAAGAGCCACAAATAACTATGAATTCATCAAATGAGGGACCAGAAAAGAGCAAATCTAACTTCAAACTCATAGCTACTTCTACGGGTATACGAGTATCTCAAGCTTGTGACCGGTGCCGTGTCAAGAAGATCAAATGTGATGGAATGACACCTTGCTCTAACTGTCAAAAGGTTAATTTTGAGTGTAAAACAAGCGATAAGTTGACCCGGAGAGCGTTCCCTAAGGGATACACAGAGAACTTGGAGAAATTAGTCAAGCAATTGGAGGAAGAGAATCAAATATTAAAGGAAAGAATAGATGGAGAAAAGACCAGCAACGAAGGTCCAAAGAATCTTGATATTAATACCAACCAAGTAAGTGCTCTTTCAGGAGTAAACTCACAATTGGATACCCCTTTGCTACTGGCAAGACAGGGAGATTTTGATGCTCGACTGACTCTAACAAACACACCCACTCGACTAGAGCCAGGAAGTCAATATAAAACGATTCCTATCAACAATCCTATAGATCAAATATTCAACCTCGACAATAATGGGGTCATAATAGGGAATGACAATTTAAATTTTGAGTCACAAGTTAACCACCTACTAATCAATTTGAATCTACCGTTTTTGAAGATATCAAATTCTCATAACTTCTTATTGAATGATCCTAATTCATATTTATTTAATCCATCTTATTCCAATCATAACTTATTTCATAATCGAGATTGGGAAATTGCTTACAATCCGATTACAGAACTTCCAAACTCTCGAGAAGAGGACAAATTACCACTTGATGTTTATGATTTATTCATCAAGCTTATTAACAACTTTAAGAAATTGTTCAAGAACAAGAAAGAATTGGATCAACAGATTACCCAATTTTTCTTGAGTTATAACATCTTCATTCCAGTTTTTGAATACAAAGAATTCAAGAAATCATACGAAGAATTCCACACAATGTACCCCTTTATGTTCACATACAATGATGCAACAATTAATGGGTTCAACATTTCATCTCATGATTATTCTGTTGTCAATAAGTTCATGATGACTGTGATTCAAATATATGCTATGATTATGATGAATGATCCAACTATAAACTTGAATTTAATCTTAAATCATGATAATCCTTCATACACCATGAGCAACATGAGTAATATGAAATCTAATGATGCACATTCTTTGATTAGATCACTTTATGATTTGTTGCCATATTTTAACTTGTTCCATGTTTCTATGAACCAGTTACAAACTTATTTGTTGTTCTTTCATTATTCATTAGTAACAAATAATAAGGAGAAATCATTAGTTTTGTCTTCCGTCATCAATTCCTACATAGGTATTTTGGGGATTAACTTGAATACTAATAATCTATTCTTCAATGATTTGTCCCTCTCCATACAGCAAAGAAGAATTAGAGTGAAAATCTTTTGGGTATTCAAAGTTTTATTAAAGTGTTTCAATTTGAAGTTTGGGTTTAAACCAAGTATCAACACCACAGTTATCAATCCAGTTACGATTGATAGATATTTTCAATTGACTCCTGCAAAATTATCATCATTATTGGAACCACAGAATGATCCTGAAGGTTACGATGAATTGTTTAGAGCCCTTCTTAAACCTAGTATAGAATTTTTGACGTTGTTGAATATTGTGATTCCTTCATCTTTCTCCCCTAATTACTACCAGTACTTGAAAAACTCGAAAGATGGAAAGGGTCAGGCCAACCATCCACCCAACACTGCGAATCAGCAAAATGGCAGTGGAGCAAGGAAACCTCATAACTTGGACTGGATTTTGAATGATGATGATGGTGATGGAAATGATGGTAATTTGAACTATAACTTCAACCAGTTTGCAACCATTGATAAAAACCTTGAAAACTGGAGAAATTCGTTGAAAGTAAAGCAAATGGAACTTTTACCTTTACTGCAATATATGGGTCTTGATAATGTTTCCGGAATTACTAGTAACAATTTATTCCATGAATTGTCTTCCAATGAAAAGAACTCAGAAGGATCTCATCTAGGTTTATCAAGAGAAGGTTTGGTTCATTTCTTCAATAGTGGGTTACCAGATATATATACGGCATCCCAGTTGATTAAGATCCAACTTAACTTCCATTATCTATTAATCAGATCCATGAATTATATCAACTTTATGGTAGACAAGGACTTGACTCCTGGGTACTATGTTAATATTTTTAACATTTCTCAAGAAGTACTTCAGTATTTCTTATTGATATTCAGTCATATTGGTGATTTTGAAGAAGTAAACTATGACGGTTCCGGAAAGGATTCCTCTAATGCTAATCATCTTGGGTTACGAACAGATGAGGATGGGTTCATCGTGAATGATTTCTCTGTTAAGAGACAAAAACCAAACTCTGGTAACACCAAGAAACCGAAGTCGTGGAGACAAATTCCTTCCAATCCATTCAATGTTATGTTGAACGGTTTATCATTATGTATAATTAATTTCAAGAAGGCCATCATATTACAAATGCTTTACTTGTTGATTTGCCAATTGAAGTTTGTTAAAAAGGACAAGATTGATTTATCTAAATCAAGTACTGTGTTGAGCTTTTCAGTTGAACTATTTATCAAGATTTTCATCAACTATAAGACTAGAAGCAACTTTGAGCAGAATTATGTTTACAATGAAAAGTCAAAGAAAAGAAGTTCAGAAGATTACTTGTACAATAAGTTGTTGAGTGATGCCTTTAAGGACGAGATATTGAAAGATCAGGAACAAAGTGATGATGAAGACTGTGAAGATTTGCCTTATGATCCTTCAGGTATGAGTTCATATTCATCCATTGATTGGGATGATGAGAACCTAGATGAAGATTTGAAATATCTTAAGATCCTCAAGTTTTTAAAGTATAAGAATAACAGTATTTTGGATCAATCTAAACAAATGAAGGCCAATGAACAGCATCATTCAAGGTCTCAATCGGGAATATTAATGCCTAATCCAACAAGTGTCACTCATCATCACCACCACCATACATACGAAGGTGGATCCAATCTTAAACATGAACAGCAGCACAATCCCCTTGTTGCTGAAGACCAGATCGTACCTCGAGGGCATCAAGCTGATCTGAACAGTTTATATGTAAACTCTTCAGCACACGATGACATGGGTGACTCAAAGACACCATATTTGACATACTATACACCATCAAACGCAGCTTCGCCTGGTACTCTTCCAAGCAATAAATCCCAAATTAGTTTTATGAAGATCCCTTCTATGAATAGGTTGGACTACATCATGAGTCCACATTATTATCCTGAAGGAGCTCATAATCTGGATAGCCAGAATCCCAATTACAAGTTTCCTATGTCGATAGCAGAACATGACACGCTAACGTTACCCCAAGCATCGTTACTGCAGACATCTGGAGGCTCCAGTTCGAGCAAACAGACTGCGTCAAACATTCAGAACAACGATAATAACAAGATGAATGATCCTATCATCAAAAAGGAGAAAACAATTATAGGTGAACTTATGAGAGGTTCAGAAGGGAATGGTGGTAACAAACTATATCATAACTGGACATAAGAAATTGTTCACATATATTATTCTTTTTATGTATTTATTTATTAGTTTCACAAGGTAGAGGTGATGACTTATGCAATGTTAATTGCCATTAATATTTATCATGCAAGCTGTCGTGCTCTCTCTCATTAAAAACTTTTAATTAATTTAAAATGTCCTTCAGCTTTTATAAAACCAGATAATAACCAGATAATCTCTCTTATGTATACATCTTCTACATACATTGTAACGTAAAACACCACCTTAGTTACCTAAGCTTTGGAGCTTCCCCGAAAATTGATTCTTAAACACATTATGATAATTCTGAGAAAGTATGATATTCAGCAGGTCTAGATAATTCTTTATTGTTGCAAAATCGTAGCTTCCTTTATTACTAAGGTACTTAGTTTAGTAGTTTTTGGCTGCGAAATTTCGGAGTAACTATTTTCCTATTTGGGATTCTTTGTGCACTGAAAAGTATACGGAACTCTCATAATGGCTGCGAAAACTAGGCCTTTTTAAAGAGGTTTTACTCGCTGACAAACTAGGATTTCTTCTCTTCTTCTTTTTCTTCTTCTTTAACGAAACACGAAACTAGTTTACTGAATTATGAATTTCTCCAGAAATAGCACCGGCTCCTTCAGGGCCAAGCTCTCCTCCTTCCGCAAGAAGTTTCAAAACTTCTTCCACCGTCATCAAGTTCCTAAAACTGTTAGCAACCAACAGCATGGAATCTTTGAACTGACACTCACTTCTGAAGTCATTACTCTGCCAAAGTCCAGCGACAACCAAGCCGGAAGAGGATTGGGTACTTCAACCAGTCTGCCAGTTTCCATTGGCACTGCTGCAAGCACCCTTCCCACTCCCCTTTCCCATTCTGCCACCATTGAGACTCCAGCTACTACCATTGCTGTTAATACCAATGATAAGGAGAACATTTTAGTTACTCCACCACCACCACCTCAAGTTGCTTTACTTGAAAAGGCTCTCCTTGTTATCAATGAAAACTTCGAACCCCATGCTCCTAAGCCAAGCAAAGCAAAGTCTATGGCTGTTGAAACAGAAGGCGACAACAACGACTGTTCATTCAAAACTAGCGAATGGAAAGATCTCTTTGAACTTTACCAAGAAGCCGTCAAAGCCTTCTGTCCTTTGATTGAACCCCAAGCTGCTTCTCCTCCTACTGTTGAAACCAAGGATAGGTGTCAGGAAGTTGAAGAAGAAGTCCCTCTTTTTGACCCATCAATTTCCTCATTACTGTTTTCTGAGCATCTCATAGTCTGTGAACTATATAGTGCTGCTCTGGAGCGGATCATTAGTGGTGATCTGCACCGATCGGACTCTTGTATTAGTCCAGGTTTGAGTGACTACTCCAATGGTAGTGAGGCTTATTATCGTGGCAAGATTCCAAGAAACTTCCTTCGGATGTACCAACATCCCAAGCAGATACGGAAACGTACTAGGGCAGTTGGAAATACCAAATGATGGGGACTTAATAGTCCTCTAGATGTAAAAACTAAGCTCGCTTTTACTTTAGCTTAGTTGATCATAAAGCCCCACAGTAGGGCTCATAGTGTATAGATATCCAAAAAAACCATAAAACCTCCAAAAAAAAGTATATAGATAAATATTGTTTCCTTCTTCAACTTTGCCAATTTGTAGAGCGTTAAATTGGAATCAAATATGATCCCATTGAACTGAATTACACTAGCTTTAACTCATTGATATTAGTTATTAATTATATAAAACAATGTACACCACTACAAAGATATTGTGAAAAATTTAACCTGTGAAAATATGCTAATTATTAATGCGGAGTTATCTCCAATACGGAAGAAGTCCGCTTCAGACGACGTAGTCAACTCAGAAAGGAAGGACAAAGTTATCATCGATCGCGTACTTAGATCTAGCTCTAATCTTGGCCCCGTACTTGTAGAATAAAAAGGGTACTGGGATAGCAATAGCAGCAAGAGAACCCAACAAAGTGGAAGCATATTGGATTTTCATGTTGACAAACATTTGATAAGCGAATAAGGGGAATACTGCACCAAATGAAGATCTAAGGAAAGTGTTACCAGCCAAGGCAGAAGCAGCATATAACAAGTAACAGTCAACAATGTAATTCAAGCATGGTAAGAAAGTCAAGATCAAAGCCATACCAATAATGAAAGCACCGATACAAGGAACAATCCAATGTACTTTATCACCGAAAGCACCGGACCAACCCAACCAAAACATACCAATAGCGAAGAAAACTGAACCAACCATCATAGCAGGTAAACGTTCTTCAGGGATTGGTCTTCCCTTTTCTTGCATGATACGACCAAATCTTTTCTCAAAAAACACACATATTAAACCACCAGCGATAGTTCCAAGGAACATAGCAATATAAGGCAATTCAGAGACCCCAGCAATCCAATGGTATTCACCCAGAAAAATCAAAGGAATAGCAGTTAAGAACAAGTATAACATACCATAAACGAATGCATTATATAATGAAACCAAAAACAAAATAGGTTCCAGGCCTAACATTTTTATGGGTCTGGTAATGTTCTTTTCAGCGATTTCCTTCAAAGAAAGGGAAACCTCTTCATGAGGAGCATAGATCCCCCAGTTCTTTGTACGTCTTCTTAAGATTTCAGCCTTTCTAACCAAAATCAAAGGTCTATGGGTTTCTTCCAAGACAAATGCAACAGAAACGGTAGCAACACAACCCATAATACCCATAATATAAGCGCACCATCTCCAGCCCATATGTTGGTTCTTAACAATAAAGGCAGAAAATATTGGAGCCAAAAGGGGACCACCAAACAAGCATATAGCGAAAAAGGAAATGGCTACACCTCTTGATGCTGCTGAATATAAATCAGCCATAACAGCTGGACATACAGCCAAAGGAGCAGCACCAATAAACCCAGTGAAGAATCTAGTAATCATAATACTTTGAAGATCTTTAGATGTGGCAGTAGCAAAGCAAAAGCAGCTGTAACCAAACATGGAAGCCAAAAGAATAGCCTTTCTACCATATAATTCAGATAGAGGGCCCCATACAATAGGACCTGATGCAAATCCAAACACATAAAGTGAAGTGGACAATGTTGCTGTGGTACGACCAATATGAAATTTCTCCTGTAACACTGGCGTTACAGCAGAGAAGAATGCAGACCCAATGGCAACACAAAGGGCGGAGATCACCAAACAATATGTCATTAAACTCTTTTTCTTCAAAGACCAATTAACTGGATTTGCTGGATCATCCGGTCCATCAAAATTAACTTGATAGCTTTCTCTGCTTGGTAATGGTTCAGGGTATGGCTTTCCCATACCCATTTTAGGTAAAGGTTCGTCAGAAGTTTCGGCTCTTCTCAATAACTCATCGGCACCAGTTAATCTTCTTGATAATGCTTCGGCACCTGAAGTAGTTGATTCTAAACGGGCCAATTCGTTAAAACTCCGAAGGTCCTCTTCCGGTACTCCATCTCCAGCACCTGTGAATGTTTGAGGAGCTTCTTCCAATACACCACTATTTCTACTCACAGAGCTGGCATCGACACTACCATTAGACGTTTGCTCTCCTTTTCTCTCAAGATCAATTGAGGGCTTCTCCGTAGTGTCCGACATACTTTGTATAAATCGAGTAGTAGATATACGACAATAAAATTAAGATGTGCAGAATATTATAAAAGTTAATTCATACTCGATATATATACCCCAACGAACGGCACTAACACACAACATTTTAGTTTAATAGTTGGTGACAGAAAAATTTTCCTTACGTCAACAAACGGAGTTATGAAAAAAAGCCGACTTTGTGGTATCTTTTATTATCTATCAAAGCAAATGTCGGCTGATAAGAGTTGCTATCAGTACAAGGTCTAAAATTAATTATACGACCGTAGGACATAACTCCAGAACTATTAGTAATATTACAAGACCATGTCTCGGTCATAAAACTAAGTTCATTGTTATTTGTCCATCTGTTTAGGATGAATACCTTTAGTGGTTGCTCATACTCAGCACACGGACTTATTTCGTTATTGTACGAAGGCCGAAGAGCGCATTTCCTAATTGGGATTCTCTCTCTGACAAGTTTCGATAAAGTAACCATTTCCCCGAACCAATATCTGTTTCATAGTATCTGTCTTTGAAAAAAAAAACCAACAAATAATAATACCCAAGTCTTTCGCTAGTTTGCTGATGGATATACGGGGTCCAAATCGGTAAACGAATATTATTTTGCGGACATAGGGAACTGTTAGCCAGTAGATCACCGCACGGCTGTAGAACGGCTGTAACGTTTGTATGTAACAATCTATCAACAACTCGGTGATTCATCGGCCATAAGTCGGGTAAAGTTACCATTGGGTGGATTTAGTGCGGATTTAACACGGTCCTGCAGGAAAAAGGTCCCCAAGTGGCAAATAATTACTAGGAACCTTATTGATCGGCCATGTTCCATTAGTTCGGAATCAAGCTGCCCATCACATTAATAATCACGTCTACGATGACTCATATATCAATAGGGTCCATTGATCCTCAACATTTAATGGTCCTTTTGAAAGTGTTAGTGGTCGGAGTAACCTATATAGATTGCTATGTAAACGACGCAAACTCGGAGATTGGCCCAAACTAGATGTATAAACGGAGCAAGCGAATCTTTCAAAGCTTTCACAACGATACGGACGTTGAAATTGACATGCACGCCCATTTATGTTATAGGTACAATGTATTTTTAGAGCTCAAAGCCACTTCATCGTATTTGATCTTAATCTCCTATCATAAGCGCTCTCAGAGCACGGGTCGAGCCTCAGTTTGGAGTTGGTAGCGCGTTGTTTCCCAATTTGGAGTTCTGATCAAATTGGTTACATAGCAATTAGAAGGTGAGTTCATTATAGTGCCTTATTGCATAAAAGTCTAAGTAATTTTTGTATGTCTAACGAAGGCTGACTGGTACTTAATTTAAGTTGGAAAATTATGGATCATAGTGATGGGTTTTTCCCCATAGTAGCAGTCTTTTATGCTGTCTTCCATCCCACTGAAGGTACGAAGATAGTGTACCAAGTCCCTGAGAATTCCATTAAAACTAAAACATCAAACAAATACAAGAATGCCGATAAAGGTAAACAAAGTGTTGACAATAGTGATGAGTTTATTGAAGACAATGATACTAGTCATCTTGAGGGTGATCATGACGATTTTGATGTTGGAGGTGAAAACGATAGTACTAAAGGATTGTTCAATTTCGATACAGTTAAGAATTATATCATTCCAAAGTCTCAACTATGCAATAAATTGATCTCTGTTCAGATTGGCAAATACAAGGTCATGGGGTACCCTGTTAATATTGAGAATACTGATTATTCTAGGAACTCATTCAATTTCAATTTCTGTTTTGTTTTTGATTGCAATAGCGATACAACACCATATGAATCAGCAATTGAACGGATGGGTAAAATGTTTCGTGTTTTGGAGGAACAACTGTTTGTACTATCAAAATTGGACAAAGAGTATATTTATTTCAAGAACAGAAGTATGATATCGCCTCTGACCAGTACAGGAACATCTCCAGGAGTATCAACTCCAAATGGTAATGAAGTTGGAGTGGAGTATTTTTTTAACCCCGAAGGGAATTTAGATCATTTAAGTACTCCAGGGCATAAAAAAACGAAAAATATTAGTTTATCATCGATTGAGTCTCTTATCAATCAAATATACCAAGATTTGAATACTTATTCGGAATGTTGTATCCCAATAGATCTGGCCAATAGTGTGGATATAAAATTGTTTCCTATATTTCCTCCTCCAGTAAACATTAAGGCTCAGCATGTTCCAATTGCTACTGTTAAGTTGAATCTGTTGGTAGATTCAACTTGGGATCCTACAATGGTGAAGATTTTACCATACATTGATGGTATAAACTCGATTAAAAGAATAAGTGAATTGGCTGATGCTGATTACATTTTAACAAAGCAATGTATTCAACATTTTATGCATTATGAATGTTTGGAGATATTAGATATTTTTCAATTCACCAATATCTATGCTCCAACAAACTTTATTGGGAAGTTTTTGAAACTGTTAGGAATGGCTGAGGAATGTCAGGCTTATGTTGTAGCTGATTCTTCTAATTCACTTTCAAAGCTTCCCTTGACGTCATTCAATGGGTATTCTAGTTTGAAAAGTAATTCGGTACCAAGAAGAGATACTAATGATACTCATCCAGCCTTGAATGGCATAAAGTCAACATCCATGACTCTGAACTCAACTCAGGCTCCATTATTAAGGAAGGTCAGTGCATCATATGCTCTGGAATCACCGTCCAAATCATTTATGCATAGTGCTCGTGGACCGAGTTTGGGAGCAGGATCAAACATTAAAATGGAAAATGGAAGCAAAAAGGCCACTATTTCTGTACCCAGCAAAACCACATTATTCTATTTGTATCGATCTCTTAACCAACAATTGACTTTGAGAGATTGGTATTTCCACCATCAGAAACTTTTAGTCAATGTTGATATTAGACGGTTTATCAATTTTGGAGTATCAAGAGGAATTATTTATAGAGTGCATTCATACCCAATCTTGAATTCCATCATTAAAAGCATTGAGAACGATGGAGACGATTCTATAGAGGCTCTCATACATCAAGTTCAACATGTTAAACGCGTTAGCTTCACAAGTCCTGAACGCATACGGAAAGAAATCAAGGACCAAATCATTCAAGAAAGGAATGACTCTGGTACTACTAATATTCATAACAATAGATCATTAGGTCAAGGCTCAAGCACTCATTTTGGTGACCATGAAAGTGCATACAATAGTGTTGATCATACGCTAGACTATAGTGATTGGTCAGAAGTTGTTACTGAGGAATCGGACTCTGAAGACAGCTGGATTGAATCTTCAGATGGAGAAGGCTACGATCACGAATCCAGTAGGAAAGAGCAAGAAATGATAGATCTTTTAAAGCTTGTCAAGGGATTTCAACCATATGATTCAGTATGTTCTCATCTTCACAAATCACGAGCAGAAGTACGCGAGATGCTTGAAGCCTTAGGGGCATCAAGCGAGATCAACGCATAACAATAGCATTGACTTGCCAACCAACAGTATTGTACCTTTTCTTTGTGCGGGTAACCCACAGTTTGGTTTCGAACCGTACTCAGGAAGAAAATGAACATTAAAGAAAACGCGAAGCCATGCTAAGCGCAGGATTTTGTATTTGTTTTCTTTTCCTTAATCAAAACAACAAGTTGGCCCACAACAACAACAACAACTACAACAACCAATTACAAATAAATTATAATTATAACTTCCACCAAAAAGGGCACCAACTGTCAATAGTCTTTGAACAATATGTCTGGTAAGGGAAAAGTGCACGGAGGAAAAGGTAAGTCTGCTGAATCCGCAAAGATATCAACTTCGCATTCCGCTAGAGCTGGGTTGCAATTCCCAGTGGGGAGAATTAAGAGATATTTAAAGAAAACTGCTCAGAACAAGATTCGGGTAGGTTCAAAGTCTGCTATTTACTTGACGGCTGTGTTAGAATATTTAACAGCAGAGGTTTTAGAATTGGCTGGTAACGCAGCTAAGGATTTGAAGGTTAAAAGAATTACGCCAAGGCACTTGCAATTGGCAATTCGTGGTGATGAAGAATTGGATACATTGATTAAGGCTACTATTGCCTTTGGTGGTGTTTTGCCTCATATCAATAAGGCCTTATTATTGAAGGTGGAGAAGTCCAAGAAGCAGAAATAGGTATAGATTTCATTTATTTGAAGAAATAATGAATAGGTTTGAACAAATCAAATTTATTGATCCAATACTTATTGAACCTATGTTTTTTGTTGACGATGAGTTGCGTTGTTTTATCTTTTTAACTGCTAGATGTCATTTGTACTATACGATCTTACTTTCTTTATTTCTTTGTTTCTTTAATATTTTGTCTATGTTTCTAGCGGCCAATTATGTATCATAAAAGCCACGTACTGAAGAAATTCTTCTGTAGTATACTTCGTTGATTTGACTATGTACATGAATATGTGGATGTGGATTTGTTTTTCTTTCTCCTCTTTCTATTTGACCACTGATGTTTCTTGTGGAACAGGTGATGGAGGTGGTGTAATCTTATGAGGCTTAAGAAGTTTGGGACTAATTTGGTCATCGTAAACAACATGTGTGAGTTTCGAATCCATGACATCCATTTTACTGGCAATTTTATTCAATTCAGCTCGCAAGGATTCTATATCTTCAGCAATTGAAGATCGTTGATCTGAAGCCAGTTTCCTCGACTTCACTTCGTAAACTATCAAAGAACCGGCCACAAAAAATAGGAACCCTTCAGATATGATATTCCCCATTAGATCTAAGGCTGCCTTTTCATTAAGTGGACGAATCTTGATTCTTGTTTCACCCAACAATCTCATTCTTAATTTGATATCTGTTTCATGAACAGTTTGAGCTATGGATATACACGCTTTTTTAACTCCTTCATGTTCCTTTGCTTGTCTCTTTATAGCATTAGCAATTGGTTTGGCTATTGTACGTAAGAGCAATGCGCCCACCTTAAATCCAAGTCCACTCATATAAGAAACATTCAGCTATGAAAAGCCACTGGTGATGGAAACCAATGGGTAAACGTATGGCCAAACTAACGAATATATATTTATCAAGAAATGAACTCCTTGATCTAGTAGTATCAATGTCTTATGTAAGTTCAAATCTCGCTTGATGCGATGTAGTAAATTGTATTATGTTAAAGTCGTAAGGTAATCATAGCACAGTGTATCGGCCACTTGGTTGTGGGTGCTTCGGCAATTCGCACGAAGGCAAAATGTGGATCATGTTTATCTGCAGGAACGAAAATTTCATATTCTATTCAATGGTTATGGTGCAGAAGTATTGATTACACTGACATAACCCAAATTTACTGATTTAACTTTTCAAAAGCAACTATAAAGACGGTTACGTATTCTATCTTTCTTATGGTAGTGCCCGTCAATATGTTGAAGACAACCCCAATAAACATGGCATGGCGCCGATTTTTTGATACAAACCGCCGTCAAATGCCCTCATTATTCAATGGCGTGGGTATAAGTAAAAGTGGTATTAAGGTACCCCAAGGTTTTTTCACTACTAAAAGTAGTAATCTACTTCCATCTCCTTCTTCTCCTTCTCCACTCAAGTCATCTATTGCTCCAATTAGAGGATCTTTGACTGCGTTGACCAATGCCTTCAAAGCAATGCGCAACCCAGGCGTTCTCAAACTGACTATTACAAAGAGATTTAACTCTCTGTGGAATAGATATGGGAATAGAGGTTGGCCATCATCAGCTAGACCAAATAGACTGGACTTGGAAAGACTTAAGATCCCATTGATATTTACAGCCGTATTACTTTTGACCATGCCTTATGTGGTACCAGTACTTTTCAAGTTTCCTCCACTTAGTTTTTTTACCCATCATCCGCCAGTACTTGTTTTCACATTGATGGCTATCAATGCTGCTGTGTTCTTGATGTGGAAGGATTATCGGTTCCTGAAGTATTTGATGAGATATGGATTATTGAAAAGTCACAATGTAGGTAACCCCGTCACTTTACTTACCTCCACCTTTTCTCATCAATCTTTCATGCACTTGGCCTTTAACATGATCGTTCTTTTGAGTTTTGGTACTTCTATGGTTAACATGATTGGACCAAGTTATTTCACTCAACTTTACATAGGTTCTGGTGTTGTGGCTTCCATGTTTTCTCTTGTATGGTCGGTTCTCAAAGGTGCCCAGGTGGCTTCATTGGGTGCTTCGGGAGCATTGTTTGGCTTGTGCTTGTTTCAAACTTACTTTTTCCCTAACCAAGGAGTATATTTGTTCTTTATTCCCATACCTATGCCTGCGTGGGCAGTGTTCAGCGGTATTTCTACTATGAATGTTGTTGGGATGTTTGCTAGGTGGGGTGGCTATGATTATGCTGCTCATGTTGGTGGATCATTATACGGTCTTATTTATGCTTATTTCTTCAGTAAGAAAACTAGAGAAACAAGAAAGAGATATAGAAACTCGCCAGTTTGGTGGAGTTATTAAGGATCATTGGCAAATATCACATTCTTTCTTGTGAGTACTAAATATATTTATATATATACTTAGAAGTTTTAAGGTTTTCTTTCTGCTTCTAGTAACCCTCTTGTATATGGAATTAAATTGTCTCGATTAAGATAAATTTATTAGTGTACTTGATTATATGATTATGCAAAAGAAACAGACTTCTTCTTCTTCTTTCTGTCTGGTTGATTAGACTCGTCTTGATCGTCAGCTTTTCTAGCAGCCTTAGCATTCTTTCTTCTGGCTAACCTTGCGGCAGAGGCTTTGTTCTTGATCTCTTCCTTTTTACCTTCTAACTTGTTCTTCTTCTCTTGTTCCTTTCTATCCAATTCCTTTCTTTTTAATTCCCGTATTTCTTCTAGGCGTTTGGCTTTTTCCAACTTGGATTCATTTATAGTATCGAACTTATCGTTAATAGACTTGACTAATCTTGTCATGGTCAATACATCACTATCAGATACAAACTTCTTACCTTTCTTTCCTCTTTTGGCTTTGACGCCTGGTGTTACTGCTTTGTTTAAAATTGGTATATCTAACTGATCTTCTCGATACTCCTTTCCGTTCTTTGCACCATAAAGGGCTATTTTTCTTTGTACTTTCTTGGATATCTTCTTGACAGTTGATTTTGGTGTTAATTTGGGTTGGCTCTCAAGTAAGTTTCTAGCTTTGGAATCACTGAATACTTCCGATTCCACAGTTCTAGTTTTATTCTGCGACTTCGACCTCTTAGCGGTCTTGGATTGTCTGGGAGCCATTGTTTCTGGCTTTAATTAATTCTTCAATGGATAGTATGGCTATAATAGAAACCATGTAACCATCGCATCTCATCACTGAAAATAGTAAATGTACATTTGAACACAAAACTTTTTCGTCGCGCGTGGGAATCGAACTCGAGGCCAAATAACCAGATAAACATGAAGTAATAAGAAAGCTTATAAAAATACCTAGTATCGATGAATGGCGCGTTATTATTAGGTGAATTATGACGCAAACTAATGTCAAAACTATCACAAGGTTAATTTTTGCTCTTGTCCTGTTTGTGATGTTGGCGAATAGTTTTTACCTACTATTTTTTGCATTAGAACTAAAGAACGTTAAGGCAAAACAACAGGGGACTGGTACTTTGGTTCAAGAGCCGTTTATTGGCAGGTTTGCAAAAAGAAAGAACCTAAATTCAATGTCGTTTTAAATTTCTATATAATATGTGAATTTTTGCGTATGGTTTAACAAAGTATGCTAATTTAGTATGAGAAACATTGTTTTTTTGAGATGGTGGTTGAGCACTTCATTCGCAGCCAAAAGGATAAATTATGGGTAAAAGTATGCTTGATATTTCCAATACTGATAACACATCAAGAAAATATTGAAGATAATAATAATAATAATGATGATGATAAGATGAATTTGTTTCTTGAAATTGATCAGAAGCAAAGCAAAACAAGTTGGCAATAAAAGGGTTGGTGTCTACAATGAAAATTGTAGCTTAAGTACTTGTTCATAATCTTACTTAGAGTCACGTGAATATGCTTATATTCAGTAGCTGAATGTGGTTCGAGCCATACTTTTTTTGTTCAATAAAGTCCGATATAGTGTAACGGCTAGCACGGTTCGCTTTCACCGAGCAGACCCGGGTTCGACTCCCGGTATCGGAATTTTTTTTAAAATTTGTGACTTAGAAAATTGTATGCGGAGTTTGAAAGCACATTCTAATTTTTTTTCATGACAATAGCTTTTCATTTCTCCTCCACAAATTCCAATGGTTCAAGGTTCACGCCGTGGGTAAGGGGCTTAAACTGTGTTAAAACATTACGTCTGATCATTCCAAGTCTAGCGATATAATTGGCCATTTAATTCAATTCTACTACAAAGGTAGTACATAGTACCAACGTACGTCTATACCGAAACAGAAAGCCTGGATTCGGTTGCATGATATTGAGACAATGACCGCGGTTGGAACCTGCGGCTATGGAAGATCTATTGCCTCACTTTGACAAGGGACAGGAGATCGCAGCCACGGAGATTGACCCTTTTACTAGTGATGACGATGTTCGTTCTGGAACCGTTCTAAGCAATAAATCTTACTTGACTGTGGCATTATTCTTAAAATACGGTGACTTAACCATCTCACCGAGGTAAGCTTGCTATGGTCATGTACGATAGCCATTTCATTTGATAATAATGCTGATCTAAATGATCAGCATACTCCGATGTAGTTTCCTTTTTTAATAAATTTTGTTAAACTGCCGCGTTGAGAAGGGTTCACCATTTGTGGCTGAACATAGACGAATTACTTAGTAAAGAGGTATACGATGGTTTCTTGGAGCCATATACAATACATCCATTTGATTTGGAATGGATTTTAGTAATATCATTACGCCAAACAGGACGACCCCATACCGATAGTAAAATGAATTCAAATGGCTAATTAAAGCAAAACTAAATACGCAAAAAGCGGTTGCAGACATAAAAAAAAGAAAAACTGAAATAAAATAAAATAAAATAAAATAAAATAAAATAAAATAAAATAACATAAAAAAAAAACATAATCATCATCGCTGTTACTTAATAGTATTAAAAATTCATCATTTAAGTCTCCTATAGCCGTATGACGCTACACACCATCAGAATAAACACAACCAATAACCAGTCAAGTATATAATGAAAATATTGCTTAATGTAGTCCAAGTGGTAGCCTGTAGTATACGGTCGGCACCGCACTCCCAACCATTTTTCTGCGCTCGTTATTGTGTCTCTTGCCCCAGAAGTACCCGAAATTTTCGTGCGAGAGCCATTTACCTATGGCGAAAAGCTGAAGGATGATATGATAGTTTTAAACTGCTGTTCATGTTCCTTTCGTATATTAAAAGAAATCAGTATATTTTTCTTGTGGAAGCTAACTCATAGTACTATACTATCTGATAAGTATAATCTGAGTACTACTTAAAGTGGTCGAATCCGCAAAGCCTACTATATTATTTGAATATTATTATTGCATCTATCTTGCGATACTTTTGTCCTTGGGAGAAGGCCAGGCCAGAATATCAATACAAAGCTCCCTTCAAAGCCATATCATCTCAGAGCTAAACCAGAAGCCATGTCAAGAGTCTTACCGGACTCTGCTGCTAATGCTAGTAGCAACAAGGACTCTAAGATCGCGTGTTTGGAGTGTCGTCTGAAACACTTGCGGTGTACTGGTGATCAACCCAAATGCCGAAGATGTTCCATCAAAAAGTTGGACTGTAGCTATGTCAAGGGAAAAAGAGGTGGCGCCAGAATTAAAGGTGTGAAAATGAGAGAAATGGAGCTGTACAAACAACAACTAGCTCAACAAAGTCACCCGATGCTGCTGCAACATCTCTCACCTACTACAAGTGACTCTTCAGTTATCCAAGGCTACTCCCCAAATTCTGGACAAAGGAACTATTCGGAACGAGATCATCAGGCTGACTCTAATACAACCGGACTCGTTCCAAACACTAACTCCTCCATGTTCCGTCACAACGAAATGACTGCTATGGATCTGAGTCAGATGTCAGAACAGAATCCTACCCCAACCCAAAATAAGCCTTCTTCATCATCTCAAGTACCACTTCAGCATCTTCCACAACATCTTCAACACCATCCCCATCATCAACATATTCAGCAACACCAACAACCACTTTCACTATCACAATCACAACAACATCCACAACAACAACCACAACAACATCCACAACAACAACCACAACAACATCCACAACAACAACCACAACAACAACCACAACAACAACCACAACAACAACCACAACAACATCCACAACCACAACCACAACCACAACCACAACCACAACCACAACCACAACAACATCCACAACCACAACAACATCCACAACAGCTTCCAATATCCATGTTGGTTCCACAACATCAGCTGATAATTCTGCCTGTTAGCCAAACAGAAATGGCCAAATCCAACTCCACTGGCTCTGTTATTTCGCCTGATCTGCAACATGGCCCATCACTTGTGTCTACACAACCAACCTCGGTTTTGGTGAGCCATAACTCTGCTTCTTCTGTGAGTCAAAGTTCTCCACTACCGCATAGGCTGTCTGATTATTCAGGAACATCATCTACCCCTGCTTCAGTTCAAAACCTTACTCTCAATGACAAGGAAGTTAACCAAGGTGGAGTATATGGTAACCAGAACTCCAAAATTGTAAGTTACAGTCCCGCAAGTTCGGTATCCAATAATTCAGTTGCTATGGGCCAATCGGTACCAAGCAGCTTACCACCATTTCAGAATTTCTTCAATGGCCAGCCACAAGGAGGATCATTAAATACTTCAGCATACTCAAAATTCAATTTAGAAAACCCTCCACAAGATTTTACTGGTGGTTACTTCCCTCATAACCCCCCAATTGTTTCCAGCCGTGATAATGAATTAGAATTTATTGATCAAGACCGTATTCACAGTGTTTTAGAAGCCTATTATTCAAACATTCACAATGCACATCCTTTTTTGCCAGCTCGTGAAGACATTCGAAAGTACTTCACTTCGATGGCTAGAACCAATGATATTGTACTGAGCATGCAACTTCTTGCCGATGGCCAAGTCAATGAAGGTAAAGCTTATACTGAAGAACAGGCGAAGAATATTGACCAAAAAGTAAAGGAACTCCTTAATTATATTGAATCTTATGAGTTAGATTTAGTTTCTCTTCAAAGTTTGTTCTTATTATCATTGGTGACACATTTGTGTGCTTTACATGAAACTAGTGGTTTACTACGCAGAAAGGCTTTGAAGTTGATTACCCAATTAGATATAAATTTGATGGACGCTAAGGAATTTTCTCAGCTGTTCAATGATATTCTGGATAATCACATTGACAGGAATGACCAGGCCGACAGATCCAGGAAACTCTTAGATAGCCCTCGGTTCATCGATGTCGATTCTGAACTTTTAAAAGAATGTGCTCGTAAAGTTTTTTGGGAGCTTTACAGTTTTGATATCTTGATGGGTCTTGCAGATGGTGTTACTATATCTGAATTGACGAATTTACCAACCATGGTAAAATACCCAGTATCACCCTCAAGAGAGGTCTTTGATTATCAAAGTCGAGCAGAATGCACAGCATTGATGAACAAAGCTATAAGACTTAATGGACAAATTCTTAAACAGCACAACAATGAGATGGACTCGATAAAATTGAAAGCGTCTCTTGGTAATTGGGAGTTAAAGTTAAAGAACCCAACTGAGTATGGTCTTCCATCATTAATGAATCGTCATGGAGTGGTGAATGAAGGTGTTTATCAAGCCAATGCCATGTATTTGTATGCGAAGATATTCTTCCACAGACCATTATCATTCATTTACAAACCAGAATCTATACCCCAACAACCAAACTGTGGACGAGTTGTTAGTCATTTAATTAAATGTGGTAAGGAGCATGATTTGGATAATGAATCGGAGAAAATATTTAAGGTTTCTGGTAAGAATGTTTTTTCAACGAAATTGATTGAAACCAGAAAGTTAATTACAGCTGCAAATGATATGATTAGTTTATTGATTGACTCACAACCTGGTGAGATTCGTAAGCGATCACCATTGGCCATATGTAACCTTGCATATGCTGGAATGGTTCATTTTTCAGTTTATGTGTGGATTGAAGCCCTGATTAAACGATTGAGTGAAGTCAATGAAACAAATATATTCTCTCAAAATGAATTATTTATTACTAGAGAATATTTGCAAATGGAAATCAGTCTGTTACATCAAATGGGGAAACATTGGTACTTGGCAGCAAAAATATTTTGCTATCTTAGTGAAGTTGTTAAACAATTTCTGCCTACATTATTTGAAGACTTGAAGGAGAAGTTACCAGTACAGAAGCAAGCTAAAGATAACCAAGAAGCTCTTGAAGATGGCACAATGGCACCACCTATAATTTGCTCTAAATCTCCATCGAGCTATTCTACTAATAGTTTGGACCAATTCCCTTCGGCATTAAGTATGCGCAGTCTGAGTACGGGTACTGATTTAACTAGTGGCGAAGAGATGATGAAACGTGATGTATTAAATGAAAATGATTTTACCACACTTAACATACCTTCAACCGATAAGAATATTCATGATGCATTGGATTCGTTTGCAGGGTTTGATTTTGATTTCAATTTACCAGTTTAATGGAAAGAAATGATAATTCAAGATATATTTTATTCATTTCAAAGGAGTTGATGGACTTGACTTTCCCCGGTGGAAATCTAATGGTTTACTTTATAGTTTGTATATATTGAGATGAGGAATTGAAATTTACTTCAAGATATTTATAATAAGTGGCAAAAATCTTAATACTTTTATTTTATTGTTAAAACTGTGCTTGATATTTAACGCAATATACCTTGCTTACTGTTGTCTTACAATAAAGCAATGGCGAGGAAACCAACAACAACACCGGCTGGGCCATATTGAGCGGCGTTTAATCCAGCAATACCCTTCGAAGATGAAGAGGATGAAGCAGAAGATGAAGCAGAAGATGAAGCAGAAGATGCTCCAGAAGATGCTCCAGAAGCCCCGGAAGAGGCTTTAGAAGATGCTCCAGAAACTGTAGCAGAAGCATCATGAACAGTACCGGACCAAGATGGAGCAGAGAAGGCAGTAATGGAGTTCTCTTTAGCGAATGAAGACCAGATGGAATGTGCCTTGGCAGTATCGGATGCACCAACAGCGTTTATTTCTGAAGCCAAAGTAGACCACTTGTCTGCTCCAACTGCGGTAGCTTTACTGAACCAAGAAGTGGCCGCGTTTTCATAAGCGGACGCCCAAGATGTGAATCCATTCTTCCCTGTGATATCAGAAGCGAGAGTAGAGAATTGACCAGGAATTTCACTGGTGAAGAAACCAGGGATGTTACTGGTGAAAACATTGGCAAGATCACTGGTGAAAAAGTTTGGAATATCTCCAGTAAAAAAATTAGCGAATCCACTGGTCAAGTTGTCCAAGAAGTCAGCACTGACGACGCTCATAAGAGCAATGTACACAACAGCAAGATTGAGAAGCATTGATGATTAATACAATTGATATAGAAGGGAATTGACAGTACCGCAACTAGGATATCTGAAAAGGTGACTTGTCTTTCAGTATTTATACGTCACGTCAACCTCCTAAAAAGCCGCACTGTTAAGGTTGCGATCGGTTTAGCACCATACCCTTTTACTTGTTAACAGGGTACTCCTATATAAAAGACATAATAGAAAGAGGCTTCGGTATTCACGGCAGTTTCAATGCAGTCGTGGAGTACTCTGACACACTCTTAGATGAAGGAAAACAGATTGAGGTTTTTTTGGTTCGACAACCAAATGTGGAGATGAATCAAATAGAACGTTGCAAAATCACACGTTCGATCTACAACGAGCAGTGTTTTTAGAAGTTTGAGTTACTTGATATACAAATCGACACCAAGCGGTATAATCCTCATAGTAAAGATATTATTGTTATACTATTTATAGGGCTTTTCATTATATATTTGCATCATCCCATAGTTCTTCAGTGGTCTCGTAACTTATCGTATTTTAGGGTATTTATGAGCACAGCCATGAGGTAATTATTCCCCTATACAGAAGTACCCGTCTTCAGAAATTTGGGGGCTGAGCGGTCGTGCAGTGGCATATGAAAGTTCCCCTAACATCTTATGTCATGTTTCCGGTCCGATGTGGCTTGCATGTTGTTTGACTGTAGACTCAAATGTTTCACTTCCAGGGCTGTGTACTTAGAAAGGGAAATTATATATTCAGCAATTTGATCCTTTACCTCGGCTTCGTTTGACAGGTTAAAGCTGTAACCTCCATTTTGTAGCAACTTAAACGTTGAATTATCATCTGACATCATCTAAAACAAGCTAAAGGCACACAAAGTCATTAAGGAAAGTAAAACTACTCTTTCAATATGCCATATTGTACCTTGAAGTCAATGTTCTGTGGGAAAACAACACATTTGAGCATCAATAGCTTGCTACAATCCCATCTTCCTACATATTAGTTCTATTAGTTTAGGGTGAGAGCAATAGTTCAATTCAATCACTCATAACATGTACGGCTTACAGGTCCCACACATCTATATCACGAAGACTTTACTGTTCATATAAAAATATACCATAACCACACAACAGGTGTGGAGAGTCACATAGTTGGTTATATGCTAATCCTACTCACGTGATCTCGGCTTAGAAACTCCATTCTGATTCTACTTATAACAAAGCAGCACCAACTAATCCAAGCAAAACACCAATAGGTGCAATGGTAAGTGAGTTCCCACCACCAGATCTTGTTGAAGAAGATGCACTAGATGAGGCAGCAGACGAAGAGGAAGAAGCAACAGATGAAGCGGAAGACTTGGCTGTGTTTGAAGTAATTGGTCCTGTTGTAGATGTTGAAGCATCATTTGCAGTTGCAGTTGCATCAGTTGCATCAGTTGCATCAGTGCTTTTAGTATCCCCACCTGTGACACTAGCCAAAGAAAAACGTGAATATCCTGGAAACACAGAGAAAGGAAGATCGAGCGTATTTGCTTTAGTAAATGAAGCCCAGGCTGCAGTTGCAAATTTTGGATCAAAACTATGTTTGGAAACCTCACTAGCAAAACTTTCAAATTTACCTGGATCTATGCTGTTAATTTGATTGAACAAGTCAGAATTTGAAGCCACCCAGGTCTGATAATAACCTAAGAGACTTGTATCGAGACCTGGTACTCCTGTAAGGTAATTTGAATAATCTGAAAAGTAGTTTGTATAATCAGACAAGTAATTTGTATAATCAGTGAAGTAGTTGGAATAGTCAGACAAGTAGTTTGTGTAGTCAGTGAAGTAGTTTGAATAATCAGAGTAGTAAGCTGTAAGGTAGGACGCATAATTAGAATAGTAATTATTCCAATCAGAAACAGCACCAAAGGTAGGGATGTTATTCAAGATGGAATCGTAAAATCCAAGTAAATCCGTAGTGGCACATTGACCAATAGCGGCCAATGTAAATAATCCTAAAATACTCGACTTCATTTGTGTTTGCTTAAAACGGTCAGTAACTATGAAAAACTACCTTCATACTAACTTGACCATGAGGGGTTTACGAGGTATTTTATATTCTTTTTTTGTCACTTTGTCATACTGACTTTGAAGAATAAATTTAATCCTCAGTTTGGTTGCAACTTGCAGCATGGTGGAGAAAGTACGACTTATTGTTGACGAACCATTAAAGCAAGACTTGGCGCATCTCATTTGAATACATTGTATAATCGTGTAAGTAGTGTACAGAAATCTTAATCTTCCTCTTGTTATGAAAGTTTACCTGCAAACAACGTGTGGATGGTCGATCACGTTCATTGCATTGGTTAGTTCAGAAAAAGGGCTATAACATCTATGTACTGGCGGGAATATAACTGCGTATAATCGAATGTGACCCTATCTACTTACGACGATGCCAAGAGGGGAAGTAGTCACGAATTAATCTTGTGTGGTTTGGGAAAAAGCACATGGTGCGCAAATGCAATACTCTCCCTTGAATTTGCTGCAAGAACAAGGTAAAATTGCTTTCACTTGCAGGCAAGCCAATTGTGGGTTCATCGTACTGATAATAATGCCAATTGTTGTAGCTTATTCAGTTCATCACAAGTAAATCATCCATTCTTGGCTTTATTTGCGAAAGGTTAGGATAATTATATTTACGACGAACTTTAGGTGTTGGCACCAATGCCCAATAAAGATGACATATAGGTGTACACAGGCTACAGGACCTAGTCAGAATACGAGTGTTTCTACGAGGCTTTTCTGGTGATAATACTATTAAAATGTACTAGGAAAGTCTTCATCTGCATATAAGATATGTGGCTTAAGCGTTAAAAAACATTCCCGCGTATACGCTCTTAAACTGGAAAGACTCTTAAGCCCTCGGTAGGGTTATCTAATGCAAGGTACCAACTATATACGAAGACCAGTACTTTGGGAAGTACCTGAGTTTATGATATGAGATGAATAAGAGAATGAGTGTAAACCCCAATACCAACTGAAAACGAAATAAAAACGCTCATCTTATGAATTAAATCGAAGTTGGTTTCAATTATAACGAACAAGAGTTCTCACATCTCCTGCCATAGAGTTACCCAAATTGTAATAATGAAATATTTCGCACCACCCTATTTAAACTTTCGTGACTAGTCCTGTATTTCTAACATCAGCAGTCTTCGTCTTATTTATCATAATTGTTTTCTTGGATTATGCTTTGTGAGCCAAGTTCGCCAATCAAATCCGATCTTTCAACTCAATACTAAGAGGCGATTCAAAGTTTCATATTTCTGGATAATAGTCTGAGTATAGTATGTGAAACCCGTTTGTTAATTTTTCTGCTACTAGAATAGGAATGGATCTAACCACAAGCAAACTAGAGTTGGAACACATGACCAAGACTGTGAACTTTAAGGATAGATTCATTACATGGTATTAATCCTTGTGCAGATTTTACACACAGGGGACCCTCCCCAAACTAGGCGAAAATGTAACAGTTGGGCAATATTATCCATGAATTAAGTGGGGACAGAGACAGCGTTTCATAGACAAGTACTTGAAATGCTTCCGATGGTTTTCCAATATAAGACTTGACCCTACATATAGCTAAACAAACTTCATGGATGGATGCAAATGGGTCTGCAGTTTTCATGCTTGTAGTTATTCTTGAATGCCATCAATTTTATCAAGTAGTATTCTTCTTAAAAGTGTCTCAACCAAGTATTGGTACCTTATGCGGCTTTTGACATGAGATCTTAGTACATTTCGGCATAAGGTTGAAAACAATGCCTATTGTGTACAGGTGTAATACGTTACAATGTCTTTTCTCCACAATTCTTGAAAGGCTGAAAGGATTGCTATTTGAAACGATGTTAGTGTATTTGACAAGGCTGACCTCCACTGCAGCATTTATGGTTCTGGAAGGTAAGAAACTCGAGCAATCGATACATTTGCACTGTTGATATTAATTGTTCCTCGCCATCTCAAGTCATCTCATATTGCTTTAGGCGGGGCATTAGGTTTTCCTTTTCTTGTCGAGAGGCAGAATATTATGCGCCGTTGAGAGGGAACGTAACCACGAAGAGCTCAAAACCTAGCAAAGAAACCGCTTTGGTGAGTTACCATCATATACTTGATCCAAATACGAACAAATCCCGAACACCAATATTATACCCGAATCAACAAGAAAAGGAGGGTTTCCTACAGTGAAGATAATTAATACATTCTTTCAGATAGAATCATTTGTCACAGTGAGAATTGCAATTGATAGTTACAATTGATAAAACGATCTGTTTCTGTGTATAACTTTTTTTATTGCTGTATGAGATACCTCGTCGACTCGAATAGACAAGAGTCTATAATCTCATACTAGTTCCCTTTTGTATTGTATTGCTGAAAGTCTGCTTCAGTGAGTGTCTACGTATGTGATGTGATGAGATAAGACTGATAAACATTTTTGTGTCATGTTCGGATATCCCCATTGGTCGAGACAGACACTTGATGGTTCCACAGTCATTTAAAGCACCAGCTACTCCAAAAAAGTAGTGAAGTAGCTGGTGTTGGCACCTCATAAGCTAGATGACATCACAAGACTTTGCATTGGACGAGAACATACATGGGGTACGGTTTAATTGGAACGTGTTCCCCTCTACAAGACTAGAGGAGTCAGCCCAAGTAACTCCGGTGGGATGTTTATATTCACTCTTACATAAGAGACCTCAAGAGTTGAAGTCCATACCTGTTTCAAATACTGGTAGATTGCCTCCACGGTGCAAGTCCTGTAAGAGCTACATCAATCCGTTTTGCAGAATAGACAGACTAAATGGGATGTGGGTATGTTGTATATGTGATAAGAAGTCTTATTTCCCTCCTGACACTAAATTGCCGACATCTGAGCTGCCAGAAGTTGATGAATGGCCAATTGAGTTACAGCAAGTGTCATCTACCATCGACCATGTTTTACCTGTTGATATCACCAATCCCATAGATGGCGATACCCCGTATTCCTATATGTTCTTGCTTGATTTGTATGTAGTTGAAGGTCACCAATCTGAGTTTGATAGTTACATTCTGAAGGTTACTAAGGCCATTTCAGAGCTTCCTGAAGGCTCTCTAATGGGAATAGTGGGATATCATGATTCAGTTATCTTTGCTAATGGGGCAAGATTGTCACCTACTGATATTGCTGATGATATCATCGATTTGGAATCAGACCAAACAAAGAAGAAAACCGAGAAGAACAACAAGACGAAGAAAAATAAAAACCTTCTTTCGTCTCTTTTCTCAGAATCGGTTTACGAGGCGTTTCTTGATAAGGTTGGAGTCGCTTCAGGGTTTTCTAACTCTTGGGACCAACTGCCTCTTGTGAGTTCCAAGATCTTCACTCAGAATAAAGAAGTTGCTTTGCAGACAATCAAACATCTTGTACCCAAAATAGCTCCGGACTACAAACCACCAAGGGTCACTGGGTTTGCTGTGTATTTGGCTTCGTTGCTTTTGTCTCAATGTTCGTTTGCAAATTTCATTGGCAAATTGGTACTATTTAGTGGTGGACCTTGTACTTCTGGTCCAGGGATGGTTGCTGATACTAAAAGTCCTATGCGTTCTCATTCTGATATTGTCAATATGAAAGCTCCTTATTATACGACTTCTGAAAGGTTCTATCGAACCTTATCTTACATTGCCAATGGTCATACCACGGAACGAGCTTTGAACGCCGTGAACACCATCTCCGGAAGACTATCTGACTCTTATCCACCTGCCAAACAGCCTAGATGGTCTGTAGATATGTTCATTACTTCGCTTGACCAAGTTGGTGTCTATGAAATGAAATCACTCTCGGCCATGACCTGTGGTGGCATCTTCTTGAACGACGATTATAACCGAGCTGCGTTTGGTGAAGGTTTAACAGCGTCCTTGGGTCAAGTTAACCAAACCAATGGTGTATTGACCGTGAGCACATCTCAAGGCTTGAAGGTGAATAAAATGCTAGGGAATGGGTGCCCTTTACCACCTGCTGTCGATGGGAGCGATATTGTTAGTAAAATTGGTGATCAAGTCACCTCGTTTGATCCACAAGCGAAGAAACTGAACTTTACAAATCAATGGCAGTTTAATTCGTTGCAAAGTGATAACGGTTGTGTGGCCGTATATTTCCAAATGGATACAGCCAATTCAATCAACTCTTTGAATGCTGCCGGTAGCACGCATGTATTTATACAATTCCAATTGAAATACCGTGATTGGGAATCCAATACCCAGAGAGTTCGAGTGACTACTTTAAAGAAACCAACCACTTTGGCAAGTTTAGTTGCGAATCAAGTTAAAATGACTGATGGTACCTACAGATTAGTCAATTCAAAGAGTAAAGTTATCAAAGAAAGAGACCTATTATTAAGTTTTGATCAAAAGGTATGGGTTGTGCTATTTTCTCGTATGTTGATTAATAAAATTGATACAGACATTGGATACGATCGTTTTGAAGACTTGTTGGAATTGATAGATGAAACCATTATCAAAATTTTATATCATTATGGAGGGGTTCGTTTGACTCAAGATTCAAATGGAGGTAACTCTAGTGGTGATAATAATCCATATTTGATGTTGAAACTGATATATGAAGTTAATGAAAACTTTAAGCAATTACCTTCGTTGATGTACCATCTTCGGAAGAGTCAACAATTGGTAAGAATTTTCAATTCCAGTCCTGATGAAACGGCAAATTATCATCATTGGTTTAATAGACTCAACTTGAGTGATAGTTTATTGCTCTTGCAACCAAAATTGTATAAGTTGACTTCTGACGGGCATTCAAAGGTTATTCCGTTGGATAGCACGTGTATCCGTTCTCCAACTGGAACATTTCTTATAATGGATTGTTTATTCCAGATAATCATTTACTATGTTGCTGATGGTAACAATTTCTTAGAGTTGCACCATTCCAATAACGATCAATTAGTTTCAAACAAGGATCCTACCATTTCCAGGGCATTAGAGTTTATTGAGGAGAACATTAGAGGCCATAATAATAGACAGAGGCCTCCAGCCCAAATTGTGGTTACTCAAACTAACCATTCACAAGCCAGATATTTCATGTCTCGCTTGAATAAGGCTGAATCTATGGAAGATAGTATGGCTAGATTGGCACTTGATGATTCAAACTACAAAAAGAAGAAAAGTAGCAAAAACAGACTGAAGTTTTTGGGTTGGTTTGACACTAACTCTGTTGATAACAGTTATGATGTTCTTAAGACCGATGATCTTAGTCTTGATGAATATTTCCGAGAAATACTTGATTTAGTGACAACCTATAGAGTTACTGATAGCTAGGCCACCCATAGGTGTTTCACATTTCATTTCGGGGTTAAAAGGTGGACAAGAACCTTTTAACGGTATCAATTAATTCCAGTACCGAGCCTTCATCGGAACCTGGACCTACATTGTGAAGAGCACCGGGTAAGACTTTGGAATAGGGACTCCAATATTTTTCATCGGCGACATTTTCTTTCCAAGTATCTATCAACTTTTGCTTATCAACCAGAGGAGGAACAAACTCATCTTTGGAGCCATAAAGTACCAAAATGGGCACAGACAACTTACCGAATGTTTGGGCGTAATCTTCGTTTCTCAAATAGCTTGAGAAATAATCATCAGACCCTCTTGGATGAGCCAAAGAATAAAATCTATTGGCAGTTATTGCAGTATTGAAAGTTGCAGCTCTAAATTCCTGAGGTAAAATATGTTCACCCTTACCTTGGGAAATATATTCATCATGAACTCTTTTGGTTAACTCTTCAAGATTTTTATGCGTTAATTGAAAGGCCTCAACATCACTTACTGGTGCTTGTAGTATTCCACCATCTACATCATGTACATCTGGCTGGTATTTGTCATTAAATTTGAACTTGGAAAGATATTCCATCGTATCTTGACATCCTGTAGAATGTCCCATTAAAACAATCTTCTTTCTTTGGCCGCCAGTCTCAGATTTTAAATATTCAACCAAATACCCCAACTCTTTGACATCTCTGGCCAATGAAGAGACACCAAAACCCCGGTACGCAGAAGATAAAAGAACTTGGACTAAGTTCCAGCCTTGCTCCGCAACAGCTTCGGCCAATTGAGGCAAATATGGTACGTTCAATAACCCGTTTGTCAACCCGGCAATAAACACCACAACCTTGTCAGACTTTTGAGGGTACTTCTCTGGGCGGAACTCAAACGCAGTTAAGTTGGGACGGAACTCATGAACCAATCCAGGTTGAGGCTGAGCCGTTTTGTATGAAGATGCCATTGAGATAGTAAAGAATTGTGCAAATATGTTGCAACGAAAACTGTTCTGAGGGCTGTGATACTATGGAGTTTGTGTGTTGAGGTTCGTTCATGGTGGATCAAATACTAGTTACCCGGACACAAAATTTCTTAAGATCAAATTATGGTTACCCGCACCACCTACACATAGTAGGAGTATTGACAATCATTTGCCGAGTGATTCAAGTGGATTGGAGTTTAGTATGGCATTTTTCATTTGTTTGCTTAGGGGTACCTAGCCATGTGGTTATTGTTTATAAGCCACTAAATTTGAGCTAGGTGGAGTGAAGGTGTGTGTGGGGGGGGTAAAACCGATTGATACTGTTTGAAGATCTGAAACACAAGAATAAAATCTGAAACACAAACTGCAGTCCCCCAATTCCGGCGTTGCAATTGAAAGCGGACCACTTTCATTTTAATTATAACCTACCACGACCTTGTAGTCAATTGCTGCTATGATTGATATTTAGCAATTTGCAGTGATGCCCAATAAGTGTCTGTCTGATGTTGAGACGATGAAGACTGAGAGCCATACAGGATTGAGACCCCGTCAAGTGTCAAGGCAAACATTGAACAGTCTATTGAGACTTAAGCATTCATTGCTGCTGAATGAAGATGAAAAAGACCAACAGCAACGAAAGGGAATTGCTGGCTATTCATGATATGAATTCTTGACTGGGGTTAGTGCAGTTCTTTAAAGCAAAAGGTATTTTAGTAACAGTAATATGCACTGTATGTGGATTTATGTGTTTGCATACATTTCCTTATTGGTACATCATTACAGCTCAACCCTTTTTTCTTTTGTTGCATCTTGTGGAGAACAAAACACGACAACAATAACTGTAACAGACTTATGTTGTATCTAGTAATATGGTCTGAAGGTTTACAAGGTTGACGTGTGTGGTAGCACCGCTCCAGGGGTATTGTAGTTAACAACAACAATAGGAATAATAGAGTAACTATATATTATAAGCCACCTGGCTTTGTGGCATTGTCTGACTTGGAAATTTACATATATAATTCCATGATTCAAGCGTAATCACCTTTCCTGGTGAAGGTACCCAGTAAAGGATAAAGAATTTGGCGATCTGTGGTGTATATATTAATTTTGATTGACTACAATTAGCGATTCAATCTAGCCTCTCTTTTGGGTGCCATATAGTTGTTAGTACAGTTGTTGCCCTAATTGATAAGGGTATAGCCAAGAGCCGGGTTTACTTTACAACGTTAGGTAAATTCGAGTCACATAGTCTTGATTGACATATACTGTTTGGTGATAATGAATTCAGAATCTTTTTTAAGATGGGACCCAGCACAGGTATCAAACTATTTCAAAAGTATCCTTCCAGATCAAGATAAACCTTTATCGCCTGCATTTCTTGATCATAACATTGAAGGGTCTTTACTCCCCTATATGACATGTGATCATTTGAAGGAAATAGGCTTTGATACCCTAGCTACAAGGTTATTTGTTAAGAAATGTATCTCCGATTTGATTCAGCAACAGTTTCAAAGAGGTACACCGGAGCTGTTATTTGATTCTCAATACCAAAGCTCAAATCATGTAACTATGGATGCTTTACATTTGTCCAATATTTTGATAAAAGATGCTTTCAAAAGGGCAAACGTGGTTCTCCAAGATCAAATGTCGGTTTATTTATTGGATCAAAGAAATCATAAAGACAATGAAATTAAACGAATAAATGATAACTTCATCAAGTTGAAAACTGACCTTTTCCCAGTTATTAGACTCCTTAAAGATTCAAAACCTTTACCTATTCCAACTTTAGATCCCAACCATCCTCTGAATTTACCGTCGAATTCTCCAACATCAATCAATAGTTCGGGTGGCTCGAGTTTCTCATTGGACGATTACAATTCAAACTCAATATTGAATGCTAATCTCCCTTCAAGTGGTGGTGGTGGTGGTGGTGGTAGTGAGAACAACCCTCAAAATAAAGGTGCTATTGCTGTTGGACCTTCTACTGCAACTGCATATTTAGGTTCATCTGCACCCACATCGAATTCTCTGTCAAGTCAAACTGTTACAACAGCTCAAATATATACTTCTGGTTCCGGCAGTGCTATTCAACCTGCGAAGCATTCACCAGGTGGTGCAATTGTACCTCAATATGTCCCGGTCCTTAGTCGAAATGGTAGTGATCCAACAGCTGGTACTACTATGACTAATTCAAACACTTTGATAGGTGGAGGCAGTAACACACCTACTTCGATTGCAACAAGCAGTCCTACCATCTCTAACAAACGATTTAGCACAGCATCAATCTTATCAATGGGTACTGGTGCTAAAGCTGTGTATCAAGATCTGAGAACCAGTAGATCCAGATTGAAGATTGTGGAGAATCCTACACAACTGTCAAGTCCACTTGTTGTATCTACAGGTGGCTCTACAGGTGGCTCTGGAGGTCTGAATATCCATTTAAATGGTCTAGCAACAAGCACTGTTATAAATGTTAATGGAGGAGGGGTCAGCAGTACTTCGGGACATCGTCCACTATTGAAAAAGTTTGGTTCTTCGGGTTTGAATACTTCTTTAACTGGCAGCAGTGGTATGGCTTCCCCTGTGGTTACTACACCTGTATCCTCTACTGCGTCGTCAGCTGTTAATGAACCTTTAAAGCAATTGCGAGCTCTGTCAGAAGATTCGTGTTTGAAAATATTACAACAAGCCACCAAAAGACATCATATTCCTCGGGAAGATTGGTCTAAATACGTTCTTGTTATTTGCTACGGTGATAGAGAACGGATTTTGAAGTTGGATGAAAAGCCAGTGATAATCTTTAAAGAATTACAAGAGGCTGGCAAACATCCTGCAATTATGTTACGTCAATTAGCCAATATCGATGCTGAAGCTGATAACTACGGAGATGCCAGATTAGGAGAGGAAATTCCTGGGGGAACTTTGTAGTGGATTCGTCTAGTAAAGTAAGTAGTAATAGTATTTAAATAAGGGGTTTAACTATATAGGAATCACTACTGTCATAGGGTTGTAACCCTATTTATGTCACGTGTATCATTTCTGTGACTCAAGCGTCGCCTTTTTATCAATATAGAAATATATAACAAAGAGGTGTTTGTGTAACTTCAAAATAGAAAGAAATGGATGTCGCTATATACACATTTATGTCGCAAGAAATAGGAAGAAATGTCGTATTTTCCTCTTGTGGCTGGGAGAAATCTCATCACAGTAAACCCTCCCAGTTTGCAGGGCTCACCGTTGGTGAAAAATTTTTTGATAGTTCTCAATTAATATAGTACAGTCTTTTAAGAGTTCTTTTCTTTTCCTTTTTTTACTTTCCACCATCATAGAGCATATTATTACATCATGCCTCCAAAGTTCGATCCTAATGAAGTTAAGTTCTTATACTTGAGAGCCGTTGGTGGTGAAGTCGGTGCTTCATCTGCTTTGGCTCCTAAGATTGGTCCTTTGGGTTTGTCCCCAAAGAAGGTCGGTGAAGATATTGCCAAGGCCACCAAGGACTACAAGGGTATCAAGGTTACCGTCCAATTGAAGATTCAAAACAGACAAGCTTCTTGTTCTGTTGTTCCATCTGCTTCATCTTTGGTCATTGCTGCCTTGAAGGAAGCTCCAAGAGACAGAAAGAAGGAAAAGAACGTTAAGCACAGTGGTAACATTCCTTTCGATGAAATTATCGAAATTGCTAGAACCATGAAGGAAAAGTCTTTTGGTAAGTCTTTGGCTTCTGTTGCTAAGGAAATCTTGGGTACTGCTCAATCTGTTGGTTGTCGTGTTAACGGTAAGAACCCACACGATATCATTGAAGCCATCGACAATGGTGAAATTGATGTTCCAGAAAACTAAGTTTATGTATAAAAGTGTTTGTTTGATAGGGTTTTAAATTTCAAATACGATAATATTATAATCGGAAAAAGCTTTTGAAAATGATTTTACAATACTAATGTCGTCCATGGATTGATACTCATTCCTCCGAATGGAAAAATTTGTTTAGTGGATTTGTAGTGAAAAACAAATTGTGAAGTTTGCCAACACTCTGGTGCTATTTCATCTACTAATGTTAGATGCTATATTTAGTTCCTATTTTGGTGCAAACGAGAATTAAAAGCTGATTACTCACCACTGTACCCTAACAATATGGGTATGGTAGGTCCATTTCACCGGCTGAAATATCAATTCAATGACGACTAGGTTTGTAATTGTAGAGTAAGTGCGTAGGAATCAAGCATACAATCATATTCATTCGTTATGATCTTATGCGCTTTATACATTCACTGTACATTTCCCTGTGTTCACTCTTACCTTGTGCCGTGATCAACTGGTTGTGTATACGTAGAGTTATACCCAGCTGGCTGTGCTGTAGTCTTGTTCCATTTGTCCACCTACATGCTGCAGTTGCTTAGTTTGGGATTTTGTTTTTCGGGACTTGAAATGACACAAAGCCAGGTTCCATCCGGCGGTCAATCAAATCAACCCCCGCTCCACTACATCCAAACGTCCTTAGTATCAACTAACTTGCGGCAACAACCTATAAGAGAGCTTAAATCCTTTGTTGGGGCTAGAATTAGTTTAACTTCGGTATAGTTTGGAAATTATAACCATGTCGGATTCAATCGGTACGTATACAACAGATCGGAGAAGACAACTATCACTAGTATTGGTAGTAGTACACTGTTACTGTTACGGTTACTGCTACTGCCATTGATCTCCATTAGAACTGGGACAGTAGTCTAACATTATTATAGATAGAGTATTTGTCAAGGCTATTGCCACCATCAAGGCACTCTCGTCAAGATCCAATTACGGGACGCTACCGCGACCACCAGCAGAGAGTCGTATGAAACTATATGGCTTATACAAGCAAGCAACAGAAGGTAATGTAGAAGGAGTCATGCCTCGACCAATGGGGTATACCGTGGAAGATGAAGGAGCTAAGAGGAAGTGGGACGCGTGGAAACGGGAAGAAGGTTATCTGAAGACAGAAGCAAAACGTCAGTACATTAGCTATTTGATCGATACTATGCGTATGTATGCTAGCGGCACTCATGAAGCTAGGGAACTCTTGAGTGAATTGGAATTTGTATGGGATCAAATCAAAGATCTTCCTTATAATCCAGATGAAGAAACCCATATACCAATCCCCTCTCATCTGCCTCTGTTCAGTCAACTGGACAGATTCACCAATACTACTACCCCAGTACCTAATCCTCAATACAGAGATAACTTGAACAGAATTTATTCTCATTCAAGAAGATCTACGGCTTTTTCTGTTAATGAGTACAATGCTAGATTGGGTGGTCATGAAGATCCTGCTGATACGGGGGTTCCCAAAACTTCCGGTCCATTATCTGTGTTCTCATTGCCCCAAATGGAAGACGTAACTGCTGGCTTTGGTTATGGCGGTGGTGGTGGTCGAGGTCCTACACCAGGCGGTCGCAAGTCTTTTACTTCAGCTAGTCATGGACATACAGCAGCTTTAGCTGCTGGATTAGGTCATGGTGGTACTGCTCCTGTAAATGCTGCTGCTAATGCTGCTGCCGCAGTTTCTTCAGGAGTAACGGGCGCTATTCCCGCATCTGTTGAAGAATTCAAGGCATGGCAAGCTGAAATCAATTTGGCTATTAATAAACTCATGAGAGAAATTACTCAACGAAGCTCTTCTACAAGAAATAAGCATCAATTAGAACAATCAGACAGGCATGGTCCCAATTCCAATGGTGAAAATATTTCCAAATTAAAGATTCAACTTAAGAAACGTCTTTTGAGCATTGGCCGAATTCTTGGGTGGAACCTTTTGAAAATCGTTCAAAATTTCTTCTTCTCTGTGGTTGCTCTTCTCTTTATTGCATGGTGTCTTAAAAGAAATGTTGTGGTCAATCGGACAATTGTTAAATTACCTGGTGATCTGATTTCCACCAGACAGAAGAAGGAATTGGTGATAAACTTGATCCTTGAAACCTCTGAAAATAAATGGTTCATACGACTTTTAGGCTTCATAAACAAGGTAGTTGGTTTTGTATGATCCTGTCGGTATTATGAACCTAGCTAGTTCAGTTATAATTGGACATGGATTGGAAAGTTGGTATATGGATCATGTGGTCACGTGATCTATTTTCTTTTAGTTTTGTGGAACTGCTTCTTTAGGTGTCCGAAAAATTTGAGAAGCGATGGGAGGGTACCAAAGCTCATCTCCATTCAAAGGACACAGTTGGAACCACAGAGGTTACAGAATCATAAGATGGAAATACATAGGTGTCGGTTTGTAGACTATACGCCACATACAATAACGGCAACGGCTTTTTCACATGATTCAGGACTTCACCTAGGGGCTTCCAGTGAGTTGAGACTTGCTGTGGGAAGATCTAATGGAGACATTGAAATTTGGAATCCTCAACATGGATGGAAACATGAGTTGATATTGCCTGGTTCTAAGGGACGTTCTATTGAAGGTCTTGTATGGGCAGTTCAACCAAACGAAACACCTCGGTTATTTTCTGTTGGTGGGTCCACATATATTACTGAATGGGATTTGAAATCAGGTAGGCCATTGGCCAATTATGATTGCAATTCAGGTATTATTTGGAGCATTGATATTAACAAGGATAACACCAAACTAGCCATTGGATGTGATGATGGTTCTGTTGTCATTGTTGACATCACCGGAGGTCCAGGATTATTGGAGCATGACATGATTTGCCAGAGACAAAACCTGAGGGTGTTGAGCATCAAATGGGCCAATAACGAACGTTTGGTTGGAGGTTGTGCAGATGCTAGAATAAGATGTTGGAGTGCCAGTGGTGAAACCAGAGGAAGACTTACAGGCACCGCAAGAGTCGATAAATCAAAAACTGAAAGTACTCTTGTATGGTCAGTTGTCGTGTTACCAGATAAGGGACAAGTTGTTAGTGGAGATTCTACAGGATCTGTTAAATTTTGGGATTTAGAAAACTTCACCTTACTACAAAGCTTCAAAGTGCATGATGCTGATGTACTCTGTTTGACTAAAGATAGTCAACAAGAGAAGATCTTTTCTGCTGGTGTGGATCGGAAGATTCATCAATTTACTTTAATATCAACCTCTAAGAATACAAGATGGGTCCATAGTTTCAATCGATTGTTACATTCCAATGATGTCAGAACCATGTCAACTTTTGAATGCAAGGGATACAGTTTATTGGTCAGTGGAGGTGTTGAAAGAGCTATAGTTGTTCAGAAGCTTGACCAATTCCAAGATGGTAAATACAGAAAGTTGTTAATCAACCAACAACATTCAAATGTGGTTGTCAACAAGGAAAACAACCTTATTGCATTATTCCAAGATCAACAAGTCAAGATATGGAGTCTAGTTGATGAAAAGCATAAGCTAGTAGCTAAACTCACATTGGCAGATGATGAAAACATAACCAGCATTGACTTCAATAGAGATGCCAGTTTATTGGTTGTTGCAACTTTGAGTTCAATTAAAGTCTTTGAATTGTCGGTGGCATCAACCAATGGGAAGTTGAAGGTTCTGAAACTTAGGGATCTGGAGTTTTCTACTATGATTGATGGTGCCAAACAAGTAAAGCTATATGGAGGAAATAAGCTTCTTGTGTTGACCACTGAAGATGAATTATACAAGTTTGGTATTAATGAAGAGGAGCAAAAGATCACATTAGAAGGTGAAATTGAAACTGTGGCTACTGTTAAGTCTTCGCCTTCGAGAATTCAGCATTTCCATTCGATTAATAAAATGGCTATTTGGAAAGATGTTTTAGTGGTCTCAAGATTTGATGGTTCCATTGAAGTTTATTCACTTGGAGAAGGTCTTGAAAGCGATGGATATTTATTGACAAGGTTGTCAGTTACAGCCAACTTGTTAGAGTTTTCTGACGCCAATAAGTTGTTGGTAGTTACAGATGAAAACAAGCTCTACGAATTTTACATTACAAGTGATGCCAAAAATAGTAATAACAATAGTTTGCTTACAGATTGGAGTAAGAGAAATAGTGAGTATCCACCCAGACAATTTGTTCTAAGTGAAAATAGACCACAAGGAATGTTTGTTAAGGACAATAGATGCTGGATCTTTGGATCTACATGGGTTGCATTCTTTGATTTGACCTTAAATATTCCCATGACCAAGCTGAATCAAGGTGTAACGTCCAAGAAGAGAAACAGAGATGGGTTAAGTATAGGGAATGCTTCCGTTGTCGATGATCAATTGGTTGATGGAAGTAATGATGTTTATGACTCCAATAATGTTGAGCTATTAGAGCTTTCTCTCAAGCAAAGACAGATTGATAAATTAAGAAATGGTGAAGATGATGACGAAAATGACGGTGTTAAAGATAAAATTCCATTTTGGTTTACATCAAAGTACAGGCCCATTATGACAGTAGGCGATTTTGGTGATGATTCCATTCTCATAATTGAAAGACCTCAATTGATGTTACCCAATACTGCAGCATTCAACCTCCCCAAGTTGAACTTTTAAAACAGAAACAATATCATTGAACAAAATATAAACTACAAAATAATACCTGATTATTTTAACCAATTCTGGGTACAACTCTGGCACCTTGAAAGAAGCATCTAGCAGCAGCACCACAACCCATTAAACATTTCTGGGAGTTCCCGTTGGAATCACAGTCTTCAGATTTCAACCCAACATCCTTTTTCCCCTCAAAGTGGTCGATATATTTCTGCTTATTCTCGTTGTACGTTTTATGGGGTTCAAAGCTTTGAATATACAATTGGTCTCTGGGGTCTCTGGAATATTCATAAAACATAATCAAATGTCTTTGGATCTCTTCATGGATCTTGTCTGGCAATTCTGATGGAGCTTCTTGTCCCATATAAAGCAAATAATCTGCCAACCCTTCAATGAGCAATTGCACGAAATAAGAGGAGTCTCTCCAATATCTCTTGTCCATGGGGTAATCTCTATCATATATGGTAACGTTTCTATCGATAACTGTCTGAGCCAATTGAGTGGCTATCTGCTTCCATTTGTCGTCTCTGGTTATGAAATATAAATGCGAAGCACACGACAATGTCGTACCTGCGTTATAAGACCATTTAGCATCATCAACCTTATCCAGTTCTTTATGTACTCCATCCATAATTAATTTATCCTTGGGATCTTGTAAGACTTTGATCTGCCAGTCAATGCATTTGGCGGCAAAGTCAATGTAATGTTGCGCTTCATTGGGGATAAACTTGGAAATCTGTAAACAACATTTTGCGACTTCTGCGGTGGTACAAGCATTTAAATATGTTTTAGATACATGCCACAAGACCCCCCCCTTGGTAACCGCATGAGGATCATCATTCCAACCTCCCATTAAAAACCGCACCAATTCTCTACCTTGATCCAAATACCGCTTATCTCCCGTCACTTCAAACGCCGTAAGCATACAACTGGCAACTTGCGCATCATCATCATAATAAATATCCTTGTCTGCCCCTCCATTTTCCGCAGCGGAAAAACCCTTCATCTGCGTGTTCTTGTACTTCTGGAAAATCCGGATACTGGGTTCAATCAACGGGATCATCTCAGGGTAAATCCGTGCACTATCAACCACGGCTTGAACGGCTACCGCTACGGCCCATATAACAAACCGGTCGTCGTTGTAACACCCATTGCATTTCTGGGGAGCGATAAATGTGCCTTTCAGTGGGTTGTAGTACTTCATCCACATGTTTCGTACGACATTGTACCCTTCAAGAGTCGGGTTGGTCAATGGCATGGTGTGCTGTGGTGAAAATGGAGTTCAGTTTCACCAGTAAAGGGGTCTCACTATAGACATATATAATTGTCGTGAAATTGAGTCGTGTGTGGCACAGATGGATGTGATGTCATTTATAATGGACACCTGCCACTGCCACTGCCATCTACATCTTCTTGCTATCTTCACATGCAGTACTTTCTTATCATTGCCATAAGGTGTATGAAATCAGTTACGTGGTGAGTCAAAGTTTGATTACGGTGCATAGTAAAACTAATTAGATGTTCCATAAATTATTACTATGGGCCTACTTATACTAAAGTTATTGGTATTCTTTACGAGTCACTTATGTCATCATCAATGTCGCGGTCGTGCGCATACCATAAAACTACTGTAGGCTCTCCTAATTAATTAACAATTTATCTCTAGTGATATACTTCTATGGTACAAAATTCCTTAACGACGTTTAAGCCACAGTTCTATTGGCAGTGGAGAAGTCTGCAGATTCTCCCTTCAATGGCTTTCTAGCAACATACAACATCATTGGGGTGAATAACTTCTTTTCACCACCAGCAACCAAATAAACAGCAGCTTGTTCTAAAGCATTGGTAACTTCTTTGGATCCAGCAGGTGCTAAACCAATCTTTTCCATCAAGCCAACAGTTTCAGTAGTAATCTTTCTGCCTAACCATGAAGTTCTGAAAACAGTAGCAATATCTCCTAAAGTTTGAATATATTTCCAGTTACCAGCTAATGGGTAGTACCATGGAATATCATCATCCTTGTCGGCCATATCTTGTTGGTATTCAATTTCAAACCCAGCATTCTGTAAAGCCTTTTCAGCAACTTCTCTCTTATACATTTTGGGGATCCCGTCACCAAGTTCAATACCATATGCAATAGCACGATGTTCCTCGTTGGTTTCATCATAAGCATCAGTCATGACCCATTCATAAACACCGAAAACTCCACCAGGCTTCAAAACCTTGTAGATTTCAGAGTAAACACCCTCCAAGACTGGGGCGTGGACAGTGGCTTCGATGGCATAAACAGCATCAAAAGTTTCTGGTTCAAAGTCCATTTTCATAAAGTCACCCTTGACATATGATAACTTGTGATCCAACTTATACTTTTTGGCATAAAAGTTGGCTCTTTCAATTTGATAATCATTGTTGTTCAAACCAACAATCTCACAATCAGTAAATCTACAAATTTCTCTACCGGGTCCACCAACACCACAACCAACATCCAAAACCTTCATGTCTTCGTGGATGTTCATCTTGTGGGCCAAGTAGTGTTCGTGTCTAGCAGTAGCTTGTCTGAAAGCTTCGCCCTTATAATAACGAGAAAAGTGGAATGAAGAACCCCAACCGTACTCGTAGAAATCAGTGACCAAGTTGTAGTAATGGTGTGTTAATTGAGAGTAATCATCAAGTCTCTTCTTTTCATCTTCCTTACCAACTTTACCATCCCAGTGCTTAAAGTATCCATCGGTAGCAATAGAGGAAGCATCCTTGGACTTGGCCATCAAAGCAAATAAACCCTTCTTCTTGTAACTTTCACCGTGCATGGCTTTGGTGAAGTCCTTATCTCTGGTGAAATCCTTCAGCTTGGTGGAATCTTGTTCTGTGACTGGCATTATTGTGTGTATGTAATGATGTCAAATTAGTATACGAATAAACTGGGGACTGTTGAAATCCTTTTTATTATGGAAAATGCCTCTTTGTCCAATAAATTCTAAAGGTGAAATATTTGTCAAGCCTTTTATATTCCAATGGTGTTAATCGTGTGTGTTTTGTGTCAGATCTTCACCTCGTTCCCTCGTATAGGCCAGTAACCATAAACGAAAACCAAAATAAACGCGACGTGGGTGTGCACATTGTTTGGCATCTACGCTGTACATGCAGGATGAAAATGCATCTCGTTCCTGCTATCACTTATTTGAAAGGTAGCGGGATAATATTATGTTCCATGCGTATGTGGAACTTAAAACTGAATCCGGCAACCAGTTCCGGTTGGATCAAGTTGCAATTGTAGTTGCAGTCGTAGTTGCAAATTCTCATGCTTCATTTACCTCTTAGTTAGACTCACTGATTATCCACTACTACTACTGGAATGAACTTCTTCTTCGACACGGACATCAACTTCGATATTGTTAGTACCATTTTCAGTTCCATGAATGGCTTCTATGCCTCCGTCACTAGTTTGTAAATGCTCGGCCGCTTCTGTTTCCTTTGCATCTTCTGCATCTTCCATCGCGATATCGTATTCGACTTTTTCCTCTTCGTATAACAATTTATCAATTCGGTCTAAAGTCCTCTCCATTTCTAGGTCTGCATCTGTTTTGGGTTGCACATCCTCTCTCACTAGCTGATTCTCACCTTCTTCTTCTTCTTCTTCTTCTACTTCTTCTTCTTTATCCTCCTCTGGGTTCTCTTCCTTTTCACTATTTAATCCAGTATCAGCTTCCACATCTGGTTCAAGATCAATAATCAGTACTCCAGCAAGTTCTGCTTTTCTTTCCAATTGAGCTACAGCCAAGTCAATGGATTCGCAAAATGCTTGCATGTTCTTGCGGTTGTGCTTATCGTAAGTTCCCAAAGTATCGTCATAGATGATCAGTTTGGTTGCATTCAAAGATTGCTGGAGTGACTTCATCCCTGGGAGGGTGATATTATCACCAAAAAAGAGCTTTCCCAAAGAGTTGACAACTGCTTTCTTTGCACTTTTACTTGTATCCTTGTCATCTAATATTGAAAGCATTGATGCACAGAGCAATAAATGACTGGATGATTTGTTGGCATCTTCAATTGACACATTAACAATGTTTCTAGGATCACACCATTGAATCAATTGCAGAAGTACTCTAGTAGGTGCTAATTCGGTAATTCGTTTCTCGTCCCCTTCCTTGTATTCATCCTTTTTGGTCCTCCTATTTCTCTTTTTCTTTCTGCCTCCTTGTTGTTGCTCTTCTTCTTTATCATCGTCTATTACCTTCTCCTCAATGACTTCACTGGGAAAAAGTCTAAAGAAGCAATCACCACATAATTGTGCAATACGCATTTGATGTGTGGTATAACTAAAGGCATACACGGGTATGCAGAAACTTAAAGTTTGCCGTAATTCCTCATTAACTCCTGTGTGGGTTCTAAAATATGTAATCACCAACGATTCAAGTAATTGAAGCTCGTGCTCATTGCCCAAATCAACTTCTTTGTTAGTCTCTCCAAATATATCTGCAAGAAATAATTTACAAATACCACCGGCCACAACTGCTTGCAATTTAGGCATTGTGTCGTCCTTAAGATTTCTAAAGAAACTCCTGGCAATTTGAAATCCTATATCTTCCTTTTCCAATCCAGACACACCGTAACTGGATAAAATATCCACAATGGCTTTAAAGCATATAATCCTAATGGATTCAGGGGTATCCTTTAGCTTACGTAAAAACATGTCAAAGTTATCCTTTGCACAAGACTTATCAAGTAAACAGAATAAACCTAGGCACTCAAGACCCAAAGCATAGATATCAGCTATATCAGATTGACGTAAAGCATAGTTAACCAAGCTGAACCTAAGCGAAGAAAGAGAAGTATCTTGTTCCAATGGTGTTTCAATTAGTTCCAAAACGTGCTTTGTGATTTTGAGACAACGAAGAGCGATTTCTTCATCAATTGTGAATGGGGTTTCCACCTTTCTTTTCTTTTTCAAATGACTGGAACCTTCCTCATCTTCAGAAGACGAATCTTCATCAAAGCCATCATGTGCTGAATGGAATGTGTCCTCGGCATCATCTTGTGCACCATCATCCAAAATATCATTGACAATTTCAGTACACATGGCAGCAAAATCCCTTTCATGATAAGATATCCTTTTCAAAACACGTAATGTAACTTCCACTAACTTTTCCGAAAATGCTTGTCCAGTCAAATGGTTCCTTAATAATTGCTCTCTAATGACTTTCAACATCTCACGTCTTCCTACTTCGTCTCCAAAATCAAAGTCTGCAGCAATAAGTAATAAATTCTCGATAATGAAATTCACATCATCTAGACTTTCATTATACTCTACCAATTTCTGGTTTTGCATACTATCTGAAAGTGTAATCTCTATCTCATTATTGATATTATCAAAATCAAGATCTAAATCAGTTAGTTTAATTTTTAATTCATTTCTTTGGCCTTTGACTTCTTCGACTTTTTCATTGACATCCTTTAACGCCTTTTTGGCACTCTTTGATTCGCCATGCAATTGTTCTGGTGTGAATGAAAGAAAGTAATCTTCTTCGCTGGGATCTTCATCACCAGCTTGTAAAGGAACTCTATCAGCTAATCCAGTCCTTAACTTATACAATCGATCTTTTATCTCTGTAATATATCCATTAATATGGTCTATTTCAGTAGATAATTCCACTAAAGTTTTCTTCAACTTCTCACGATCAGCTAATGCTTTATACATTCTTGCAAGCATTTGGCTTCTTGTATTCCTAAATTGCCTTAATCTTTGATTTTTTGTTGCTATTAGTGAGCTTGCCTCTTTATCTGATTCAATTTGTTTCATTCTAACCTCTAGGTACTTTCCAAGCACAACAGCTAGCTCTGCAGATTCAGGATATATGGAGTCTATCATCTCATACAAGTTATTTTTATCACAATATGTATAGAATGTTCTTAAAATAAACACTCTTTCGACTGTTAACAGTTTCAAGTTGATTTTATCAATGTTAAGCAGCCCTAGAGTTTCGTGACTTGCTTTGTAAATATTCTGCATTGTGAGTTCTGCAACTTCGCTTTTGGTTACATTAAAAGCACCTACCAATTCTTCTAGATCGTTCCCCACAGCAGTGTACCAATCTCCGGTAACCAACTTTAGAGATGCCCTAACTACCAGTTCGTCTCTATCATTAAAACTCCAAGTCAATAGCTGTTCACGTTCCTTGTTGGTTAAAACTGAATACCCTCCTAACTCTTTCAATAATCTTGTAAAGACTAAACGTCTATTTATACCATTTAAGTCTCGTGCCCTTTCTAACAAATCGGGAATAGTTGATTTATCCCTTTTAAGATTTATAAGGGCTGCTCTTCTAACTTCTGCAACCTCATCACATCTCATTGCTTTTTTAACTTCTTCAGTGATTAAATCATTCTTATCTTCATCTTCAATATCATCACCTTCTATACTTTGGAAACGAGATAATGCTACTATGGCCTGGATTCTTACAATTGACTCCTTATCCTTTAATCTTGCAATTAATACTGCTCTTAAAGCTTGGTAAACTTCATGGTCAATCTCCTGTAATTGAATAATCAAATATCCCAACAATTGAACCACCCGAAATCGTACATTCTTATCCTTGGAATCAACACCCCGCAATAAGTGGAGGACCATATAGTTTACAAATCTAGACACCAGATCCTCATCATACTTGGTTGTGGTGATGGTTTGACCACCACCCCCCTCAGCATTCAAAGCTCCCACAAACACCGCCACATATTTGGCAATTCTATCAGCTGCTCTCTCACCCTTTTTCAACCCTAAACTCTTGTTTATCAACTTAGTGAAGTGGAATCCAAACGAATCAAGTAACCCGATCTCCACAGACTTGTTAAACACAAGTCCAAGCATAATAACAAGTTTCCGATGACTTGAAGTTGTATGTTGGGCTTCTTGGAATAGTGTGGCCATTGCATTCCTTAAACTGTCAGCATCAACAATGCCTGCCACCAAAGGTGGAACCGGTTTTTCTTTCCTTCTGGCCATAACGGGAAACTTATTAGTTGGTGGCGATTCAGTCCAAATACTTTGGGTGTTTCTGGACCACCTTTAAAAGAATAATGTTATGTTTGGTTAAAGAAGGTTTGCCTTGGATCTCAAATCAAAATAGACCCTACATATAAAGGAAGAGCCAAACAACGCGCAAAGCACTGCAAAAATAAAAAGTAATGTGGAGGAGAGAAAAAATATAATGAGCAGTACGGGAATCGAACCCATGTCACCCGCTTGGAAGGCGAATATGCTAGCCACTACACCAACTGCCCGCTCGTTGTTGAAATAAGTTTTTGATATTCCGAATGTTGCTGGACATGTTAAAGTGTATTGTTTTGGTTTTCCCACGAATATGTGGTATCATTCAGCAAAAAGAGAAAGGGTAGCGCTTTTAAGGTTGTATACCTTGGATGTGGTTTCGATGAACACATGATATCCTTAACAAAAAAATAGTACGGAAGGTTGTCTAGGTATATTAAACGTATTAACTATCTTATCTGTTTAAATTGAAAGCATCTGTTTCCATTCAGCTTGTACCTGGAATACTGTGTAGCTGTTACTTTAATTCATTAAACTGAGAGTTGGTAAAAGTGTAGCCGTAGACTATAATATTCTAATATAAAGTCTGTTTAATTCATAAAAACAAGAAGGTGGATATTCGTCCTTACAGTAATAGAAAACGGCCATATTTACCTTTACCTTTACAGGTAAGCCCAAGTACCTTCAAAGAATATGTTAAGCTTTCCAAAACTAAAAAATATAATGAGCAGTACGGGAATCGAACCCATGTCACCCGCTTGGAAGGCGAATATGCTAGCCACTACACCAACTGCCCAATTGGTTGTTTATTTTTAAGTTTTTTCAAAATTCCGATGTATGGAGAAGCGTAAAAACAAAAGTGGTGTTCCCACGAATATGTCGTATCTTTCAAAAAATAAAAAATATGAGCAGTACGGGAATCGAACCCATGTCACCCGCTTGGAAGGCGAATATGCTAGCCACTACACCAACTGCCCAATTGTACGCTAAATATCTTTTGGTGATTTTTGTTATTGTTTTAGCAAATATACACCCTAACATCAAAAGTTTATTGTCGAAGTGAAAGGGCTCAGATTTAAGTGGAATAGGACGTACTAAAAAATAAATATATATGAATAGTTGTTTATCACGTCGTATTCTCTATAATGAGCATGCTAAAGTGAAGAAAAAAATAAGAATACAAAGTATGGCCATGCACACACAATACGACAGTTTTTCATTTCTGTATGGAGAGCACCGTACGGAATACCATTGGAATGAAAAAGGCTTGTATCTTGGTAGTTTCAAATACTGTTCAAAATCTTTGTAATACAATATACCATAGATATTTTGTAACTCTGCAAAAGAATGGACTTTAAACTGAAATGCACTATCTCCTAAGGTACATTTCCATAGTGTAGGTTATGGTTCTGAATGTATTGCTTTCTAAAATAAAGAAGTACATACTAAGTTCTTCTAAATCCACAAAACTTATTAATAGAGATTCAACCTTAATAATCTTTGGATTAATACAAATTTACAATATGCACAAATAGAATGTACTTCTTGACATGGACAATGTGTTTTAGCCAAGTAGTATCCAATTCCTATGAAAAGGATTGAAAAAGTAGCTATCATTGAATAATAGTCATACATGTACCTTGGAGTACACCAAAGTGAACCCAAATATTAAAGCAATCAAGGAGCAACTACATAAAGGCTTTTTCATACTAGTTCTGTTAAGCAATGTATATAGTACCAAAGAAATAGGAATGTCGTTCAAACAAAGATACAGACAAATAAATCGACTACAAGAAAATATAGAAAGTAAAACCATGTTATTACAGGAAGTATATCATATAAATATTAAATACTACTTTTGCCTACATCAGAACCTTAATGCAACTCTAACGTACAATCTAAATGGGTGCAAAAAAAATGTATAGCATTAATTATGATAAAACGGTAGCGCTCACCCCCCTTCACTATTGTGTAACAGGGAGAGTTGATGCTCATCTCATTCAAAAAAACCATCCACTATAACAATACTTTTACCACTACTCATTACACTTATACATATTATTAGGCACAATGGGTAAGACTAGAAGAGCTGCTATCTTGCCTACCAACATTATTCTTCTTCAGAATGTTGTGAAACGTGATCCCGAATCATATTACGAAGAATTCAAAGAACAATTACGCCACTATGAATCTCTTAGAGATATCTTTTTACTTAATCCTCAAAATACTGAAGCATCTAACCAATTTGCAGATTTAATAGGTTTTGTTTCTGCCGTGTGTCTGTGCTATCCCAAAGATACTGCCAACTTTCCTCAAGATTTACGGGACATTTTAACTCAAAACCACAGAGATTTAAACCCAGATTTAAGAGAGAAGATAATTCTGTCACTTGTTATGTTGAGAAATAAGAATGTCATCACCGCAGAATGGTTGATACAAACAATCTTCCCACTTCTAACAGCTTATAGTGCTAGTACCACGGGGCAAAACGTCAAGCTGTTGAGACATCAAATATATTCCACTTTGGTTCAATTATTAAAATCGGTGAATACTGGTGCTAAGAATCAAAAGTTGAATAGATCCACACAAGCGCTACTTTTCAATCTTTTAGAACAAAGAGATTCTCATGGTCTTTGGGCTACCAAGTTGACCAGAGAACTTTGGAGAAGGGGGATCTGGGATGATTCTCGTACAGTTGAATTAATGACTCAAGCGGCTTTGCATCCAGATGTCAAAGTGTCTGTGGCGGGTGCTAAGTTCTTTCTTGGTGCCGACAAGGAACGTGAAGAGAACTTTGAAGAAGATTCTGACGATGAAGAAGGTTTTGATATGAGTGCTTTAAGACATAAAATGCAAGTGAATAAGAAATCTCTGAAACGGGGTAAAAAACTTGAATCTGCCGTTAAGCTGATGAAGAAGAAGAACAAGGCGGGCCATTCAGCAACTTATTTGAACTTCTCCGCTATTCATTTATTACGTGACCCTCAAGGGTTTGCCGAACATATGTTTGACACACATTTGAGTAGTAAAAACGCAAACAAGTTCAATTTGGAACAAAAGATCATGTTTATGAACTTGATTTCTCGGTTAATCGGTACCCACAAGTTGACTATATTGGGGATGTATACCTTTTTCTTGAAATATTTGACTCCAAAGCAACGTGATGTGACCCAAATTATGGCCGCTGCTGCTCAAGCATCCCATGATCTTGTTCCACCAGAACAAATCAATATCGTTGTGCGGAAGATTGCAGACGAGTTTGTTAGTGATGGTGTTGCAGCAGAAGTTGCTTCTGCTGGTATAAATACCATTAGAGAGATTCTTTCTCGTGCTCCACTTGCTATCGATGCTCCATTATTACAAGATTTGGTGGAATATAAGGGTTCCAAAGCTAAACCGGTTATGACAGCCGCAAGATCATTGCTTGCCTTATATAGAGAAGTGGCACCGGAAATGCTTGCTCGTAAGGACCGTGGTAAGACAGCTACTATTGAGATGTCTCTGGGAGATGGCTCTAACTTGCCCCAGTTTGGTGTTGAAGGTACCACTGTAACTGGCATTCCAGGTCTTGAGTTGTTGGCCAAATGGAGAGAGGAGCAAGGTTTGAAAGGGGCTGACGGGGAAGATGACGAAGCCAATTGGGAAGTTGATTCAGAAGATAATGCCAGTGATGTTGAAGGTGAATGGGTGACTGTTCAATCTGACGTTGAATATGAAATTTCTGACTCTGACGATGATGAAAGTTCAAAAAAGAGGAAGCGAGAAGAAGACGACGACGACGATGTAAAGGAAGACGCAGAAAAAGACGAAGAGGTATCTGATTTAGAATTATCCGATGAAGAAGACGAAGAAGAAGACGATGACGAAGATGACGAAGGAGAAGGTGAAGCAACAAAAGGTGGCGACGGGAAATTACTTTCTAAGAAGGCTAAGAGACAACAAAAGAAGATTGATGAGAAACTTCGTCTGGTTAAACGAGTTAAGGTTAGTGTGATCCAAGAGAAGAAGGAAGCCGAAAGATTGGCAGCCGAGAGGGCCATGAACGAAATACTTTCCAGTAAGATCTTGACGCCGGCTGATTTCGCCAAGTTGGAAGAGTTACGCACAGAAGCTGGTTTGGTGAAGGCAATGGGTGGTAAACAAACCAATGAAGAAGAAGTTGATTCGACTACTTTGGTTGGTAAGATGAAGTACAAACAATTACGTGAAGAAAGAATTGCCCATGCCCAAGAAGGTCGTGAAGGTAGAGAGAAGTTTGGTAGTCGTAAAGGTAAGCGTGATGTTGCTCATTCTACTACTAACAGAGAGAAGGCTAGAAAGAAGAACTTTGTTATGATGATCCACAAGCGTGCTGTTCAAGGGAAGGCAAAACTTTCTCTTAGAGACAGACAAAAGGTTTTGCGTGCCCATATCACCAAACAAAAGAAGAAGGGTTATTAGCACCAGCGTACAATATAATATAACAATATAATAAAATGAAATAAAAATACATAGTAAAACATAAAGAAGGAAAACAGATCAATAACATTACTTTTCTGTCTTCTTCTTCTTTTCAGACTTTTCAGTCTTCTTCTTCTTTTCAGTCTTTTCAGTCTTCTTCTTCTTTTCCTTAGCCTTTTCCTTGTTCTTCTTCTCCTTTGTAGGGACCTCCACTTCTTCAATATCAGTGGCAACAGTACTATCAGGTAACTCCTTTGCTACGTCAGTCTCAACCCGAGGTTCTTCACCAGGCTCTTGAACAATCACGTCATACTCTGGATTATTCTCGGTTGCTGCTGCTGCTGCTGCTGCTGCTGCTTCTGCCGTTTCAGTGGCAGCTTTGGTGGCAACATATTCTTCCTTACGGACATGGTAACCCTTCATTTCATCAGCATATTCCTTTTGCATTTGTGCTTTGACCAGTGGCTCAACAGCTTCCCATTCCTTTGTAATAAAGTCATTGACTTCAATAGCTGATAAGTTTGGAAGACCTTGCTTCTGACGTTCTTGTCTGAGCTTTTCTCTCAAAGCAATGGAATACTTGAAGAAAATGGTCAAAGGTTTCTTGGGCTCGTTAGGATCACGTTCCCTCTTAACTCTCTTCTTCTTTGGTTTTGCTTCTGGTTCCGCTTCATCTTCAGCAACTGGCTTTTCGTCAGAGGTAGGTGGTAATGATGGAGTCTCTTCGGTTGCTGCTTCAGCAACGACGACTTTCTTTGCTCTTGGTTTACGGGCCTTTGGAGCAGGTTTAGCTTCAGTATTGGCGGTGGTGGTGCTCATGGTAGTGCTGGAATCGCTTGAAATCGAACTTTTATCAACTGGAGTAGCAACAGGTGCAGCAGGTGCAACAGGGGCAGATTCTGTAACCTCAGACGTGACTTTGACAGTCTCTTCGTTTTCAGGATGGGCCCTCTTACGACTCCGAGGTTTAGGAGGGGGTTTGGTAGCATTGGTGGTGAATTGTTGAAGTGTAGTAGCGAGACTTGCAAGCAGGCTTGAAGTCAAAGTAGTAATAACAGGGTCAACAGTGCCTGATGCACCAGTTTCTTCTACCGCCTTATAGAAGTTGACGGTAGCATTGGCCGCTTCCTGAGCGGCCTTGCTGAGTTCGAACAATGAAGCCACAAGAGTATCCTTTGATGCTTTTAAATCAGTCATGGCTGTGGTTGTGTACGGTTCCAAAACTGTTGTCGTGGTAGAAAAAGTAAATACAGCTAAATCAAAACAAAACCAGTCGAGTCGACGTGGAAATCGGTCCAAAATTTTCTTCCTCGTCGAGCGAGCGGGATGTGTTGATACCCAGGATCGACAAACTATTAAGTCGATACGACAGGCACAGCGCGCGAGAAAAAAAAAACGGTTTTGTTTCCTCACCACCGGAGGCGAAAAAAACCAGCAGGTGTGCCCACCAAACGGTACAACCATTTTGGCTCGAGCGAAAATGTGGCAGCGCAGCCTAATTTGGAAAATTTCGTTGTGTTCCTTTTGTTCCCTCCTAGCAAAGGGTGTCGCAGTAAACCGGTACAAAACAATCTCCTTGATGAACATTGTCTCTTACAAACTTAATGAAACTGAAGTAGACGACATTCTTAACAATTCTCCAAGATTATGCATTTGTATTCTTAGGGGTTATCACACGATAAGAATGCGGAGCAGTTACAACTACCCAAAATTGTAGTTTCACATTAGTGACACTTAATCTGTCATCGTGACCTAAATTCTTTCTCACTGTTTTAGTCCAGTTAAGGTTTACCTGGAGCCAATGTAATACGCTTACACTCCAAAAAGTTATTGTAATTAAATTACGTCAGTATCATAGCAGCATAAGAGTAACTTGACAACCGAGTAGTATGACTGCTTTTCCGTACAAATCTGATGGTATAGGGGAAGTAGTTCGTACTACGTTTACTCCACTATTCGTATTGGTCCCCCCGACGGGAGCTCTTAAGTTCATTCCATGCCGCAACCAACTATATACAGTACTATACAACACCAAAGATATATAAAGATGAAAAGAAGGGACCAGGTATCAAAGCAACAACACAGCTAGAGGCATTTTTGATCGTATGATACGACTGCAGATCAATTGAGTTAGTTATTTTGAATCGTCTATATTTCCAATGTCTCTCATCAAGGAGGTACCTCGTTTGGCCGCTAAATATGCAGTGGCTTGCCCTGGTCAAGGATACATTAGACCTCAAGGCTATTTAACCCCATACAAACAGTACAAGAAGGAGATTAGTCCTATTCTAGAAGAGATCGACGAGTCCCTTGGGTTCAAGTTCACAGATCACCTATTTGAAGAGAACCCTGATACGAATAATGTTTTCTTTAGGCACACCAGTAATGCTCAACCAGCTATAGTTGCTACAACATATGTGATCCACCAACTCTACGAACAAATCTACGGAGTCAACTTGGCCAAGGGAGCATCATTTCTCTTGGGACACAGTTTAGGTGAATATTCTGCCTTACTATTGAAAGGATCACTTACCTTCTCTCAAGTGCTACAATTGGTTAGGAAACGAGGTGAGCTTATGGAGAAAATGTTTCCCTCAGAAGAGTATGGAATGTATGCAGTGAATCTTCGTCCTGCCAACTTTGAAAAAGTATTGGAGATCGTACAAGGGCTCGGGGTATTGGCAAATATCAATGGGAAATTCCAGCTTACACTTCTGGGTCCATTGGATAGTGTAGAAGAGTCAATAAAAGATCTTACCAATCAGAAGCTAATCATTAAAGGTGTAAAGTTGCCAGTAACTATACCTTTCCATTCAAGTGTCTTAGCACCAATTGAATCACATTTATTGGATTTGGTCAACCTGTTCCCTAAGTTCCCAGAAGCTCTGCCTGATCCTCCATACATCGTTAGCAACTTGGCTGGTCATACTTTGGGTCCAGATACTCTGACGGAGATCGGATCCACCATTGCTGCGAATCTGAAGCCTGTGCAATGGCTTGCATCTTTGGAAAACTTACTGCGCGACGGAGTCACCCAAGTTTTGTGTTTGGGTCCAGGTAAACCAGTCCATGGACTTGTACTGAAGAGTGGACTTTTTGAAACTTTCTATGTCGATGCTGATGCTTAAGAGTATTAAAATAGTAACACGACGGTATTACAACTTGTCGTATGCTTTCAGATCATTGAAACGAAAAAATTAAAATAAAGTAGATCAGAAGAAGTCAAAAAAAGGACACTACTAACGTAAAATTTGATTGGACCAAATTCGTATCTTATCAATAGGACAAACACTGTTTTATACAATTTATTACCAAGACTCTTCAAGCTTGACTCACGTACAAGATACTGATTTAGTTTGTAAAGAATCTATGAGAAACACACAGCGACATTAATTTGTTCCACATGTTCTTCACGGCCATCACCGCGTGTTACATGTGAGTTACAACATGGTGGGCCACTGCGCTTTGACCGAGTCAAGAATAATTTTGCGAGATTGCCACTATATACAGGCTCGACGTCTGGGGAAAAAATCAACGCACCCTTTGGTCGTATGGCTCAAACGTATAAAAAAACCATTCAAGTATCGGAGTTTTTCACAACGGTACGAGCGAGACTTCAAGGACTATTCTTGTTAAAGCAATACTTTGGAGATGTCTTTGATCGATGGAAAGGCTGTTGCCGCCGAATTAAGAGAACAGATTCACGGACAAATCAGTGAATTCCAAGCCAAACATGCTGATTTCATGCCCAACTTAAAGATCATACAAGTTGGTGGTCGTCCTGACTCTGCCACCTACGTGAAGATGAAACTCAAGGCTGCCCAAGAAGCTGGTATCCAATGTGAATTGATCAACTTGCTGGAAGACGTTACCGAGTTTGAGGTCTTAACATTGCTCGAACGTTTGAATGAAGATAGTGACGTTGATGGTGTTCTTGTGCAATTACCCTTGCCTGCTCATTTAGATGAAGTTAAGATCACCAACGCTGTCAGTGCCGACAAGGACGTTGATGGTTTTGGTCCTTTCAATGTGGGTGAATTAGCCAAGAAGGGTGGCCAACCTTTGTTCTACCCTTGTACTCCAAAAGGTATCATCTACTTGCTTGAAAAATATCAAGTTCCAATTGCTGGTGCCAATGCAGTTGTTCTCGGCCGTTCTGATATTGTTGGTAAGCCAGTCGCTAACCTCTTAACCCGTGACAATGCCACTGTCACTGTGTTACACTCCAAGACTCCTGTCGAACAAGTTCAATTGCACTTGGGCAATGCTGACATTATTGTTGCTGCCATTGGTCAACCTGAATGGGTTAAGGGTGAATGGATTAAACCAGGTGCTGTCGTCATTGACGTTGGTACCAACTTTGTTGAAGACTCTACCAAGAAGAGTGGTTCTCGTATGGTTGGCGATGTTGAATTTGCTGCTGCCTCCACTAGAGCTAAATTGATTACCCCAGTCCCCGGTGGAGTTGGTCCAATGACTGTCGCATCTCTTTTGGATAACGTTGTTATTGCTGCAAAGAACCACTACCAAAAGTCAAACGCTACCCCCAAATTCACCAATCCATTGAAATTGAACTTGGAATCTCCTGTACCAAACGATTTTGAAATCAGTCGTAAGCAAACCCCCAAGCACATTACCGATGTTGCTGCTGAAGCCGGTATCTTGGACAGTGAATTGGAACCTTTTGGATCTTACAAGGCCAAGGTTTCCTTGAAGTTGTTGAACCGTTTACAAAACAAGGTCAATGGTAAGTATGTCTTGGTCACCGGTATTACCCCAACTCCATTGGGTGAAGGTAAGTCCACCACTACTGTTGGATTGGCCCAAGCATTAGGTGCCCATTTACAAAAGAATGTTTTCGCCAATGTTAGACAACCAAGTATGGGTCCTACTTTCGGTATTAAAGGTGGTGCTGCTGGTGGTGGTTACTCTCAAGTCATTCCTATGGATGAATTCAACATGCACGTTACTGGTGATATCCATGCCATTGGTGCTGCCAACAACTTGTTAGCTGCTGCTATTGACACCCGTATGTTCCACGAAAACACTCAAAAGGATGGTCCATTATACCGTCGTTTAGTCCCTGCAAAAAAAGGTGTTAGAACATTCCCTAAATGTATGTTACGTCGTTTGAACAAGTTAGGTATTGATAAAACTGATCCAAATGATTTGACCGAAGAAGAAGTAAGCAAGTTTGTTAGATTAGACATTGATCCTGAAACCATCACCTGGAGAAGAGTTGTTGATTGTAACGATAGATTCTTAAGAGGAATCACTGTTGGTGAAGCCCCAACTGAGAGAGGTATGACTCGTTCCACTGGATTTGATATCACTGTTGCTTCTGAATGTATGGCTATATTAGCCTTGTCCAACTCTCTTGAAGATATGAGAGAACGTTTAGGTAACATGGTTGTTGCCAGTTCTAAATCTGGTGTTCCAATTACTTGTGAAGACATTGGATGTGCAGGTGCCTTGACTGCTTTATTGAAAGATGCTATCAAGCCAAACATTATGCAAACATTAGAAGGTACTCCAGTTTTTGTTCATGCTGGTCCATTTGCTAACATTTCTATTGGTGCGTCATCTGTTTTGGCCGATAAGATGGCTTTGAAGTTGGCTGGTACATCTCCTGATTTGACTGCCGAAGAAAGAAAGGAACAAGAAGGTTATGTTGTGACCGAAGCCGGTTTCGATTTCACCATGGGTGGTGAAAGATTCATGAACATCAAATGTCGTTCCAGTGGATTAGAACCTGATGTCATTGTTATTGTTGCAACCGTCAGAGCCTTGAAGGTTCATGGTGGAGGTCCTGAAGTCAAGGCTGGAGCACCATTGGCTGCTGAATACACTCAAGAGAATTGTGAATTGTTAAGAGCTGGTTGTGCCAACTTGGGTAAACATATTGCTAATGCTAAGGCATATGGCTTGCCAGTAGTCGTTGCTATCAATAAGATGAGCAGTGATAGTGACCGTGAACACGCTATCATTCGTGAAGAAGCATTGAAAGCTGGTGCTGCAGACGCTATTGTTTCTAACCACTGGGAAGAAGGAGGCGCAGGTGCCGTAGACTTGGCCCGTGGTGTTATAAACGCTTGTAACAGTCCTGAAAGAAACTTCCAATTCCTTTACGGATTAGAACCAAGTGTGGAGGACAAGATTTCTGTTATCGCCAAAGAAATGTACGGAGCTGGATCAGTTGAATTCTTACCAGAAGCTCAACGTAAGATTGATTTATATACCAAACAAGGTTTTGGTAACTTGCCAGTCTGTATAGCAAAGACACAATATTCCCTTTCTCATGATGCTGCTTTGAAGGGTGTGCCAACCGGATTCACCTTCCCTATTCGTGATATTCGTGCTTCTATTGGTGCTGGGTATTTGTATGCATTGGCTGCTGAGATTCAAACCATTCCTGGTTTACCTACCCACTGTGGGTTCATGAATGTTGAAGTAAATGATGACGGAGAAATCGATGGATTGTTCTAAGAGAATAAATAGAGTCTAAGTATATAGGTACTGTGACTATATGTATTGGAGGTTATATTTCGGTACTATCATCACCGTAGTAGTGTACTTACCACTATATCATCGAAATCCTCAAAGGGAAAAAAAAAGAACTACTCTCGATAACAGAATCAACTTAGAACCAACTCAGTTCAGCTCAAATCAAGTGTCTTTTGTCCATTGACGTCATATTCTGAGTGTGGATTACTTTTGTATATAAATAATCCAATAGACCCTACTTCTTCCAGCTCATTAAAGCGTTTAGAAAGCCCTACTTTTTCACAAGGAGAGAATCTGATCCACGATGATGATGATAAGATCTACACTTAAGAACAACGGCATAATTGTCGGAGCAATTAGAGGCATTAATAACGTATCAAGACGTCTGATTGTGAACATTGGTTACACTGCTAATGCTTTCAAGGCATCAAGTATTGCTATCAAGTCTTACAGAAACACTGCTGTGCATAATGAGTTCCGTCGTTGTTTAAGTGTCATCACTACTAGCCCTGAGGCCAAGTTCTACGACTATGAAGACATCAAGTCCATTGCTAGTAAAGAAGAATTGAACCCCAAGGTTGTTCTTGTGGACGTTAGAGAACCCTCAGAGTTTGCAGAGGGTCATATTCCCCATGCGGTTAACATTCCGTACAAGTCGCTGCCTGGAGCTTTGGATTTAAGTCCCGAAGAGTTTGAAGAGAATTTTGGTTTCGAGAAACCAGGTCAAGACAAGGAATTGATCTTCTACTGTCTTGGAGGTGTTCGTTCTACCGCTGCTGAAGAATTGGCCAGTAGCTTTGGCTACAAGAAGAGAGGTAATTATTTGGGATCTTGGGAAGATTGGGTTGCTCATGAACAACCATCTGCTGCTGCTGCTGCCCCTACTGCCTCTGATACTACCAAGCAAGATTCTGCTAAACTCTGAATGAATGCTTATTCAATTTTAGAGTTTAATTTACAATTCAAATCTTATTCAAGAGTATCAATAATATTATTATATTTATGTTGATTTTTGTTATTCCAATGGTACTGTTACTCTCTTCTATGTATGTATATAGATTGCATTAATCCTTTGAATTTCTAAACTCCAAACGTTTGAACTCTTTACCCAATTGTCTCTTACGTTTCCTCTCCATAACCTTACCTCTTTTATTGGCTGATAACAGTTCGAATCTTGCCTTGGTGATAAGCTTCCGTTGCTCCAGCTTCTTCAAAAAGTACGGGTTGGTTTGTTTTCCCTCAGCAACATTGACCATCTGTTGTTTCTTATGTTGTTGAAGTAACTTATGCAGTTGATCTCTTGTTTGTAAAGTTTCTAATCTTGATGCCAATTGAGTTCTTGTCCTTTCAAGTTGTTCTATATCTCTGGAGTTCATCTTGCTCCGTTGCTTGGTGTCTTTGAGTATCCTATCAAGCTCTTGAACTTCATCTTGTCTATAATCATCCAAGAAAGCATAGTTCTTTCTGATTTGGTGAAGATTGGCTTTCCCTAACGCTGTATCAAACCGGATATCCCGGTAAAGTGAGGAAGAAGGCTTCTGCAGCTCCAACCCAGGTATATCCCTGACTACCGAAACAGGTTTCTTAGAACTGGAAACAGTAGGTGCATTATTGGAAGTTCTCTTAGTGGAAGTACGTGCACTCTTTTTCATTGACTTGGAATGTCGAGTTGTTGTTGTGGACGTTCTTGTCTCTTCAGGAGGTCCATCTGAATCTGAATCTGAGTAACTACGACTCTTTTTGGTGGTCTGTCTTTCTATTTGCTTTCTGGCAGAGTTTAATGCTCCAAATGAAAGGGTTCGGAGTTCATCTTCCGAATCTGAAGTATGTTTCTGTATATTGTCATCGTATTCTTCATCTGACAGGTAACTATGGGAAGGACGCATCTTTTTGGTGCAAGAAGGGTAAGTCAGTAATTGGGTGGTGAGGTTAAGGGACTTCCGTACAAAATTGGTGATGAGCATACATCTCGCGGTTTTGTGTAATATAAGAAACTCCAATTATTCACCTTGGATACCTAATAGGGAAGTCTACAATTATAGATGTAAGTTTTATGCACATAATGCCTATTAAAGAAGTCTAAACTTGAAAAGTTCTACCCCTCTTGCCTTATGGTGGTTCTAAATCCTGGTCTCCCACTCCCAGGAAACATCTTTAAAGTACATTAGCAAGCTCAATTGATCCATTAGTTGGCTCTCAGTGACTGTGACCAAAATTAGGTAGACAAGCTCACATGAAAAATTGAACTGACCTCCTCAATTGACCCCTGCTCATAAAAAGGACCTCAATTGTAGCTAATTGCGTCCTAATGTATTCCAATCAACCCAATGATATGTACTCCCGGAGATTGACGGTTTCGAAAACAATGTTTTATTAGTGAAAAGGTCGGTCATTTAGTCAGTAGAGGCCTCAATTCTGGGGTAAAAGCCAAGTCACGTGACTCTCGGTTGATAAGAGTCCGAGATGCCGATGTCTGATTGCCTCAAGAAAATCATACAGGATGATGAAAAGGTGTATTAGGTGTACGTATACAATACTTATAAAACGTATCATACTACTGATGAACAAATAATGATCACAGAGAAATTAAATTTCATTACATTGTTTCTACTAAAACCTCTAGTATTAGCTATTCTGTTATACTTTATTACATTGTATTATAATGTAAACTATTATGTTATGCCACCGTCAATTATTCGGCGCTACCGTAGAAAGATGCCAAAAATTTATGCCCTATTCCTGGCATCTCCGAGGTACAAGACCATGGCCCAGCTCCACCCGATAGCTTTCGATTTCCCCGATGTATACATCGGCGCGTGGCATTTTGAAACTTTAGTTTAATATTTTCAGGAACGAACAAACAACATCTCTTTCTTCTTCTTCTTTCTTCTACTTGTACTCGTACTCTTAACTACAGTTGATACTCGTTCATCCTATTCCGATCATGTTGAGATTACCAAGAAGCGGATTATTGAAGACATCCAAGAGATTACTCTCACTTCATGAATATAGATCTGCTGCTATTTTACAAAGCTTTGGTGTAGGCGTTCCTGAAGGCTATGCTGCCACTACTGCTGAAGGAGCTTTTGATGCTGCTAAGAAGTTGGGAACTTCCGATTTGGTCATTAAGGCTCAAGCGTTAACTGGTGGTAGAGGTAAGGGTCACTTTGACTCTGGATTACAAGGAGGTGTTAAATTGATTTCAACTGCTGAAGAAGCAAGAGATTTGGCTTCTCAAATGTTGGGTCATAAGTTGATCACTAAGCAAACTGGTGCTGCTGGTAAAGAAGTTACTGCTGTCTACATTGTTGAAAGAAGAGATGCTACTACGGAAGCTTATTTGGCTATTCTTTTCGATAGAGCCAGTCAGAAACCAATGATTGTTGCTTCAGCTCAAGGTGGTATGGACATTGAAGGTGTTGCTGCAAAGGATCCTTCTGCTATCAAGACCTTCACTGTCGAATTGGACACTGGTGTCACCGACGAATTGGCTACTCAAGTGGCTTCTGTATTGGGTTACACTGATGCTGCCATTCCTGAAGCTGCTGAAGCTGTTAAGAACTTGTACAAGGTGTTTATTGAAAAGGACTGTACCCAGGTGGAAATCAACCCCTTGTCTGAAACTCCCGATCACAAGGTTTTGGCAATGGATGCTAAATTGAACTTTGATGATAATGCTTCGTTTAGACAACAAGAAGTCTTTGACTTGAGAGATCCAACTCAAGAAGACCCTCAAGAAGTTGAAGCTGCCAAATATGGTCTTAACTACATCAAATTGGATGGTAACATTGCCAACATTGTTAATGGTGCTGGTTTAGCCATGGCTACTATGGATATCATTAAGTTGTATGGTGGTGAGCCTGCCAACTTTTTGGATTGTGGTGGTACTGCTACTCCTGAAACCATCGAAAAGGCTTTTGAATTGATCTTGAAGGATCCAAAGGTTAATGCTATTTTTGTTAACATTTTCGGTGGTATTGTTAGATGTGATTATGTTGCTGAAGGTTTGATTGCTGCCACTAAGAAGTTTGGTTTAGATATCCCAGTTGTTGTTAGATTACAAGGTACTAACATGGAAAAGGCCAAGGCATTAATTGATGCTTCTGGTTTGAAGTTGTTTGCTTTTGAACAATTGGATCCAGCTGCTGAAAAAGTTGTTGAATTGGCTCCTCCCTCATAAATTATATGATGATAATATAATAATAGTGTGGTATTAAGTTCATTGATCCTCATTAAAGTCTTCATTGAGTCAATTGTAATGACGTTGACGGAAGGATAATGCACGGGATAAACGATGGTCTTTACGTGATTGAAAGACACCAATTCGCTTGTAATCAATTCTAGCTAAAAACAGAAAGTTTCATTTTACTAATATAACCACTTGGAAGCATATGGTATACAAATGGTTGAAGGTGGTTCTTCTCAAAGGTCGTGTCAAACACATTATTATATGGGTGCAAAAGACAACTGAAGTCACTCCAAAGTAACCGAATGAAACCGCCTACCTAAACGATAGTATTGTAAGTGTAATATAATTTAGTAGAACTAATAGAATGTTGTATAGGAATAACTATTGGCTATATGAGTGTGTATAATTAGGGTATCCGTATCACCTACAATACTTAATTAGCTCATCCATGATCAAAATGGATGAAACAGTACACACACACATATATATATATATATATATATATATATATATTTGTAATATATTAATATTTACGTATAGATAAATATATACACATTTACACAACCATATACATAATTACATAGATATACATCTTACCTTATGTAATATGTTGATGAACTTTATGCCTCCCAATAAATCACGTGACCACATATTCGCCGCGCTACCAACAACATTCAAAAATTATAATTCCGCCAACTTGAAGTCAAACGGGTTCCACTAACAAACCAACAATAACACCAATAGATTTCATCCCATAACTAAACATGTTTCTTACTCGAAGTGAATACGATCGAGGCGTTCTGACGTTTTCACCCGAAGGCAGAATTTTCCAAGTGGAATATTCTCTTGAAGCCATTAAGCTTGGTTCCACAGCCATTGGGATTGCCACCCTGGAGGGAGTCATCTTGGGGGTTGAAAAGAGAGTCACATCGTCGCTTTTAGAACACACTTCTATTGAAAAGATAGTTGAAATTGAATCTCATATTGGTTGTGCCATGTCTGGACTTACAGCAGATGCCAGATCTATGATAGACCATGCTAGAGTTGAAGCAGTTACTCATAGTTTACATTATGATGAACAAATTCTTGTAGAGACATTGACTCAATCTGTCTGTGATTTGGCATTACGTTTTGGTGAAGGTGCTCAAGGTGAAAAGAGATTAATGTCTCGTCCGTTTGGTGTTGCTTTACTTATTGCTGGTTATGATAAAGATAAGGGACCTCAATTGTATCATGCTGAACCAAGTGGTACTTTCTATAGATATGATGCTAAGGCAATTGGTAGTGGTAGTGAAGGTGCTCAAGCTGAATTGCAAAATGAATATCATAAACTGTTGACTTTGAAAGAAGCTGAATTGTTAGCTTTGAAAGTATTAAAACAGGTAATGGAAGAGAAATTGGATTGTAAGAATGCTCAATTGGCCAGTGTTACCAAAGATGGTGGCTTCGTGGTATACTCAGATGAGAAAACAGACGAAATCATCAAGGAATTGACAAAACAACAAGCTGAATCTGAAGACTCTGTTGCTGAAGCAGTAGCTCTGGAAGCACAACATTAGAAAAAAATTCATAGTTAATATATGCTTATCTTTATATTATTGATTCGATGGGAAACATCTTTCAAGACTTTCACTAAACTCTAATGCATTCTTATTAACCCGTTGACCAAAGAAATTCAATTGAACCATAAAAGCAGTCAATTGTGTTCCAAATATTTCATTATAATCATTCAATTGTTCTTCCAATTCATTGTATCGAGATGCCAATACGTCCATGGTGATACCCATAATCTTAGTTGCTTGATGAATGAAATGATTAAACAGTCCAATAATATCTAAAAGCTTTTGAATGTGAATAACCAAATCACTCTCAAGCACAAGGGAACTGTAAAGTATATCATTCATACATTCATCGATCTCAAGTATCAATTGATCAAGTGAATTGGTCACAACTTCTCTGGCCGAAATACCTTTAAAGGCTCCTGCTTGAATGGTAGACGAAAGCAAAGTTGAGTATGCAGAAGTTTGAGGGGCGGCCATAGAAGACCTTCCTCCTCCAACATTCTGTTGATGTGACGCCTTCTCCAAATATTCTCGGGTACTCTCCACTCTTTCGATTAAACGAGAATAGTTTTCTTTTATAACATCTATCGCCAAATAGTTTTGGATCTGAATAAGGAATTGGTACATCCGGGATTGTAATACTGTTGCTCGTAAACACCATTTTCGAAGACTTTGGTATACTCCTCCTGCTGGTTTGTTTGAACCAAGTTTAGTGAATTCACACCATTGACGAGAAGTTCTCATAGTCTTCCATGTAGATTCACTGTACTTTGACATGAATTTGATGATCATTTGGAATTTGCATATCAATTCGTACCGATACAAACATTGTCTACCCATAATAATATTCAAGGGGAATGGGAGTGTAACACTTATATCCAAATGAGAAACAGTATAATTACAAATACTTCCAACTCCTTCAAGATCTTTACTATGCAAATCTGCAGTTTCATTATCTTTATTCTCCATATGCTTTAGTATCTCATGATAAAATTGACCAAAAGTCTTGGATTCAACATTAGCAAGTGCCCTTTCAGCATCAAAAGATTCGATATTAAGCTCATCTCGAACAATTTCAAAAAAACTTTGTGAACTAATTGAAAACTTCACCATTTGATTTATAATCTCAGTAATATCAATACTTTCTTCAAATCTGTCTTGTTCATCTTCACCACAAAACTCAAATGGTGGACACACATTGAAGACTTCTTCATAGGAATGTGAGATACGAGACACAGAAGCTCGTTGAACACCAACACGTAAATCACTCATGGTTAACCCCAAAAACTGATCAAGCCTGCTTGAGTCAATAGCAAAGAATAACCTACCTAAATGTTCAAGTACTGATGTTAAATTGTATCCTTGAAATATAAGTTGTCCCATAAGCACATTTGCTCGGAGATACATTTGATTTATTTTTATTTCCAAATCACTTGAATCTAGCTTTTCTATTGGAGTAACTTTTGGTAAGTCTATACCAAGTTGATCCAATTGCAAACCTGTAAACTTTTGGAAAATGTTAAGGTATTTTCCCGTGTTAAGAATCTTCTGCTGTATCAGGGAATTCAAAAATTGATCAATTAAACCCTCGGTACGGATAACAAAGGCATTAGCCCAATACTCTTCACTTTCCAAGGCAAAAAGACCTTGTAAATCTCGTTTCACTTGTTGTTCCTTCACAAGAAACTCATCAAAGGGATCATCTATCTCACCTTTCAAGAGCCACTGGTTTAATATAACCACATACTCTTCACTAACTGATCTATAGAGATGACTAAGAAACTCAAAAGAATTTGTATCTCCCTTGGCACTATTAGCTTGTATCTGTATGGCTTTGAGAACAATACAACCTTTACAAGATGTAAATATACTCAGAGTAGCAGCAGTTTCCAATGGTCTACCACTACTACTCATAGAGCCTCCTTGAAGGGTTTCCTTAGCTTCTTGAACAAAGTGTTCAAATTGAATTTGATCAAATGGAGTCAGCCTTTTCTGTTGATTTATTTGATGTAATTCCATGGCAATGCCATAAAGATACTGTATTTTCATAGCCACTTGACGTTCCATGGTGTTTTCCAAAACATGAATATTGAAAGTACTGGAGTTATCAAATTCCCATTTCAATTGTTGTACCAAAGCTCTATATTGCTTCAAGTACTGTTGGATTTCAAAGCAAAACCGTTGCACAAGTCTACCATAGCCAACTTTGTCGTAGATTTCTATGAATCCACTTAATCCACTATAATACTTACTCAAAGTGAGTAGTTTCTTAGCAACTGCTTTTAAACTTACATCCATATGAATCGCCGTCTTATAATCAGGCCCAGTAACAAACATATCCACATCATCAACATCGTACCGAGAACTATAACGAATATAACGGCCCTCAAACCCAAGGAATGTCACCAACAAATCTTGTACCACCAAGGCTTCTTGAGTCTCCACCAGTTCTAATTGAGATAACAGTGTGGGTCTCACAGGAATGTAGGCTCTAAACTCACCATCAAGACTGCACTCAACTCCAACACCAGGAGGTTCTTCTTTGGTGTCACGCAATCGTATGTACTGACCTTCAACACTAGCAGAGCTCATGGTGTGGGTGTATGTGGTGGTACAGTTTGGGATAAGACTTTGATCTGTTTACATTTTGATTCGCGTACCTACTAGAGGTATTGGTGTTCGGGTCTTGAAGAGCATCACCAAAACTTTTGGGTACTGTGCAGAGCGCTGTAAGGTACTGTTAGGAGGACTACTGGAAGTTCTACTACACTATTAGTACTATACTAATACCTACAATACATACATATATAAGTTTATTCATGCATATACATAGTGTTGAAAGAATATATTACAGTAAATGATACAGCTGTACCACATTGTGCTATTGATACCCGTTAGCCATAGTATAACTCCATTGATAGCAAACATATCGCTAATAGTAGCAATAAGCTTAGGTTTAGCTTACTTTGATATAAGATTAGGATTTACTAAGCATACAATGAGTCCAAATTATTCTCCATTATAATATGTTCGCCATATACTTTGTATTACTACGCTTAACTACGACAAATTATGGTATGCTGTGACTTTGTACATGGAATGAACCAACTTCAAACATTACCAATGATGTAAATACTTATGTGTGTCCTTTTTTCTAGTCTTGCCTTGTTTTGTTTTGTTTCATTTTCTTGTCCTTTTGTAGTTGTAGATTGTCCCTTTGGTCCAGACTCATTTGGGTGCAAAAAATATAAAACCGGGCTGTTTCTGTGCACAGATTGGAACACACTACAGACTTTCTTCTTCTTCGTTACCGTTAGTATCAATAATGCACAGACTTTCCACTAAGCTACATAACTTAAAGGAGCGTATGCTCCAATCGAGAATCTTCTGTTCTCGTTTCTCTAAGAAGCAAAGAACTCTATTATGTGATGACACTCAAGTTTTAGCGGTTGACGACAACCAACATAGCCAGCGGCCAATTAAGTCAAGCCAAACTTTGAATGAAAGCTCTACCTGGTCACTGTCTGACAATGAATCTGTTTATAGTAAGCAAAAGGGTTCTTCCACCGTAACTTTGATTACTGGTTCAGCATCAAGTCCAATCTCCAAGAGATTACGCTTGATTCCCAACCCTAATCCCCAACCAACTCCAATGTTCCATAATGATGATAATGATGATTACACTAATAGTACTACTACCACTAACAATTCTCCTATTCCCTTTCTCTCTTCCTTTCCCGCTGGTTGTCAGCTTGAGGTTAATCCTAGTGATGACGCTGCTGATGATTCTTTCACTCCACCACCACTTTCACCACACTCCAGTGTGGACGTCTTCCATACCAATGCAGCTATGGGGGCCTGCTGCAAAGAGCAAGACGACACTTCTTTGTTTGGTGACAATGGCTGGAACGTATCGTTAGGAGTTGAGAAAGTTCGTCGTCCCTGTCGTTCGGACAAACCTCCCTTCGTGGTTCCTAAAACTATGGGAACATTATCCATGGGTAGGAATACGATAGTTGACGAGGAAGAGAAGGTTAATAACCATGCTAAGAAACTGTTCCCTATCTTTTCAGATAAGGACTATCAGGAAGAGATTCATTTTGGTTCTGAAGAAGACTTGAGAGACTTGAAAGACTTGGTTGATACTGGGACCATGACTATGAAGAGTTTTGGGAACACCAGAGAATTCGAAGCAAAGATCAAGACCAAAAAGTTACTCTTAACGGATATCTTCACTGAGGAACATTGCCAATTGGTTTGGATCGCTAATCAAGAAATTCCATATCACCGTGACGAGCAGTTCAAGGAAGTAGTTGATAAGGCAAAGGAATTCAAATGTTGGTTCAAAGAAGTTTCCGACATGTTTCTTGAGAATGGGTATCCAACAGTTGTTGCTGAGATCTTAACCGACACATTTACAGATGAGGTTAAACGCAATGATGATGATGCTGATGACGATGATGACGGTATGGTAAGTGAAATACTAAGCAAGTTTGACGACTATTCTGAGAGTTCGTCTTTATGTTCTATGTACGACAAGTTAGAAAGTATTGAAGGAGTTGTTGAAGAATTAGAGTGCACCTGTTCTGAAGCATATCTCACTATATTGAAACTTGGAGATGCAAATTACTTGAGACGTTTACTCCAGAATAGAGTCAAGAATATACCCGAGATCGACGAGCATCTCTTTTATGGTATCCAGAAGTTAGTCAACAGATTGCAAAGGATGTTGGACAACAACCATAAGCCTAAGCTGACCGCCAGAGCTGGCAGGGTTCTCAAGGAGGGATACAACGCTTTAGAATGGCATTCCAACATACACAAGATGTATGAGAGATATGGATACACAGCTGATTCAATTAGACAGTTGAATAAAGCTGTTGAGAAAGATATTATGGTATAACCACAACATGTATAAAGCAAAGCATTATAGGAGCCGGTACTACTTGTGTCGAAGGTTGATTACAAGCTTTTATTTCTTGAGCGATTGTGGATATTATGGGAAGGCAGCAAATAGGAGAGGACTGTCAAGGGCAGTTGATAGTCTCTATTCCATTTTCCCGGGGTTCCATAGTCCTTTGAAGACGATAGAAGTTGTTTGGTCTACCGTATACGTAAGTAGAATAATCTGGGCTCATTACTAGTGGTTGATTTCAAAACACTGCTCATTATAGACTTGAGATGACATGGCACAAGGTGGCGGGTACTAGAGGATTGGACGATTAAATGAATGGTATGGGGGTACCTTTTCATTGAGTTGGTAAGATACTTTAGTACTTGGACCATATTGAACCACTTATTTATTTACGTATTACATTACTATAGATATTCTTGGGCATTAGGTTATGCAATAAATTTACTATATAACATGATATCGTTGTCTGTAGGAATTGGTATCAGTTAGTCGCTATTGGAACCACCCAATTGCTCCAAACGTCTGATGAGAGCCACCCTTATACGTCTATAACTTGGAACAATTGGAACATCTGGAACGTTTGGAACATCTGGAACGTTTGGAACATCTGGAACGTTTGGTTCTTTTTAATGTAACCGCCAAAGGATTATTAGAACCCCACTCATTCACAATTGAATGCCGTTACCTTAATGCTCTTTATGTTCGCCTCTACTCAACTGATAAACCTCATGAGTGCATGCTCTCGCTTATTAGACACTCATTGGATATCTGAGGCATTTACCACAAGACTTATAAATAGACTGAAACCCTCCTTCCAAAAAGCTATTGGTTGGACCTTATAGTCCCCCCTTATTGATAGAAAATGAATGAGAATGATCACTCACTCCTAACTTTTGCACCCAGATCAAAAAAAAAAGGTTGCAAAATAATCCCAATTGGCCATTTTGAAACATGATGATGATGATTTTGCAGCTAAATACCCCAACCAAAGGGATGATCATCTCCTATTGAAAGCACTATTTTCAGAGGACGTCGAAGAGTATAAATACGGGATGAATTGGCCGCTGTCGTTCGTTTGTTCTCATTGTCCATTGATCCACAATTCATATTCAACCACTTATCATTATGAGTCAATACATTCCTAGAAGGGCTTATGGTATCCGCGATGCTTTCATTCAACAGGCAAGAGATTATGGTATTAAGATTGGGCCAATAAGTTTGAGTTCTTATCCCAACTTCGTTCTTCCTCCACCACTTCCAGTGGGAGAATTTGAAGTGAGGACTAAGACCAAGTCCAAGTCTAACTCACAACAAGCCATTCACTCAACCACGCCCAAAGAATCTACTATTACTACCGCCAACAACAAGCAGCTTTCTAAGAAACGGACGCAAACACCAAGCAGGAAACCAGTTAAGGAATATGTCGCTGCCGAGGTTCAATTGCTCTCAACCCCAATGCCAACGAGCGCCAATCCAGAACCAGTGATGGCTACAACTTCATTTAACGGCGTTGAGTATCCTGTCCCAGTATATGTTCCATCCAACAACAACAACCAAGTGCAAGAACCATTGGACAATTCGTTGCTTTCCAACGTCAATGATCTGGTATGGGGTTCATTACTCTATCCAGGTCAATCAGCGCCAGAGCAAAACGTATCTGGTAGTATCAACAATAACCTTGAGTCATCTTTCAAGGCTTTTGAAGATGGTGGTATGCTAGCTGATAACTACTTAAAAGGAGAATGGGACGTTAACTTCGATAATACTGTTCCTGAATCCCTTAGCAGTGACAATAACAAAACGACTGCTGTTCCAAATGAAGAAACCGATGCTAAATCTGACACCGACTCTCTATTTGGAGGTGATGACAATACCAGATTGGATATCGACGACATGAACACTACCGAGCACAATGTTTTGGACGAACATGAGTTTGCAAAGCTTATTCAAGATCAGTGCTCTAGTGGTGAAAAGACTCCACCTCCAGCACCAGTGACAGCAACGATTAAGCCTATTGTTCCTTACAAAAGTACCAAAGTCTCTGAGGAGTTTTGTTCTGATGAAGATTGGAATGCCTTTCTTCACATGGACTTCTCACCTATGGCATTTCAGAATCTCAATGAACCGGTTGTTGATGATGTTCAAGATAATTTGGACGTAAGTGATATTTTGAACAGAATCAATCCACTAACCATGGATCTTACTCTGGTTTCTTCTGGTAAAAAAAGACAACGAGATGAAGCTGAAGATGAAGATGAACACACAAGGAAATATACTAGGTTATCACCTCCACTGTACGACAGACCAATGGCTAATGAATACATAAATGAGATGCCAGAAGTTCCTTCACTCTTTAGAAGATCTAGTTTCAATGACGCACTTGAATGGTTACAAGAAGAATCAAGTACAATTGATAGTCTTGATCCTAGAAATATTCACCTTCCTTAAAACAGTTTTACTTTTCAATATTTAGAACTCACTCATTTAATATAATTAACATTTCTTTTTCTTTTTTGTTTTTTTGATGTTTTGTCTGTTGACCATAGACTTAAGCATGAATCTGGAGCCAATCAGTAATGTGATCAGCAACCTTTTTAGGATCTTCCCTATGTAAGAAATGACCCAACCCCTTCAATAATGTAACCTTTACGTTGGAAACACCAGCCAACTTCTTTGCTTCATATTCCCATAACAGTTTGTGCATACATCCATCATCAGCACCTCCTAAAATAAGAGTTGGAACCTTATTAAAGTCCACATACCATCTGTTACTCAAAGTTCTTAACGAGATAAAACACCTATAGTATGCAGTGACGGCATCAATAACCCCCTTGGTATTCAAAGTGTTTCTAACAGACCCAATATCTGCCTCGGTATAGTCCCATTTAGGGGACCAGTACCGATACAACTTATCCAAATAACTATTCTTACCAGTTTCCGTCATTGCAAACCGGGGTCGATACATAGATGCAAATTGCATAGTGAAGAAGTAACTGGAACAGTAAACTTGCATGGGAGCGTATAAAAGATACTCCCATACTCCCAAATTAACACAATAAGGGATAGCCATAGTCACCATCAGAGTGATCAACTCAGGGTATAAGTTTGCAGTTTGGAAACTAACACATGCACCCCAATCATGTCCAACCAAATGGACAGGTATGTTTTCATGTTCATCTTCAGGTACAATGGAACTAATCCAACTCTTCACATCGCCAGCTATATCGATAGTGTGGTATTCCTTATCTGAATCAGCAAAGCTTGAAGGTTCGTATCCCCTCAATGCTGGTGCCAATAAGAGCACAGGTTCGTTCTGATACGAGTTGAGGATCAGATCCCAAACTTCGTTAAATGTCTCATGGTTATCAGGGAATCCATGTAACAAGAAGATGACTCTCTTCCATGGTCTTATGACTACCGAAGAAGGATATACAAGTCTTTGTTCATAGTTGGAGAATGTTGTGAACAGTTTCAGACCATTCTTGAGTATAATTGTGTGCTGAGGAGGCATCTTATAGGAGAAGTCAATTTGTTACTAGTGAATTGTTACATGTCAGTTTATTTTAATTGTTGCTGTTCTTCCCCTACTTATAGGTTTGCAATTTTGCTTGCTTCATGTGATATAGCAACCCCCAAGACCCTTGACTTCCTAATTAGGAAATATGAGATGCGGGATTGATTGGAAGTGTTCAAACATTGCAACTATAAATACATTGATTTAATGTACCTGTTAGTCTTCAATCAATGTAGTAAATAATTATCATAAGTGGTGTACAGAATTATAATAATGATAATCAATACTAAAACATTCACTACTGTAAAAGGGCCATGATTATATCATCCTCTCCAAATTACTTTGCTCTGTTTTGAATATGATACTCCCAACGAAGTCATCGAAAAAGCACTATATCTCAATAGTAACCGTCTCACACCACTGAGATCAATTTGGAGGAGCCAATTGATGTCTTTGATCCGTATCGTACATCATCTCAAGACCGAACCATAGCAAAATGAAGCCATTGAAGTCAATTCGATCATTAACATTTCATTGTAACTCAGTATCTCATCAGTATCACTCAATATCTCGTATCGCTTGCTAATAACAACTAGCTGAGCCCCTGGAACCAGAGTCCATCCTTTCCCATACCCAGCTCACCACTTGCCCTGCTGGCCTAACAAAATTTTGGCTGCGAAAATAATTCTGTTTGTGCACAAGTCGTAGCGCACTTATAAGAACACTTTGAAACCTTATAGCTGGTTCAAATCATTTTCTTCTTCCACCTCCTCACTAAGCAATCTTTAGACTTCAACAATCAAATGTTCTTTCATCGTCTCCGCCACGCAGCAAAGAATAGATTCTACAAGTCTAGAATCGCAGCCAAGCTTCACTTGGTTGCCAAACCAGTCTCTCAAGACTCTTCAGTTACCTCAAATGAAACTAACGCTGATGTCTTTTCGACTCAACCAATTACAACTTCTTCTACCAGTGCTGGTATTTCTGATGATTCTGGTAGGAAGCAAATCAAGACTACCTGTCCTGCTACACCTTTTGTTAATCCCTATGGTGTTGTTAGTGCTACTGCAAATAAAACCCACGTTAAGGTTGACACCAACGCAATTCTTGACTCTACTTCTCATGAGCTGATAACAGCAACAAACTCTCCAACTACCCGGCCTATCATTGCAGGTAAATTATTCCGCTCTTATGCTCAATATTATGAACCTCCACCACCTGTTGTTGTTGAAGCTTCTCCCATTGTTTTTACTCCAATGGTTGATGAACCTTCAATTCCCCGTTTGGATCTTAACGCTCTTCCCTTTCCCAACCTTTCCAATTCCAATAAGCTCGATAATTTAGGTGCCAATTTAGGTGCTGCTTCTGTCCTGACTTGGGGAACAACAAAAAGGACCATTCCTACTGACATCGATGACATTTCCTCTATTCAGACCTTTTCAACTACTTCCTCATCTCCAGTTGACAACCCAGAAGTTACTGATGGTGAAGCAGTCAAGTGCACAGACTGTGACGCCATTGTTGACTCCAAGGTTGGAACTGAAGTGAATGAAGTTATTGAGCCACCTCCAAAAAGAGCAACAACAGCACTGGCAACTTCAACCTTGAAAAGGAATGATAATTATTATCTTCAAGCTGACGATGGAATGGAAAAGGTAGAGGACTTGATTGAAAGCTGTTTGTCTATTATGAACTCCATTAGTTGTTACTCTGAGTTTGAACAACACCTTAAGTCCAACCCAGACTTGGAAGTGTACTATTTTGAAGACTTTGAGCAGCTTACTCGAATATTGAGTAAGTCTGCGGCTGCCCCCAAAGTTGTCAAGACTAGTACAACTATCCAGGAATGGTATAGGACTTACATGGATTTGTACTTGGCAAATGGTGGATATGAGGACCCTAAGTGGAAAATGGAAAGGAAACAACGTCTACCCATTCGCAGATTCAATTATATGGATGAATTAGAAGCTCAAAGGAAAATCGAAGAAGCCAATTATGTTGATGAGTCTGTAGTAGAAGCTCTTGTTGAAGAGCTTTATCAACGGATTCCAGATGCCTTTGATTTGATGCTCAAAATCCCTAACGCTTATACCCTTGACGTTTGGTTAGACAGAGGAGTAAAAGGTATCCCTAATGTTCCAAGATCTCTTTTCAATGAAATAGAGACATACAACACTGAGTTGAACGACTTGTACAAGAACAGGCGCATCAAACTCGACCAAAGATACTCTGCCACAACTGCATTAACTGATTCTCAAAAAATCCTTGACTGGTTCAAGTCGATAGAAGAGGTTCAATACTATGCAACATTTTTTGGCTTAACAGTCATAGTTTAATATCTCCACTAGAACCACCATGCCCATTGATCCACTCTTCTCTCTCTATTATTTATTATCTTTATATCATTCATTCTCCCATTAATATCATTGTCACCCTCATCACTTTACGATATCCATTCGCTATCTTCATCATCATTATCCAACAGTAAATCCTCAAGTAATTGAGCTGCTGCCTTCTCTGCTTCAGCGTGAACTTGTGTTAATTCACTTATATCTTCCAAGTACTTAGAATCATTTAAGCATTTCTTAACAAACTCCCAGCCATCCTTTTCAAAGTGTTCCACAACATTTGTAGAACAAGCAGAACAGTTCTTAAATGCTGGTGCATGTAATTTAGTGAGCTGGAAATTGTGGAGGGATCCACGGATCTGATGAGGCACTTCTCCAAATTTGGGATTAGTTTCATCAGCCAAAGCAGCTTCGTTCTCAGGGTGTTGCAATAAACTTATAAACAATTCCACTGCTAGTGCTGAAGCCAAAGGAGCACATCCAGCTCGTGTTACAGTACACATTTGATCCAAGGTTCTATCGGATAAACTATCACTGGGAGCCACGACATCATTGCAATAGTAACAACCAAGCCGGGATTCAGGTGCTTGCTTCAAACTTCCATGTCTCATAACAAGATACGAATCAAATCCCAAGGCAGCATTGATGACTATCTTATCTTTGGATAGTCCTGCCACTGTTGGTAACCAACGAGATTCTCTAGAATCCATAAGTAAGAACACAACGTCATGGGAGCTAATAAGTTGCATAAGTTTCTCGTACTCTGACTTCAGCTTTCCTTCTGTAGCTTCACTGATTGGATGACCAACCATGGGAACATCAAGAACAATTCCTTCTGCAATTGCACCAGGAAATATTTCATGAAGAGCCCTTGCTGCCTGTATGGCCTTATATTCTCCCTTACCACTGGAACTGAAACAATCTGCAAAATTGAAAAGGGGTTGTCTTACAGGATTAGAGTAAGAAACCCTGCCATTATCAACAAAGGTTATTTCCCTAACTCCCCATCCCATAAGAATTCTGGAAACATAACTACCCAATGTTCCAGCACCAAGAAGCAATACTTTTTGCAGTTTAATGATATCGAGATCAAGTTCTGGAGCAATTCTCCACTTCATTAGTCTCAAGTTCAAGTCTACCGCTTGTTCTGCTAGTTGATTTGGATTTATCAACAGTCCCAATTCAGCCACTTTAGGGCCTAGACGTCCTTGGGCTGTCCTTTCCCATCCAAGAATTTTAGGTGATATTTTATTCACAGGTGACGAGAGTTCAAGGTTCAACAACTCACTGGTATTATTACTCCGATAAATAACAAGCTCAATCTCTGTAAACCCAATATAGGCAAGATAATAAAGGTAATTCTTCAAATGGACAGAAGGTTTCATGTCTGGATCCAATACTGTGTCTTGGAACACAAACTTATTGCCCTTCTCTAGCAGTATGTCTTTGAAAAGAACTATATGCCCATCTTCATCGACCTGCGATAACAAGCTGCTAGTGCTTGCGACATTAGTTATGGCCAAAGATTCAGCAGGTCCCCTGTGTAAAACCCTCCAGTTGGACTCAAGGGTAGGGAACGCAAACCAGTAATAAAACTTATACTTCTTTAAGTCAGAGAACGTAAGTAGAAACACCTTATTAAGCAGTTGTTCGGTGATACATCCAGTTTCGATATGCCTTAGGATTATATGCCCCCACTTCTTAAGTAACTCTGCTTTGTTGATCTCCTTAAACTCCTCTATAGTATTGACATTCAAAAGCTCTGCATCCAACACAAAGTTACCTGTCGGATCTTCTTCGTTCTGTTCGAAGCTCAGCTTATCAACATTGACAATTGGCTTGTCATCAAACCTTGTGAGCTTGTGAGGACTTGTTATAAAGCCCCAAATACTCCTTGCACTTGTTCCGAGTTTCATTTGGTTTAATTTGATGTCGGCCAACTCGGCAAAAAAGGCCGACTCGGCAAACGATTGCACAGCCACAAAGGAAAGATCGGTCATTTGGTAATAAAGATAAGAAGAAAGAATATAAGAAAGAGGAACATGGTTTGGCATAAGCAGCATACAGTTGGTTACGAAGATTATTGTAGTATGGTAGTGATAACTAATATACAGGAAATTAACAGAGAGTAAGAAGTAGTTCAACTACTCTTCAGCCATGGGTTGGTCTTCCAAGTTCATATCGTCCAATTCATCCAATAACTCATCAAGACCAATCTCTGGAGCATCTTCGTCTTCTTCTTCTTCTTCCATTCCATCGGGGTTACGTGAAACCGCTTCATTGTCAGCCTTATACAAGTTAATGGTCTGTCTCAACTCTGGATCTTCTTCTAATTCTTGCAAGAACAATTCGTAATCTCTTTCTGCACGTTCTTGTTCTTGTCTTGCTTGTCTGGAGTCGTCGTTGGCGACAATATCGCTGTGTTCCTTGGCCATTCTCTTCAACTTCCACTTTCTGTACTTGTTCTTATTGTTCTTTCTGGCGTAATGTCTCTTCACCAATACAACCTCTGGAGTGTTATCAACATCAAGACTTTCCCATAAGTCAGAGTTGAAGTTGGTATTTGTGAGATAGTAACCCATGACGGAATCTCCAGGATGTAAGAACCCTCCCAAATGAGATCTAACATAATAAGTATTGTCATTGACTCCTAAATCACTAGCACGAGTAACAGTAACATCTGCTAACACATATTTCCCCTTTCTCTGACCGGTGGGTTCAACATCCAACACAATAAACTCAATCATTTGAGTGGCATCCAATAATGAAGGGAATGGTGCACGCCAATATACCGAAGGCAGTAAATCAGCTATTTGTAAAGTGTTAGGATCAATAAATTGAAGCATGTTGTTAACTTTAGAACATAACACCAAACGAGAAATGTTACCCATGGAATTAGCTAATTTCTTGGGTAAAACTACCAAATCATCCCTACAAATAGGAACTATTTCAACGGAGAACGAAAACTTATAAGATGAAGATCCAGATTGAGTATCGATACTCACCAATTCTTCAGATTTCTTTGACTTTACAGGAGCAACAGCACTAATAAAGTCCAACATTTTAGTAGCATGGTTTCTTTGAGAATAATAAAAGTCCAACCCATCCTTAGATTCTTGAATAGAAACAGTGTCAACATGAGCATTGTGTTTCAAAATCAACTGTTCTAAATATAAAAATGTTCTTTTGTGATGAACCTTTTGTCTAATTTGCACAGTAGCTCTCCAGGTATTTGTAGTATAGGATTTAGCACAATCAGGACATTGCATGGCTACAACAACATATTCCACTTCAAATGTTTGTTGCACAATTGCATTGGCCATAGCTTCACCTTGAATGGTCAATTTAACCCTAATACGACGGGAATGTGGTTCTGTCCAAATAAATGAGGCATCCACTAATCTGACTTTATTTAAACCCTTCAATTTCCTTAAACACAAGGCCAATAATTCTCTAGATTCTAACTCAGCCTTAATCCACTGTGATGGAGGTTGTAAGAAACGCTCACAGTTACGACAAAATGAAAGGTTGGCTTCTCGTGGAATCCCTTCAGAAATATCAACAGTTAACTTAATACAATCGTAGCACATCACCAAACCCAAGGTACCATCAAGTTGGGTACCACAGTTGCAACACAACACTGTGGCCACAGGGTGTTGATGATCATGATCTTGTGCCGTTAACTGCGTATAATTCGACATATTGTTAACAAATATAAAAGACTTAAATCCGGTAACAAATGAATGATTAGTTATACTCTTCATCTTTTTCATCTCCTCATCTCATCCGTATTTGGAGTTGCATTTTGTCCCATTGATTATGTAATCACATTCAAATTCAATGTGTATAATTACGTAATATATAGTGTGATCTTACGTCATCGAAAGTTTGGTGATTTGGAGTGTTGATGTAAGCACAGACTACAATGTTTCCAATACACAATTTGAACAAGTAATAGAGGACTCACACCCATAATTCCGAGATGGTTGACCGGAAGCGGCACCGCAGTGCCGAGGCAAGTGATGAGAAGGCACCAAAGAAAATAAAAGTTGAAGATGAAGAGTTCGAGGCAATTAAGAAAGAGGAAGAAGAAGAAGAAATGGAGGATGAAGTGGAAGATGAAGAAGACGACGAAGACGACGAAGATGAAGAAGACGACGAAGTAGAAAAAGAACTCCAAAGGAATGAAGAAGATGATGAAGTTGAAGATGATGAAGATGAAGAAGAACAAGATCAGGATGGGAACCAAGAAATAGAGAAAGTGACAAAGGACATAAACGGTAATGTCAAAGAAGAACGAAAAAAGGGTGATAATGAACAGCAGGCACAGGAACCAGAACAAGAAGAAGAAGAAGAAGAAGAAGAAGAAGAAGACGATGATGATGACGACGACGACGACGAAACTGAAGAAGAACGTAAGCGAACGTCAACATTCAACTTTGATGGAGTCCCATATACTTTCAAAGAACGTCCATCGGTAATTGAGGAACGAGATGGTAAGATTGAGTTCCGAGTGGTGAATAATGATAATACTAGGGAAAGCATGATAGTACTAACAGGGTTAAAAAACATTTTCCAAAAGCAATTGCCCAAAATGCCTAGGGAATATATTGCTCGATTAGTTTATGATCGTTCGCATTTACTGATGGCAGTGGTAAGAAAACCATTAACAGTTGTTGGTGGTATTACTTATCGACCATTTAATAGTAGAGGATTTGCTGAGATAGTTTTCTGTGCTATTTCTTCAACAGAACAAGTTCGAGGATATGGTGCACATCTTATGAACCATTTAAAGGATTATGTTCGAACTACATCACCTATAATGTATTTTTTGACATATGCAGATAATTATGCCATTGGGTATTTCAAAAAGCAAGGTTTCACCAAAGAGATCACTTTGGAAAAGGAAAGATGGATGGGATATATCAAGGATTATGAAGGGGGTACATTAATGCAATGCAGTATGCTTCCACATATTCTACGGTATTTGGATCTGGGAAAGACATTATTACTTCAAAGGGCAGCCATTGAACGAATGATCAATGCTCGTTCTAATTCTCATATTGTTCGACCTGGGTTGGAAATTTTCAAAACTAACAAAAATGTTACCCTTAAACCTGAAGAGATCCCCGGACTAATGGAAGCTGGATGGCTGGAAGAAATGGATAAATTGGCTCAAAAACCTAAAAGAGGTCCACATTATAATTTCATGGTAACCTTACTTTCTGAACTACAAAATCATCCATCTGCATGGCCATTTGCAGTTCCTGTTAATAAAGAAGAAGTTGGAGATTACTATGAAGTAATTTCCGAACCAATGGACTTATCAACCATGGAACTGAAATTAGAAAATGATAAATACGAATCTTTTGATCAGTTCCTTTACGATGCTAGATTAATCTTTAAGAATTGTCGGTCTTACAATGCCGAATCCACCACTTATTTCAAGAACGCCACTAAATTGGAGAAGTTCTTGAACAATAAAGTCAAAGACAATCCTGAGTATGCCCAGTATCTTGATTAAGGGGTGGAGGGAGGCTTATTATTATTCCTGTCCGACCATTCCCAATAGAGATATAAGGAGTTTGTATGTAATGTACTATGTATATGTCGTCTTACGAAATATTTACGTAATGTTATATTTCATCAGTGAGATTATGTAATAACGCTAAAGCCTCGCGTATTGTCAGAAAATAGAAAAAAAGGTAATCTGAAGTCCGGCTGAGAAATAATTTACGACACCTTCCTTCCTTCCTCCTCAACCAATTGAATCATAATGTCTCCTGCCGTTGTTTCGTATGCTGATTCATCAGACGTGGCAAGTGCCGTTGGCAGATTTGTTTTAGACGCTCAAAAGAAAGCTTTTTCCGAGGGAAACTCGTTCAAAATTGCTGTATCTGGTGGATCCTTAGGGAAAGTGATGAAGGCTGCTCTTATTGACGATAAAAAGGTTTCAGGTTCTGTTGAATGGAAGAAATGGCAGGTTTACTTTAGTGACGAAAGAATTGTTCCACTTACTCATAGCGATTCCAATTACGGATTGTTTAAACAAATGGTTTTGGATAATTTGGATGATGACAATAAACCGAAGGTTTACACAATTGACGATTCTTTAGATTCTGATGAAGCTATTAGAAAGGCTTACGAAGAGATTTTACCCAAAGACTCCAAATTTGATCTTGTTCTTCTTGGTTGCGGACCTGATGGCCATACATGCTCGTTGTTTCCAGAACATCCATTACTTGAAGTGCGCGATCAACAGATCGCTTTAATTACAGATTCTCCTAAACCACCTCCAAGACGGATCACTTTTACCTTCCCTGTCCTTGAATCATCAAAGGCGATTGCGTTTGTAGCTGAAGGTGCTGGTAAGGCCGAAGTATTAAAGGACATTTTCACAAATCCTAACTCAAAGCTTCCGTCCAAACTTGTCAATGATATTTCAGGTGTACCAGTTACTTGGTTTGTTAATGATGCAGCCATCAATGGCGTTAATGTTATTGCTTCCAAGTATTAAAGAATTCAATCGCTATTTTAAGAACAGCGTCAAAACTAACAACAACGGTAACAATAACAATACAACTAATAATATTGTCTTGCGATTACAGTTGGTACTCAATTGAGGATATATAAGTGTAGATGTTGTATTGATCGTTAGTACAACGGGTGTATTGTTATCTGGTGTTAGTGCGATCCTGCATACCAGAATGCGGAAGAGAACACGATGTTAAGCGGAAATACAAGTCTCAATTACAACCGATCAAAGTTTCCCTAATTCCTTATGAGCAGTTATCAAGATGAGTATGTATTTGAAAACGAGTTATCGTTGGAAAATTGAATTTTGGCATTAGTGAACGTTCCATTAGTCTTAGAGCGAGGGAATTGAATGGATCGGAATTGGAGGTCGAATTTGAACTAAACTTGACCGGACATTAAAGATAGTACCCCTGCCCAATTAGACTGAAGCTTGAAAGAATATTTCAGTGTGGGCCATTGAGCAGATTTACGCTATGGAATAGTTGATTAAGATCCTGTAAGTCTTCTACCGCACTATATACACAGTTGATTTGTTTATGCCGATTATGTTGAGGTTATATGGTTGCTTTTTATCATAAGTTTAAAGCCCACCTAACTAAATCTCGATACGAAATTTACCACGTTACTTGATTTCACTATTATCAGTACTAACTAATTTATTATGAAGATGATGACCCAGGAGTAGCATTGTGGCTATGCCCGAAAAAGCATACAGAACTTTATGAGAAGCTTGAAACGGTTATGGCCTCACTACAGACACTTTTCCCTGGAACGCCACCATCATTCGAACCACATGTGACCATTTCTACGAACATTGATATTGCTTTAGACGACCCTGAAAAACGGCACGATGATGTTGACCGAATCTTGGGTGCGAGTGTTGCAGCGTTGCAGTCGATCCCCGCCACAAGTACAAATAGCCCCTTAGTGCGATTAGGTCGAGTTGGCACCCAACGGTCCAAGTATAAAAAGTTATATTTCGAGGTGGCGCCGGACGCCAATTTACTTTCATTTGCTCAAATAATTCGCGAGTTATTTGTGGTTTTACCTCAATTGGTGGAAAGAGAAAACCAATTAATTAACCCACATTTGTATACTGCTGATAATCACGGGAACCGCATACGAAGAGCAAAGCTGCGTAGTAGTAAAAGAGCTTCTTCCACCAGTGAAAAGGATTCCGTCCCAACCAAACAAATCAGTCTACAACCATTACAAAACGAAGCTTCATCCGTCGCTGCGCAATGGAGTAAAAGCGAGTTTTTTCCCCACTTATCAATGGTGTATAGCGAAGTCTATCCCATTGGAAGTGCAATGTGGAGAACAATTACCACACGAATCCAAGATTATTTGGGTATTGATAATTGTGATGATCCTGTAGTGGAAGATACTGGCTTAGGTTGGAATGGGGGTGTTCTTAAACTTGTATTATGTCGTGGTGACCCACAGGACTGGATTGAATTAGGAAGCGTGGATGTTTAACTCCCATTGTAACTCTTTATCACTAAATACAACGGTATAACATATAAATTTATTGCTGTTTACTATGTACAAGAAATGTTAAATACAAAATTATTTCAAGCCGTAACAGGTTGTTGGTTGTATGTGGGTACAGCAGCCAATTCTCCATCGGTGTACAGGGCCTTGAAAAAGGAATAATTGAGAACAATATCGTCGATGTGCCTCATTTGTGGGTCCTTAGCAAAATCTGGATCGATGAAAAAGAATACTGGCATGTCAACCTCTTCCCCAGCAGCGAGACGTTGTTCCTCAAAACAGAAACATTGGATCTTATTGAAATATGGAGCTGCTTGTTCTGGAGTCACAGAGTAAGTGGCCATACCAATGATATCTTCCTTCGATACATTCTTTGCCTTATAAAAGGCCAAAGCTGTCTCTCCCGGGACAACCCAAACCTCTTTCTGTTGGGGCGAAAATTTCCAAGGCAAGATTCCCGATGCTTGACATGTAAAGCTAATTCTAATTCTCTTATTGGTATCGACGGGTATAAGTCTATCAGGTGTAAATATTCTCAAATCGGTAATTGGTACACCACCCCATCCTGTTCTTTGACACAACATCCTATAAAGAGGCACTGCTGCAAACCCTAAAGCCAAAAAGACGATTCCCAATGAAGCTGAGTAGTAAGCGGCTGAGCGATTCCTAATCTTCATTTGGGCTTCACGTTCCGCTTCAGCTCTTTGCATCGATTCGGCAAACTTGTCTTTTTGAATCTTATTGAGAAGTCTAGAACGAGTGTGAAGTGCAGAACGGCGACAACAAAGTCGTTGGACGGCAGAGTGAACGCCAGATCCTGAGAATAGGGATGGTCTAATGGCAATACGAAACATAGCGTGGTGGAATAAAGTCGTACGTTTGAATTTGTAAATTGAATTTTTCGCTTTATTGAGTTCTGTGATCTTATCGATCGACTGAACAAGGAGATCGTAGTAGAGCGAACGTTAAGAGTAACAATACAGCACATCGATACTACAATTCAACGATACGCCTCCACATCGACCCAGCGATTCAGCAACTCAGCGTTAAACCGACTCAGCAATACAACGATACCGCTTTGAGCCAGGTTGTAGTGGAACAAATTTAGACTTATATTCAACTTCCCACAATGTCAGCTCTTTTTACAAGTGTACGTTCGAGAGCTCTCTCTACTAAACCTATTAGATTCCCAGAAACAATGCCAGAAACTACAGTACCAATAAAGCCAAGAATAGGTCAATTCCGTACGGCCTTTTTCCACTCATTTCTCATTGCTTCTACTACGTATATGATTCTCCATGCGATTTGGTACCGAATGGAGCTCGAGAACGCCCAAGTAGCAATGGAAGCCAAGTCTGCGTTACTAGAACAGCGGATTCAAGAATTGGTCGACGAGAAGAAGCTCAGGTTCGATGGCCAAAAAAGATGGTATCACAAACTTAAATTTTGGACCTAAACTGCAAGAACATGTATATAGTTTACACTAGTTAATTCAAACCGTCTTGAATAATGTATTGAAAATATAAGTAAATGTCATTGTGTTGTACATCCAGTGTACGATTAGTTTGCCTTATTAAATCGACTGCTGAACTTCGCAAACCTCGAACTTGTAGTATTGGAAAACAACGATTGGTTGTCGCCCATTTGGTTCGGAGTCTGTGATCTTACTTCTTCCAAAGGAGTGTTCACGTCGAATTGAGGACTTTCTTCGCCTGAATGCATCTTGGAAATAAGTTTGAACCCTTCATCAGCTCTGATACGATCAAATCTCGCTCTAAAATCTGGGTTCCGTTTATATTCCTCATAGTCCTCGAGCAACAAGAGATCGATGCATTGGCGCAATTCATCAAACGTTTTAGTCAACACATCACTATCTGATTGAGTGGTGTCCAATTGTTGCATTGAGCTTTCCAAGTACTTGATATCCAAGTCAAAGTTCTCTATCCCAATACGATTGAACCGCGGGACGTCTTTAAGTACATTGACAAAGTGTTGGGCCACAGAATCATATGTCCGTATTAACCCAATCGTCTTGACAGCAACAGGTAATGTAGCAAAGATGGACGTAAACAAGTTCTCCAAGAACATGGCAAAGTCTTTGATAGAATAATTGGATTCTGAGTTTTTAACGGTAGGTAGCCAATCGTCCAATTCAACCATATCCAATAATTCTGAAATCTTCCCATCCACCATAGCAAATATAGTTTGTTCCGCAAATTCTCGGAGCCTCTTGAACTCGTCAACGGCTCGAAGCGTATACACATTGTCGTTCCCATGAACTCCAAGGCCCATGTTGACTCTCAACCTCCGGTTAATCAACTTCCCAATCTCAAAAAGACTGTACAAATAGTATTCCAAATTAGTATAAGATTGGGCGACAATCTCCTTGTTACTGGCATTCTTCTCGATGAAAGCTCTCATGTCGTTACAGATACCGTACCCCTTTTCGCTTCCCAAGATTCGTTCAAAGATTTCGTTGACAATAATTGAATTCAACTCCGTGATCTCCATGCCGTAATGCATTCGGGTGAAGTGTAGGATGTCATCTAGCAAAGATCTGATCCCCAAACAGAAATGAACATAATCCTCACTGAAAGGTAAGCTGACAGGCATTCGTGTTATCTTGGAAGGAGCAAAATACTGGTCTGGCTTATACCAACAAATCTTCATGATTCTATCGTAGTCATCCTGATTGTTTATAACCAATGGCATATAATGGTCGGATTGAATGGCTTCTAAGAACTCCGACCTAAAATCTTGGATTAACTCGGGAGTCAATTGGTTACGGAAAAGTGACATCAATATGTCGTAAAGATCATTGATTCGAAACCCATTATTCTCCATGATTTGCATGAAATTACCTATTAGATTTTTCACTGATTCGAACTCACTAAAGCCGTGCAACTGGGTTTCAATAAAACGAGCTAAGACCGGCTTTAATTTCGCCACATAGGAGTCCCATAAATCATTCGAATTCGCTTGGGTTCTTAATTGGTATTTGGTCGACAAATTGATCTGGCGATCTAAAACAAACAATGCAGCTATTTTCCGAAGATAATGGTCTAAAGTATTGATATCTTGGAACTCTGCTATCGATTGAGCGGTGGCAGAAGTTATGGGGTAAATGACTCGGTTGTATCTCTTCATCCATTCCTTGTGGTATAAAGCTTGTAGTTCCTCTTCTTCGTTCATTGTCAGATAAACTAGGATGGAATCAAAAATGGTTGATAAGTCGATCACCAAATTAGCGTCGTTCAAAATGTTAAGGTTAGTCAGTGGGTCTCTGCTGACAACTTCGACCGGTGAATTCAACTTATGCGATTTGAACGTAGGATTTTTTTCACGTTCTGCTTCCCAATTGGTTTGAAGTATATGTAAGTTATCGTACAATCTGTTACCCACTTCGATCAACCGTCTTTCCAAGTTCATTGATAGCCATTTGTTTAAATTATCGAACGACTCCTCTTTGATCATGTTGGTCAAATGAGGAATGGAGTCATAGATCTTAAGTGAAAAGCTAAAGTTCTCAACCTTGGGCAAATGAATATTCTTCAATTCGTCTATCAGCTTTAAAGCACTAAAGTATTTGTGTTGTTTAATAAGGTCATGGATTCGGTTTGTACTTTCCAACACTTGAATACACAAGTTCAACACAACGCTGGTTTCTTGGATCTTGTTCGAAACTTCCTTAGCCCTTATATACTTCTTTTTCCTCACCACTAAATCTACTACTGAATCGTTTAAAGAACGACTAACGTCGACTAAACTTTCGCTCATACCTCGTGCGTCTGTGTGGATCTCGTCAATGGTATCAATACAACTATTAATATCCTTAGTTGAACTCAATGACAATTCTGCTAATTCTTCGTCCTTTTCACTAACAATATCGTTCAATTTGTAGATTAAATCGGAGAGTCCATTGGATTTAACGGCATCCTTTATTATGGGGGCCAAACTGTTTAAGTAATCTTCCGAGTTTAAGGACGTCTCATAGATGTTGTCGTCACGTAGTAAAAGGTTCTCTAATACCCCTGTTTCTATGGTGGGCCTTTCACCCGCAGTGGTAGCAGCTGGGGCCATCTTATGCTATATGTGTTGTAGGGGAATACGAATACACCATTCGTATATCAAGTAAGTTTTGGTTTTATCTGTTTCAGTCGACTGAATTGTTCGCGGTACACGAAGACAAAACAAAGGCTATGACTCCGTAGAACATTTATTGATGGTAAAGTAGATCATATTTTATACCGCGAGTAGTCATCAACCTGCAGCATAACATACTTCAGTAAAATGATACCGAATCATGTTTTAGTGGTGGGACCACCACATAGTGGTAAACTACGAATAGCCCAAGAAATTGGAGAAGAATTGGAATCTCCCACCATTAACCAAGATTCTCATAGCGGGCTAATCTTTCGAAAGAAACTCTCCACGCGATACTTTTCTACCAACATCAATATTCTAGTGGACGAGTACCCTGGAGCTCGAGCTGATGACGTGGGTTCAGACTCTGCCAAAGCGAAAGCACTCGAAGAATGGGCTGGCGAGTTCATGTCTGATGAGATGACCGAACTTCGCGACGCTTTAGATGGCCTCATATTTTGTCTTGATTCGAATGACAAATTAGAACATTTGGAACGATGTCTTGAAATTTTGGAATCAATTCGTAACGTCCTTACACCGGAAGATGCCTATGCTTGGCCAGGATTCATTGTAGTGGTTGTCAACGGGCTTCCTGAGGAAGACAGTTGTTTAGCCATTGAAGATTTAGCTTTAGTTCGTGGATTGGAATGTGTCAATTTGAAACAGAGTGGTTACAACGAATACAACGAAAGATTGGGTCTCGGTCGAATAAAAGAACTATTTGATTCGCACGAATGGTCGAGTACGAGTAATGAAGTAGAAGAAAAACCATCAACGTCTAATCTGTATGAGCAAAGAAAAACAGTACAGATACAGTCGATGACAGAACCAATACTTGCAGCTGAGGAGAAAGAGACCAATGAGGAACAACCCTTCGAACTATCAGAGATATTACAACGACTTTCGCTTGAAAAGGAAAAGGCAGCTGGGATGCAAAACAAAGAGCAAAAGGAAGCTTACGTACGAAAAGTTATAGACGAAATCATTGATTACATTTGATACAACGTTCTATTATTGTATAGTCTAATTATTTGTCTCTAGAGCTTACTAAGTGGTGAATCTATGCTATACTCGATCTGGTAGCCAGGTTCAAAATAACATTCCTGACAATCTTCGTCGGCGACACCATTTTCGTGGATCAATACTGCGAAGTCCAAATGTGGAATGGTCTCATCCACAACAACCATCGGTGCGTGCCATGTCCCCATGCCATATGTAATTGATTGGTTCCCCTTACAAACGAAGGCTTTCACCAGTGAAGGATCAGGCAACAGCTCAGGCGTTGCGGGATCAGACTTTGCAACAATGACAATGTATGATATCTTAGATAACTCTTGGCCCATAGGAATAAACGTCTGGGTAGAATATGGATGTCTTTCTAATGCCTTAGCAGTATACTGATGGGTGGAGTTGCTCTTCGTGATTAAGTGAACTGGAGCCTTGCATCTAAAGATATTCCAGTTGGCACTGGCTGGAGTCCCACTGGGTGCCTCTTTATAATTATTAACTATAGGCGAGACCTTATGAACCTTAGTAGCCGTGCCATAATTAGCAGCAGAGGATTTCACTGTAGCCATTTGATGGTCTGCACTGATGACCCCTCCATATGGTGCAAATGCCTCTGGAGTTAAGGGCTCGGTTTTGATTGGTGGTACTCCCAGTACACTGAACGTCTTCAATACCATGATGATGATGAAAGTGATGTTTGAATCAATCAAATCAAGTCCTTCATAATGATAAATTCTTCTTATCTAAGACCCCGGATTTTGTTACTCGGAAATCTCCGGATAAGTAGGCATGACCCGATCTCAACAGACGGGAACAGAATATGAAAATTGCTTACAAGTTGATGAACTTCTATTATGACCTCATACAGCGTCAGGCATCTTCTAGAATCTCTGAGTGCAACGTGAATTCAGGGTGTAACTTCTTCTTGCATAGTGTTGCTGTCAACAGACATTCTCTCGGCTTCAGCTTTAACGGAGACTGGGCCTGAAATAGGATAAAATCCATTATATACGAGACTGTATATATGTAGACTTCCTAATGTGGAAGGGTGTATAAACAAGATGGCATGTCTAGACTACCGAATAAAGTAGCCCATGACATTCTATTATCATGTAAAGCAATCCTTTACCACCTATGTGAAACTGACTATTGAAGGACCAAAAAGTATTTAACTGGTCCAATTGAACGACTTTAAGATGGTGTTTTGATATTATATCACTATAGAATCACTATAGAATCATTATTCAATTACAATTACAATTATAATCACAATTACAATATGTCTTTTCTTTCCAAAGTCTCCTTAAAGGGTAAGTCATCAATTATCACTGGTGGTACCAAGAACTTAGGAGCTTTAACTGCTCGTGAGTTTGCCGCTTTAGGATCGGATTTAATCCTCCACTATCACTCTCAAAGTGGAACACCCGAAGCTGAAAAGTTGAAGAAGGAATTAGAAAGCGAATATGGAATCCAAGTGTTTCTTTTCGCCGGTGATTTGAAGCACCAAAAGGCCAATGAAGACTTGTTTAAGTTTGCTATCGACAAGTTTGGTAAGGTTGACGTAGCAGTAAATAACGTTGGGATGGTGATGAAGAAACCACAAGTTGAATTCACTGAAGAGGAGTTTGAAACCATGGATGACCGTAATAATAAGGCAGCCTTCTTCTTTATTCAAGCCGCTTCAAAGTACGTTGCTGAAGGAGGTAGAATCATTTCTATTGTAACTTCGTTATTGGCTGCTTATACTCCAAACTACGGTGTTTATCAAGGTACCAAAGCTCCTGTTGAGTATTACTCCAAGGCTGCTTCTAAAGAGCTTCACGGTAAACAGATTGCTGTCAATTGTGTTGCTCCTGGTCCAATGGATACTCCATTCTTTTATGGACAAGAGACTAAAGAGTCTGTTGAATTCTGTAAGTCCTGTGGTATGGGAAACAGATTGACTAAAATTGATGATATTGTTCCTATTTTACGATTTTTGGCTACAGAAGGTGGTTGGATCACTGGACAAACCATTTTTGCTTCCGGTGGGTTCACTGCCCATTAAATATCATATGATATTTTTATATTTACGTAACTAAATAGTGTGTGTTCCATAGTTACGAATTGAATTGATATCTGTATATGACCCAAGTGAATATTTAAATTTTTCTATAGTGAACGTCGTGTCCTTTACAACTTCGCGAACTGGTGATGTTTTCGTATTTCACTTCGGTATACCATGATGATGGCAATAAAGAATTGCTACCCCCGCATCTTTCTTGTACATGATTGATGGATATATAGCTAACTGTGTGTCATGAGCTACAAGGAGTTTGTTCACTTGAAGTATGCATCTGAAAGGGCCAAGGCCGAAATGGAAAGCATGTCTGAAGACGGTGCCACTTTAGTTGATGGCGATAACACCAGACTAACAGCAGGCGACAACACTAACAATAACAATAATGACGACTATGCTAATGATGACTTCCCTGCTCAGGTTGTATACATTCCTGATGAGCATCAGTTCACCGAAGATTCACAAACACTTATTGAAGGATCATCGTCGTCATCGTCAAAAGTTCACCGGCTCGGAGGTTCGAAGCTGATGAAGAAGCGGACTTTAGAATCCTCAGTACAGCAAATACGTTACAACGATAATAAGTTAGCCTTGGATAGATCAATTCATCAGACCATAGAACTTCTTTACGAGTTATCTAGAGAGAATGAACAAAGACCAGTGTTCTACCCTACCACTACGATTAGCAGCGAGAATAGTCAAATGTTAAACTCCGCCAAAGCACATTTGGCGTTCATAAGAAATAAAAAAGTTGATGCCAAGAGTCTGAACGATTTTAAGGTTGAACTTGATTCGCTTCCCGATTTCAAAGTGTTGCGTATCAACGTTCAGTTGGACCGTCATCCATCCAATAACGTTGTAGCAGATTTGGACAAGAAGTCCATTGCAAAGCTCTTACAGCTGAAGATCCAACTGCAAGTGAAGTACTTACTCAATTTGAAAGATAGAATCGATGATACGTCGTCCAAGGTATTTGTTACTGGAGACTTGAACTCGGGGAAATCCACCTTTTGTAATGCCTTGTTAAGACGTAAAATCTTACCGGAAGATCAACAGCCGTGTACCTCTGTATTCTGTGAGGTTATAGATGCTAAGAAGGAGAACCACGGTACTGAAGAAGTCCATGCTATCCCGATAGGTAAGGAATATAGTGCTCGGGATCAAACTACCTACGAAATATACCCTTTAAAGGCATTGGAGGACTTGGTAGGTGAATGTGACAAATATAGTTTATTGAAAGTGTATGTTTTGGAAGGCAGGAAATTCCATGAAAGCTTGTTGCACAATGGAGTCATTGATATTAAATTGATTGATGCACCCGGTTTAAACATGGACTCCTATCAAACCACCCAAGTGTTTTCCAGACAAGAAGAAATCGATTTGGTTGTGTTTGTTGTCAGTGCTGAAAATCATTTCACTCTTTCAGCAAAGGAATTTATTTCCGCTGCTGCTGCTGAGAAGAGATATGTGTTTATTGTGGTCAATAAGTTTGATAATATTCGTGATAAGAACAAGTGCATGAGTAAGATCTTGGAGCAAGTCAAGAGTTTGTCCCCAGATACATACAAGAATGCTCTGGAGTTTGTTCATTTTGTTAGTGCTGAAGATTTTGTTCCCCCTGATGGTGATGGTGATGATGATGATGATGATGACGGTGATGATGATAATAATAATAATAATAATGACGATCCTAATTTTGACAACTTAGAAGCATCATTAAAGAAGTTTATACTTGAAAAGAGATCTATTTCAAAGCTTTTACCAGCCAAAAGTTTCTTACTTAATATCTTGAATGATTTGGAAACATTGTCTACCATTAACGAGAAGATCTACATCCAAGAGAAAGAAGAGAACATGGAAAAGTTGAGGACTTCTATTGTGCCTAAGTATAATGAAGTTATGAAAAAGAGTCATAAAATTGCCGAAGCCATTACCACTGTGATTGAAGAAACTTGTACCAAAGTTTATGATGAAACCAAACTTGAAATCATCGACACAACTGTCAATTTCGGGGATTCACCGGTTGTCCCCTTTGTTGGGTTCCAATATCTCTATGAATATGCAAAGCAAACTCAGGTTGTGATGATTGATAGCATTCTATCGTGTATTCAAAAATGTGAAGAAGAAACTAAAGTTGAAACCGAAAAGGTGGTCGACAGGATCATTCTGTTTGGGAAGAATAATTTAGGTGATGAATTTTTGCAGGACAAGGTATTCAAATCAGATTTAATGTTCACAAGAAAGAGAGATACCATCAAGAAACAATTGGGAAGTCTGATTTATTTTAGTGATTTTTTTGATCCTAATTGGGAATCATTCTTAGTATGGCTTGGGATTCCAAAGTCGTATGTTCAATCGACTCAAGATCATATTAATCAATATAATCCTATTGCAGCACTTGCTACTATTCCATCGAGCGTTCAATCATTAAAAAATACCATTTCTTCTCCAGTCACTTTACAAACCATCTATGCTTCAGGGAAGATCCTTACAGCCGGTGCTGTTGTTAGGAAGGTTTATGATGCTTCCTATTATGTTACACCTTCTAATTTGAAACAGATTGCAACTCCTTTACTTCTTGGTGTTTCGAGTATGGCCATCATCTATTTGGTTTCAGATATGCCAAATGCATTCCCAAGAAACCAAGCCAAAAAGTTACGTAAACAAATTGTGGACTTGGATTATGCTCATGTTAATGCCACCCGAATGGCTCAAGAATGTCGTCAAGTTTTGAATTATCCTTCAAGACAAGTGATGAATAATTTCCAGACCACCATTGACAAACGGTCTGTTGAAAAGGAAGAACTTGAAAGGGCAATTAAGGATTCGGAGTTAAGTTATGGATATTTCCACGATTTATTAAGAAAGGTCCAATCCCAGAAGCAAGAAGTTGATGATATTGATTTGGAAACCATTCATTCGGTTGAATAATAATAACAGCTTTTCGTCTGTGTGAGTCCTCTTATATTTTGTCTATAGTTTTTGATGTCATGAATTGTATTATACCGGCTTGTATTTAGTTTCGATATAGTTCATTGACATCCTTTTTTATAACCGTTTCAAATAGTGTTGTCTTATAATGAACAAGGTAACTAAGAACGCGCAAAAGGCGAGAGCACAAGCAACTTCAAAAGCTCCTTTGTAACATTCATTACCCAAATAACAAATACCAGTTTCGTTATTGGTGTTCAGATCATAAATGTGGCCAAAATATTTGTTCAACACGAATAAAACAACCATAGGTCCAGTGCAAATTAATCCCCAAGTAGTGGTAAAAGTTCTGGTACCGAAAAAGTCTGCTATAACAGCAGGATAAGTTCCAAAAGTTAATCCGTAACAAGACCCTACTATTGCTGAGGAAACTGTGATCATATAAGATTCATTCAGATGAATCAAGATCTGTTCACCTGCAATTAAAAGTAAAAGGGTGAACACAACTATCCATAATCTTTGAATATGGTACTTCTTATAGATGAAATCAGAAAGAATCCCCGAGATTACTCTCCCGGAAAACGAACCAATGGAAATCACGGCCACTTGTAAAGCTTGTAAATGTGAAGCAGCTTCTTTAGTTTCCTTTAAGTTGGAATAGGCTGGATCTTGACCTCTGTTGTATTGGGCAGTAACCACAAACCCAACGGAATAAATATACATTTGACCAATCCCACTTGCTAATGATACAACCACAAAATGAAGTAAGAAAGCCTTATCAGTCAATCTATTCAAAATTACCTGTTTCAAGTTTGTTTTCTTGGTCACTACTGGAGTTCTAATTTCTGTAATCATTGCTTTTGTTTGTTGAGTTTCAGTTTCTGTTGCATCAGCCATAAATTGGGTATTAAGAGATGGGGTGTAATCACCAGTTTCTCTTCTACCACCTTGAGCTTGTGGTTTTGATGGTGGTAATATTGGTGGAGCAGCTGCTATAAGTGAAGTGACAGAAGCTCTTGGAGTTCTTGTACCAATACCCCAGAAACTAAAGGAACCTCTTAAAGATTCATCATCATTATCACGAACCATTGGAGTACTTTGAGCATCACATTCAAGTAAACTTTGAGTCACAGACTCTGTGGCTTCACTTGGTTCATTATCACCTTCAACAATTGTTTCTTCATCAATTGCAAATTCTATTTCATCTTCATCATGATCCAAATAAATTCCTACAGCCCAAGAACCAAAAAATGTCACTGCTCCACAAACTATAGCCAAAAACTTCAAGAATCCAGCAGTATCATGGACATAAAATGTAGCAGAGACAGCAGAAAATACAGTAGCAGCTAAACCATAAGCACTGATGGGGCCAGCACCAGCAGCACCTTTATGTTTAGGGAAATTTGATTGACAAGCTTTCAAAGTAGCATAGAATGAAATAATTGAACCAAAACCAATTGAAACCATGGCAATACAAATTAGTAAAAGAATTCCAATCACATCTTGATAAATATGATAAATGGAAATATAACCAATAAAGATACAAAGAGACCCCAATAAAATAGACCACCGAGGACCAAAATGATCAATTATCATACCTGCTGGTAACCCACCAAAACCTGTACCCATATTAGTAGCCAAAGAAATTGTAGCTGAATCCGAAGCCGTAAGTCCAACATGACGAACCAATTGAGGCGAATAAACTCCATATAAATATGGTGTACCAGCTGCCAACGATACTACTACTGATACCACCAAAGTAGTTAGCCGCAACCCCAAATGGGATGGTCCCCTCTCAGCTTCCCCAAGTGTTATAGCCATTTGCTGAATCTTGTCTGAATTTTTTTGAAAAGATAACAAGGGGATGGGATTATTTATATAGCTGATGATCTCGGTATTCCAGGAATAAACGATCAGAAGTGTACACTGTGGCTGTTTATTATTTAACAAATTGTATTTGTTTATCTTCTTTATCTCTATCTATCTTTGGCTGTACAGAATCTTTATCAGTTGCACAATACCACGTTTCAGTTATGTAAATGTTTATGTAATAAAGAGCACAATGTATAAATGTGATCTATCACAATAATAATAAAATTATACATCAAGTACAATGTACTAGATACATCTGTCAGTATTTATATGTCTGTTGGTTAAGTAAGTATAGCTTACGGTTATTGCCGCTGAACTGAACGGAACTACATGTATTACAACGTATCACATATATGAAACAGAAAAGAGAGAAGATAAAAGCTTTTCCATATACTATCATTGCTACGGATTTATAGATAAGGGACGTGTGGATACCATATAATTCATTCCAACGGGAGTGAAAAATAAAGTTAAAAATTTACTTCGGAGGTCTCCATGATTCAAAATATGATAATGAGTAGCATTTAACTATCGGCATTACTGGTGATTGCTGTGAGGGACTGTATACCGTGAGTGACGAGTACTTTAACGTGAGAACTTAAATACTACTGTTATTTTAATATATTTCAATACGTGATTCCATTATGGGTAGGCTCACAAATTCTGATTTCTTGAAGGAATTAAAGGCTATTCTCGGAGCCAATGAAGGTAAATCTTCCGTATACTTAGTACAAAAACGATTATCTACACCATTACCTGTTGAAATGTCAGAGAAGGAAGATTCCATTTCGGATTTACCATCTAATGTTGTGGTTAATAACCACTTTAATAACAATACACAACAATATCCTGTATTAGTACGGGTGGCGACTGGTCATAATGAAAAGAAAACTAAACAGAAGCTTTCTACTGTGGTTGAAGTGGATCAATTGGATCAATTCTGGGTAGATTATGTTCAAGTAATTAAAAGTGGATTTGTGGGGTTGAAAAAGAAGGAAAAGAAGAAGGCCAAAAAGGGTAAGGTATCCAAGTAATATAAATATAAATATACATATCATAATGCATACACGTACATACACATGTACATACACGCGTACACATACCCACAATTCAGACTCCTCTATTCTTCCATAAGTAATAACCCACTGGGATATATGGAATTAACACTACTAATAACATCACTCATCTGATGACTAAGATCTGCAAATGGTGGAACGGAAGATTTAAGTTTGAATTCATATCTCATTTTGAAATCCTTGAAAATTTGCTGGGCTTCTTCATCACTCATGACAAGATCTATACTATTATGAGTATCTTCATCTAATAATCCATGACTTAATAATTCCACATAGAGAAACACATCCTCCACTTTAAAATGACTAGGGAAAAATACCGTTTGTCTAGAACCATCAGACATTTTTATCGCTACACGAGCTGTATCACCATTGGATGCACAAGTATTATTTTTTAACTTGAGGAAAGTGTCTGCTTTATAACGTAAATATTTCTTCTTTAACTTTTGAAATTCCTTTTCCTTTTTCTTTAATCGATCTTGTGCCAAAGACTGCTGATATTTCAAATCTTGTTGTTTCAAAAGTACTTGGCTCATAAACTTATCGCTTAACTCATTCCGGATGAGTGATAATTCAGACTCGTATTTCTCTATTCTTTTAGTAAACTTATTTCGAATCAAGCTCTCAATATCCGTTTGATCTCTCAAATTGCCTTGGATCTTCAGCACCAATGATATTCTGGCGGGAGTCTTCACAGGTCCTTGTGGTGACATGGTGGTTGTTCTGGTTAGACATAAAAGTCCTAAAAAAGGGAACTTGGTCACATTCAAACTATTGGCTACTTGATAAGCTTCCAGATCAGTAACACATCCTCCCCAAATTATAACATTGGGAGTATTCTTTATCATCTTAATAAATTCTCCATTGGTTATAATCTTATTGAAAATAGATGATCCATTCTCATTCTGTAAAGTCGATAAATAAACAAATAAAAACTTCCCTCTTTGAGTTGCCATATAAAGTGCTTGTGAATAACTTCCTTGATAGAATGGTGGTAACCGGATAGAAGGATCCACGTTTAATAAATCTGGCAGAAGTTGATCCTCTAATTCCCGTACAAACTTATTGGCTTTATCAATAGGATCATAATTAGTTGGACTGCTTGCTGATCTTGGTCGAGGATAATGATCTTTGAAATACATCACATTGAAAAGTATACTGATACTTCGAACAACAATCAATGTTGTAATGATGAACACTTTAATAATTATATAGTTAATCCATCGACTACCATTAACCATGGAATCTTGGATCTTTGGCCACCATTGATTGCTTTTGCTTCTACCTTCTTCAATCCCTATGTCTTCATTGGGGAACCCTCCAGGAAGACGGTTTACGACGGTATCATTGTTTGTCACTGGCAAGTATTGTGAATGATCACGTCGTGCTAACCGTTGAAACCAACTAGTTATAGAATTGGTTGTCATTTTAATGTAGGGCAAACATCCGGTTACCGCCAACAATTAGTTAAACTGAAAATAAAGCTAGATTTGATACTCAACTATTTTCCTGCATATTTCCGTATATCTTATCTTATTTTATTGTGCCCTTTTCTTTTCAAGAAAGCGCCTGCGTAGCGTAATGGTTAACGCGTTTGACTTCTAATCAAAAGATTGCGGGTTCGACTCCCGCCGTGGGTTCTTCTTCTAAAGCGGATTTAGCTCAGTTGGGAGAGCGTCAGACTGAAGTTTAAACTCCAGTCACAGTTAATCTGAAGGTCCTGTGTTCGATCCACAGAATTCGCAATTTTTTTCAAAGGATATACAACTTCTTTTTTTGTTTAAGACTATTCTGCTTTTTATAGGCATAGCGTAAAACTGATTCTAAATAGTCTTTATATGTACAGAAATGGATATATGAACAAATGAAACATATGATAAAATCATATAAAATTATCAGAAAATATCACCAGAATCAGCCAAATCTTTTTGAGCTCTACGATTCCAATAAGTATGATTGAACTCCCAGAAGGCATCACCAGTAACTGGATGGCGTCTTTTAACGAACCAATTGGGGCGATAGACTTTCTTGGCGATTTCCCGTTCCTTTCTAGCTTTTCTTTGCTTAACTTCGACTCTATTTTTCTCGTCTGCAGCGAAATCATATTTACCATCTTCCATTGCTCTTTGATCAGGTCTAAGTCTAGTATCAGTTGGAGGTAACCAAGGTCTTAAAGCATCATCTATACCGTTCAATGTGGTAGCAAAAGCAGTTAAATTGAATGGAACTTTAGGTCTAGGAGCACATTGCCAAACTAAAAATTTCTTCCCACCATATGGGTCAGTAGAATTACCTCCTTCATCAATAATATTACTGGCTTCACCAGTAACTTTCATATCTTTAATATGTTTTGCAAAGATCTTTGAATTCCAATGTCCTGCCATTGCCCAATGAGCTTTACCACTGGAGTCACATGCTTGTCCAGATAATTGATAAGCAGAAGATGCTCTCCAACCTCTTTGTTTCATATCAACTACCATAACATCACCAGTGGTATGGTTTGTGACATGCATAGCACCATAATTATCAACAGTAGGGTTCCCAATCATAATACCCACAACAGCAGTATTAACTTTCTTCCAACTGTATAATTCTTCAGTAACTTTCTTACCATTTTCATCAATAACACCATTATCAGGCCTCATAACACAAAACATCTTACCTAAATGTTTGAAATCAAACAGCCTACCTCTAAACTTTGAATCAACGGCATTTTCTCCATAATAATCCCATTTAACTGATTCAACGTGACAAGCACTAATTGGTGGATGATGGCTAACTTGTTCCGTAATCAACCTATAGTTCTTATCAGGACGACAATACTCAAAGGTTTCACCTAATAAAGGATTGAATGGTTTAGCAATTCTGTCAATGGTTGATGCATATTCAGATGCTGCAAAGGCTGCAACATAAATCATCCGTAAAGTAGAATCATCGTATCCTGCAGCTGTATCTAATAGAGTACTATATTCAATATCTTCTGCCAAACGTTGTAAAAGTGAAGTAGGTTCATTAAATGAAACTGGCAAAGTCATCCTTGTCATGTCTTTGCCAATCATCGATTTAACAACCCCCCATAATCCAACTTTAGGTCTATCATCTTCATCAAGTAACAATTTTGTTCTAGGAGGATTTTCATAACCATTGTATGAGTCTTCCTTTTCAATTAGAAGTTTCTTCTTCAATTGAGGTTCATTTACCACTTTCAATCCACCATTTGCAACGGTGATATAACCACGCGCTTCAGATTCTTTGGATATTTCGATTTCTCCAGAAATAGCCAATTCTGCCTCTGACGTGCCTAAGGTAAACTTCAGCTCAGCCTCCTTCTTTTCATGAACTGTTTCCAAATCAGGCTTTTCAGCAACAGTTGTCCTTGTCAGTGTATCCTGTTCATCGAGTTCTGGCTTCTCTCCTTGTACCTCGTCATTATCATCAATCAATTCATCTGCATCAAAGAATTCGTCTTCAGAATCCTCGAGAATTTCTTCTAATTCGTCTTCTAATGCAGTATCACCTCCAGCAATACTAGCAATAGAAGCACGACGGATAGCTTCACCGTTGGCCAAAGATGAGATATCGGCACTTTCTGGTGCTTGTCCTTCTAATGATAAGACTTGAGGAACCTTATTAAGAGACCCAGACTTGATGATCTTCTTCAATTGTTTCCGCTGACCTTCATAGGCAGCTAATTTTTCTTCCCGACTTTGGAATTCCGATTCTAATTGACGAATGGATTGTTCCCACAACTTATTGATTTCCAACTGTCTTTCTAGTTTAACTAAGGTCCGCTTCTCTCTTGTAGAAACCAATTTGTTGTATTTGGAAAGTAAATCTGAGATGGTATTCATTGTGTTAAGACCAACTTCACAGAATTCCGCATCTTCGGGATCCTCTTTTTTAACATGTGAAAGCTTTGTAATCAAATCAACAAACCCAGCAATCTCCATATCGATAGATCTCTTTATTGTGAAAGCCAACTCTGAATCATCAGCAGTTACTCCACTAACACTGTCAGTGATCCCACTACGTTTGGAGTATATTTCTGTTTCGCTGCTTGAGTCTTCGTCTTCGTCAACGTCGTTATCAAAGTTTTCAAGATCTTCTTGATCATCAAAGTTTCTATATTTAATAGAATCAGTTAACGAAGTCACTGATCTATTTTCAAAACTGATTCTGGTAAGTGAATTTGATCTTGAAGGAGGGGCCGAGTCATCCTCAAAAGATCCAGTTGATCCTACGCTTGAAATTCTTTTGTGGCTTCTTCTTTTCATTCTTCTAGGAATACGCAATAGTTTCTTTGTTTTACTCTCCAGTGATAATTTCCGTTTTGGTTCATCATCAGGTGCATTACCTAAGTTGCTTGGAACATAATGCTTAGAATCTTCAATAGAAGATGTTTCCGTCACAGTATAACTAGGAATAGCAACATTGTTGTTTCCGGCATTTCCGGTGAGTGCTTCAGGGCTATTAGAACTACCGGGTGTATCTGGCTGTTCATCCACAATTGAACCTCTAAGCCTTCTCTTGATATTATCTTTGGAGATTGTGATGGCATTTTGAAGATTCCAAACCCATCTATTTGTTTCAGTGGCATGATTGGCTTTTAAATGTAATCTTATACCATTTTTACCAATAATTTCAAATTTCAGTTTCTCTGAAGAGTCAAGGTGTAAAGTGGCATATCCCAAGTTAATTGAGCCTCTGCAAGCGTTAGAAGTATCATCTTGATCGGTATAATACGATAAAATCCCATTAGAATCCAAAACAAAATATCTCAATTTATATCCACCAGCGAAATTGGTCCATTTACGTAAATATCCTTTATAAGTGGGGATAACACCTGCTTTCCCTGAATTCTGGGAATTTTGTACTGGATCCATCATAGTTTGTTCCTTGGAAGCAGATTGTAATAATTTACGTAAAGGTTCATTTTTTGGATCAACCAAATCACTTGGTAAACATCCCTTTTTATCTCTTCTAAATGGATCACCGCCATGTTTCAAGATCCATTTACACATTTCCAAATCATTCTTGCTTATAAACTCATGTAAGACGGTATTACCAGTTTCCGGATCAGCACCATTGATATCTAACAATTCAGCGGCTCTCAGATTACCCACCAATAGTTTTTCCAATTCCTGGTAATCTCTGTTGATAAAATATTCTCTTAAGCTTAATGCCAGGGTCTCCACAAATTTAGCTCTTTCATATTGCATCACCTGAGCAATGTTCAAGTCCTTACACATTTCCACCGGTTGTTCCTTATTACCATTCAAGATAGTATCATTAATGTTAGGCAATGATAACAAATATCTCACCACTTCCAATCTACTAGAAGCAGCGGCCAAGTGTAAAGGAGTATTACCTTCTTTATCTTGAGAATTAATATCAACAAAGGGGAACTTATCAACAGATTCAACAATATATTTAATGGTAGACAATGGAGACACTTGAACAGCATAATGTAAGATGGTTTCTCTTAACCCTAAGATCTCACTATTTTGCATAGTAACCTCCACCGAAAGATCCTCAACTAACTTATCTATACGTTTCGAATCTCCGCTACGTAAAGCATCAAGGAGCTTCAATCTCATGAGCGAAGTGCTCACTTGATTAGCTGACATTGCGATACACTAAACAACGAAATTGATTAAAATTAAAGGATTAGATTGACAGGGTTATTGTGAACTTTATATATAACAGGTACAATATGTGGCCAGTAATATTAATAATTGTTGTTCATTCATTTAAAGTATGGGGGTGTGAACGTACTTCGATTTCAAGCTAACGTGTGGATCCCCGGGTCGTGCATATGCTCAAGAATCATAAAGGATGACATAAGACCAACCGCATATAAAAAGTCAGCTATAAAGCCGAATTGAATGGTTCATATGTCTACCTAAGTCTACAAACAGTATTGGGTATTGATATGTAATGTTACTGGTCTAATTTGTGGTCCATTTTAAATTAGTAAAAAGGGTTTTTATTGAACCTCTCTCGGTAGCCTCGTCTAAAAAGTACGTAAATCTGAACGAAATCATAATGTGAGTGGGGCAAAAGGGGTACAATAATAACCAGGGAATAAAAAAGAATTGATTCCATCGAGGATCGAACTCGAGACCTTCTCTGGGTGAGAGAGACGTCATACCGCTAGACCATGGAACCGCTTCTGAATATTGAACAGATAGAGATTTTAGGAATGTTGAGGAGCTTTATATTTAGGATTATTCCAAAGTTGTTACATTTAGAACATGATATCGTTGTTATAAAGTACTAAGTGTTTTCCCACGATTATATGGTATATTTCAAAGAAAGTGTAAATATAATGGACCACGACTTTTGATTATTAAGAAGCGAAATAATTTACAAAAAGATTCATCATTACATAAGAATTACTTCTACACCATCAAGCTTATAGCCATGCACTTAATTTCCATCTTTAATGCCAGAAATTGAATATGCATCTTCAAATGCATTGAAAACACAATCTGGTACACCCACCTGTTTAGCAAATGCCATTCCTCCTAATGAGAACTTCCCTCCACTAACTTCATTTAACCACTTGATTGCATTGGTCTTCTTCTCTTCATAACCAACATTATACTGGGGAATGCAATCTTGTTGTAAGGCGTACGAGATAACAATATCTGAATCATTAATGGGAGTACTCAATTTTTCACCTGGTTTCAATATTATCAATCGATGCTCTGAAAGGTCTATGCCTAAATATCTCGTCAATGATTCCCTCACTAACCGTAATCTAATATTTTCAGAAGGAATCTCTCTATTATAATGTGGCCCACCAAACATAAATGTTATTTTATTATATGAGTCTAGGGGTTGTGCTGTCTCTGTCTCTTCTAAAGATTCTCTCTCAAACAACTGGACGCTATTTTGCTCGATATCCGAATCATTGATAGTTCCTAATAGCATTTCGGGAGTCTTGGTACTACGAGGAACCAAGAACCCAAACCCGTGTTTGTTGATCAACTTCGCTGACTTGGAGTAAGCATTCACAAGGAAAATCGTGGCATAATCTAAATTGAAAGTATCTTTATTTCTTCCAATTAAGTTTGCCAACGTGTTGCTGTTGATTGTTGAGCGAATATGATCAAATTTCTTTGGCACCCCTTCTTTGGAAGTTGTAATGGTCAAGTTCTTAGGATCGATGGCCGTTATGTCTGTCCCATATTCTATAGTGGTGGTAGTCGTATTCTTATTCACCCCTTCTGATTCCAAATATGACGCTATAGCTGTGGGTAGTACCTGTAGACCATCCTTTAACTTTAGCATGGAGAATGAACTCAATTGCGACTTCAAGGAGTTCAAGCCTGCTTCAGGTGCAATTGACTCCTCATATTGACGTAACACTGTGGTTTCGGGATCAACAGATTCAGATTCAGCTTGAGAACGAGATTTGAACCAGCCTCTAACTAAAGATCCATGGTCGTCTTCAAACTTAACTAATTGGGGGAAAATTGATCGAATACTTAACTTGGAAGGATCACCAGAATACACCCCATAAATAATGGCACTTAACATGTTATCTATCAATCGAGCGTTCCCAAATCTTCGTTTAAAAAATGATTCTATGGATTCATCCGTAATTTGGTCCTTCTTTGTAGTCGATTTCTGAAATGGTTCACGTAGTATGCTCAATGGTACGCCCTTTAAAATACCTGTTTCCAAGAATTTTAGGGTAGATAATGCAGAATCGGGGGTCTGGACCAATTGACCGTCGTATAGTAAATATTTCTTGTTGACTGTAGAACTCTTGGGGATCACTTGGATCTGATTACTTAAACCTAAACGACGTAGAATATCTACTATTAGCAAAGTACCCGAACGAACTCCTCGAAGGGTTCTAGGTCCCTTTTCAAAGTAGCCACCAGCTTTTGGCTGAGGTTCAGTACAGATCCAACCTCCTGCTCTGTTACTTTTCTCGTAGATGGTGATGTTAACATCAGGTCGAAGTTTACTAAGGAAATACGCAAACGAGAGTCCAGATACTCCACCACCTACCACTGCCACTTTAGCATTCATCCGTAGACTTGTTAGGGACGACGCAGTCATTTGTCTATAGTAAGAAAATGTATATGTAAAAATCTAGCAGTAATATTTAAGTATAGTATTAGAATTACCGTATACGATCCTATGGGCTGTTAATTTCTGAAATATCACGTGACTAAAACCGTTTATAGTATTATGCAATCAGAAGGCATATGGCGCATTATATGACTTACATTATATCTTTTATTTAGTGAAAATGTCGTTCTATAACAGATACCCCTATACACTTATACTAACATTCTATTAGATTCTGTCTGTGTACCTATGGGTCTTGGGCGCTACTTCTTTGCATACGAAAGAAGCGCATCGTTCCCAAACTCTTGCTGTATCATTCCCTCTATTGTTTCCAAACAAGCAGTAGCCATTGCCTCTATTTCGAACTCAATAAATGCTAACCTCCGAACACCAACGTACCGCACGTTTGTGAACCCATTGCTACTTTCGAATATCTTGCAAATCGTATCTTTAGTATGTTGAGATGAGATGCCCTGTAACAAAAGCACATTATGTGGGGGTAACAGTTTCCATTCTGTCACGTTTAACGTTCCCTGGGCCTTCACAGGGGTAGTAGGTGCTATTGGAGTCTCCGAATGGTTGGTACTCTTCATATGTTGTTTCTTAGCAGCAATAGCAAAAGCTGCTGCAGCTGCATTGGCTCTCTTCTTTCTGAGTCGTCTTCGTTCTTGAATCTTATCCATCTCACCGTTCAATCTAAGTATTTTATCAGATGTACTGTGGGCATAAGATACTTTAATAGGATTCCTGAATAATCTGAAATCTTGAAACCGCTCTATTGCCGCTTTGGACTCTTCTTTCTTACTGTAAGTGACAAATACTTGTCCGCGTCGTTTTAGACTACTGTTGGCTTCGATGCTTATAATTGTTCCACATTGGCCAAATACCCTACGAATCGTCAGTTTCAACTTCGATATGGGCACCTTCTCTTCTAACCTATTGATATAAATGGTTTCTATTGGCATTCTTTCCTTTATTATACGGTTCGATGACATTGAAGAGCGAACATGGGCTTGTGGTTTTACGTTATGATCCGTCTGTCGCACTTTAAAAATCAAGTCGTGGTAATTTACAGAACTCGGGGTAAATTACAGCACTTATAAGTATATCCTAGTACTTCACATTAATTCATATATACGCATTGGATTGCGGCCATTAAATAATTCAAACAGCATGGTATATGTCCTGCTCTTGTTTCAAAGAAATTTGATCGGTGAGAGACTCTATAATGCTCTTGATGTTATCAGTGCTGTAATTATCAAGTAAAGGAAGCAGCAGTGTATAATCATGGTCAATCATATCTTTCTCATCACCAGTATTATCATCACCAGAGGGAACTACTTTTTTCTCTGAAGTATTGGAATCTGTTGGAACGACAGGTGGAGAAGGGCTTAGTGATGGACCATTCTTATTTCCATCTTCAGTTATCAGAAATGACAGAATAGTGTCATTATTAGTCATTGGACTATCAGTAGATTGCGTAGTTTGGTCAGTGTATGAATCGTTGTCACCGTTAGTCTCATTTGCATCTTTTTTGGGTTCTTTAGGTACATTTATGTCCTCCTCGAATTCTAAAGGTACCAGAACACCCTTAGTAGAATCTCCCAGGTAATTCTCCAAAGATGATTTCATATTGTCTACAATCAATGTACAGTTTGCTTGACATTCCGGATGTTCAGTAATTGACTTCGACGTTCGTTCATCGCAATTGCTTGTCATCTTGTTGGATTTCTGACCAAATGAGCATGCTAAAGAATCTCTTATATTTGGTTGGGTGCTTGAATTAATTTCCGACTCGCTCAAGTTCAAATCAGGCGGCAACTCTGATGTCACGAGTTCATTCATATCCAGGTAAGCAGGAGCAGGTCCAAGCGGCATTTCTGTTGAAGAGGGAAGTGATATACTTGGGATTCGACTCAAAGGGTCTTCAGACACAGAAAACGTACGCATAATAGGAGTGGTTTTCAGAGATATAGCCTCTTCAAATGAAGGTAACCTATCAGTGTACGAGTTTATAGTACCATCGTCATTGACATTCAAAGCTTTAATGGTGACTCCCTGTCCAGAGTAATCAGGTGTACGGAAAATATTGCTTGAGTCATTCAAAGTGCTAGGGGTTGCAATCTCGTCGTATTTTGGCAATTGGGTCGACGTATCATCACATTTAGCACTAAGGAGGATAAGAGGTGTATCAACGACAACCTCGTAATGATGCATTTTATATCCATCCTTTGGATCAGGCTTACTTATACGAAAACAAACTTGCAACCGATGGTTAATTTGAATATGACGATAATTCGAATCGGGGTATAAGGCCTTAGAAAGAAGGGTGTATCCATCTTTCAAGTTGTTGCGTATTATCAGTTCTTCATTTCCAAATAAAGAGACAGTATCAACTTTTAATTCAACAGAGTCATCTTGTATTCCATCGTGTGCAATGCTTGTTTCCAAAGCACCAATGTAAGGAGACGAAGGTGAATTGGAAATAGGATCAACAATACTTGCCTTACGGGAAACAATACGGTTAGGTGTTTTTGGCTCCAGAACAGATGAAGTTAAAACAAGCTTATCAAGTTTCGTTGTTAAGAACGGTAATGCCACATTTATATCCAATGGAGTAGCAATATATTTCGAATTAACAGCAGTGGGGTCCTCCAACTCGTAACAACTAAATAATAGATTATTATCAGGGCATTTGATAACCTCTTCCTTGTATGGGTCCACTAAATTATTGTTGTATTTGTTCTTTGTCTTCAATTCACATAATGGGATGACTCGTTCTCTTTTACGAGAGTTATCACCCGGGAATCTTAAATTGAAAGGGTCTTCCAGGTCATAATCGTACTCCTTAGCCAAATCCTTGGAGACATATGTAATTCTCTCCAATACATTAAACTTGATTCGCTTGATTATGACATCCTTTACAAGAGGGACCAACTTAACATTGATGACATGCTCACAGCCCAAACTGACATATTTCTTGGGGAATGTGATTATATAATGGAGGGATTCATTCCATACACGGTTAACATAAATTGGTTTGTCTGCCACCGAATCACCCACTGAAGGAGGTGTTCTTATCATTGGAACATTGTATTGAGCATAGATGGAGCTCTTTCTGTTAAACTTTTCACTAACTTTCTGCATATTGACATTCATAAAATGGTTTAAATACCCGTTAATGGAATTGATCGTAGGTGGGATGTTGAAGGGGATCAAAATGGGTAAAATAAACAAATAAAGACCAGCTTTATACGTAGTATTATCCTCATTTTGATTATGATTGTGATTATGATTTTCCTTCTCGTTATGAAGCCCATCAACATAATCATGAATGTCTTTAATGAATTCAAGTGGAAAATGGTGGCTCGAACTAGTGGACTGATTGTGAGATGAGCCTGATGTTTTTCCTGAAGCTTTATTTGTACTATTGCCCGATGAACAATCTGGTGAAACCTTCAATTGGTACTCACGTGTTCTCCATGCCAATTCTTCTGGTGATAATTGCTTGCATTTGCTGTCATTTGTATTTGAAGTACTAATAAAATAGTCTGCAGCATTCAAGTTGGGGAAACACCACTCCATATTCCCAATATTAAACTTCTCTCGGTTGAAATTACGATTGAATGAATCCCCCAGTGGCCAACTAACATTTGTTTGAGAAGATAGCGAGATATTAATTTCCTTCAAATGACATTCGTCCTTTTCAAGTTCTATGACGACTGCAAATGTGTGTGGGATATGGTTTGCTGATTCAATCTTTGTGGAAAGAAAGTTGGGTGCCTGAAACAGTTTCAATTGTTGTTTAAGATGTTTAGGAACATTATCAGTGTCAGGAGGAGGATCGTGTTGTGATTTACCACCAGTGGACGACGCTATCTCGTCGCTATCTTCTTCGGACGAAGAGGTGGGTGAACGAGAGTTTTCTTCAGCACGATACCGACTTTGATCTATATATCCATCGATAGGAATTCCCATCCCGCTATCGAAATCATCATAGGTGGAGGAGGCGTGGAGAGCAGGAGGTAGATATATCACATCATTGGAATTAGCAATATGAATTTTAAAGTTCTTAGCAACAGATCCATTGAGATTGTTGTTTGTTGTTCTTAACGGAATTGGAGAATGAACACCTAGATCCAGAAGCAATGCGTTAAGTTTCTTTTGAACCACCATATTGGACTCGTGACGGGCTAATTCCTTACTCGATTTCCGATTACTTGTTCTTAAAATCCTTGGATTGGAGTTGCTTCTTGAACGAGATCGGGAACTTAGATATCCACCTGATGTACTAAGCGGGTTGTTGACTCCTAACAGCGACAAACTTTGTGCTCTCATTCGTCTTGAAGTAGTAGAAGCGGAGGGAGATGATCCGTTTCGAGGCTCCAATGGAGGTTCAACAATAACAACAGGGGGTGGTGACAGAATAGAACTTTCCAGACCTCTATGTGGTGAATAAGCGGGCGATTCCCCTCTATAGGAAGTAAATATGCCTCCCAGTAAATCTTGCGACGGCCGTGGAGATGAAGAAGCTGAAGATATCGTTTTCGCCGAAGGTTCGCTTGCACGTCGACCTTTGACTTTATTTTTAATCCGATCAAAGGCAAAACTTTTCGAATGCATTTTGCGGTTTTCAAGCCAATACTATGAAAGATATTTCTATATATTTAAGCTTTGGACAAAATAATTAGAGCGTAGCAAGAATAATGTACGTTCGACTTCACACTAGGATAATAAGGCGAACGGACAAATCAACAAGCATATACTGTCAAAAAAGTATGCTTTGATAGATCGATCTAACTATGAGATCCGAAAAATAGCTATAATGTAAACAGAAACAAGTAAAGAAAAGGATATATACAAAGATGCAACTCTAATACTTGGTTATTTGTTAGTGAGTTTTTGTGGGAGGTGATTGATTTTAATATTATTATATTGGTAGCGCGGTTTCTTAAGGGGGTTTTGTGCCCACTTTTGTTACAGTGAATGCTTATCTCGTTATTAGCTATTCTTTTTAAGCCCAATATTTGGCCGACACAATTTCATACACCTATGGTTGACATCAACTTACATATGTCATGACTATCTCAAAATGATACCGTAGTACGAACAAATATATGCAAATACATAATTTGTATCCGTTTAACGGGGGTTGTCGTCCAGCAGTAACCATAGCTAAGCACCGTTTCACTCCTCCCCACTTCTTTCGCCAGCCTTGTATAATTTGCACTCACCGTTAATGGATCTCACGGGTGATTCTGTACGACAGAACATGTGATGCGCAAATAATTATGGGGAACCACGACAACCCTGCACACAATAGAGCATTTCATAATTAATGTCATTACTATTAATTACATTACATTGTAAAATAATATACCGCTATTTATGCTGTTGTCTTGTATATAGTATTGTATGCATTAGCTAGTTGACCATACTTTGTTACAATTCGGGCATTTTCACACGGTCATCCTTTTGGTCTGATTTCTCGATCTTTTCCACGTAAGACAAGAATTCTTGTGTGTTGCTTCCAAGCCATGTGTCCTTTTCCATACATATATCTCAAAAAAAAACGTGATATACACTGCACAGAATCCCTGACGTTGAAACTATGCTTGATTCCGACTCCGCTTTTTTACTTTTATTCTCTTGTCTTGGAAGAATTCCTCAAGAACTTTCTATCTTGGCAGCAACGCTATTTTGTTCAAATCATATAAAAAAAACAGACATCGATGACAACAACCTCCGTTATGTTAAGAAGGTCTTCAACGTGTAAAGAAGTATGTTGGTTATGATTATGATAATAAACAATCACGTGTGCGCTACCGAAACTTTCAAACGGCTGAGAATCATGGTTATCTCTCCACATTTCGCTTTGTAACATATTACCATGTCAATTCCCCCGCTATCCTTCAGTTAAGACAATGCAAATGACTACGGTTGATAATAAAATAAGAACTCACCCCTCAGCATAACTATTGGCCTTTAATAATATCCCACATTTCACTTACTCGCTGAAACTAGGCCCGATTCCATCTTCTGATAACAGCAGAGACCGTTGCAGACTGAGTGACCCTCGACTGCCACCCCCACGTAAAGGTTTGACGATCCGTAAATTCAACCCCATTTTGGGCAGAAACCCGTGATGTACTTGTGTTGGCAGATTGAGAAATTGCTCCACTGTTCTATGTTCACATACTTCAATGCATTCCGATAATGCATCCCTCTCTGACCGTTGGGTGTCACGTGCTGCCGTATTTGAAACTTTCAAATCTTCTGTAGTAGGCAGATCTTCTACATTAACTTTATCTTTCATATCGGCCAATTTAGCTTCAAAATTGCGTGTCTCTCGATATGCTGCAACCTGTTGCTCATTCAACATCATCTTCAAGCGGTTAATTCTAGCATCTCGATATTCTAAATGTCTTTCACTTGCAATTAAATGTTTACGAAGATTAACATTGATTGTTTCAACATCTGTTAGCTTAGTATGGAGTCGCTGAAGAGTTTGCTCGAGCTGAAATAACTTCAGCTCTTCTTCATGAGCAGTAGTCAAATTTGCCATCTTCATTTCTAAAATTGTTGTTTCTAGTTGACGAATTTTAGCATCACGGCGTCCAAGTTCATTCTCATAGTTTTCTCGATCTCGAACTTTACCAACCGTGGGAGATGACATTGGTATAGGAATTCGTGATTGGCGATTGGTATTAAGCTTAGACCCTGATCCAAGAGAACTATTCATATTTTCCCCACTAGTTTGGATGGATTTCTTAGGTGTAATAGGGATATCAACATCTCTTGATCCTTTGGTTAACTCCAATTCGGCTTCAAGTCGATGAATTTGTTTCTGGTTCTGTTCTATCACCCTTTCAAGGTGTTCCACTTTGATCTTTAATGCATGATGACTTAATTCCGTATTGATTTGTGCATGATTCTTGATCGATTTTGCTCGAGAACCAAATCTAAGTGTAGACAACGTTTCCTGTTCATTATATCGTGTTGGAGCGCAGTTTATAATCAAGGAAGTTCGACTATTCCCTCCCAAGGATTCTTGAAGAATTCGAGTCAATTTGGAATCTCTATAAGGTATATGGGTTGACTTGCCATCTGTTAAGGCGTTAATAACGTTTCCTAATGCACTGAGTGATTGATTAATTCGCTTTGTTTCTTCTATAGTTAACCCATGCAGCAGAGCACCTGTCTTTCCTATTTTCTCCAGACCAGCTAAATCAACAAGAAACAATTGCAGTCGTTTCAACTCCCCAGTAGATGTATCCTTTTGAGAAAGATGTATTTGGAATATAGCATGTGAACGAGATGATTCTTCATTCATTAATGTGGATGCCACGGCTCTATTTCGTGATCCTGTTGACAACACCATCTGCATTTCCTCAGCACTTGAAACAAATGCATTACTGATTCCCTTCAAATGTACACCTTCAACTTTATCTTCATGAATAGTGATCTTTGGCGTAACATTATATTTTGTTTGAGACAGTTGGGAGCTTGCAATAAGCAAATCACGTATTTCTTCCAAATATATTTCGTAATAGGATATGCTCACTTGAAACTCTATGTTGGAGCTGGCACTATTGATCTTTTGGAAAACTTGATTACTTACCCGCGGTATAATTCCATCATTTGCATTTTCTCCATCGGCAATCCCAGTTAGAGGACCCATCATGGTGTAACTTTTTCCCAGTCCTGTTTGACCATATACAATCACCGTACCATTGTAACCATTAAAGAAGTCCTCTAAGGGCCCTTTAAGACAATAGTTATAAATATCTGACTGTGTAGCTCCAGGACCAAATACTTGATCATAAGAATAAACATGGGACGGAAACTGCAACGACAGACCTAAACTCACTGTTCTACTATCAACAACTGTTGCAATCACGTCATCATTGTGTTCCCTTTCCAAAACAGCTGGTCGTATACGGCATACCACTTTGACCATTTCTGCGCCGTCTTTCTCCTCCTTCACCTCACAAGGACTGCTAACCGAAAAGGGAGTAGCAGCCATAGTGTTATCAAGTAGCTTTAAACTAAAGAATAACAGATAAGAATGAATCTACAAATCGATAACCTTTTGATTCATGTCTGTTTGATCTATATGGTAGCGCGCATTATTTCGTATATACATGGTCTATTTTCTTCATCTATGTGACCACGAGCGAGATATTATTCTACTATGTTAATCCCTACAATATTGTAAATGGCATATTTATATAAATAGGCTATCTTCTTAATTTGCTCTGGAATGTAGTATGATACTTTTCATTTTAACGATATCCCCCCCTTTTCTTGTTGTTAATAGACGATCCCTGGCAAAACCACGCTATTCCCATAATATGTACAATGAGATGCCCTAAATTGGCCATGGCACTGTGCCCGACCACCCATAACTGAGATTTTGCATTTGCTACGTAGATTTCTATTTCAAAATTTTAATGAACCAATTGATAGCCATCTCATCCTATTAATACTCCCCTGATCAATTGTCATGTACAATTGGCAATGATCAGTTAAACCAAATGGTTGCACGATCTTTTCGAAATTGTTGCTGGCTTCACGGCTGAGCAACCAGGAAGTACCAGGTGTAAGTAGTCGTGGCAGATCGTATTATGCGTCATTAGTGCTATTGTGTACAATCGCATCTGTAGGAAACATCGCGTACGTAGGAGATAATAAAGCCACAGGCACGATGGTTAGTTCACTCCAAAGCCCGTACAATGAACGTGAAGTGACTTTTATGCTCCTTTGGTTATAATTATGGTAGCGCTGTTCATTTTTTTTACTCATAGACGACGGCAAGTCCCCATAGCCAGCCCGAGTCAGAAAGTGACTCGGGATCGAATGCAAAGAGTAACCCCTTTTGTTAGCTAAGATTTAAATACTACATGGGATATAAAAGGTTCAATTCCTTTACCGGAAGCCAATTTATTGCAACCTCTACGTTCTTGACACCAATTATGCTTACTTTGGCCACATAGTGTGTCACCTACCGCCGATTATTAGCGCAAATTACAGGACACGACACAATTAGTCACCATTGAAAATTTTTTCAGCGATACTTGGGCTTTCTCTATACTGGGTGACTATTAAGTAAGTATGGGACCATGTCACATGATAGACTGAAAAATTCCATACAAAATAAATTCGGCACTACATATAAATTACATATATATATATATTCATATCTCTACTTATGCTGTATAGTATATAGTATAGAATTTCTTTACACAAATATTACTCTACAGTGTCTTCTACTATACATTAGCGAAGATGGCTTCACCTCAACAGATTGCGCAAACATTCCAAAGGGCCATGAGCATTTCTGGCTCCCCTAATGCTGTTTCTACTTCCCCCACTCAATCATCATATCTTACCCTGTATTCCCAAAACAAGAAGGCCTTGAAGCCTTTCTCCACTGGTGATATCAAAATCTTGTTGTTGGAAAATGTGAATACCACTGCTATTGACATTTTCAACCAACAAGGTTATCAAGTTGAGTTCTACAAGTCATCATTACCTGAAGATGAATTGATTGAAAAGATTGGCCAAGTCCATGCTATTGGTATTAGATCAAAGACCAAATTGACTGAAAAGGTTTTAAGAGCCGCTAAGAATTTGGTTGTTATTGGTTGTTTCTGTATCGGCACTAACCAAGTTGATTTGGAATTTGCCGCTAAATCAGGTATTGCTGTTTTCAACTCTCCATTCTCTAATTCTCGTTCTGTTGCTGAATTGGTCATTGCTGAAATCATTACCTTGTCAAGACAATTGGGTGATAGATCAATTGAACTACACACTGGTACCTGGAATAAGGTTAGTGCCAAATGTTGGGAAATCAGAGGTAAAACATTGGGTATTGTCGGTTACGGTCATATTGGTTCTCAATTATCTGTTTTGGCTGAATCAATGGGTATGAACGTAGTCTACTACGATGTCAACATGATCATGTCATTGGGTAACTCAAAGCAAGTTGACTCTTTGAATGAATTATTGAGAGTTGCTGACTTTGTTACCTTACATGTCCCTGAAACTCCTGAAACCAAGAATTTGTTGAGTGCTCCTCAATTCGCTGCTATGAAGGATGGTGCTTACGTTATTAACGCTTCTAGAGGTACTGTTGTCGATATCCCAGCTTTAGTTCAAGCCATGAAGGCTGGAAAGATCGGTGGTGCTGCTATCGATGTATTCCCCCATGAACCAGCTAAGAACGGTGAGGACTTGTTCAATGATAATTTGAACTCATGGGCTAGTGAATTGTGTTCTTTAAGAAACGTTATCTTAACCCCACATATTGGTGGTTCTACCGAAGAAGCTCAATCTGCCATTGGTGTTGAAGTCAGTACAGCGTTGACCAAGTACATTAACGAAGGTGCTTCTACTGGTGCCGTTAACTTCCCAGAAGTCTCTTTGAGAGCTTTGGACTTGGACCAAGAAAACACTGTCAGAGTCCTCTATATCCATCAAAACGTTCCAGGTGTCTTGAAGACCGTCAACAACATTTTGTCCAATCACAACATTGAAAAGCAATTCACGGATTCCAGAGGTGATGTTGCTTACTTAATGGCTGATATCAGCGATGTCGATCATGCTGATATCAAGTCTATCTACGAACAATTGGAACAAACTCCTTATCGTATTGCCACCAGATTGTTGTACTAGATTTGTTCGTGGTTTTCATAAATGTCCCCCATTTTTTGAGGACAATTTCGTTTCTTGTTTTTAGATATCAGATATTAACTTAATTTAATATAATAATTGGACTATTAGTTTATGCTTTACAGTAACTGTTTATATACCTTATGTTTCAAATATGTGTCCGGGTAACTTTAAAGTTTTGGTAGCGCGTTAGCTTTTTCTTCTTGGTCGAGCGATCGTTGAAATCTAATAGAACAGTGGCAACAGTAAGACAAATCCAACACTTAGATACTCATAGGAATTGGCATTGACATTTTGTAGATTGAAGTGTCATATTTCTAACTAGAGATTCACAAGTGATAAATCATGGCGTTAGTATCCGCAGCCCCCATTCTTGCGCTACTCGGAGAATCCGACACAAGTTTAAAAGAATATGCGTTGACGACGTTGAATGAAGTTGTGGATCAATTATGGTCTGAAATAGCTAACAATATAACTGAATTAGAAGAGCTTTATGAAGACGATTCTTTTGAAAAAAGACAGTTGGCTGCTTTGATTATTTCTAAAGTTTATTATAACTTGGGTGATTATGATGCATCTGTTAAATATTCGCTTTCTGCTGGAGATGAATTCAATGTTGATGAGCAATCCCAGTTTGTTGAGACCATTGTATCTCGTTGTATTAGCTGGTATACATCGTTATCTCAGGCACGGTTCTTGGAAGGTACTGGAGACATTGACCCGCAACTAACTTCTATTTTCGAGAAGATGTTGCAGAGATGTATTATAGGCGGTGAATTGAAATTGGGATTGGGTATTGCTTTGGAAAGTTATCGTTTGGAATTGATCAAGTCAATCTTAGCTGAACAGGTTGAAAAAAATGAAGAACAAGCGGTCAATCTCATCAATTACGTGTTACAGGCCACTAATTCTGTTGTCTCAGATACCACCTTTAGAACTCATGTTTTGAACGCTTTAATTGAACTCTTGTTGCAATTGAAAAGTAATATTGACTATTTTACTATTTTTAAGATTATTATTCAATTGAATGATTCAAAATGGGCAACAAAGATCTTCAAGGAATTGTTATCCGAAAAGGAAAAGTTAATTGTTTTTCAAAGTGGATTTGATTTGGTCAACACTGCCTCTCAAGAATTACTCATCAATGTTATAGAAGAGTTGAAAAATGATCAAGGTGAAGATGAAACTGAATATGTCCAAATAAAATCAAAGTTGTTACATATTTTAAGCGGTGTTCCTACCCGTGACTTGGAGATCACCTTTTTACATGACCATAACAACACCGATATTTCCATTTTAAATAAAACAAAGAACTTACTAGATGGGAAGTTATCTCTTCATCATTCAGCAGTTACATTCATGAACGCTTTCATGCACGCTGGTACAACTGATGATTCGTTTTTCAGAAAGAATTTGGAATGGTTAGGTAAAGCTACAAATTGGTCCAAGTTCTCAGCTACTGCAGCCTTAGGTGTGATTCACATGGGCAATTTGAGTCAAGGGCGCAACGTGTTGAAACCTTACTTACCTGGATCATCCTCAGGTTCAACATACACAAAAGGTGGGTCGCTTTTCGCTTTAGGGTTGATTTATACTGGACATGGTAATGAAATTAATGATTATTTGAGACTGTTCATTGATGACCATGGTAACTCTGCTGGTAATAATGATACTGATGTCATGTTACACGGAGCATGTTTGGGTGCTGGTGTGTCAGGTATGGGATCTAATAATAACGAGCTTTACAGAGCATTGAAGGTTGTTCTATACTCAGATTCGGCTATTTCAGGTCAAGCCGCAGCATTAGCCATCGGGTTAGTGAAGTTAGGCTCTGGTGATGAAGAAGCCATTGACGAATTATTCAACTATGCTCGAGAAACTCAACATGAAAACATTATAAGAGGGTTAGCTATTGCTATCGCTTTCTTGAGTTATGGAAGACAAGAAAAAGCAGACGGTATTATTTCAAAGTTGTTAGACCAAGAGAATAGTATTTTGAGGTATGGTGGTGCGTTTGCTGTTGCTATGGCATATGCTGGTACCGGTAGAAATAGTGCAATCAAGAGATTATTACATTGCGCTGTGTCTGACCCATCTGACAATGTTAGAAGAGCCTCAGTGTTAGGTTTGGGTTTTATTTTAATCAGAGATCCTAATTCCGTGCCACAAATTGTCGACTTGTTGTCTCAGTCACATAACCCTCATGTACGTTACGGTGCTGCGATGGCGTTGGGTATCTCATCAGCTGGTAGATGTTTACCAGCAGCACTTAAGATTTTGGAACCTTTGACCAAAGATGCTGTTGATTTTGTTAGACAAGGTGCTCTTGTTGCCACTTCTATGATCTTGATTCAACAGAATGACGTTACCTATCCAAAGTTGAAGGATTTTACCTCTAAATATGCAAACACCATTAAAAACAAACATGAGGATGGCTTGGCAAAGTTTGGTGCAACCTTAGCCCTGGGTATTATTGAGGCCAGTGGTAGAAATGTTACAATCAATTTAGAACACACACAAACAAATACTTTGAATACAAAGGCTATTGTTGGGTTGGCATTGTTCTGTCAATCATGGTACTGGTACCCATTGGTTCACTTTTTGTCACTCTCTTTCACACCAACTTCTATAATTGGCATAAGGGGATCTGACTTGAGAATACCAAAGTTTGATATTTTGTGTCATACTAAACCTGAGCTTTTTGAATATCCACCCAAAGTGGAAGAATCTAAGGAAAAGCAACCAGATAAAATTACAACTGCTGTTTTATCGACAACTGCTAAGGCAAAGGCTAGAGCAAAGAAGAAGTCTGCTAAAGACGGGAAAATGGATATTGATGAAGAGCCAAAGCCAGCTGCAAAGTCTGAGAATGAAACAAAGTTGAAGGAAGGTGAAAAGGAATCGGATAATGATAAAGAGAAAAAGGAGAAGGAGAAGGAAGAAGCTGCAAAGAGTGATGAGCCTTTAAAAATTCGCTATTCAAAGACTCCATTTTCACTTAGTAACATGTCTAGAGTTCTTCCTGCGCAATCTAACTTTATTGCTTTTGCTAAGGATTCAAGGTTTTCTCCAGTTAGAAAGTTAAGAGGTCATACAGGTATTATCATTTTGAAGGATAACGAGCCAACACAAAAGTGTGAGTTTATCAAGACTGTAAGACAACTGAATATCAATGAGGCACCATTACCTGAGCCATTCTATTTAGAAGGTGATGACTTGAAGATTGATGAGGATTAGAATTATATAACTTCTTATTACAGTCTATTTTCTTTTACTTTAATACTAATATACATGAGAATTTATACTGCAGACGATTGGATGGTATCCAAAAAAAACCACTAAGGACCTTTCAAAAAATAATGAAGGGTGCGAGGTTCGAACTCGCGCGGACACCGTCCAACAGAACTTAAGTCTGCCGCCTTAGACCACTCGGCCAACCCTCCTATTCATGCTTTAGTCTAACCTCCCTGTGCCTATGAATAAAATTGATGTAAACGTAATTATTTTGCCTAAGCCCTTTAATACTTAACCCGTAGTACAAGGCGGTGCTATGTGTTGTGACATATACATTTTAAGAGGTGAATCTCATTCAAGTAGTATTTTCTGGGCTTTATGGTAGTTCCATAATTTTTGGCAGTTTCCTTTAAAATATATCAGATCTTTCATAAAATATTCATGATTGCTTTAGCGGTTAATTACGAACAATGTCAAGTCTCACTACTTTTCAATTTAAAGCCATTGAAATTTCCTACCTTTTGTTATTTGTTCTAACAAGAGTTATGATGCTTCATAGTTAAGAAGATTGAAATCTAAATTTTAGAAGGTGTATAACTTTAACGATATAATTTTTTTTTAAATGCAGATTCTTCAACAATAGATACATGGTAATAATACTTAATTGTGAAAATTAGATCTGTCCGTGCTCAATTAAATAAATAATTTAGGATACAAGAGCCCCGCACACCAAACAATAAATGTGAATATTTAGTGTTGCAGATAGCATAGTCCATAAACATCAAAACAATACAAAAGAAAGGGATCTTTGCTATTGAAAAGTGAACAAAAGCCATACCATTCAACATTGGAAATGCCTGAGTGTTGCAGAAATGCGGAGATCAATCATGAAGCTATAAATAAATTGTTACAGAGGTAAAAGCTGTGACAAGATCATGTATGGTTGCTGTGAAAAGGATAAGAAATGGCATCTGCTGTTACATATGTTATCCTTGTGTAAACCTCATCAAATGCGAGATTTTGTAGTATTTGATGGTGTACGTAAAAGCTATTTTTAACTATTGGCTGTCGTATTTCTTACGCGTGAACGACTTTTATTTACGGAGCTTTTAGTGCAACAAAAAGCTCCACAAAATTGCTGCAAAAGAATAGGCTAAGTAGGCTGAGGTTGACATCCACTACGGAGTGTATGAGCAGGGGAACAAAGAATCATGAAAAACGACCCGCCTAACTGGATTATTACAATAATAGAAGTTACATCATGAGCGCACTAATTAAGTCGTTGTTGAATTTCTCACGTTATATATCAAATACTTCGTCGTAAGGAATCATAGGATTGAGAATATAAACTCTATCAAAATAAGAGTTGGAGTAAAAAATCTCTTCAAAAATAAGTACATTTCGCCAATTTACAGCAGTTCTGTTTATTATGAGCCATGAATGAGCGACTTCTGGATTGGTTGAAAGGAATAAATGCAAGGAAATAAATAATGAATAAATATGTTTTTGTTTTTTTGTTTTTATTGTTAATAATTTAACCGCCTTTATCTTATATGCTAATACAGCACGTATATTGTATCACCGTCTCTAATACATAGCTCTTTAACCGACATGTGAAACATTTGATAAGCCGATGCTCCTCTAGACACTCTATCTTTGCTAATATATACAGATCGGGGATCTTTACATGGGAGCTTCAGAAGTATCTTCCGCAATGGTTCTTCCATGTAATCATCCCAATATGCCTTCACTTTAATTGCACCTAATTTGGTTTGAAACTTAATGGTTAGCATCATATGAATGTGAGTAAAGATTCAATAGATTAGAATTAACACCTCTAACCAGGTGGTAATATGTCATTAATCAACTGTAACAACTTCTATATATTCTTTTCAAGACTAATTGCTAATTTATATACCGTTGCCGATGGCGAAAACGACATAGGTTGAAGAGGTTCCTGAAGCTAATTTTGGTATTTCACAAAAGCAAGTGAACTCCTTCGTAAATTTTTAGCGAACAAATTTACGGGACCAAGATTTAACACATAAAAGGTGGTTAACGTTAGCGCAATGGAAAGGAATTGAAGGAAAAAAGAAAGTATTATACGAAGCGTAAGGTATAATTTTGCCAATGTATCAAACTAGAGTGCATTACAGTAACACCACTAGGTATGCTTTGCTCAAATGGGATTTGAAAGTTCCGTGCCATCGATGCTTTAGTTTTGTACAACCATACGATCCGCAGAAAGGCAAGTGTCATTATAAAAGCTACCGTGATAGCGACTCCTGTCATTTAATTATTTTCATGATTTGATTGAAGTACACCAAAATGACCTCGTGATCATAAAACCTTTTCATCAATTTAACTCCTAATTCAGATAGATAATATCAAGCTAATAATAAATCCCCTATTTCATACCAGTTTCTTGAGAAGAGAGAAGACTTGAAGTGAACTAATCTTCTTAGTAGTGCATCAACCGTATTTAATGAAGGAAAAATGACCTTCCAGGGAGTTGAGTCAACGCAGGGCCAATTGAGAACATAACGAGTTCGTTTAATATTACTATTGTACATAACCAGCAGACTGCATGATTAACGATGTCCAATGATGAAGATGACTTTATGTCCGAGGAGTCATATGAGTTTGAATTCGAGGATGATGATGACGACGTCGACGCGCATTCTCACCATCTGCAAGAACAAGGAACAGATCACAGTGTTGTACGTATTAGGAAAACAGGTGGCAATTTAATTCAAACTCAACAACATACTAACAATGTCAATTAATTACAGGAGAATAGATACTATAACGCGAAGGCGTTGAAGGATGACTCAGACGTAGACGCACTCCGCGAGTTCGGGATAATTGTGAAGGAATATCCAACGGAGTATGAGTGGATGTTCAAGGCACTAAAGCAAATCATAAAAATAAACTTCAAGTTAAGTAATTATGATGAATGTTTACGTTATTTACGACAGCTAATATTGGTTACTCCACATATCAAGCATAATTATGCTGATGAGTCTTTGACAAGAATGGTGAACAATTATTCTGTTTGCCGTAGTAGTGAATTTGTCCACGAGTTTTACAACACACTCCTCAAGAGCTTTGAGGCGTCTTCAAATAATAATAGGTTGTGGTTAAAGATTATGATAAGTAAGCTCAGTCTCTATCTCGATAATCACCAATACGAGAATGTGCCTTCTTTAATAAAGATCATAAAGGAAAAACTCAATAATTTTGATTCAGAGTTCAAAGGTTTAAAACTTACATATCTACCAGAAGTCTGTGCTTATGAAATTGAGTATTTATCTCAACAGAGACCGCTTAACATCAATCGCTTACGACAGCTTCATCGTGAAAGTCTTCGTGTCTCAACAGTCTTGACCCATCCACGTATTTTAGGAATTATAAAGGAATGTGGTGGAAGACTCAAATTTTATCGGGATAACTTTGAAAAGGCCAGATTGGACTTTTATGAAGCTTTCAAATGTTACGATGAAGTTGGTTCACAACTGAAGAACCAAATACTAAAGTATGTTATTCTATGCAGCATCGTGACAGACCACGAAGCCAATCCCTTTGAATCACAAGAGACCCAAGCATATACTCAGTTATCGGATTATGAAAACTTGGTTGCACTTTATGATGCGTATGAATGTTTAAATTTGAGGAGATTGCAGGAAGTCATTAATGATTTTAAGCTTAGTTCTGATCCGTTAGCTAGTGACGATATCTTTTTGAAATCTACTGCCTTAATTCTTGATAACTTAAAATCAAAGATCTTAGTTCGTATTCTTAGCTCCTTCAAGTCAATAAGCTTTGATACTTTAACTAGACTTCTTGAAATTGAATTGAATGATTTAGATAAGCGAATCACTCATTTAGTAAGTGAAGGGGTTATATTTGATATTATGGTAGATTATGTGAGTAAGGTTATTTTCACAGGGGTCACCTCAAACAATATAGTTACAGTTGACGCATCAAGCGTTCTTACTAATACTAAGATTTTGGATGGCTTGAAGTGGTTTGAGTTTTCTGATTTCGTTAAGTCTATGAATCCTAAAAGTACAGAAATGGTCACTTCGACATTATCATGTATTGTTTACACGTTTAGCGATAGTGGTATTTCTGAGCAACTTGAAGAATGGTTGCGTGTAATAGTTACTGGTATACCTACCAAACGAAGAAATGGTTTAAGTCAAAAAGACCAAGTGTTGTATGAATTGGCTGTTGATTCCGCCAATAATAGAAAGGACGATAATAATAATAATAATAATAATAATAATAATAATATAGAAGGTCAAAACTCATCTAGAGCTTTAAAGAATACCAATGCAGGCATTTTGGGATCTGCTCTCACAATGGATGATGATGAAGAAGAAGATCCAGATCAAAACGAGGATACTATCAGTCCAGATAAAGCAATTAGAGAATGGTGCAACGCGTTGAACGATATTCGTAGAGGCTTTTGACTACCATGAGGATTACATGATATTTTTTGAAACCTCGAAGGAATAATAGAAAGAGTACAGGGACAAGAGCATTTGCATCTTGACATCTCACTTATGTTATAGACTAGCTGAAACATTTAGCAGAAGACTCAATAATACTGAAATGAATTATTATGTCATTCTTGCTTTTCGAATAATTAGAGTCTTTTCGTGCTAATACTCAAAAGCGATTTATGTACTTCAAGTAATCATAGAATTGATAGTATGTTTTTGTAGATCAACTGGACCCACTGTATAACCATGAAATCATTGTTTAGCTAAAACAAAAAAATGCGCAAACCCGGAATCGAACCGGGGGCCCAACGATGGCAACGTTGGATTTTACCACTAAACCATTTGCGCCAGAAAATCGAATTGATTTCGCCCAGGATCGAACTGGGGACGTTCTGCGTGTTAAGCAGATGCCATAACCAACTAGACCACGAAACCATTTCTGAACTAATTTAGTTCTTTGTTAACCAACAGATACAATACCTAAATAAACTAAAAGTGGTTTTCCTACGAACATATGGTATGTTTCAAGGAAAAAAGTAAATTGATATGGCGTATTTTCTTTGGTTTACGCTTCATGTAATTATTGCATAGCCGGATCATTGGACAAGCGAATAAGAGAGTTTTGCCTATCCTTTAGAGGATAATTAAATCATTCTTCATTATAATGACCAATTAGAAAAAGTAATACACCCGACAGAAGAGGTGTCTTGTGTTCACCTTGGCAAAAGGAAACTCAGAAGTAAGTCGGAGACTTACATAAGCCAAGACACATAATTACTTAATCCGATACGAAGTCTCTAGGATTGTTTCGGTTCTTTAGATGGTTTAAATTCAAATGCTACTTATCACACCTTTTGCCATCACTCTCAAATGCGATTATCAGGAGAAGAGACAGCTACACTTTCAGGTGTAGCTACATGTGATGATGCTGGAATATGTGTTCCATTGAATAAGCAACAACAGCAACAGCAGTTGGAAGCTTCCTACAGTAGTATCTTCGCGTTCTGTACACCTAAACCTCCTCAAGACTGGGGTACTTCCTCCCTAAGTTCTACCAATGCTGCTACTACTACGGTGTTTATCAAATATTATAACATTCTTTGGTGTGAACGTAAAGACGGTTTAAGTCGAGACACGGATACAGTGCTGATCACTTATATAAACTCAAAGGAACAGATACTCACTTTAGTAACCGAGATCAGTAATATTCCTGAGGGGAATGAGCCAGCGAAATGGATAATGGAAAAGTCATATCCAAATGGGCTCATGAAAATGTCGGCATTGGTTCTTATTAACCCTAAAGGTGGTAGAGGTAAAGCCGCCAGCATATACCAAAAGTCTATTCTCCCAGTACTTAATGCTGCCAAAGTTAACGTAGAATATGTGGAAACAAAATATTATAGACATGCAGTTGATATTGCTCGGGAATTGGATATTGAAAAGTATGATATAATTTTGTGTTGTTCAGGGGATGGGATTCCTCACGAAGTTATAAACGGCTTTTATCAACGTGAGGATAAGGGTGTCTCTGCCTTTAACAAGCTAATTATCACACAACTACCATGTGGTTCCGGTAATGCTTTAACATTGAGTACACATGGGAGTATTAATCCAGTTGTATCCACTTGGAGAATGTTAAAGGGGACAAAGGCAAAGCTTGATTTAATGGGCTTTACTCAAGGATCAGGCTCTGAGAAGAGAACAAGTCTATCGTTTTTAAGTCAGTGCTATGGTGCCATATCTGACTCAGACATTGGTACAGAACATCTTAGATTCTTGGGTGCCGTTAGATTCGAATTAGGTGTGACCCAGTATGTCCTTTCAAGAAGAGTTTATCCATGCGATGTGTATGTCGATTATTTTGTTGAACCCCATGGGATGAAAGAGCATTTTCAGAACCATCTTAGTGGGTCGAATCTGTCCATACTACCTACAGTTACAAGAGAATCCTTATCCCCCAAGTTTGACGATTTAGAATCTCCTCCCCCTACCAATTGGGTAAAGATTGACGATGCGTTGACCTCCAAATTGAATATCTTCTATATTGGTAAAATGCCATACGTCTCAGCAGATACACAGTTTTTCCCCGCTGCATTACCAAATGACGGAGCCATGGATCTTGTAATAACTACTACAAACTCGTCCGTTATGAGTTTGGCTAAAATTCTTACCCTGCTTGATACCGGTACACATGTTGATCATGATGAGGTACTTCACGCAAAGGTGAAAGCTTATCGTCTTGTACCACGAATTCCCAAAAGTGACAAAACAAAGCACTACCTTTCAATTGATGGTGAGGACTTTCCATTCGAACCATTTCAGACAGAAGTTTTCCCTTCAGTATTAACTATTCTTTTACAAGAGGGAGAATATGTTGAAACTTCTTTTAAAAAGAATTAGAGCAATCATTAATCCATCAATAATTTCTTACATATTTGTACACTAGCATTAAAGGCTCTGGATCAGTATTCCCTGCTTTTATTCCATATTTGATGCCTTCAAAGCTAAAACATTCTGTTCAACCATTTCTGAAATACCTTTAGTTAAAAGATGAATCACCCTTACAAACAATACAAGGTCTTTTTCAGAAAATCTATCTTTGCTTAATAATGCCTCGTGATCAATATTAAGTTGAAGAAGAGCATCTGGAGTTAGCACAGGACGAAGAGTATCAAGACATCTTGATATAAGCGTAGAATGAGCTTGAACCAAAGTTTTATTTGTCTTGATTAGCGTTTTAATTCTGCTAGACTTCTCTTGTGCCTTTGCTTTTAAGTGTGAAATTTCTCCCAAATAAGTTCTTGATAAATCTTTAAGAGTATTGTTTTCATCCATAACTGCCTTATTTCTTTGCTCAATCAGATCTAATTTTGCATAATACTCTTGGGTGCGACTTGCCATAAGTTCCAACTGGGTTTCAGTTGCAGAATGACAGGCTCTTTGTTTCAGAATAATGTCTTGAATAAAGCTCTCTATTCTGGAACTAGCTTGCTTATTTTCAGTTTCAAACTCTTCGAAAACCTTCAGATTTACAAGATTATCTGCTTGTGATGATTTAAGACGTAGGTTTTGCTTTTCGAGCTCAATGATCCTTTCACGTAAGCAATTATCTGCCTTGCAACTCTGCTCTACTTTTTCGGTTAAAATAGTTGTTCGGTCGGCTTGCAAATTCAATTCAAACTTGAGATCTTTGATTTCATCCTCATAATTCTTGATTTTTTTGGCAGCTGAGACATATTGATTTCTCCAAGTTTTATCAATTCCGCTAGGATCATTATTATTCTGACCCGCAGAATCTCTCCATTTCGTTGCATCGATAATGAACCTTTCAATCGCAGCCTCGATGTCTTCTTCAAAATAATCTTTGCTTCCTTCATGTTTCAAAAGTATTTGTTTCAAGTTTTTTTTGAATTGGTGAAGCTCGTTTTCCAGAGTATAAAGGTCGTTCTTGAGCTTTACCATTTCTGTATTGAAAGTTTCATTAAACTCCAATAGTTGACGTTGCAAATCTTCCTTTTGTTGAACCAATTTCCTAGCACTTTTTGCTGGGTCAGAACTTGAATAATCAGGGTCTAACTGGAGTATAGATGTTATTTCTGTTAGTTTATTCTGTGCATCTGTTAACTCATTAGACAAGTTTGAATTTTGCTCCTTCAATTGTAGGGCTTCGAATGTTCTTGTCTCCACCTGAGCAATTATATCATTGACACGTCTTTCGGATTCTGCCAGGGCTAATTCATACTGCTTTATTTTGTTTTTGAGTTGTATATTCTCTGTATTGGTTGTATCTAGTTTCTTTTCTTTTACTTCAATCAGCTGCTGGTTGTTCTCTGCACTGACATGCTCCATTAACTCTGAGCTAGTCTTCTGCGTGCTATTTGCCAATGGGACAATTTCTTCAAATACACTTACCAGAGCCCCAGAATCTTCTGGACAAGTTCGGTACGTATCAGCAGAAAGATGATGGTCCTTAGGTATTAATTTAAGAGAGCCGAGCCTCTTATTAAAAGTTTGAATGGACAACGATGTATCCCTCGCTTTGGCTACTTCTGGCTTTGATACGCTATCAAAAGCACAGGAAACTTCTTTAAGAGTTTCAGACGACGTGCTGACATCCAGATAGATATCTAATTTATTGGAATTGTCGGTAAATGGTAATTTATTTTCCATTTCATTATCAAAATGAACGGACTTCGACTTTTTCAATCGTTGACCCAACCGCAGGAAGGAAGGTCGTCTGGAAATTAGGCTTAGACTTTTACTTCTTTTAAGTAGTGGACTCTGGAAAGGGTCAATACTGGACTCTGAAGTATCATGCAACCTGTCAATAGTATGAAATATAGACTCTCTTGCACCAACCCGTGGAGTAAACTCCAGAGATGAATGGTGTTTTGGATTACTTGTTGTTCTCTCATTGCATCTCTTCTCAGTACCTTTAGTTTGTTCATACTCGCCTCCTTCATGTAATTTTGTAGTGGACATGCCTAGCATTTTGGGAAGTATTGTACGAAACATGTTAAATTATATTCCACCTTTAACACAGCACTTCAACCCGCCACAGAGTTGTAGGGGGTTTATCTTATTTGGCAGTGACACCAATAAGCGCTAGTATAAATACACTTTGGTTTTCTTTTTTTCGCAACCATCAAGCCAGCGGTAAACGGAAACCACATTATTTTGGTAACTAAGACCGACCAACCTAAAGCTCGGTTGAAGTAGTACATCATTCATTAAAGATGCCAAACTTTCTATACCATACTCAAGTAGAGATTTAAATGCACGTTTCAGATCAGACAAGAGCGGAGATCCACAAATTATAGATAGAAGAATGTTCACACTTTAACCTAATATATTAGCTTTCGGCCTTATTATCACCACTGATCTCATTTCTCTTCCCAGCTAGCCCTAAAACATATATGGAAAGTTATCCCGAATACGTGGGCGACTTCGGACACTGTTTTCCGCCCTAACGTTATCGGAGACTTTACTATATCTGGGACCGCGCTCCCACAGGTCTCGTAAATTATGTACACTCTTTGTACACAATAAGAACCCTTGTAGATCTTGCTGCAAGAGCCAAAAGATATACAAACCCATGATCCTAAATCACCTAGTAGCTCATATGCTGGTCTAAATACCTCAATTTAAAGTATATTTAACTCTAAAAGCTTGTTAATTTTGAATTTCGGCCTAGCGACTATATATATAAAAGTTGATTGTGTCCATAATTTGCTCCCGCAATCGGGATTTTTGGGTGCAAAAAATGGTTTCATATATAAATCTCAAGATTTTCTATACAAATAAAATTACACCCTTCATCTTCTTTTCCTTCACTACAGTTTTGGAGTTCAAAGTTTGTTATCATGAGTTTAACAAAGTTGAACCTTAAGTTCAAATCATTGACCTCCCGTGTCTGGCGCCATCATGAAGCTTCCGAGCTACTGATGAAGAAGCCAAGAAAGTTGAGAGCCGCTCTCAACAAGGTAAGAAATCTTACCCGCTTACTTTCTTCTAAGAAAGTACAACATCCAGCTTCTTTTCCTGCTGAAAGCGAAGCTGTGTATCCAACTATCGCTGCAGCTTTGGCATCCATTGGTGTTTGTCCAGGCTCTACCACCTTACCCTTTTCAGAAGTACCCACCTTATTTGACTATCATTCCAAAGCAAACATGACTCCATCCACTAGTTTTGCTGCGTCTCATGTTAGTGTTGGTGAGTTGGAAGTGGCAGTTGATTTCAACTGTCTGCTCAAGAAATCCGCTTCATCCGGGTCTACTGCCACCATCCACTTTATCAAGCAAGAAACAATTACTCCTGTTTTCTCAGCAATCCCATGTCTTGAAGAATCAGACTGTCTATTTGAAATCGGCAATGCTGCCGATATCTTAGAATGTGATTGTTCATTCTATGATTCCGAGTCTTTGGACTCTAAAGAGTGTTCTTCACTCATCGGTGTCACATCTATTAACTGTGACACATCAAGTACTAACTCTTTAGACAATTTCACTGATTTTGTTAATTTTTCCGACTATTCGTTTGATTTCACTATGCCTGGTGTTTCCGAACCTACTGGAGTCTTTTTAACAAGACTTTCCACCAGCTTACTTGAGTATCGTGTTGTGCAAAACTGTTTGATCTATCCTGAAGAGAGATACAAAGCCGAGAAGGCTGATGGTGTTGAAAAGTCTTCTAATGGTTTTGAAGTAGTAACAAATACTGTTGTTGTGGTACCGAGATTTATGTGTCCTTCTTTTTCTTCATCTTCCTCCTTCGTTGAGTTCTGCAGGGAAGTTCCTCATGACGAGATGGCTTTCCCCCATAGCCATCAACCCATGGGTAATTTCCTGGATGACTCAAAGGCATCATCTGCTGTCAATTGCGTTCTGCGCGCGACCGTGGTTGTTGGTGGACGATGTAATGAGGCTAGTTCAGAACTTGAAGGAGCAAATAATTCGGGTATCTCAACTCAGTCAGATGTCTTCAAGCCTCAATTGATTTCTGATACTCCATTGACCCCTAATGAGGATTTGAAAAATGTTAATCTATCTGAAACTGCCACAGATAGTTCTTCTGAAAATCCTTGGATCAACCATTCTTTGACACAGTCAGAGTTGAATGAACTTCAAAATATAAGCAACCGCCTTAGCTATTTGACTAACTTTACGCAAACAGAGGATTTAATCAGGGCATTGCATCGGAATCTTCTCACAGCTAAAGAAACCAGAAGTCGTATTCGAAATGCTGATACGCTCAAGTTTTGGATTGAAAAACAGGTAAGAGATATACCTGAGTTTGACAGGTCTCTTTTTTTAAGGATTCAAGACGATTGTTTAGCATTGGAAGCACTACATGGTTGGATACCATACAAACTTGAGGGCATTGCTGAATTTATTATTGATAGAGCACTATCTGTTCTCGATTGGGAGCTTTCGATTGCCATTATGATGAACGAGAATGGATATACCAACGAAACTATTAAGCAAATGAATTCTAGAGCCAATGGAGCCAATGGTAACTCCTGGGCTGATGGAAATCAAAGTTCAGGGTTTGATAATGACAGTTCAGGGTTCAAATATTCTCCAAAGACTCTTGTTAATAAACATCTTCAGAGAGTGATTGATATGGATTACTGAACATTGACAGCTCATTATTTAACGTTTGCACCTGATATTTAATTATATTATTGTATTGCGTTTGAGACTTGAGTTACACTTCCACTTCCACTTCCACTTCCACTACTTGAGGGTGCCGTTACTGTTTTTACTTTCTTTAATTGAGTTACTATTGTTGAGTATTTCAGCTTTAACTTTGGGCTGTTGTGGTCCTTTTGCCGAATTTTACCTCTAACTCTTGCATTTATACTTTTAATCGACATCATTCTTCCTCTTCTCTAATATTTGTTTGCAATCATCGCTCACTTAACCTCAGTATAAAATAATTCTGAAACCTCTTACGTACACCTGCGTTGAATAAGAAGGCACTCTAGTAAGGATGATAAGGTTACTGATAATGATCACGTGAAATTGATGAAATTATATTAAGATGAAGCACATATGTTTCAAAGGCCAGAGCTTTAAAACTTGACTGCTTCTCAAGTCTTTATCCAAGAGTGAATATTTTACCAACTGTCCGGTCCCCAAAAGCTAGACAGGCAATAAGAAAGGTTAGTTGGTTTTCCCTATTATGCGGCACAAGAGAAGAGGGTCCGTAAAAGGAATACCCCTTGCAAGGGGCACTAAAAAAAGATGCTAACTCTTAAGGATGAGGAAAGTGGTAATTTGTATAAATTATAGCCTGCATCCAGACTCACGATTCTAAGGTACACTTTATATCACTACTCTATTACCTATTTTATAAGTGGTCAAAGCCCTTTCTGTGGTTTCTTGAAAGATACTATGTTCGTGGGAGAACCACTTTAGTCGTGGGTGTATCATTACAATTTCCCTAATATCTGGCTCAGTAAGTTTGAATTATACCCAAGGAAGGCTCGTATGGCGCAGTGGTAGCGCAGCAGATTGCAAATCTGTTGGTCCTTAGTTCGAACCTGAGTGCGAGCTCTCTTTTTTTAAATTTTGTTTTATATTGTAGTAAACAGATAGTTTATTACAAATCCATGAGTTACAAAATGTTGATTTATTAAATATAAATGAAAGCTCAATATGATTTATATAAGAAGTAGTTCAAGGGGAATTGAATCAGAGGTAAACAAACAGTTCAACAGTAATAAACCTAGACTATTGGCAATTCGTAGATGACAAACGGATCATACTCTGTGTCAACCAAAGATGCATATTCGTGCAAATTTTGATTCTGAGAATGTTGGTTGCCTCCCAAATATCCAAACTTGGCTATCAATTCCTTCTTAACCTTCGATACGTCCTTCAAAGAATTTGCAGTAAACTTAATCAAAAAGAAATCAAATTTAGGTGGTAAACCATATCTCAACACAGATTCCACATATACTCTCAAAGTCTTTATGTGAACCCAACATGAGAAAATATCTGAATAGGCAGTACGAGCCAATCTAATCAAATCATTCTTGGTCTTTGTTTCGGCAGCTCTTGTCATATCGAATTCCTTGCGTAAGTTGTCCAATACTTCTTCCAGATAGGTGAAATCGGTACGAGGATGCCATTTCTTCTCTCTAGCAGCACTGTAGAACTCCTGTTGGTATTTTTTGAATAAAGTGATACCAAACAAGCTATACTCGGAATCAGAGGAAATGAGCTCAGCTGATCTGGGAACCACAAATTGAGTTAAAGTTTCGTAAGTCTTTTTGAAGTCATCAACAAGACTTTTTGGAACAGCTATCAAAACAGTTATCAAATGATCCGAATTTAAAACAAATTGTTCGGGTCTAACTATTTCATGTAAAGATTTGATAGACAAATCACCGTTCTTCTTCCTGTCTGCAGCCAAAAAGTTCAGCTTCGCTGTTTGGTAACTCTGATAGCTGGCTCTAACATCAGAATCTAACACTAATGCTTCATCGGCAATTACCTTCACCAATTGTGTAACGGGATTGTCTAATCTGTATTTGGAAGTGTTCCATTGAAATTTCTCAACGTAATCCAATACCAGTTTGGAGTTAACAACTTTATTGGAGAATGAGCCTGTTGGAGTTTCCAAGACGTTGCTCAATATGTCGACAACCTTACTGATTGCCAGGACAAGCAGCAGGTCTATTTTACTTAATTCCTCACTCTCTTGGATGAGAGAATCTAAAGTACCTATTTGGAAGTCAGGGAACTTCAACTGATAAATTGGAGACTTCCCACTATTCAATTGTTGCTCTAACCACTCCTTGGCATCTGCCGATTGAGGTAAGGAGAGAAACAAGTACTCAGCAACTGCGTCCATCTCGTTAGTGGATGTATGTAGTATCTCTATGTGACAAACATGCGCTTTCGTGATACCAGCTTATCTTCGCTTTTCCTCGACAACAAGCCTCAGCAAGTACTTGCGCGCGTATATTCTGGAACGACTACATATAATTTGTATGGTCTGGTCTCAAATTTACTGTGAGGAATTACCAACTTTAGATCTAAAGTCATACCTGAGAATTCCCATTTACAAAAGCTATTAATACAAGTACTTTTCTTATACCAAGTATAAAAGTTGATTTGAAATTAATCTACTTATCAACAATACCATGTAAAGACATTGTTCGCTGTATTTAAATACTACGCCCTTTAGTTACCAAAGTAATCCAGAGGCTTCTTCATAAGTTCTTATGTCCTGCATGTGGGACATCTTGTGATAGGAATTTTCAGTAAGTGATGGCCTCCATAGTCATCTCCTAAAGCAGTGAACTACTTGTACATTCAATAATAGTAACACCTAGATAGAAGTAATGGGGAATTCGTTAGAAGTATGTTTTATATTTTTGCGGACATAATGATTTCGAATAACCTCGAGAAGTGTTCTAGATACGATGAATAAAAAGTACTAACTGGACTCCGTAGGAAAGGTTGAAGACTCATTCTAGTGCCTTTAATGGGCTTTTGTCATTGATTCCCGCTAAATATTACTATGATGATGCTACTCAAGATCAGTGGCAACAAAAGAAGAAGTCCAAACAAGAATTAAAGCAAAACAAGAGAGCTAAACTTGATCCAAATTCTAAAGAAGCAGCGGACTCCTATACTAATGCACATGCAAGCGCTAAAGATGTGATGGATAATAAGGCAAAGAATGCACCTAAAGTGAGCTTACCCAAGAAGTTACCTGCTTCAATCACAGAGGATAGTGATGATGATGTCAATATGGAAGTCACTAATGAAGAAGATGAAGATGAAGACGAAGTTGATAATGAAAACGATAACGAGGATTCTGAACAAATTGATGACCCCCTTATGTATAAAAAGAGTCAAATAACATTTGATGAAGATAATATCGATGCTAATGATGGGGTTGAGTTTTCAAAGCAAGTAGCTCAACAACAAAAACGTAAGAAGACTTTGAGTCCTGAAGAACAAAGAAAGAAGGATGAGAATTTAGCTAAATTAAGAGAAAAGTTGTCTTCCAAGATTAACACCATGAAAGAAAGAAGAAAGGCTCCTGGGACAAAGGTTGCTGGAGCTCCCAAATCCAGAGAACAAATCCTAGAAGAAAGAAAGAAGAAAGCTGAATTGAGAAAACGGAAGAGGGAAGAAATGGAGAATGAAGCCAGTGATGATGACCTTTCGGACTCTGAAGGAGAAGATGATGAAGACGACGACGAAGAAGAAGAGCAGGGAAGTGAGGTTGCTGTACAAGATGGTGACTCATCGGTTCTCTATGGTAATATTGTATTCAATGATGGTACCAGATTGACATCTGACTTAGGTAAGATGAGATCTACAATGGAGAAGAAATCCAAGAAGGGACCTTCCAACAATGACGTCAAAGCACATTTGAAAATTCTTGAGAATAAGAAGCGGGTGTTGGAGCAAATGACCCCAGAAGAGCAAATCAAACAAAAAGAAAAAGATAAGTGGACTAGGGTTATGGCACAAGCCGAAGGTGCAAAAATTAAGGATGATGAAAAGTTGTTGAAAAAAGCTTTGAAGAGAAAGGAAAGACAGAAGTTGAAGAGTGAAATTGAATGGAAGGACAGAAAACAAATGGTCAAGGATACCAAGGCAGCAAGACAAAAGAGAAGAGACGAAAACTTAAAGGCTAGACGCGAAAACAAAGGAAAGAAGAGTAAGAACCAACCTAGATTGAAGAAGTTTGTAGGGACTGTTCACAAGAAGAGAGCTGGTTTTGAAGGAAGCTCCAAGAGTAAAGGAGGTAGACTGCAGAAGTAAGATCCTTTCTTATTTCTTATGTATCATAGATTTCATAATGCATAAAGTATATATATACAAGTTCCTTAGAGTTATTGAAAGACCTAATTGGGTAATATTATTAGTAACTCAATCAGTTTCAAATGCGGCGCTGCCATTATTATTTTCCTGTATTTAATAACAAAGTTGAATCCCGACTAATGTTATGTTTGCTTACCATAAACGAAAGGGAGTGATAAACAGTGCTGGACAAATTTTTGCTATCCAACTTCCTTCCCTTTCCGATTTGTTATTGATTTTCATTTTGAACGATGGATCAAGTCAAGGGATATTTAAAGACCATTGATACGGTATGTATAAATGTATCGCTTTTTTGGCATGGAGAAGACAACTTTATAACTAACTTGATTTGCAACAGGCTTTTGCTGGTCATTCTTACTTAGGTTTATTCGAACACCACACCGGATTACCTCGGTCCTATGCCATCATTGTATTCTCATTGGTGTATTTGGTGTTGGTTTTCGCCAACATTGCAGGAATCGGAGAGTTTTTATCTAATCTAGCTGGGTTTGTAGTGCCTGGTTATTTTTCACTTTTAGCGTTGAGAACAAAAGATACAAAGGATGATACGTTGTTATTAACTTACTGGGTTGTTTTTGCCTTTTTGAACGTTATTGAGTTCTTTTCCGTGGTAATCTTATACTGGATTCCTTTCTACTTTTTATTCAAGACTTTGTTTTTGATTTATATTGCAATTCCTTCTACTGGTGGTGCCTTATCCATATACGCCACAGTCATTCTTCCCGTTTCAGAACAATTTTTTGGTAGGAAATCATTTACTGAAAAGATCGATGATGTTACAGAGGGTGTCACTACCGCTATTGAGAAATGATTAATTTCGCAGAATGATCAAGTTCCCATCCCTTATTATTGTTGTGAGTGGGTGTATATGTGTGTTATCATATTGAATAAAGAAAGCTGGAATTCTGTTGGAATTTCCTCAATAGGATGAACGCCCCCTAATCTTGCGTAATGGCACAGTCAGCTTACTGTTCAAAGCTGTACGTATAATTAATAGTAATTATTAATAGATAAGGGGAATTAATTAAAATATTATACATCCAGTAGTTTAAATACGGAAAAAATTATACATAGTGAGTAATAAAACACGATAACCGTGAAGGCATTCTAAGATGGGAAAGAAGAACATTTTACCTTTATTTTTCAAACCTTCAATGCTTCCTCATAAGATGGAGGAGGTCCAGTAGGAACTGGAGCATCCTTTTCAAAAACAGCGTTAGCAGTAATAACATTAACATTCTTTGCAGCTGCCTTAGCCTTTTCCAGCTCAGCTAAACCCAAATTGTCTTCAGCAACCCAGATCTCTGGTGGTCCTTCGCTAACAGCAGGATCATTGTAAGCATGGGCAACAAAGTCTTCATTGTACTCAATGTAGTTCAAAAAGAAAGCAGGCATAATCTTACGAAGCAAATCAAATGATTCTGATGAAGGACGGAAGAAGCGACTAATCCAATTAACAGGGTTCTTAGGAGCCGTATCGGGACCGCCCTTTTCAGTAGCAGGATGAGGGTCCTTGACTTCTTGCCAAACTGGAGCTGAAGGAGATGATGGCACAGGAACGTGGTCATCATCATCGTGTAACTCAGACTTTCCTTCAGCATGATGTTGTAATGATTCATCACTTTCCAGTTTGTAGTAGGCTTCGTCCACCAATTGGTTTCCACCTTCCCAGTAATTCTTACCTTCTGTTTGAATTTCCTTTCTACCATGATCGTGTTCTGGGTAGGTAGCATGGACGTCACCTCTAGCATATTTAATAGCACTGATAGGGACAACTTCCCACAATGGCTCAAATTTGTATCTGAAGAAAATATGGCAAGCAACTGTCACAAGACCAATTACGGATTCCAAGCCAACAGAGACCCAATTCTTGCCAAAGACAAACATGGCAATCAAACATAGTTCAGCCAAGTAGAGACCAACAAACAATTGTAATAAGGCTCTGGGGTAATTACGTCCCTTAGCATCGTTCGCGTTTGGAACAAGAACGTAAACCAAAGTATAAATAAATGCCAAATAGAAAAGGACAAAGGCGATTGCGGTGAAACCGAGAATGAGTGGTGCAATGATTGAGTAACAAAGAGCAATAACTGCAAGTAACTGAAATGCTGGATAGGTGGTGGACCAACCTGGCAGACCAAGTATGTTACTACGGTTCCACTTTTGTCTTGGAGTCTTATCCAAAATCTTACCCAAAAATTGAGCCAAAATTAAGGCAACTACTTGAGCCAATAACCCAGAAGAGACTGACAAACCTTGCAAACATAAATAGGAAATGTAAAAGTTAGAAGCCTTAGGGATATATTCTGACAACATTGACAATGCTGAACCAGGATTTTCAATGATTTGTGTCACAGATGAAGATGCGGCAGAGGAGAGGGTAACAACAAGGAAGACGTTAACAACCTGGAAGGCATAGTACCATGATTGACAATAAGCTTCAACTTGTTGAACTGTAATACAACCCAGTAATTTACCCATGAGACGAATCACAATAGGAACCAACATCATCAATACTGCCAATAATACAACAGGCAACAAACCTTGAACAAGACCTCTAAGAAATGATGGTAAATTCAAAAGAAAACTCAAGAATTTCACCTTATTGATCAAATTATAAATATTGGACAAAGAACCAACGAAAGCAACTGGAATGGCCCAGAAAATAATCATTGCACTCAAGAAAGCAGTTGCACCTAACCATTTGACCCAGCGTTCGTATTTAGACAAAGCAAGGTTATCCCAAATAACATCATCAGGGGAAACACCGATAAACCGACGAGCCTTCTTCAACAAAGGATGGTAAGGACAAGCTTGGTAAGCCTTTTGCAGCTCTAATTGAGATGGGAATTCCAAAAACACGGCGTTAACCTTTTCAAATTCCTTTGTGTGGTTCTTTTGCATATCACCAATTTCTTGATTCAAGTCAGAAATATGTTCAACACCATAATCCAAAGTATCCACTTTCTTTCCAATAATTGGCTTGAGCTTATGAGTTGGTCTTTTCTTCAAGTAAGAATCTATATGATTTTCAGGTTCTGGGACTGGTTTACCCTTTTTAATAGCCTTATTTCTGATTTTGATAGCCTTCTTGATTACTGCATTCAATGTACTCTCGTACTTGTTGGCTAATTTAGATCTTTCCTTTGACTTCTTTTGCAAAGGCTTGTATTTTCTGTAGTACCAGACCTTCAATGCAGAAGGGAACAATTGACGTAATTCATCCTCATCCATCAAATCCTTAGGGAGTTCAGTTAACAAAACAGTTCTTGAACTTAATAAGGAATCGTACATTGGAGTCGTTTGCAAAACATGTCTGAAAGTTGTGTAGTAACGTAATTCTCTGTAGATCAAGAAAAGAACGGATCCAAAGAATACCCAGGAAACAAAAACGTGAGCCAAGAATCTCCATTTGGACTTAACATTGGAGTAGGAAAGCATATCTAAACCTTTTTGGTCTCTAGAATTGGTAGCATTAATAGGGAACAAGATGGGCCAAGTGAGTAAAATACCGAAAATACAAACAATTGCAAACTCAAACAAGAATCTAATGAAAAAATAGCCATCAACTCCAGCATATTGAATCAAGTAAGTTTCAGACTTCTTCATCAAGGTAGTTATCCAAGAGAAAGCACCTCTTGGTGGGTTTTCCGGTTGAAGATCATTAGGAACTGTGGAAACCAGTGATCTTGGTTCATAAACTCTCTTTTGCTTCTTACGCATAATAACGAAGATAAGAAGGTAAACAGCAAAGACTATAAGGGCAGGAACCAATGCCCATAAAAATGCCGAAACACTGTTATTCCCTGACTGCTGAGGATTATCTGCCATTTTGAAAAATGTTTAGTTAAAAGGGAACTTAAGGATTTATTTTCAGTTCTACTATCCCTAATTTATCTTTACTTTCTTTGAATGTGGCAATTTTTGTAGAAGATGATATTGTTGTGATAACCGTCTAAGACTCCAAATTGCTGTAAAGTCAAGAAATTATCTGCAGCAAATTTAGAGCGATGGCTTGGTATTTTATACCTTAATGTTGATTATTGCTTTAAAGTAATAACAAATACATGCACGAACAATCTTTAGGTTGAAATTCCATGGGTCTTATTCTCCTGTGTCAGGAGCAGTGAAACCTTATACGGTACAATGCGACACCGATTTGTGCAGGTCCCTTTGTTTGTTTTTGTTCACTGATGAGGGCGGGTTTTGTGTGCAAAGTTTTTATTGTTCTTAGAATGTATGTCATCCGTGTTGTGTTCATGTAACGAAGGCGCTGGGTTTTCGGGAAGAGACAACACAATTTAAGCGCCCTGAGGTAATGACACACTATTGAAACATAAATATGGGGTTTCCCACCGTAATGTGCGTCAATTCGAAGGTAGTTCCAAAAGAAGTAGAGGCATAAAAGTGTAACAAATCCGGGGATTTCTCGACTCTTCCTGCTACGCATATGATCCTTTCAGGGCCATTTTTTCATTCGACTTTAAAAAGTAAGTGTGGTTAAACAGTACACCTTTAAACACGAACTCTTAAGTTAAACACAAGCTACGCCATTTTTCACGTTGATTCCATTCACGAGGTTCCTGGTGATTATTTGGTAAGTAAAATGCTAGCAACTTTTATTCCAGTAACATTTCCCGTGTAGTATTGCTTTCAACCCCCTTCATTCTGAAATCGGCTCGGAACACCAGCTTCAACCCCTTAAGTTTTGGAATTTGAGTCAAGTAGTGTGTAGTACCGTCACAACAACAAAAGTTGCTTCTTCCTCAACAGGTTATTACCTTTGATAAACATGAACATATCTACTAATGGGGAAATTCCAGACTATTATTAGACATTAAGTAGTCTCTTTATGTTTGAAGCTGCATAGTATAATCTAATGGTTTGTATTACTATACACTACTTTTTGATTTTAGTTTGTTTGTCATACTGTAATAATTAATTTGTTCTGCCTATGTACATGAAATTTTCTGTCACAGCCGTCCGGTCATCGTTTAAAACCAACACCTTGTAACAACATGAAACAAAATCGTTCTCTCTACCAAAGTCACATGCTAGACTAATAATTAAAGGTTACCATTAGGGCTCATGACCACAAGAGAAAAGTGACAAGAACCTGATAATTACTCTACAAGGCAAGTAAGTGAAAAACTTAACATTGGATAGGATCGTTTAATAGGTAGTTGCGGTTACGTACGTATAAGAGGGTTGTTGTTCTATCTTTGCTTAGCTCTGTATACGGTAATTCAAGAATCAACTGTAAATTGTGACTTGTCCATTAGTTTGCATTAGTAGAAAAATGTAATGATCAACTGTTACGTATGTGAATATGTAATGCATGTCGTGTACTGTCCAACTCTGTTGGGTGGGACATCTCGGCCCTCCACCGTTGTAAAAGTAGTCGGTGACTCGATATCTGTAGTTCGGGGATATTACTGTCTTTCAATGAAAGATTATATAAAGGGATCGAGTCTTGAATGCATTACTGCTGGATTTTAACATAATGTTGAACTAATATAATGGTCATACATGACCAAAAAGTGAAAGGAATCGTCTATTGTAAATTACTTTTTTAACAATCAAGTCTACTATTATTGAAGAAGGTTATTACGAGTGGCGTCCCTAATGTAACCGACGAGCAGTGGAAACCGACGTACAATCTTGTATACTATTCTTGAAAATAGAAAAGTAATCTTTCAGATTAAACTTGTGTAGCTACTGATACAATAAAAAGTAGTTGCAAAAAAGCGGATTAAGGTCCCTTCTCTTTTACTTGTAAAAAGCATTCTTGTTCTTTCCCACAGTGATCAACTTTCTCTTACCACCTGAATTAATCTCTTTGTTTCTCACGCTAAGTCCGATATTGAGAGTGTCAACCAACCTCATCTGGCTAAAATTCAGTACAGATTATGTTCCTAAGATGTAGTAATCTGTCATGGAAACCTGTCAAATATTTTTCAAGGCTGAGGGTTGTTGTTCTTACAAAAAGATCATCTACAAGAAGTTAACTAGTTTTATTATTGGACTATCGTTAAATTGATCTTTCTTTATTGAAACTAATGTTGTTAGAGGTTCAGTATAGCCAGATTCCCCTTCTCTAGCTTTAAGTTTCGTTCTATTATTATTGTTATCTTACACTGTACGACATAAGGAAAGACTTCTTAAGACCGACCTCTGATCTTTAGCTTTTTCTATACATGATACCTAGTCCCATAAAATATAGTCCCAAAAAATTAATTTCTCTAGAAACTATCATAGGGTTTTGCCCAGACCTCGAACATTATATCCTTCATGAATAACAAGCTACATATATTCCTTACAAAGGTGTTTAGAATCAATGTTACACAATGTTTTCTGGTATAAATGCACTACCTTCATGTAGGCAGCTCTTGATGTTAAGTAATCTCACTACCAAATTAGGACTCTATTTACACAGCTCACACACCAAGTTGACTTCAATTTTCATTCTAAGATCTGGACTAGTTGAATGTTTGATATTTCTAACCAAGAATAGAACATGATTCTATTTGGTTAAACAGTATATAAAATATCATGTAGCATTCATAGAAATTAACACCCTAATAAGAACATTCAGGATATCTCCTCAAGATTCTAGACTTTTACGTGCTCAGTAATCATATAATTTGCATATGGCTTCAAAAATCAGCATTATGTGAAGTGTACATGATATTTGGACTACCTTTGAGATTAACACTGAGGATCAAAGAGTACCACATAACATGTGGCTCAAATCACCAATGCAAAATTATCCTTACGCCTATCATCCTATTTGAACTGACATCTGTCATGAAGAAACCATGATTTTTCATCGATGAAACTACCAAGCCTTTATCGTTGAATGAGATATTATTCTAAAGTCTGATGTTTGATTGCTCTCAAGCGTAAACTAGTCTGCCGTAGCTACAGTAGAAGTCTTAAAACTCTCAGATATATACGAAGTGCAGTAACAAGAGAATGTTTCACATGTATTAATACTTAATATCTACCTTGTTTGACTAAGCAAGTTACTATTAATTCTCTACCAAGACCATTAAGCCAGGTTCAGCGGTTCCTAGTATGGTCCCTATCAGCACATTACTTTATATAAAAGCTCTCTAATTTAATGGGAATCTCAACTCACTGTAACATCGGAAGTAATATGAAATAGTTAATCCTAATGGTAATTCATTTATTTTCCTCCACCAACGTTAGGTGGAGGATATGAAGGTGCCCCCGGGTCATCCGTACTCTTCGAATTATCTGTAGTTGATTCTGAACTTGTGCCTCCATATGTATAGACACCAGTAGTTTGCAAATGTGGAGGAGGTACTGATGGTCGGCCTACGTCAGTTGCCAGATCATTGCTCCCTGTAGCCTGTGGCAGTTGGCCGGGAGGGGGTCCGTCGGGACGACTGTACAATTCATGATCGTCAATATCTTGAGCAGGGACATGTCCACTCGTCACAGAATATTGTCTTTGATGGGATGCTTCTGGTTCTGAAGGCAAATTTGTAACTGTGGTGGTGCCTGTTGCCTTGGCATTAGGATTGGGTACAAATGTACCTGTATTATCATAATAACCCATATCGTTTTCATTAGCTCGTTCAGTGTATTCGGGTACAAACGTCGTCTCTCCTCCTCTTTGACCATTGTCGTACTGATTCTGACTTTGATAGTATGAGGGAGGAGTAATCCATCGTGTACCGTAGATCGGTTGAATACCATGTCTCGATCTCCGTTTATTGACTCTCATTGTACCCAATATAATGATAAGAATAGCAACAAAAAATATAACAAAAAACGCCCATCTTGCACTGCTATTACTACCCCATGAGTTGGTTGTAAAGTCTCTCTTGTCAATGTACATTTTTAAGTTGTAAACTGTTTAGAATAATTTGGAAAGTTACTGAGTTATTTTTGTTGGCAGCTAGAATATAAAAGAACTTCTTCAACTCACTACTCAGAAATTCAAATCTATAATCAAGTTAACGTGAGTGAAATTTACCTGTAAGTCTTTGCCAGTTACTTTGATAATAAAGATAAAAGAATACTTATGGTGATTTGCCATTTCGTCAAGAATTCCGTTAGCAAGTACCATCATCCAAAGAATTTATAGCTCTTATATGCCAGATTTTACTCTACCAATCTATAGTTCTCGCTACTACATAGCCCCGCCACCCCCTCACACGTTCGCAATTCCAGCCTCATACGATACGAGCGTCCTTAGTTCGAATAAGAAGAGCAAGTACGGCCAACCCAGATCTAATTAGTTCTTATGACATATAAGCCCGTTCGCTGTGCTTTTGGAAACTGAAACTGGTATTTGTTTGTAACTCATAGTAACTTTTTTATCTCCGACCTATATGGTTATGTGTAGGTTTTGATTTGCTCGTAAAAAATCTTTGGTGTTAGGGATTATATCGTATCCCTTTAAACAAGCAATCATTAATCGGAAATAACAACAAACATGATAGAAAGTATTCTGCTTGAACTGTCGAAAAACTTGTATGTCAATTACATAGGATGCCAATCACATTTTGTCTAGTTTCTGACCCTTTGTAGCACTGTTTTGGGAAAATTAGAAGCGTTTTGGGATAAGATTAATCAAAGCCTAAGTAAAGAAGCCATAATTGCCACCATAATTGAATTAGGAAATGAATCACCTAGATTAAGCTTATTACATCAATATACATTACGAAAGGACCGTGGTACAAAGTTTACTGTGGTCGTAAAGTTGACAGCTTGGTTAATTGAGCATGTTGCAAAAAGTCTGACTACTACTTTTAGGGATATATACTATCAAGACGTAGAGCTCTTTCAGAGAAACCAGAATAATGCTAATAGGTATATTCTATTGATGATGGAGAGTCTTGGAGTCACAATGGATGATTTGAAAATATACCCTTCACAAAAGGGCCTTGTGTATTGCATGTCACATACTGAACTTATACCCTTTGATTTCAGCCAGTGGTTGCAAAACCCACAAATTTTATTGGAAAAACCCCAAGCAATAGTGATTCTTGAAAAGGATGCTGTTTTCCAGTCCTTGATAGCATATCTTAAAGAAAATACCATTGGTCTCAGTTTGGTAGTTATCACAGGGAAAGGTTTTCCTGATAGACTCACTTTGAGGTTCACAAAAGCCTTACACTCCAGACTTCCAAACGTTCCAGTTCTTGGGTTCGTTGATAGTGATGTTTATGGTATATCTATCATGAATCAATACTATTTACATGGGATTCCTATAGTCTACTGTGGAACATTCTTAGTTGATTTTGAAGAACGTATTTTTCAAACTATTTCGGAAAGAGATGCAAGAATTGCTATTGGGCAATTACTGAGATGGGAATCTTATTTGAATGATGGCGAGCACACACTCACCCCACGTTGTCAATGGAAACGTGAGCTTTGTCGTGGTCTAGTCTTAAGGAAAAAGGCAGAGATGAATACTTTATCAGCCAGCGTTATTGAATTCATTATAAAGCGAGTGATACGGAATATTACTGGTGATACCCAGGGTTTTTGCTAAATGAAACATTCAACCATCCCCACATTCTATAAAGAAGGAACCCAAAGGATTAAGAACCAGAAAACAGAATGCTCACGACAATTCACGTGATCTAATTGAACATAACTATTTTGTGATTTCCCCGGAGTGTCGTATACCGGACTAAAAGTTTTTTGCAAGGGAGATTTGTTGACTGGTGTGTTTCTCAAATGATCCAACAAACACACTGGACGTCTTCTTTCTAAACTTTTCAGGTATTCAACCCAAGAAATCCCAGTCATGTCTTACACCACACGTCAAATCGGAGCTGCTAACACCTTGGATTACAAGGTCTTCATTGAACAAAATGGTGTTCCAGTGTCCCCTTTCCATGACATTCCTTTATATGCCAACAAGGAAAAGACTATCTTGAACATGATCGTTGAAGTCCCAAGATGGACCAACGCCAAGTTGGAAATCTCCAAGGAACAAAAGTTGAACCCAATTATTCAAGATACCAAGAAGGGTAAATTGAGATTTGTTCGTAACTGTTTCCCTCACCATGGTTACATCCACAATTACGGTGCTTTCCCTCAAACTTGGGAAAACCCTAACGTTTCCCACCCTGAAACGAAGGCTGTTGGTGACAACGATCCATTGGATGTTTGTGAAATTGGTGAACAAGTTGCCCACGTTGGTCAAGTTAAGCAAGTCAAGGTCTTAGGTGTCATGGCTCTTTTGGATGAAGGTGAAACTGACTGGAAGGTTATTGTCATTGACGTCAACGATCCATTGGCTCCTAAGTTAAACGACATTGAAGATGTCGACACTCACTTGCCCGGTTTACTTAGAGCTACTAATGAATGGTTCAGAATTTACAAGATTCCAGATGGAAAGCCAGAAAACCAATTCGCTTTCAGTGGTGAATGTAAGAACAAGAAGTACGCTGAAGCTATTATTACTGAATGTGCTGAAGCTTGGGAAAAGTTGATCAAGGGTGAAATTGACCCTAAGGATATTGACTTGACTAACTCCACCTTGACCACCACCCCATCTTACTCTACCTCTGTTGCAGAAGAGATCCCTGCTCCTTCTCCATTGGCAGCTGCTCCTATTGACAAGTCAGTTGATAAGTGGTTCTTCATCTCTGGTGGTCACCACTAAATAGTCTCACCCTTGAAATGAATTGAGGCCAGGGTAATAAATAAGTAGCTTATCCTTTACATTCCTGCCTAACCTATAACTTGTAGTATGAAATCAAGCCCCAACAATTATCCATGAAACATACTACTGTTTAAGGAGTTGCGTTATGAATTTCGAGTTCGATCGACTTCTTAAACTGTAGATCAGGAGTCCTGTCTTGGTGTGGATAACATTTTATTTCTTACGGTTTTGACTAAAATTAAGGAATATACAGGATGTTAAAAACATTATGTGAACATTGTTAAGAGTAGGAACATGGAGTTCCCCTAGACGACTGCAATTCTCAGTCAAGATAACTGATTATTGATGCAAATATGAGTGACTCGTATAGTCGAATGGTGGCGACTGTATTATCTAAAGCAGGGTGAGGTTTAATGTTGATGGTTTGTGTTTAGAATGACAGTAGATGCGTGTTACGAAAATTTAGCTTATGTGTTTGTTATTCACATGTATTATACTATGTATAACATGCAATGTATAGCTGGTAGATTTGGGATTTTATTTCGCTTTATCGCACCGAAGTCCGCACATTCTCTTATTCCTTAGAGTCAATAATAATACGGACTTATAGCCGTAGCACCAACACCATTTGTCAGAAACCAGGTGTTTGTCAGGCTGCTTATCAGCCATCAGCTAAGCGTCACTAGCCTTTAGTACTCTATTGCAATCGGCTTTAATACCCAATTCTATTGCAATTGCGTCTCCCTTTGTACGGCTATTGCCTATTTTGGTAAAAGAGTTCATAAATACTATGTTGTGGTCATATCTATATACACGATTTATCAACACCAATACCAAGACTTCAAAAAAAAAAAACAATAGGCTAATCTGATACTAAAAAAATCGATTCCATGTTAATAAGTGATGATACGATAAATAGCAGCTGAAGTTTTCTTTAGAAGACAGTTATTTACTCGGAGTTTGACAATATTCTTCTGCAAAATATTGCTAATATTGAATGCACTCAATAATTGGAGATGACTAAGGTTATTATCATCGGTGGTTCCTATGCTGCTACCAAAGCTGCTAAGCTTACATTGGAGATAGACCCAATTGTTGAAGTGACTATGGTGACTCCTTCATCCAGTGTCTTCTTTAACGTTGCATCCCCAAGGGCTCTCATAGAGTCCAACATCGTTGATCAGCTCATAATCCCTCTCAAAAAGGTCCTTGGCTCAACCTTGTATGAGCGATGCACGATCGTTAACGATTTTGCAGATTCTGTTGATTTAGCTGCTAAGACCGTCACTACTAAGAGTGGTGAAGTTCTCGTGTTTGACTATTTGATTGTGGCATCAGGATCCCAATCGAAATCACCGGCATTTAAAATGAATGGTGATTGTGAAACCTCCAAAACTACATTATTAAGTTACGCCTCAAGACTTTCTTCTTCTGGAACCGTGGGTATTGTCGGTGGAGGAGTAACTGGTGTCGAGGTAGCTGGTGAAATCGGTTCACTTGGTACTAAGAAGGTTACTTTGATTTCTGGAGGTGTTTCTCCTATGAGTGCTATTTCCAAATTATCTGAAAAAGCAGCCAAAAAGTTGAAGGATTTGAATGTGGAGATTATAAATGACTTAAAGGTTCAAAATTTTGATGAAAACCTGGTCAATTTGAGCAACGGTACTACTTTGCAATTCGACCTCGTCATTCCCACTTTTGGTAACAAGCCAAACTCGCACTTCTTACCAGCTTCAGTCCTTGATGATAAAGGATTTGTAGTGGTTGACAGTCACTTGATGGTGAAGGGATATGGCAATGTTCTCGCTTTTGGTGATATAGCCGACATTGGTGATAATACGCTAATAGAGATCGACAAGAGGCAAGTTCCAGTCCTTAAGGCCACATTAGGACACTTATTTAAAGGCACCAATTTAGTTGAGTACAATGAAAACAAAATGAAGGATACCATTATAATTCCAATTTCTAGAGATGGAGGAGTAGGTATGATATCTGGCTGGAGTGTTCCTAATTTCATTGTTCGTATGCTCAAGTCCAAAACGTTCTTTGTTGATAGAGCGGCATCGATTTTTTAGATTTACCTTTAGAAGCTGCTTGAGAAGCATAAAAATATTAATCTTGGTTTAGTGTTTGTTTTACCCAATTATACTATAGCTGACTTTCATACTCTCACACAACTACCCACTTTTGTATTTCTACGTGTAAACCGATGTTGATTTCCATAGCACAGACAAAAATATGCCCTACAACAACTTTAAATGCTATAGGCTACTCTACCAGTTTGTAAGTGAAGAGTACCACTCAACATACAACACTCACTCTTCTAACGTATTTTATCTTATGTGGCTCCGCTGAAAGATTTATATGTGTTGTATCGCGTCTTCCCAAGATGCGAACATTTGAGTCATAGAACAATCTTCGATGAAACACTGGCAATTGAAGAAATACGCTTCAGAACTGTTGATGCTTTTTCGCTGATCATACAAACATTTATATCGCCAATTGGAACCTTAGGATTGCTGTAATTATTATAGTTTTTCATGGATGTTTACGAACAGACTGGACTGGACTGCTTGGAAACAGAGTTCCCTAGGCTACATGAGTTGTTAGTTTTGCATGGGTTAACATGCATGGACTTACTTTTGATGGGTAATGCCTGTCAGGTTGCAAGAAGGGTGGGTCGCTCGGCTTTAGAAGTAGGTGAGTACTTGGCCAAACTCCGACTACTTATTCAATGTTCTGAAAGGAAATTAGATAAGAATCAAATCGATTTACATGTATCGACAGGCTTACCATCCTTGGACGCACAATTAGGAGGAGGAATAATTTATGGGGATGTGACGGAAGTAGTTGGTGCAAGTGGTTCCGGTAAGTCACAATTTCTTTTAAATTTGGCGTTAAGAATCCAACCGTGCATCGTAATAACTACTGAGGCCCCATTGGAAACACGACGAATGAGTGATATGATACCAAAGACGGAGGCAAAGGAGCCCATATTGAATAATGTTTCGTACATATACTGCCCAGATTTAGAATATCAGGATCATATTCTATATACTCAATTGCCAATAAAATTGCTTGAAGGGGGAATTAAGTGTGTAATAATTGACAGTATATCTCACCATTTACGTCGAGATGACGCGATCACCCCATCTGATTATTTGATAAGACAATTGCTGGAGCAACAGAAACAGTTGAATTGTGAAGGTCTTAAGCATTTCGAACACGAGCATGACCAAATGCGAAATTTATTCTTTAAATCTGATGCAAAATATACCGATAGACAATCGAAACAGCAATATGTGCATGGATTATATTCTTATCTTCTGAGGTTAGCAAGGGAATACCATATTGCGATTGTTGTTGCAAATCAAGTGAGCGACTATTCAACTCCTTTTGAAGACTGTGTAACCAGTAATGCTCTTGACCTAGACTGCCAAATTGGGTTGTATTCTGGCTGGGATAATTCTACTGCCTATAATAGCTGTCACCCTGAATCACTGCTCCAGGTGAATTTTAATCGATCGTTGGATTTACAAGAAGCCTTAATGGGTTCAATTTTTGAGAATTTAGATGAACCACCGTCAAAAAGGTCAAAGGTTGATGAAATGCAATCAAGTCTGCATAGATTGAGTACTTCAGAGCAGATGCAAATGCTCGATGAGCTACACTCATACACTGGGATGGTGACGAAAAAGCAAGTGCCTACACTTGGATACCCTTGGTCGCGGTTTGTTAGAAACCGAATTCTTTTGATTAAAACCTACAAACCTATTTATAAGGATGACGTGGCCATTTCACAATCGGATAATTCTTCTCGACTAAATACCCAAAGAAAACCTTTGAGGAGTCTTGATTCAATTATTGGAGGTTGGCAAATTGAACGGTACTGTCGAGTGGCCAGCTCCCCATTTGTTACCTGCAATACTAGTAATTACAGCAAAATCCCATTTCTTATTGAAACCGCAGGAATCTCCGAGGTCAAGAAGTCTTAATGGCTTTGAACGACTTAGGTTAAAGCATTTGCTTTGATGGGTTCTATGATGCCTTTGATCTGACAGTGAATCCCCGAGTCAGACCTGCATACAAACAACAACCTTGGTCACACAAATTGGAAATCAATACCAAGATTGTCCAACACCAAATTCGTGGTAGATAAGTGCGGTGATAAATTGATTACCACCGTAACCAAGAAGTTTACCCAATAAGCATTCCTAAAAAAGAGGTTTAAACGTTACATACACGATCTGCAAGTCAACAGCTGCAGAACAACATGAAGGTATGTGTGAATCAGGTAATTGCCGTGTTGACTCTAGTTCGGGATTGGGGGTAGTCGCACAAGTGTCGACTTTTATTAGGTAACTGAACCACGCGGATTACTATAAAAGTTACATAACGCCCAATAACTGACGTACTAACTCATGATGATATAGTTTCTCGATGAAGTTGGTATAGAGTTCGTTAATAAAGAACTCAGATTCGACTCACTGGATAATAGTATAGTAATCAATGGGGGTTGTGATTTATTCACAACCAAACCAATTGGCACAGATAGAAAGTTGTTTAAGACTATTGATAAACACTTGGACCAGATAATCAAAGATAATCAGTTTTCGAGGTCACTTGAAAGAGAGAGGCAGTATTCCATGAACTCCATATATGGTAGCTCAGTTGCCTCTTCGCCTGCAACAAGTACAACTAGTACAATCGTTGAGCCAGATGGAAGGAGGGGAAGTTATGTTGTGGAAAGACGTGGTAGTAACGTCCTGATAACGTTCAAGAGAGGTTCTGTATCTTCAGCCACGACAACTAGCGCCCTTACTGAAACAATCGCCCCACAAGAGAATAATGATATTCAGCTTGAACAGAGTGATAATTTGGAACCTGGTTTAAACGAGTCTCCATTTGGTCCTCTTGAGAATGTGACTACAAGGAAGACGTTTGCCTATCTAATAGCTATTTTGAATAGCTGTTATCCAGATCATGACTTTTCTAATTTACAACCAACAACAGAGAATTTCCACAGGATAAATCATTATGAAGAGCTCATGACCCGTTTCAACAATCTCATGATGTCTTTAGGAAAGGATGCAACTATCTTAAACTGGATTTGGGATACCATAAATCTGTACATGAATTTCTTACCATCAACAAATTCCCCTCTGTTAGGACCTGCGAAATCATCAAGGCAGAATAGTATTTCAACGTCACCAGGAAACAGAGATAATAATGCGCATTTCTATGGCTCTCACACAGGAATTCCTAATCACAGCCATAGTGCAATGTATGAACAATGCCAAATATTTGAATTCCAGCCGTCCGATCAAACCATTTTTGAGGATCTAAACTACCCTTATCAAACCATGTGGAGTTATTACTGGTTTATATACAATAAGAAAAAGAAGAGAGTTGCATTTCTTTACTTGAATGGGATAAATAAGATTCATTACAACATGATAAATGGAGGAAGAAGACTTTCTTTCAGTAATAACTCAAGGAGGAAAAATAAAAGTGAATTGATTGGCTCTGATGAAGAATTTGATGATGACGAGGAATTATTCATGGATGAATATAGTGATGATGCTATGATTGATGATGACGATGGAGACGATGGAGTTGATGATGTAGTTGGGGATATCGAAATATAGAACTGCCACGAGAATAGAAATACAATTTCTATCTGATACCTATTATAATTATAATATTTGTAATATTCTTTATACAACATCTATTTGTAATAGCATTGCTACAATCGGTATCAAAGCCTCTGTACTTACACTCAGTGAATTGTTGTATCATAGTATAAACCTATCCCACATGTGAAATATTGACATAATTATATGCCATTTATTACCTAAATAGGTAAATGTCAGACAAGGAGAAAACAGGAAGTGAGAAATTAAAGTTGAATATGAATAATTACGGCGCTTATTGATCATTCAACATAAGGTTACAAGTAACTACAGATTTCTCAGTGCTGCAATTTTCTTGCGTATGAATAATATCGAAGATTAGGAATTCCAAGACGAGTTGGGTGTAGGCCAGAACATCTGAAATCCTTACAATCCGATAACTAAAGAAAAAGAACATATTATTCAAGTTGGAAATACAAATATTATGACTAGTAAAACCATGCACCTGATATTTGGTTTGTTTTAAGCAAGTAGTACATTTATTTCAACTACATCCTGACATCACATAACTGCTTGGTATTTCTAAGGCCCCAATGTTGCTTACATTTTACGCGTCATACACGACCTTGTGAATTTAGAGTTCTACTCTTCGCGAGACATTCGCCTCTAAGTCACGTGACAATCAGATTAGTTTCAAGCAACATGAAAAATTAAAGCTGTCATATACATAGTAAGTGGTATACCTTCAGTAAGAATGAGCGAAAACGAGAGTAGCAATTATGATAGCGATGTAAGCTTGGATGAGGAAGATGAAGAATTGATATGGCGTGTTTTTTTTGAAGCATTTGAGCGCTCAAAAGATAAGCAAAATGAAAGTGGTAACTCAGACAACGAGGAGGACTCTGATTCTAATTCAGACAACATATCAATAACAAGTGAAGATCTTGTAGCAGCAGAAGATGAAGAACTAGTGAAGGAATATAAGAAGATGAAAGAAATGAAGTTTGACAAAAATTTAGATGAGGAACGAAAACAACAACTTCTAATCCTAAACTTGCCGAACGATCAAATGGAAAGGTACGAAGCATTTAGGCGACTGAGGATAAACAGACCAGGCATTAAGAAGTTATGTAATGGAGTTCTTGGTCATTCCGTACATCAGAGTATTATTTCGTCAATATGTGGTATGGCAAAGATGTTTGTTGGTGATATAATCACAAGGGGGTTTGAAGTACAAGAGCGAGAGGCAAAGGCCAAGTTGACAGAAGATATAGAGGAGAAGAAGCATCAGAAGCGTGAGATATTAAAGTCATTGGATTCCGGTATCGAAGTGGAAGTTGATGACACGCGTTTGCATTATACGGGGGATGATGTACAGCAATTACAACCCCATCAAATACGAGAAGCGTGGAGATTATTCAAGTTAGAGAATAGCGTAGACTATAACTGTCTATGGAGATCTCAAGGTGACGCCAATGGGCAAATGTTCAGATAATACTCCTTCAAACGATCTGATGTACAATTAGAGAAGAACCGTGTAACTGTGTCGGTTTCATTTTCCCGTTATTGTATCAAAACTAAGATATTATTTGTCATTAAACTTTCATTAATAGAGGTGTCGAAAATTGATGCCAAATAGTCTCTAACTGGCTGAAAAGAGGTAGCTGATGTCAACTGTGTACAGACACTAGTACGTTGCTATTTATTCCAACTAAAACGCTAAGGAATTGATAAATATGATTATGAGATAATGGCTTACATACGAAGTATGAAAAGAGCTAATTTTTAACCCAAGTATTTCAACTGCACAACGGGTGAGCCAGAAATGGAGTTTGAATGACTTCACTTAATACCTGATCAAAGTCCGCTTATATGAGCACCTGCCAGTTTTCAAATTTTAGATATCGGATTGCCACAGTGCAGATTCTATATCGACATAGAAAACAAGAGCAAAATTTAGATAAATATTTTGATAAAGCTTCATACTACCCCAACTCCTTATGTACGCGAGCGACCAGCCTACCAGCAAAGTTCAACCTTTTCTATAAAAGTGCTCTAAATATCGATTTTACTATCATAGGTAAAACTTTTGAAGTATATAACCTAGTGACTCGTGTACTCACAGTCGAGTCTATTTGATTCTAATATAACACCATACTCCCTTCTAAATCAACAAGAGGAGAGTATAAACTCGCTTGAAAATATCAGTCAAGTTTTCTCACTCCATTATCCAATTCCGAGAAACCCAAAGTTGCTGCAGTCATTTACTAGGGGTCTGTACTTGTAATATTACTAATAAAGTCGGAGGAAATCTAACGTCCTAATCTTCGTTGGCGTATACAAGGACCAATCCCTGCAACAAAAAAAATACTCAACTCAAATTTGAGGGTACAATGTAGAAACCAACCATGTATCATATGTCGTTGAAACCAAGCAAGTGGTTATACTATGGAGCTTTTTACAAATTGTTGCAAATCTTCACACTATGTCACAGATTCGTCAACAATGCAACCTGGTGAACTATAAAGTAATCAGTCTTGTTACCTGATCTGAATATTACTAAAAAACACACGTTATATTACTAGAGCCAATTAAATATCAACACGTCCATGAGTGACAACTCCCATAGTGAAGGCTAAAAACAAAAAGTACTTGTATGAATTAATAACCGACTTCATAAAATGACATCAACACGCGCTACCTGTGCAGGAGTTACGCTTTTCTTGTAAGAATTGAAAGGTTATGAAGAGGCATACCCCTGAATCCGAAGCGCAATGTAGGGGCCATTCAATCATACACAAATTACAATTACAACCAAAAGTGGTAATTAAAACACGTTTGGAAATTTTTGGCAACTAGTTGTATATCAGTACACTATTTGTCACTCATGTAGCTTGATTACAAATATATACCAAACTAATAATCGCATTAGTTACCATGTATCGAGTAATACCAGACACTACTCTGATCCAAGCTTAAAAATGGATTCATTTTAATGTGAAAATGGCAAAAGAGGTAAAGCATATAAAAGAACGTGACAGAAGAATCTTTTAGCACGGTGTCTGACTTTAGCTATAAGTTTACAATGTACCTCACCTTTGCAATATATCACAATCATATGTATACCTCGCAGTAGAGGGCCTATGCTTCTCTTAAGTTTGTTGAAACCTCATTATCCCCGCTGATCACAGGTGCCTTTATGACTAGCCCTACGACAAACGTGGAATGTTTCGGCGAATGTTTCGGCGAGAACATCGGCGACTTCGGACATTGTTTTCCAACCTAATGTTATCAGGACCTTATCCTTTGTAGGACCGCGCTCCCACAGGTCTCGTAAATTATGTACACTCTTTGTACACAATAAGGACCCTTGTAGATCTTGCTGCAAGAGCCAAAAGATATACAAACCCATGATCCTAAATCACCTAGTAGCTCATATGCTGGTCTAAATACCTCAATTTAAAGTATATCAACTCTAAATGCTTGTAAAAATAATTGAATTTCGGCCTAGCTACTATAATATAAAAGTTGATTGTCTCCATAATTTGCTCCTGCAATTGGGATTTTTGGGTGCAAAAAATGGTTTCACATATTAATCTCAAGATTTTCTATACATATAAAATCACACCCTTCATCTTCTCTTCCTTCACTACAGTTTTGGAGTTCAAAGTTTGTTATCATGAGTTTAACAAAGTTGAACCTTAAGTTCAAATCATTGACCTCCCGTGTCTGGCGCCACCATGAAGCTTCCGAGCTACTGATGAAGAAGCCCAAAAAGTTGAGAGCCGCTCTCAACAAGGTAAAAAATCTTACCCGCTTACTTTCTTCTAAGAAAGTGCAACCTCCAGCTTCTTTTCCTGCTGAAAACGAAGCTGTCTATCCAACTACCGCTGCAGCTTTGGCATCCATTGAAGTTTGTCCAGGCTCTACCACCTTACCCATATCAGAAGCATCCACCTTATTTGACTACTCTTCTAATTCTCAAATGACTCCAGCCACTAGTTGTGCTGTTTATCATGTTAGGGCTGGTGCTTTGAAAGGAGCAGCTAATTCCAGTTTCCTGCTCAAGAAATCCGTTTCATTCGGATATACTACTACCATCTACTTTGTCAAGCACTCCTTTACTTCCTATAAAGAGGACACAATTACTTCCATTGTTTCGGCAATCCCACGCCTTGAAGAGTCTGAAGGTATTTTTAAAATTGGCGATGCCGCCGACATCTTAGAATGCGATCGTTCATTCTTTGATTCTGAGTCTTTGAACTCAAACGAGTGCTCTTCACTCATTGGTGTCACATCCACCAACAGTGACCCTTTAACTGCTAACTCTTTGGTTTATTCCTCCGATTTTGTGGAGTTCTCCCACTATCCATTTGATTTCACCGTGCCTGTTGTTCCCGAGGCCATTGGTGATTCCGTAATGAGACTTTCCAGTCACTTACGTATGTACCGTGTTATGAAAATGTGTCTGTTCTTTTCTGAGAACAGATACATAGCTGAAAAGACCGATGATGTTGAAGATTCTTCTAATGGTTTTGAGGTAGTATCCAAGACTGTTGTTGAGATGACTGGAACTTTTTCTTCTCCTTCTTCTTTGTCTTCCTCTTCCGTCGAGTTCTCCAAGGAAGTTTGTCATGACGAGATAGACTTCCCCCATAGCCATCAACCCTTGAATGACCTCCTGGATGACCCGAAGGAATCATCTGCCGTCAATTGCGTTCTGCGCGCGACCGTAGTTGTTGGCGGACGATGTAAAGAGGTTAGTTCAGAATTTGAAGGAGCAACTAATTCGAATGTTTCAACTCAGTCAGATGACTTCGAACCTCAATTGATTTCTGAAATTTCATCGACCCCTTGCTCTATGAAAAAAGTACTTGAAGTAAAATTTGGTTTACCAACTGTTAGTCAGAAAATTGAGCCAATTTTGACCCCAAATGAAGAGGACTTGAAGGATGTTTATCTGTCTGAAACTGACACAGATAGTCCTTCAGGAACTCTTTCGATTGATATCCTAACTTTGACACAGTCAGAGAGGAGATCTCTTCAATGTCAAAGCAAACGGCTTACGAATTATTCTGACTATAAGCTAGCAAGCAAGTTAATCAGGGCATTAAAGCGAGATCTTCACACAGCTGATAAAACCATTAGTCGCATTCCAAATGCTGGCACACTCAAGCTTTGGTTCGAGTATCAATTAGGAAACATACCTGAAATTGACAGGTCTCTTTTCAAAAAGATTGAGAATAATTATTTAACATTGGAAACACTTTGGTTCAGTGGTAGGATACCAGAAGAACTTGACAGTACTGTTGAAGATTTGGCCGAAAGTGCACAGTCTATTCTGGAATGGCACCTATCAATTGTAAGTATGATGAACGAGAATGGTTATACCCACGAAACTATTAAGCAAATGAATTCTAGAGCCAATAAAATATCTTGGGTTGATGATGATGAAAGTTCAGTGCTGAAACGTTCTCCAATGAAACAACTACCAGATACCCTCGTTAATAAATATCTTCAGAGAGTAATTGAAATGGATTACTGAATTCTTATCGTTGATTATTTAACGTTTGAACCTGAAGTTTAATTAGGTCATTATATTGGGATGTTGCTTGAATTACAAATAAAACAAAAAATAAAACTAAAACCTTCTACCACTACCACTGCCACTACTATTGCTATTGTCGATACTACTTGAGAGTGCTTCTACTGCTATTTCGTTTTTAGAAATTGAGCTACTATTACTAAATAATGGTGATACATTGGGTTACTACTGTTGAGTAACTAAACTCTAGAGTTGGGCTGTTGTGGTCCAATATAACTTCTGCATGTACACTTTCAATCAACATCAATCTTCCTTTTCTCTAATATTTACCTGTAATCATCCTCTCATTTAATATGGGTCTTGCAGTAGACCTCAGCATGAAAAATTATAATGAAACCATTTCTTTCATTTTCTGAGTTACATAGAACGTATCAAAGAGAATAGAGGAACAGATATCACAAGTGTAGTTGAAGGTCATACAATTCAATTCCAAAATTGTCTAAAGAGATAATCCAAAGCATATCTTATTGAAAAGAATGCGAATGTTTTGACCATGTTGAAATGGACGTTTCAAATCTTCTATACGGGTCATACTGTTAGTAATTTAATTGCAAGTAATACTTATCTTTGAGGTGTGTCTTATAATATTATCAGTAATATATTCAGACTCGATACTATTCTATATAACACTTTATTCTAAGTTTGAGACTGAGAGTAGCCTATTTATAACCCACTCATAATTACATGGTTTGTTTAGCCTTACCCCATGTGGTTGTAGTATCATATTATTCAAAATATCCCAACTTACCTATACGGGATGTTTGGGCATTTCCTCACCTTGACTATTTGTTTGCAACCAACAGATTACATTGTGTCTTACACGATCACTCATTTCTCTAACACAATGGTTCAACATAGCTTAACAAGTTCAACACTCTAACACAATTCTTCAACAAAAACTTCTGACACAATTCTTCAACAGACCACACTTTAACCTTTTCCCAAGGAAGTAATGATTAACGCTTCCTGATGTCAATCCAGTTACCAATAAAAAGGACAAAAAAGGATGATTTTGTAACTCAACATCAGAGGGTCTAAAATTACTTTAAAGAGTGTTGAAGTATTGTGTCAGAGGTGTTTGTTGAAGAATTGTGAATAACAGAATTGTATCAGAAAAAAGGGGATCGTGTATGTCACAATTATGTAATCTTTTGGTTGCAAGCAAATAGTCTACGGGCTATAAATAAGACACCACAAGTCTCAGACTTAGAATAAAGTTTTATATAGAGAAGGATAGAGTCTGTATTATATATCACCGATAATATAACAAGACACACGTCAAAAATAAGTATTACTTGTGATTAAACTACTAACAGTATGCCCCGTATGGAAGATTTAGATCGTCCATTTCAACACATCCTAGCATAGTCATTGAAAGTTGTTTAACCTATCATGACTTACTGAATAAGGCTGTTTCCGACAAACTACGAAGTCACGTGTACCATAAATGGATCTAGAAATAGAGAAGTTTCCTATGCACAAGCAATCGCGACTGAGAACAAAGATAAATGGCTAACAGCCATAAATGCTGAAATGAAAGCTATCAT